TCCGTGTTGAGGAGGCGCATGTCGAGCAGCGCGATCTTGTGCACCTACGGCCCGCGCCCCGCTCCATCCACAGGCCGAAGCAGGCAAATTGGGGAGCGCGGGCCCTCTCCATATATCTCTCTCGGTGTCGCCTCTCGCGTCGGGAAGGTAGCTGCGCCGCGGTTGGCCGCAACGTCGTCATGCGGAACCCAGAGCTGCAGCGACCCGACCTTGGCCCTGCGCGAAGGGGGGGGGTGATGGCTCGGCGGCGGTGCACGCGCGCCGCGGGAAGGGTGGCGCGCTGGCGCTGCGGCCGAGGCGAGAGCAGGGCAGTGGAGGGTGGGAGGGTGAGGGGGAGGGGCTGGGAGGTTTGGAAGAGGGGGGGGAGGGTTGGGGGGTAGCGCACCCGTAGCGCGACAGAGCCACGTGCGAATGGACGTAGAAGGCCGGATGGACGGCCTCGGCCTGCGGCGGTCGAGTGCAGGGGTGAGCAGCAGCGCCGGGCGCGGAGCAGGCGCGGGCGCGGAGACGGCGCGCTCCTGCAGCGTGAGCGGCACAGAGGCGAAGTGGCCGTGGTCGAGGCGGTGCGCGAGCACTTCGCGCACATGGGCCTCCCCCGACGCGATGGAGCCGTGGATGCCCGGCTGCCCCAGCTTGCCGGGCAGCCCGCGCGGGTTGTTTGGAGCGAAGGCCTCCTCGTCGCGCGGCTTGAAGGCGGCGAGCGGCGCGCGAGAGGCGTCGCGCAGGACGTAGGTGCCGCCCGTGCCGTCCCACGCGAGCTGCGGCGCGAAGCCCATCGCGAGCCCCTGCTGGCACTTGGAGAGCAACTTCGTCAGCGGCACCGGCATCTCCGCATCCTCGGCCTATCAAGAGGCCGCTGCCAAAGGTGAGGAGGGAACTCTGCGGCGACGGCCCCGGCCGCCTCGGCTCGCCTGGCCGCCCCACGCCTGGAGGTAGCAGCCGGTGGCAAAGTCGCTCGGGTTCTGCGCGCGCATCGTCAGGCTCACCACGCGCGAGCGCGACGATGACGACGAACTCGAGTTGCGCGAGGAGGAGGGCAGCAGGTCAATCATCCGCGCCAAATTGGGCAGCTCTCTCGGGCCGTGGAAGAGGCGGATGAAGCCGACGGGGACGCCGCACGCATCGCGCAGGCGCTGCTTCACGTCGATCGCCGAGCACCACGCCCGCACCCGCAGCCGGTGAGCGCCCGGCTGGACGAGCAGGCGGATGTGAGACGTCGCCTTGTGCCGCGCTGAGCGGGAGTAGGCATTGTCGGCCGAGCGCTCCTCCACACGTCGCGCGCCGCGGGCCTGCATCCGGGCGGGCGCCCGCGCCTTGGTCCAACCAAAGCCGGAGCGAGGCGCCACGAGCTGTGCTGGAAGGTGTGCGCCGCTAGTCCAAAATCTAGACGCCTCCTGCCGTGGTGTGTGTGGATCGTCGTGAAGTGCAGCGACGAGCCTCCGCCGACTAAGTTTGCGTCCTTGGCCTTCACCGAGGTTTTGCCGGCGGAGCTCATCAGGGAGGCCAAAAGAAAGAAAATTCGATGCTGTGGATATGATCACTTGCTTGCGTCTCCTCCTCCCTTGCGTTGTGTGTTTTCTTTCTTTCTTTCTGCTTGCGTCTGTGTGTGGCGTGTGTGTGAGTTTTTTTGTGAACCTGTGAGTGAGCTGTCTGTCTGATTCAGAGAGAGAGAGAGATTTTTAGCAATACCAAACAACTCTGATTCAGAGAGATTTTTGAAAACCAACAAGAAATCACGACTTGACAGTGATTTGGGCTCGGCAGCTTGTTAGCCCTCAGCCGAAGCTGGGGCCGGTCCCGTAGCCGAGAGAGCCCGCGCCGATGAGTTCGACGCGGTCGGGGGGCCTGATTGTGATTCAGTGTGAAGTGTGTGTGACTGTCTGTCTGCGACTGACTGCGTGAGAGAGAGAGAGAGTGAGTTGAGTGAGTGACCGTGAGTGAGGATCCCCTCCAGGCGCCGCCGCGCGCCACGATACCCAAGACGCAAGTAGAGCCGACCGATGTTTGACACTGTTGGCATGCTTTTACAAGTCATGTGCGTGCGCCCAGGCAGGAATATGTCAGTCAGGCATTCTTTGGCGGCTCCGCAAGCCCGTCGTCCGGCGCGGGGAGCAGGTCCAGGAGCTCTGCGAGGTCGGCCTCGAGCGCGACGCAGTAGTGGGCGAGCGGGAGGTCGTTCTCGTCGTCACCAAAGGGCACCTAGTGTAGTAGCAAGCCGCTCATCGAAAAGCGCGCGCTTAACCGACGCCAGGCACAAAGCACCTCGAGCTGGACGGCCACGTCCTCGATGCCGAGCAGGATCAGCGAGGTGAGCAGGCAGACGGGCACCTCCACCAGGCCGAGCTCCGCCACGATGAAGGGGAGCAGGGCGAGGAAGGCGAGCAGGGCGGAGCGGAGGATCGCGACGTAGCCCGGCGGGGTGGGCGTGCTGGTCAGCCGCTCGCAGCCCGACAGCGTGCCGAACAGCTCCTCGTCGCGGGCCCCGACGAGCAGCTCCGACGCGAGAAGAGCCGACGCCGAGCCGGCAGGCCCGGCTCCGCCGCCGCCGCAGCCGCGGAGCAGGCGCGAGGCGGAGCCGCGGAGCCGGCAGAGCACGCGCAGCGGCACGTTGCGCCCTGCCGCCCGTGCCGCCTCGAGCTCGTCGACGGCGCGCGCGCCGAGGAGCCGCTCGAGGGCGTCGCGGAGCTGCTGCACCGCGGGCGTCGCCTCCGCCGGGTCGTCGTCGTGCAGCCGGCCTCGCAGGTAGTAGGCGAAGGCGACGCACCAGCCGGCCACCTCGCGCGCGCGCTCCTGCGTCGCCCTCGCCTCCTCGCCTCCGCATCCGTCCGACTGGGCGGCGAGCGTGGCGGAGACGGCCGTGCTGACGATCGAGCGCGAGCTCTCGACGAGCTTGCCCCAGAGTGTGCGGCCCTCGAGCCAGCGCGTGTAGCTGATGTTGAGCCGGAACGCCAGCAGCAGCGCGAGGGGTGTGCCGACGCCGAGCGAGATGTCCGCAGCGACGTCGAGGGTTGCGTATCCGTACTCCGCTCCGAGAAAGGTGACGAGGAGGGAGAGGACCGTCACGCAGGCCAGTGGCTGGTACAGGAAGGGGCGGGAGAGGCGAATCAAACTCAGCCCCGGGAGCCAATGCCGAGCAGTGGCGTGCCCACTCCACTTGTCGAGAGACCCCGCAGCACACCGTCGCTGCTGGAGCGGTATATCTTCCGACTCCCCTGCCCCGCGGAGGAGTGGAGCCGCGCCCCTGATTTCCGTCGACGTCGGCGACGTGGGGCCTTCGTTCAAGGCGCGCATGTGCCCAGAGCCCAGCAACTCCAGATGATGATCGAAAACCTCGCGAAAACGCGGCGCTGTTCACGTAAACGCACAACCCCGGGCCCCGAAATCGCACAGTGATGACAGTGACATGCAACACGGGGTCCCAGGGAAGGCGAGCAAAAACCTTATCGGCGCTGTTCACAGGTGTAACGTGCCTATATGGCCTTCCAGTATCGGACCTTCAAGACATGCGCTTTTGGCCGGTAGCCTTTTCGGACATGGTACCTCCGGTGAGATAGTGGCTGCACCAGTTCGAGACTGGGCACGATCGAACTTGAGTTGTTCGGAGGAGGAATCCGGCCAGCACGGGTACAAAGAGGGGTACCCGGAGAATCCCCAGCTGCGGAAACGTAGTGTCGCTCAAGAGGTGCGATACTGCGGGGGAGTGTAAGGTGCCTATATGGGCTTCCAGTATCGGACCTTCAAGACATGCGCTTTTGGCCGGTAGCCTTTTCGGACAACAGGCCTTGTTATTGGGGTGCGAGGAGGCGAGACGCGGGGGGCACAGCTTGGACAGCAGGCGCGCAAGAAATGTAGGGAACAAAGAGAGGCAAGTAGGGGGGTGGCTCGTAACTGAGGTTCGCCTTCAGAGACAGCCGCCTCCCCGTGTGGTGATTGTTATGTTCATAACGATATACTTGTAAACACGATCGATGCGAGGACGCAAGACCACACCAAACTCCAACGGCCATTCCAACGGCCAGACCGCTCGCTTAAGGCTGATTGGCTAGACGAGCGGTCTACCTCCGACGGGGCTGTTGCAATAACAGAGGAGGCCTAAGCCGAACCCGCCGGGCCGCTGGCGGGGTGACGGTAGACCACCACTGCGACAGCCCCCTCCCGACGGGGACACCACCACCCTCGCCCAGGGATCTCTACAATGCTGTCCTAAAGTCCGACAGGTTCGGCACCGGGCACCGCCTCGGTATACAAAATGCGCCTGCGGGCGGACCCTTACAGATCACAGATCACAGAAGAAAATACGCCATTCGTTCCCACTGGTATTGACAAGAAAATACGTGCTATGGCGCTGCGCGCTGGTCTATGACAAAGCTCAAAGGCCACAGCCTAGTGTCGTGTGAGATGGATTGCGGCACATCTGAAATTCTTTTCCCGTGTTAGTGCCAGTGCGCGCCAGTCCAGTGCCCAGTGTAAAGAAAGAAATCAGACAACCCAAACGAGGGATGGGGGAGGGACGGACAGGGTCCCCACCTGCACGAGCAGGATTTTGGAAGGACGACCAGGGGCACAGGTGGGGCTCTCCTGCTCCTGACAAGGGACACGACAGGCTCGCAGCGCGGTGCACGGTGTGGACTCCCAAACTCCACTGGCGGTCTCATCTCAGTCTAGCGACCTGCCTCCAGCTTCTCACTGGCAGTCTCTCGCTACCACAGGCACACTGACAGGGGTGGCAGGGGCGGCGGCAGGAGTCTCCCACATACATCATACTTATGCGGGCCTCGCTAGAGGTGCGTCCTGTGTGTGTCCTCACCCTTGAGGTCTTGAGGGGGGAGCGGAAGGGGCTGTGTGTCTGTGCATGCATGCATGTGTGTGTGTGTGCGTGTGTGTGTGAGAGAGATTTTTAGCAATACCATTGTGTGTGTGTGTGTGTCACCTCCACCCAAAAGCGGAGGTACATGAGGAGGTCGAAGTGCGATTTCTTTTCCTCGCCGCGAAGAGTGGCTGGACAGCCGGCGAGCCGCACAGCCAGGTGCGAACGCTCCTGTCGCTCCATGCTCAAGCTCCAGCCCGCTTCGCTCGCTGTCGGCGTCGTATTCGGCCTCATCGCCTCGCTCGTCCTCCGGCCGGAGAGCAGCGTGCCCTGTCGTGAGTGCCAGTCGGCTCCCGCCGTGCGTGAGCGGGAAGCGCGGCTGAAGAGCCTCGAGATCGAGGTCACGGCGCTGCGCGATAAGCGAGCCGCGCCGTGCGAGCCGTGCGCTCCGGCGGCCGCCGGTGCGCTCTCCGTCACCGTTGGAGCTGCACGAGCGCCGCCGCCGCCGCTGTCAGCGGGCGCGACGCATCACCGTTGGTACTGGACTGATCTCGTCCTCAATTCGCTGCGGCCGTTCGCGAAGCTCAACGGTGGCATCACGCGGTCGGGCCTGCGGCTGGCGGAGCAGAAGTGCAAGATCTCCACCTGGTGCCACCGCGCGCAGGTCATCGGAGGCCGCCTGTACATCACAGACATCCGCGCCATCTTCTTTGACCGAAACTACGCGATGGCGCGGGTGATGCCGCTGCTGCTGACGCTCAAGGCGTGGCCGAACCTCCCTGACCTCGACGCCGTCTTCTCGGGCACCGACTACCCAATCATGGAGATCCCGCGCGACGCCGCGCACATGATGCGCATGTATGGCGCGAGGCTACCCGCCCTGCCCGCCCTTTCGCCGAACCTTCTCGGAACCGTCTCGGAGCCTTCCTGCAGGCGCGAGGCAAGCGATCCCTCCCGTCTTTTCGCCCACTGCAAACAGCCTCACGCACGACCTGCCGTGGCCGGACTTCTCCTTCTTCCCGCCACGCAGCCGGTGCGGCAAGGCGCGCGCTCGCCGCCCGCCGCCGCCCCGCGCTACGCCGCCCGCCGCCGCCCCGCTCGCCCGCCGGCTGTTGCGTGCCGCCGGCGGAGGGCTGTGAGCGTCACCGTGCTGAGTCAGGCGTGCACCCACCCGCTCAAGACGCCTCGCTGGCAAGAGTCGCACCCGAACCTGGCGGCCATGGGCAAGGAGGTGGGCGGGGAGGCGCGAGAGGGCGGCCCCGGCTTGCACCGCCATCCCGCAGCACCTCGTTCCGGCGGTAGGTGGGGTGGGACGCGAAGATCGACCGCGCTGTCTTCACGGGCCACGCCCAAGCCCTCGGCCAGCGGGTGGGCTGTGAACGGCGCCTCTTGACGGAAACGCCGCGCTTGCGAGTAGGCAACATGAAGACCTCGCCCAACCGGCGAGCGATCTACCACTACGCAGAGCAGTTCCCGGAGCTGCTCATGGTGAACGAGGTCTACATCAAGACGACGCCGCCCTCGTGCTTCGAGGTGCGCGGCGCCGGCCGCGGGGCAGCCTTCTTCTTCTCCCCCTTCTCACGCCCCCTGCCCTCGCCCCGCCGTCGCAAGGTCGGCGAGCCGAACGTGACGCGCGGCGGCGTGCTGCAAAACAAGTGCGGCTTCTCATTCAAGGAGATGTGCCGCTACCGCTACCTGCTCAACGTCGGATCGAACGGGTACGCAAACAAGCTCAAGTGCGCTGCTGCTGCTCACGGCTCCTCTCCTACCTGCTCCCCTGCTGCCCCCCCCCTCACCGCTGCTCCCCTCACCGCTGCTCCCCTCACCGCTGCTCCCACCAACGCAGCCGAGAGCAGCAGCGCGCGGCAGGCGGCGGGTGACTCTCGCCCTAGGTACCTGTTTCTCTGCGGCTCGGTCGTCATTTGGGTGCGCCGGCGGCGACCGCTGCGGCGTGCGCCCTTCGCCGCGTCGGCGCACCGCTCCTCTGCGCCGCAGGTGCGGACGGACTCGCTCAACTACGAGTTCTTCGAGAAGCAGTTCCTGCCGGGCGTGCACTACGCGGCTGCCGACACGGTGGACGACGTGCCGGACGTAATCCGCGAGCTGCAGCGCGACCCCGAGTATGCCCGCTCGCTCGCGCAGCGGGGGTTCGAGCGGATGCTGCAGATGGACACGGCGGAGGTGACGCGCTACTGCTCAAGGGGAGCCTTCCAGGACATGTCCATGACACGTCCGCGACGTGTCCCGAGGTGACGCACTACTGCTACGAGATGCTCAAGGGGTACGCAGCACTGCAGCGCTTCACGCCGAAGCGCGACCCGCGGTCGATCGAGATCAACTGCGAGGACGACCTGATCCGGCACTACGACCGCGGCCGCGGAGACACGTACGCCGGCGTGCTGCAGGAGAGGTACCTGACGCAGGACAACTCGACCTGCCTCCGCCCGCCGTCGGCCGGGGCGGGCGAACCCCCCTCCCCCCTCCGGCTGCTGCGAGCCTTGCGGGAGTCACGCCGGGCGCCGCGTTGCTCTAGGCGCCGCTCGGTCCGCCGGGGTGGGGTGGCGCCTTCAACGGCACCAAGCCGCCATGCCTCGCATCGCACGACCTCGCGGCCAAAGAGGAGGTGGGGGTCTGCGACAAGGGCACGCCGCAGCACGCGCGCTCCGGGCGGTATGACGGGCGAGGGAGAGCCTCGCGGCGGGCGGCACCGCTCCACACACGCCCTAACTTTGCTGCCGCGGAGACTGTAGGCCAGATTGGGACGTGCCGGAGGCCTACAAGGGCGGCGCGCTCCCCGACTGGACCGACCGAGACCCGGCTGACTCTGGCAAGGGCGCGCGAGTAAACCCCTACAACCCTAACGTCCAGTGCTCCTGACGCAGACGGCCCACGTGCCGTGGTTTTTTGCGGGCCGTGTGCGTTCGCTAGACGCTAGTCGCGTGTGTGCCCGCGATGCGATGTCCAGTTTTGTTGTCAGTGTACATGGTTCTGACCAGCGTCGTGCGTCGCCCAGACGTGGGTGTGCGCGGGTGTGCGGGTCGATCAGCCGAGGATGGATCACAACCGGTTCTGCGCGTTTCTTTTCGATCGTCACATCCTTACCGGGGGGCGGCGCGCGGCGCGGGCGGTGCCACGCCACGGCGGTGTGGAGGACGACAGACAAGCGCTGCATCTGCAGCCCGTGCCAGTTCTTGGTGGTCCATGTGACCTCGTCCAGGTGCTGAGCGTGCGAAAGTTTGTAAAGAGAAGAAAAGAACGTCGCGAGAACGACTAAACCTGATGACTTCACACGTGGCATAACTGGGCACCGTTTCGCTTGGGCCGCGGCCGTCGCCGCATCGCCTGGCGCGGTTTGTACCAAGTGTGGCCTCGGCCCGCATTCCGAATTGACAGCAATGGCTACGAGCGTAGTGCAGGTGGCGGGCAAGGACTTCGACCTCAGTGAGGTCCTTGGCCTCAATGCGCACGGGCTACATGCGATGCTGCGTGCCTGCGCTGAGGGGCTGTGCGCGGCACAGGCCAGCACGAAAGAGCTACGCGCTGAGCTGGCCGCGGTGCGAAAGGCGGCCGACGAGCGCACTGCGAACCTCGAAGCCGCTCTCTCTGATACTAAGGTGGCCGGAAGCTCGCTCGCAGACCTTCAGAGCGCCCAGGCCGAGGCGGCGAGCGCGGCCGAGACAATGCGGCAGCAGATTGGGGCACTGGGAGCCTCAGTTGAGCAGCGTCTCGCCTATGGGGGGCAGGTACTAGAGGCCAAGTTGCAGAGTATCGTTTGTGACCTGAGCGAGCTGAGAGCTACACTCTCGCAGAAGCTCAGCCGCGATGCTCTTGACCAAAGCCTCCAGTCCCTCGAGGAGCGGCTTGGCGCGCTGGCGACGGGCGAGGCGCTCGTGGAGTGCGAGCACCGGCTCACCGAGCGCTTCAACCAGGCTAGCGCCGCATCAATCGAGCGGGCGGAAAAGCAAGCGGCCAGCGCGGAGGCGGCAGCGGCGCGGATGACTCGCCTCGAGCAAGAGAGCCTGCCGCGCCTCCGGAGGGAGCTGCACGAGGAGGTGGCGGCGGCTCAGGTCAAGGCGGCGGCTTCGGCGGCTGCAGCGGAGGTGGAAGCGGCGGCGGCAGCCGAGGGGCTGCAAGCGATGGTCGCGCAAGCAGAGATCCGTTCGGCCGAGTGGCGGTCAAATTTGACCAAGCAAATGAAGGCGCTCTCCGCTGCATCGGACGCGCGCTTCGCGGAGACCACTCGCGTCAGCGAGTCGCTCGAGCGTCGCCTGACTCAGCTGGGGGAGCAGCTTGCCGAGGCGCGCTCCGAGTCATCCGAGACCCACGTCGCCATGCGCAAGCTGCGCTCGGACTCCAAGGCGGCTTGGGAGCGAGCGGCCTCGGCAGAGGGCAGGGTAGCTGAGCGCCTGGAGAGGGCCGAGTCCGCTCTCGGCAGTCATGGCACTGAGCTTGAGAAGCTGAGGAAGGAGGCTACACGCCAGGACCAACTGCGTCTCGAGCAGCACGAGGCCTCCCTTGAGGCGTGTGAGGAGGCTCGGCTCATCGCGGGCAGCGCTCTCGACAAGACTGAGGCTCTCCGAGTCGAGGCAGCCGGCCGGCTTCAGATGCTTCGCCAGCGGCTGACTCGGGCGGAGAAGGAGATGCTGCGTCAGCTCGAGGAGTCAGCACCGCTCGACTCTCCGGATGCCTACGCCGAGCTGAGCCAGCGCATCGACACCAAGGCCGACGTGGACGCGACGGAGCGGTGGCTTGAGGCGACACAACAGCTCGGCGCGGAAGTGACCGCAATGCACGCCCGCACAGCGACGCTGAGCAACGGGCTGAAGGTCCTGATGCGCTGGGTCGAGGGGATGGCCGACCGCGTGACAGGCGTGCAGGGCACGCAGCATTCCCTCCAGAGTGCCCTCGCCGCAACTCGCGAAGAGGTCTCGCACAACGCAGAGGTGGCGCACGCCTCAGCCCAGGGCGTCGCGGGGCACCTGCGGGCGCTCCTCGCGACGATGGACGCAGATGCTCGCAGTCGCTCGGCGACGCGTGACGGCTATTTTAGCCCGCATTCCGCCGGTCCGCCCAAGACGACGCAGCAGTTTCCACCCTCGCCCGCCGCTGCCAGCCCGCGTGCATGGAGCCGCGCGCAAACAGCACTCAAGGAGGCCGCGCGACTGCCGGCCGAGCCGATGGGCGGAGGCGGCGCGTCCGCGGTCGCGACGGGCCCGGTGGCTGGACGGACCGCGCCGCCGACACCGCGCGGAACGAGCGCGGCGGCAAGTGCGGCTCGCAAGGCGCTTGAGCAGGCTCCCATACCCACCCTGAGCCAAGGGCTTGATCTTGTGGTCCTGCGAGAGCCAGCCAGGGGACGGGCGGCGCAGGCCATGCCATCACCGTCACCGCGACATGACCGGCGGAGCGGCAGCCCGCCGCGCGTGTCGCTCGACGTGGCAACGGTCGGCGCGACGATTCCCGGGTCGGTGCTGGCGCCAGAACGCGGCAGCAGTCGGCCATCCTCCGCAGCTACACCAAGGAACGAGTGCGAGCGGCGGCGAGCGGACCTCGACGCAAAGCGCCGGCAGCTTGTGGAGACGAGGCTGCGGCCCCACACGGCGCGGGCACAGCCCTCGCGCCCGATCGCCACGTCCTGATTGGTGCGAAGCGTGTGTGCGAGTGAGCCGAGCGAGAGTGTGTGGGGGGTGCGCGCGAGGTTGTGCGGAGAAAGACAAAGGGCTGGCCTGCGGGGTGCTCCGTCGCCATGCACACCTCGCGTTTATTCTTCCTGCTCCCGACCCCTTCTGCGCGATTCAGAGAGTGAGGGGCACGGTTCGGGAGAGTGCGGCTGTCTGAATTTGGGAGTAAAATTCACTAGATCTCAACTCGACAGCTGTGCACGGCGGTCAGAGTGCAGGCGATGAACGCCGTCTCAAGCGTCGCCGGCTGCCTTTCCCGCGTCCGCCAGGCGCTTGAGGTTGGCCCAAACGGTGGCAACCCGGAAGAGCTGCGCACGCTGCGAGCAGCCGTCCTCGCGCTCGAGCGGTCTAGCGTGTCGCACGATGACGCGCACGAGCTACGCTGCCGCTCTCACGAGTCCTTGAAGCAATGTGCTGCTCTCCGTTGTGACGATGATGACGACAAGGGCAGCGCCCAGCAGGCACGGTTTCGGGCGCTGTGTTTGGCAGTGTACGAGAAGCTCGGCAGGGTCGACGAGAGCGAGGAGCAGTGCGCCATCGCAAAGGAGTGGCTCAAGGTGGCGACCACGTTCATGGTGGTGGACAACCCGGGCGAGTCCCGCTGCTGCCTCGACGCGGCATCGAGCCTCTTGGGCAGGGCGCCACCCGAAGATCCGGCGGTGATCGAGGCGCGGTGTCGACTCAACGCCACGGAGGCGCAGCTGCAGTGGATCCTCGGCCACCCGCGCGCCACGATCGAAGTCCTGGAGGACACGAGAGCCTACATGGACTCTTTGAACGGCCGCTGCCCCGCGTCGGCCCGGCTCTTCCTGGCCGACAACGTCGCGCTCGCGCTCGCGTCCGCCGGCCTGCAAGACGAGCAGGAGGACGGGGGCGACGCCGACGGGCCCACAGACCGCCGTCTTCTCGTCACGCTGACAGACCTCTCGATCACGCTGCTTGGCGAGAACCACGACAAGATCTCCCTGCGCGACCGCGCCGTCCGTCTCAAGGCTTGGCTCTTGATTCAGGAGGACGAGCTCGACGCGGCGGCAGAAGCCTTGCAGGGCCACTCTGCGGCGCGTCAATCGGGCGACGCCGGGGACCCTTGCGACGGCGGCGCCGGTGATGAGCACCCAACGCACATGCTCCTGCGCCTGGCGCTACTTCTCAAGACGTCGCAGGAGGACGAGGCGAGGCGGAGGGCGGTCAAGTGGGCGGCGTCCGACCGGACCTTGAGCTTCGAGAGCATCCGCGACACGTCCGAGTTGCTCTGCCAGCACAACTGCGGCTCGGCGGCGCTCGAAGTGGTGAACGCGATCCTCAGCGGCCGCCTGGTGGACGGCGCGTCGAGCGCGCTGTACTCAGACGTGGTGGAGCTCAAGCACCGTCTCCTGACGCAAGGGGCGCAAAGCGATTCTGCCGCCGCAGCCGAGCATCTGGAGTTTGTCATCGACGGCCACAAAACGGGCAGGGCACCAGCGACGCCAGAGGCGCTCCAGCGGTTCGCCAGGAAGCTGTGGCATGCCGGCTGCCTGCACGCCGACTCGGGGGAGACCCATCGCGCCATCGAGGTGCCCTCCTCCTGCTGCTCCGCCGTGTATGTGTCTCCTCTGCTCACACGGCTGCTCGCACGCGCCGCGTCAGGTTGTCGAGCAGGCGAACCGCTTTCTTGAAGCGTCGGGCGACGACAACAGCCAGCTCATCACTACGCTCGTCACGCTGGCTCACTTCTACCTCAGCCAGAACCTCTTCGACAAGGCCGTCGCGCGCGCCGCTCGCGCCCTGCAGCTCCTCCGGCAGCACCACGAGCCCTCGGCGAGCAGTCAGGAGGAGGCTGCCCGACGCCTCTTCAACCCCGACGCCTCGATCCAGCTCGTGGGCGACAACAATCCGTCGGCACTCGCTCACATGGTGCTCATCAAGGCCTACCTCCAGCTCGGAGAGACGGAGCAGGCGCTGCACCACGTGGACGGGCTGTTGAAGGGCGAGCTGCGGCAGGACCACCTACTCGTCGCTGCGATCTGCGAAGACGTGGTCGAGATCCACCCCGGCGACAAGTCCATCGTCATCAAGCTGATGGAGGGATTCATCGCGCAGCTCGACAACGCCCCGCCTAGCACCGGCGAGCGGAACAAGCTCGCGGGGGCCTTGCGGACGCTGATGACGTATCGCGAGGAGCAGTCCGCCGCCGCCGGTGGTGCGGAGGCCTCGGCGGCCCGCGGCATGATCCTCGCCGACCTGAACCTCATCGTCAAGCGCGTGCGCACGCTCGGTCTGTCGGCGGTGTGCGACGACTCGAAGCACATCGAGTGGCTGGCAGAATGCGCTTGGCGACAGGGAGTCGCGTGCGCGCGGCTCGGCATGAAAGACTCGCCGGCCCGTTCCGGCAGCGACGAGGCCGTGGCGGCGCTCACAAACGCAGTCGAATTTTGCAAGTTGCACTGTTCGCTCAAGCAGTCCCTGTCAGCCACCGACGAGCGCTGCCTTGAGATGCTGCGCGCGCATTCCGTCATCGTGAAGTGCTGCCTGCGTCTCCACGACAGTGTCGTGCCGGCCGAGACGTTGATGGGCGCCGCTGCACCGTCGCCCCACCTCAAGAGCGCCGCCGACGCCATGGAGGCCGCCTTCCGGCTGAAGCAGCGCTGCCAGCCCGCAGAGATTGCGAGGCCCGCGTCTGGCGCTGCCCCCAGTGTCGCCCCGCAGCATTTTGATGCTGAGAAGAGCTGCCTGCTCCTCAACTTCGAGCTGGCCGTGCGCCGAGATGACCGCGCGAGCCTCAACACGACCCTCTCTCGATGCGTGGAGCAGAGCTTTGGCGTCGACAGCTTCCTCATCATGGCCGAGCTGTCCAAGAGGCAAGGCAACCGCTTCGCTGAGAAGGCCACGCTTGGCGAGGCGATGAACCAGCTACGGCGGGCGGAGCCGTCGGACTACGCCACGATGGGGCTGGTCCAGCGCAAGATGATCCACAGCTGCCTCGATCGTCGGGAGCAGCTGCCGCACTTCCAGGAGATGGCGGAAGTGCTCAGCTCCCGCTTCTCATCCGCCAACTGCCCGCTCGAGGCCGAGACCCTGCAGTGGTTCCTCGCGTCCTCGTACAACCAAGCCGTCGCCTATTTCGGCGACAGCGAGCACGACCTGGCCGAGAGCTGGTTCGCCGTCGCCTTTCAGTTCATGCACGTCTCGCCGCCGCAGCTGCAGGCCGTGCGCGACGATCTCATGCACTCGTACGAGCTGGTTCTGAAGGAGGTTGACGCAAAGAGCGGCCGGGACGAGGGTGACAGCTCGTTCTACCGCCGCATGCGAGCGAGGGTCACAGCGCCGTCCCGCGAGCCTGACGTCGAGAGCGACCCGGCATGAGCGTCCCGCCTCCCGTGGTGCTCCTGACCTCGCTGGGCACATGTCGCGGGTGCAGCCCTTGCCCTCGCCGATGCCTGCCGACCCCTTGCTCGAGACGCGCAGCCAGGCCGAGCCGAGCGCACGCCGCCCTCGCGGCCGGGCAGAAAGCGAGGCAGCGCCGTGCAGGCGAAGCGAACTCGCCCCTCGGTCGCATACGTGTGCACTCTTGTGTCTGCCTGCTGACGCGCGGGCGCCATTGAGCATTGTCCTCTGGCTGAGTGACTGCTGTGATCAAGCGAGCGAGCACAAGTGAGCGACGGTTCTGAACCTGATTGATACTGACTGAAGTTCTGAACTCACTCCGTCCGTCCGTGATCCGTGTGAGATTGATTGTGTCGTGGGCGAGACTGAGGGGGTGCGTGGGAGAGGGGGTTAGCAGGAATAGTAGGAAACAGTATAGCAAGCGGCCCGGCACTCTCAGTCAGATGTGTGAACCTCGGACGAAACACGGCCCGTGACACCCCACAAGTTTCGATTGTGGAGGAATTCACCGCGGAATTGACCTCCCACCAAAGAACGCCTTTTGATATGCACCGCGCGGTTTCATTCCTGCTCCTAGCCCTGGCGTGCGCCTTCACGGCGGCGGCTCAAGTCACTGGAATCCACAGCAAACCGCTGGTTAGCGTTGTGCTCGTGACATGCGGCCGGCCTGAGTACCTCAAGCTCGCGCTCGCGCAGATCCACGAGCAGTCGTACCCAAACCTCGAGGTGGTTCTGGTGGTGGACGGCACACCCGTCGATTTGAGCCGCGAGCCGAGGCTCCACGTCCACCCCGCGTCCTCGTTCACGACCCCATCCTCCACCAATCTCCTCGACGTGCGGGTTGTCCAGTTTGACCATCGGGCGACAGTCGGCGAGAAGCGAAATGCAGCTGTGCTCACTGCACGTGGCGAGATCCTGGTGCACTGGGACGACGACGATCTGTACGACCCGACGCGGATCGAGGCCCAGATTGCCCCCCTCCTCGACAACACAGCGCGCATGAGCGCCCTCGTCTACTCGCACGCGGCCGCTCATGCGGCTGACGGTCCTCCTCAGTGGTACTCTGTCAAGAAGAGCGGCGCGGCGCAGGTGATGCCCGCCTCGCTGGCGTACAAGAAGAGCTCGGCGCTCGCACTCGGCCTGTTCCCCAACGTCTCCCTCGGCGAGGACATTGGACTCATCCAAGCCGGCCTCTCGAGCTGCGAGCAACTTGCAACGGCGCGCGCATTCACCAAGCTCTGTTGCTCCTGCCACTCTTCCGCTCGTTGCTGCCCGCTCGCAGCCCTGCTTGAGCATGTAGTCGCCTCGCCCAACGGCTTGAAGTGGCCTCGCCCAATCCGCATGTGCTGAGTGTGTGTGGTCTCTCGCATCAGGTTGCGGTCCCCTCCGTCTACACGCGCCATGGCGGCCACGCCGGCAACACTTGGCAGTGGGCAGAGGACAGGTCGATGGAGTCGCACGGCTTCGGCGCGTCGGCCCGCCCGCGCTTCGTGAGCGACGTGCTCCTTCAGGCCTACATGGCGGCCGAGGCGGACACATCGACGCGTGGGGCATGCGACGTCGTCGCGCGCGAGCTGCCAACCTTTACCGAGCACACTTTCCCTAAGCTGCCTCCCCGCTGCTGCGAGGGCTCCGCCGACCCCTCCCGCTGCCTGACGAAGGCCGAGGTGGAGGGGCGCGCGCGGCGTAGGCTGCAGTACAGCTATGCCTACGGCGAGCAGGATCCCCACCTCCACTTTGCCCACGGGGGCCGCGCTGACTTCCGCGGCCGCGACAACCAGATTTACAACTTTTTGTCTGCGCCCAACCTGGCGGTGAACGTGAAGACCGAGGCGGCCTCCTTCAAGCTGCACGGCGGCAAGCTGACGGTGGACGGGTCCTTCATGACTGAGGCGCACATCGTGGCGCGCGTCGGTGGGACGAAACGCAAATGGGCCAACGTCTCCTTCTGGGCGTCGAAGCTGAACGACGCGAACTGGGGCTGGCGGATGATCGGCGGCTCGTGCGGCGGACACCATTTCAACCTTGGTCCTGGTGGCGTCAAGACGTGTGAGGAGCTGAGCATCAAGGTCGACCTGTCGAGCGCAACCTTCTCGCTCGGCAACTGGACCATCATCGCTCGCGGCAACGCCGTCTACGACCGCCTCTCCGGCCCAACGCACCGGCTCGACGTCGACTTCAAGTCGCACGGTGATGCCGCCGCGCGATCCCTCCCCCACGGTATTGTGGGGCAGTCGTTCTCCTGGTCGAGCGCGAGGAACGGCAAGACGGACGAGTACCCGGCGACAGGCTACTACAAGACTGCAGCCATGGCGGAGGGCGCCATCCAGGGCGAGGCGGCCATGTACGAGGTGCTGGGACCATACGCGACGCGCTTTGCCTTCTCGCGCTTCGACGGAGAGGAGCAAACGGTCTCGCCGGCCTCACCGCCAGTCTTTGGCGACGCCTCGGCCACAGACTGAGCGCAATCCGACGTCCTTGGCATGTCGCCACCAAGCAGGAGCAGAGGCGGCGGCAGGGAGAGTGGGGACTCAATCGACCATCAAGCGTTCTCGCTGGAGCGCTGCAAGCCACGGTGAAAAGAGACAACGCGCCGTGAGTGGAGTCCTGCGGGTGCACTGCATCAGGTTCAGTAAGAGGTGACCCCACTTCGGGCGCGGTGTTCATAGAAGTCAGCGCGAGAACTGATAAGTGTAGGTTGTGGGGAGGTATTGTGCGAATGTGTGCGAATTCCTCTACGAATCCACCTCCATTCTTTTTTCGGCTCCGGTGGTGTACCTGTGTTGGTGCCCGTGCGCAAATGTCCCGTGCCCAGTGTTGTGCGCGAGAGGTGGGCAAATTCTATATTTCTTTCTCTTCCCCGCGCATATCCGCGGCACGACACTTGGGGTGGTACCCACCACCACCTGTTCCTTTTTACCCATCTCACAGTGGTACCACCTGTGTTAGTGCCAGTGCGCGCCAGTCCCGTGCCCAGTGTCGTGCGAGGTGCTCCGTTGTAAAATCTTTCCGCGCAACGTTCTTTCCCGTGTTAGTGCGCAGAGTGCCGCGCCAGTCCCGTGAAAGAAAACAGACAACCCAAAGGGAGGATGTGGGAGTTAATAAATAAATAGAGCAGACATCTCGGGATGGGAGGACGGCACTGTTAGGTGCCTATATGGGCTTCCAGTATCGGACCTTCAAGACATGCGCTTTTGGCCGGTGGCCTCCTCGGACATGGTACCTCCGGTGAGGTAGTGGCTGCGCCAGTTCGAGAACGGGGCCGATCGAACTTGAGTTGTTCGGAGGAGGAATCCGGCCAGCATGGGTACAAAGAGGGGTACCCGGAGAATCCCCAGCTGCGGAAACGCAGTGTCGCTCAAGAGGTGTGACACTGCGGGGGAGTGTAAGGTGCCTATATGGGCTTCCAGTTCGGACCTTCAAGACATGCGCTTTTGGCCGGTGGCCTCCTAAAGAAAGAAAGAAAGAAAACAGACACCCCAAGGGAGGGATGGGAGGACGACCGGTGGCCTCCTCGGACAGGCACGCCGGGCTAATGGAGCACTTGGAGTGCAGTCATTAACCTGTCATTAACCGCACATCCAGGGCCGGGGGGCTAAGAAGCACACCCAGCGGGCCGGATGATTGGCATCGGGTTACGGGCTAGAGAGCCCTAGCCCTGGGGGGTGCGCGTTCGCAGGGAAAGGGCCGTAAAGTAAACAAACACGGTCTCCGAGGGTTGGCTCTGCGCTTTGGGTTTCCCCTAGCTGCGGAACGCCCCCTCTACTCGGAGCTAATAGACACCAACGTAACACGACGACGCAGCCGACATCGCCGCGTAGAACCCCGAGGGGGCGATGGCGGAGTCGCGGAGAGGGCGGCGGCGGAAATGGTGGTGGCGGAGAGGGAGGCGGAGGTGAGGGCGGAGAGCTTGGTGGAGGTGGAGAGGGCGGTGGTGGGGATGGTGGTGGCGGAGAGGGTGGTGGCGGGTGCGGCGGTGGAGGCGAGGGCGGTGGCGAGAGAGAGAGAGAGAGAGAATTCTTGATACGAAACCACGACGACACACACCAGTCGACTCGCATCGGTTGCCTCCATGAACGGCGGAGCTATTCTCGCGCCCACACCACACCTGGCTCCAACGTGGACACGCCCATAGCTGGGGACACTACTAGGTCACGCATGGCATCACAGAAGTTTTATCTCTGGGCCCCGAAAGGCATCTCTAGCAGTGTCGTTACGCATGCCCCCTCCCATCCTGGGCGCATGCGCCTCACGTCTCGCCAGAGCATAAGCCCTTGGCGTGTGGCGAGACGAGTTTTTCGCCATGCAGCGAGCAGCAAGCCGCCCGCCACAAACAGCCGGAGGCATCGCCACGGCACTGGCTGCGCCGCGCTCCCGCACCCGTCGACGAAGCTCCCCCCGCGGAAGACCGCGCGTAGCGACGCCTTGACGATCGAGATGAGCGCGCTCGAGGCTCGCCCACCTACTGCCCCTGAGAGTTGGTTATGAGTGGGCTCGGCTCCCCCCCTTGGGATCGAAGCTTCCACGACCTCACACCCAACACCACAGGTGGGATCAGAGAGAGACTCCGCACCGGACACCGCCCGGGCACAGACTCCCTACCCATCGGATCGCACAGGGCCCCCTCGGAGCAGCCCACACACAATCACGCATCGGCAGAATTAGTGCCTGAGTCAGGCAGACAGCACAGACAAGGAGAGGAGAGAGAGGAGAGAGAGAGAGAGGAGAGGGGAGAGGGTGAGGGTGTGTGCACACGTGTGGAGAGGGAGGGTGTCTGTGGTGGGCTGTAGTCGTACTACGTGGTTAAAACCACGCGCCCCTCAGGAGCTTAAGGTAGAGTGGAGCGTCCCAGACGCCTCGGTGCCTCCCACCGGGTGAGACCATCCGGATCTACCGGGCGCGCCTCCGGCGGCCCGTCCCCGCGATGGCCCACGGTCCTCCGTCGCCTGGTTGAACCCCCTGCCTCCCGGTTGACCCCCCAGATGTCGTAGTCTATCATGAAATAAACTCAAAGTCCACCAGCCACCAGCCTCCACCTCCACCATCGACGCCGCCACCGCTGCCGCCCGCGACGCCGGCCGCCGCGTCGGATTGCCGCGACACGCGCCTCGAGTCCAGTCGGAGAGCCGCGCCGCATCAGCAGCAGCATCAGCACCAGCACCACCAGCACCACCAGCACCACCAGCACCAGAGAGAGGCGCAACCTGCCCGACGCCGCCGTGTCAGCTGCTCCCGACGCGCGTCTCGAGCCGAGTCGCAGAGCCGCGCCGCGCCAGCAGCAGCATATGCAACAGCATCAGCAACATCACCACCACCAGCAGCACCAGAGAGACAGTGCAGTGTGACAGCAGCGCACAAGCGCTCGCAGAGCGGCGCGCAGCGCCGCGCACGCCACGCCGCGGGCGGTCCGACGAGCGCAGCGTACGTCGGCCGCGAGCCGCGTCACCAGCCGTCTCGCGAGAGAGCGGCGCCGCCGCGTGCGCGCAGCAGCCGCCGCGGCAGAGGCGAGCCGCGGCGACGTCCGCACTAACGGATAACTGCCATTGGCGGTTTTTCTCTCTCTCTCTCTCTCTCTCTCTCGGTGGCGGAGACGGCGGTGACCGCGGAAATACTTCTTGCGCGCCTCCACTCTACAGCGCGACGCTCAGCTTTGCTCTAGGCTTTCGGCCCCCGGCCGCTCCATGTTCCTACAGCTTCTCCTCGTTCTGGCCAACGACGCACAGGATCGACTCCGGACCAGCGACGCGCAGGACCGCTTCCGGTTCGCGGTGGACTCGCAGCTTGAGGCGGTGGTGGGCGAAGCCGCAGCGAGCGGCCTCACCGACAAGGAGGCGGTCGTCGCGGCCGACGCGGACGCCGCCGCGAACGCGACGTGCTGGGAGCCGCTGCCGGGTGGCCTGTTTGGCAACGCGACCGAGTCAGGAGGCTACAACAAGTTCGTGCTCGTGCTCGTCGAGGGCTCCTTCCTTGGGCTGATTGGCCTCGACCGGCTCTACCTGGGCCAGCCTTGGACGGCGGTACTCAAGGGCCTGACGTTTGGCGGCTTTGGCGCCATGTTCTTTGTCGACTACTTCAGCGTGATGGCCAACGCCGCGGCGCTGGACGAGGGCATCCCCGGCTCCTTCTATGCCCAGACGCTCACGGTCGAGTGCAATGCAACGGCGCCCGCCCTCGAGTACCTCTCGTCGTGCGAGCCGGTTTCGCACGCGCACTGGAGCGACTGCAACCTGCTCTTTGCGAGGTACGCCGCGCTCGCCTCCACGCTCGGCGGCGCGGCGCTCCTGTACAAGGGCGGCTGGCACGTCTTCAACAAGCTCTTCGACGCGATGAGGTCGGCGGCCGACAACGCAAAGGCGCTCGTCTGACCCGCCGGCCCAGCCGCCGCGCATGGCGCAGTCGCCGCCGGGCGTGCACGCGAGGAGAGGTGCGAATAGACAAACAGATTAGACGGGAGAGGGAGGATAGCCTGTATGCAACAAAGAAAGAAAGCAAGCAATTCGCGTTTCCCTTGACCGGACGCCACTCTCGTGTAGAGAAAAAATTGTAAAAATTGACTTGTGATTCGCGCTCGGTTTCTGGGTCATTGCCGATTGCCGGCCGAGGGAAGCAGCGTCCCAACTCGCTTCGGCCCCATGCCATACTTTCCCAGCGAGGAGGAGGTGCAAAAACTCAAGGCGTCCGCGCGGTGCGATCAGCCGGGCGACGACTTGAACAGCGTGCCCTCTGCCTGCCGCTTTCGCTGCTCCTCGCACCGCCTTGGCGACGGGACGTGGGGCCAGGTGTTTGCAGGGCGCCGCAACGCCCGCGGAGCGGCCTCCGAGTTCGCCGTCAAGGTCATCTCACCGTCTCGCACGCACAACACCAGCTTCACGCCCTCCCAGCTCGTGAAGTCCGAGGGCTACGTGATGGAGCGGCTCGGCGACCATCCGAACATTGTCAAGCTGGTAGCTCATGGCCCTGCCGCCTCGCTCTTCGCGTCGCCGAAGCGCAAGTCGCTCCTGCGCGCCCCGTGGAGCGATCCTGCACCCTCTCTGACTGGTGCGCACTGCCTGGTGCTCGAGCGCGTCAGGGGAGGAGAGCTGTATGCGTTTCTCTCCAAGTTTGAGAGGGCGCACGGGCACCCGCTGCCCGAGGAGACTGCGTGCGAGATCTTTCGCGGGATCGCCGCCGGCCTGGCGCACTGCCATTCGTGCGGCGTCGTGCACCGGGACCTCAAGATCGAGAACGTCCTCCTCACCAACGACGGAGTCAAGCTCATCGACTTTGGGCTGAGCCACGCCCACAGCCTCGACTCGGACGGCTCGTGGGCCAACGAGCAGCTCCTCGATATCTGCGGCTCGCACGGCTACATCGCACCCGAGGTTGTGCTCTCGCGCGAGCCCGGCTCGGGCTACGACTCGTACGCCGCGGACGTCTGGTCGCTGGGGGTCTGCCTTGTGGCGATGCTCGGCGGCTTCCTGCCCTTTGCAGCAGACCAGCGGCGGTTCGCGAGTCAGGTGAGGGTGCTGCGGCACGCCGAAAAGTTGGGCCGATCGGCGACGAGAGCCATCTTTGGCTGGTCACCTCGGTGGTGCAATCTCTCCGTCGGCGCAATCAGCCTGATCGATTCGCTCCTCGCCCTCGACCCTCGCGAACGGCCCTCTGTTGCCGCGGTGCTCCAGCACCCGTGGATCAGCAGCCACAGCCATGGCGAGGAGTGCGCAATCGAGCGCGAGGGACCCACCTCGCCGATAGGAAGCCACGACCTCGGCAAGCGATCCGACTCGCCACGGTCAATTTTGGAGTCGCTCGATCGAGGCTTGTGACAAGCGAGCGCGTGGTTCTGATTGACTGCCTGATGAGTCCTTGCGGACACCACGTCTCAAGGTCTCATGCCACGTCTGCACATTTCATTTCTTGTTCACTACGTTTGTCCATTATTGCAATAGTGTTCTTTCTACCGAACCGAAAGAGAGAATCAGAGAGAGAGAGATGTTTTGTTAGAATCAGAGAAGTCACAATATCAGTCACAAAATATCCACACGCAACCGAAGGAGGAGACAGTCGTCCCGCAGCACCTCCAGCCTCCAGGGCGGCAGGCCCGGCGCCACAATGACAAGCCAATGCGAGCAGCTCTTCCAGCCGCGCTGCTGAATCACCGAGGCGCCACTCCTCCAGCTGCCAGTCAGCAGCGCGGCTGGCCGCGTCGCTAATGGGCTGCAGCATGCGAGCCGCGCGATCGTAGAATAGAACGATCATGCGTGCCTTCGCGGGCGTGCGCCCTTCGAGCGCGGCAGGTCATTAAAAAAACAAAAACTTTACCGCCCACGCTTCGCCGAGCGGCGGCGAGAGCACTTTGAGGACAGCTCCACATCCCAGCCTCTCGCATCTCGCACAGGTGAGGCCGCCGCGCAGCACCCACGTCATTCCCCTGCGCCACGTTTCTCCGGAACACCGCTTAGCACTCGCGCGAGCGGACACGGTGCTCGCGGCCCTGCGCTCATGACAGTCACTGCCCTCACCCACCCTCGCTGCCCACGACGAACAGGCGTCACCAGCCGCCACCATGTCGATCAAGGCCCGCATGGCGGCGTACCAGGCGTCCTTGGCTGAAGACTCCAAGGATGTTCCCACCAGCGCTGAGGTGTTTCTCCCCTTCCCAGCGCGCCCGGACGCCCTCGCCAGTCACAAAGCCGTCATTGCCGCCCAGGTGATTGCGAGCAAGCCGCCCGTCGACGCGCCTCGGACCACCCTGCGTGAGCGGCAGGCGGCGTACGCTGAGAGCACGGCGGCGATCAACGCCGAGCGTGGCGTCGACCCGCCGCCGGGAGGAAAGTCGGCCGCAAAGCAGGGGAGCGAGCCGGCGGCCGTCGAGGAGCCGCTCGAGACGCTGCTCCCGCGCCTCGAGGCGGGCGAGGTCAATGCGGTGGACCTCACTTTCCACGGCGAGCTGACGCGGCTCTCTCAGGCGGCCAAGTCGGAGGCAATCGGCCGGCTGGCGCGGGCGGGCGAGGCCATCGAGACGCTCAAGCTCAACTCGATCGGGCTGGACAACTCGAACGCAGACGCGCTCGCGCACCTGATCCGCGGCAATGCCCGGCTCTGGGCGCTGCAGCTCGAGGGCAACGCCCTCACCGAGCCCGGCATCGTCACGATAGCCGCGGCGATGGACGCGCACCCGAGCCTGACGGAGGTCTCCTTCGCGTCGCAAAAGGCGACCATCTCGACGCCGGCGGTGTCGCGGCTGATCGACGCGATGGAGGCGACGCCGAACCTCATCTCGTGCAACGTCGGCAGCCTGCGCGACGACACGATGCGCCGGCGCCACCAGGCGGCCTGCATGGCCAACACTGACAAGATGCGGCAGCGCCGCAACGCGCAGCGCAAGGCGGAGGGCACCGCCGCCTCGGACGGTGGCGCAACGCGCCGCCGCTCGCTGACGGTGGGAACGACGCAGGCCACGACGGGTGCCCCGACGTCGGCCGCCGCCGCTCCCGCGCGCGGGCGTGCCGTCTCTGAGAGCGTCTCGAAGCGGATGGAGCAGGTCGAGCCTCGCTGAGCCTGGCCGAGCCTGGCCGAGCCTGGCCGAGACTGGCCGAGATTGGCTCGAGGCGGAGGGAGGGGGCCGGCGGGTCTTGGATGCGGAATGCGCGCCCCAGTACTCGCACCCTCAGTGGCGCGCGCATGCTTGCCGCAGGTCGGAGGCTCCATCACGCGCGTGCTGGGCGACGCGACGAGGACAGTCGACTGGCAAGCCGAGGCGGCGCGCATTGGCGCCTCGGAGCCCTTCGAGTACGGCCTCCCGCCAGACACGGTCGACAAGGCCGCCGCCGCCAGCGGCGGCGTCTACACCGCGGCCAACGGCCTGTGGGCGCGCGGCCTCCTCGAGGAGGACCGGGTGCTGTGAGCGGCGTCTCGTGAGCGCTCCACCGCGCTACTGTAGGCGCGCGCGTCGCTCGAGGAGCGGCTCGGCGTCGTGCGGGCGTTCCGCACCAACCGGAGGATCCACACGGTGCTCATGCCCAACCTGGTCCCCTCTGGCACCGACTCGGACACCTTCGCCGCCGCGTGGGCAAGTGTGCTCGAGGGGAACGCCTCCCTCACCAAGCTCAACCTCGAGTCGAATGCCATCCAGACAGACGGCAGCTCTCCCGCCCCTCGCGGTGCGCCCCTCCCCCGCGCCGTCCCTGAGCGCTCCTCTGGACGGGTCGCCTAGGCATCCTCGCCCTCGCGAGGGCGGTGGGCTCGCCGAGCTGCAAGCTGGCCGAGCTGCGCCTCGCCAACCAGCGCAGCACCCACACGCAGGCGGCCGAGGAGGCGATGGCGGAGGCGGTGGCTTCCAACCCGAACCTCCGGACGATGACGCTCAATACGCGCTCGACGCGCGCGCGCGAGCAGATCGAGAAGGCGTTGCAGGCCAACATGGAGACCATGCGCCGACAGCGGGTGGAGGGGGGCGCCGGCGGGGCGGAGGCAGCTGCCGCGGCAGGGAGGGAGGAGGTTGGGGGCGGCCTGATCGCCGTCGAGGAGACGCGGGAGGAGCCGGACGCGCTGCTCGCCGCGCAGCTCAGCCGCGCCAAGCCGACGGCGGTGCGGCGCGCCGCCCACCCGAGGACGCGGAGGAGGGCGGAGAGCGCGCCGGTCGGGACGCCGGAGCAGCAGCAGCCGCCGCCGCCGCCGCCTCCGCGCATGGCCGAGAAGGAGGCGGCCGCGGCACCGCGCGCGTCCGCCGCCGCCGAGGAGGGAAGCAAGGGGGCTGCCGAGGCGGACGGCTCCGAGGAGGTCGAGATCGTCCGGTCGATGACGTGGGCGCCCGCCATGAAGAAGCAACAGAAGCCGGGCTTCAACATCGGCGCGGCTGCGGCCCAGGCAGGGACGCACAGGCTCAACCGGGTCGGAGGGGGGGACGAGTCGCGCTCGTCGCTGCCGTCGCGGACCACCGCCGAGCCGGCGCAGCCCGCAGTGCTCCTCAAGCCGACCGCCTCGGCCTCCCTGGGGGCCGCACGCCCGAGCGACGTCGACAAGCCGAAGAGCGCCATCGACGAGTTCAAAGCCAAGGCGGCGGCGCGAGCGGAAAAGGGCTCTCCGCAGGCGGTGCGCTCGAGCGGCGCGGACAAGCCAAACAGCGCGCTCGAGGAGTTCAAGGCGAAGGCGGCGGCGCGAGCCGCGGGCCTGCGCGACCCGGCTAGCAGCCTCCCGGACCCCACCACCACGCGCGTCGACTCCCCGAGCGCCACGCGCGGCTACGCTCCGTGCGCAAAGGTGGGAGGCGCGCGGCGATCGCCGTCTCGCTCGAGCCCGCGGCTGGCGGCGCGGCAGGCGGCGCTGGATGAGACAAAGGCGTCGGGGCCGAAGGTCTCGACCAAGCTCAGGCAGTGGCCGCCGCCCTAGCGCCCGTGGTTGTGGATGGATTCTCCCGCTGGCCGAGCTGCCTGGTCTCTGTTGCCGTGTGGTGACTGTGGGCCGCTTGCCGTGATGTGTGCGACCTCTCTCGTTGCCGGCTTCGGTGCACCTGCGAGAGTCCGCGAGCAGTTGGTAGCTTCTAGGTGTTCACGTGCTCTCACCCCTTTGTCGGGCGGAGGGTGTGTCACGTTGCTTCGGTGGTGCGTGTGGCGCTTCCCCAGAGAGACCCCATGTGTGCGCGAGTCACATCGTTCGAAGTACAAGAGCGCGCCAATGTGACTAGTGACGACTAAGTGAGTACAGTGTTGACTATCTGTGTATGTGTAATAGAGAGATGTGTACAAAGACACCACACACCAGGCACACACACAGAGGCACACGCACCAGGGCACAGAGCTGTCAGCTCGCTAGCGCGGCGGCCCGCGCCAGCGCCACAGGGGCGCAGTTTTCTAAAAAGCGTTTTAGAGAGCGGAACAGAGGAATCATGAGAGGAATGAATAAATAAATAAATAAAACGGTCAAACTCTGAGACGAGATGGGATTTAGGGACATGTACATGTGTCCCCGCCCTGCACGATCTTGGTGTGAGGGATCTTCAATCCGTGTCCCCTCACCCCTCGTCACAACCCGACACGGAAGAGCGCCAAGAGTTGGGGCTGCGGCTACGGCTGCGGCTACGAGAGGGGCCGGGGTCGCTGAGAGGAATGAGGAAATTGCGCTCTTATACAATTTGAATAAAGCCGTACATCACTCGCTTGCACGTTGCACCTTGCTTTTTTTGTCCCCAGGCGCAGTTATTGTTATGGTGTTATGGCTCTCTGGGCATAGCAGCCCATAACATGTTATGGGCTGCTATGGGAGGGCCGTCCCGGGTCCACGGTGTTATGGCCCGAAGAGGCCACGCCGGACTGCTCGCCGCTGGAATTTTCGCTTCGCGCGCTGCCGCGCGCGCGCGCGCGAGGTAGGTTCGGCATCGATCGCCAAATATTTTCTCTTTTGCCCTCAAGTTAAATTCAATAACATCAACCTGCCTCCTGAGGCTGAGCGATGGCTTCAGATTGCTCAATCAAGACCACCCGCCCTCCCCCCCCCCCCCCCACGCAATTTGCTTCCCGTTTCTAACTCGTACTCGCTCTGCAGCTCTGCACTTGGAGCACTTGGAGTGCAGTTATCAACCTCACATCCAGGGCCGGGGAGCTCAGAAGCGCACCCAGCGGGCCGGATGATCGGGATCGGGTTACGGGCTAGCACGCTTCCCTCCATTTTTAACTTGTATGTCTTTCTATGTCTTTCCCGCAATTTAACTCACGTCCTTTTTCTTTCCTTTTTCCACTCATGTCTCGAGGTTTCTAAAAAGTGGAAGCTGGCTGCTCCCGCTTTTAGTAGTTAAAGCTCCGTGCGCGCCAGTCCCGTGCCAGTGTCGTGCGAGGGGCACTTGGAGTACTTGGAGTGCTATGAGGTGTTATGAGGTGTTATGAGTGCTGTGAGGTGTTATGAGGTGTTATGAGGTGTTATGGTAGGGTGGGCATAACAGCCATAACAGCGATGGAGGTGTTATGAGGTGTTATGAGGTGTTATGGGGTGTTATGAGCAGCCAGCCATAACAGCCATAACACCTGTTATGGCCGCTCCCATAACCTTGATATTGAGTGGGGACAACTTTTTTCGCGCTCCAGCCCTGAGCCCTCTGCCTCTCGGGTCTTCATAGTAGACCGGAGGGCTACGAAGCCTTCACACTCCAAGGGGGGCTGGATCTATATACTTCGCGGTTTTAGCATTTAGTAATCATGTACACTCACCTCTCCGGCACGCAAAGCGACAGCGCGCCGCGTTCGAGGGCGACGTCCAGCCCCTGTGCAGCATCGTCGTCGTTTGATCCGGCCTGGAGGCACAGGCACAGTCTCGCCGCTTCGCTCACGTTCTCCCGCACACACACACCTCTCTGCACTCTGGTCTGGTCTCCCCCGCCCGCAAAACGCGCAAGGGCCCGGGCCGGCAAGCCGCATATGCGCGCAGGACTCGCCGATCCCCGGCTCACGCACACGCTCCTAAGCGCCGGCACTGCGGGAAAAGGGGAGACGCAGCAGCCAGCGGCGTCAAAACGTGAGATTTTACGTACAAAACCTCGATAACGAGCCTGCCTACTTGCTGGCGATGCCCTTGACCAGCGCGCTGTACTCGACTGCCTTGATCGAACCCGAGTCTGTCAGCTTGATGATCCCATACTTGCCCTCGGTTTCGATCAACAGCGCCTTGTTTCCCTTCTCTTCGCCCGTGACCAAGACGACGGGGTCACCCGCCTTGGCTGGAAAAGCCTGCTGATAGTCGAGAACCTTCTGGCTCAGCTCCTCTGGCGCCGGCGCGGCTTGGGGCTGAGCGCGAGCCAGCGTCTGGAAGGGCAGGCCCGATGGGACAACGGCGGCGTTGCCCACAAGTGCCTGCTGCGGACCGCTGCACGCGAGTAGCGCCGCGGCGACGAGAGGTGCAGCCGAGCTCGCTAGCCCGACCTTCATGAGAATGAAGAAACCGATTTTGCCTCGCTGGCACACTAGGCCGCGCCTGCCCCCGTGCCGCCGGGTGCAACCCGTCCTATACGAGAGAGGAATCCCTGGGACCTGTCGTGTGGGTGAACCCTGCCCAGCCCCCCTCCGTGTCGCGATGCGCTCCCCGCTCCCGTTCCCCTGTGTCCCTGATCGTCCTTACAAGATCCTGCCGTCGTGCAGGTGGGGACCCTGTCCTTCTCCCACCCCTCGTTTGGCGTGCCCGTTTTATTTATTTATTTATTTACTAGGCACGGGACTGGCGCGCACTGGCACTAAGCCACTAACACAGGACGCCGAAACGCGCCACCGCGTGCTTCGAACATCCAGGGGTAGATCTCTCTTGTTCGACCCAAGGGATCCAGATGGAATCCTCGTACCTCGATCTCTCCCCGTTTTGCACCATGTAAGCCCGACTCTTATAAGCTAACAGAAGAGAGAGGAGCAGATAGCAGAGGCAGAGGCAACACCGAAAGTACGCGCAACGTCAGTAGGGCCGCGCCGCGTGCGGGTGCTCCTACTGCGGTCCTGGGGGGTAGTTTGCTGCAACTCCCGAGACGCGGGAGGGGCAGCAGACACCTGCGGCGACGCGCACCCGGGAGGGCTCGGGATCGCCGCCGCTCCGACGGGTGCGCCGCCAGGGAGGTGCGGCGCCACACCTGCGCCGGCCCCTCTGCCACGGCAACCTTGCTCACGGCGGCGGCGGAGGCGGAGGCTCGTCGGGCGGAGGCGGCGGCGGAGGGACGTCGGGCGGCGGCGGCGGCGGCGGCGCGTCGGGCGGCGGCGGCGGCGGCGGCCCGCCTGGCGGCGGCGGCGGCGCGCCTACTCGTGACGCGAGAGGCGTGAGGCGGTTCCGCAGGCGGTGGCGCGGCCTCCGCCTTGCTGTCGCGCGCGCCGCCCATCGGAGGCGCGCCCATCGGCGGCCCGCCCGCGCCAGGGTGGTGCGGGTAGCCGGGCGGCTGGCCAGCCATGCCGGGGTGGTGGGGCGGAGGCATGTGGGGAGGGTATCCTGGAGGTGGGCCGGGCGGCGGCATGCCGGGCGGAGGCCGCGGGCCGTACCCCATCCCCGGGTACCCGGGCGGAGGGCCGGGGGGCGGCATCGGCCCGTGCGGGGGCCTGCCCCACCCTGGCATCGGCGGCCGCTGCGGCGGGCCGGGCGGCGGGCCGGGCGGAGGGCGCGGCCCGTGCGGAGGCATCGGCATCCGCGGCCCAGAGGGGTGGCGCGGCGGGCCGCCCGAGAGGCCGCCTTCTGCCTCGGATCGCATCCACGGCGCCGCCGGCTCGGCCTGCGGCGCGGCGGGGCGCGGACCCCCTCCGCCGTCGAGCTCCGCCATGAAGGACGCGTACTCGGCGTCCATGCCGCCGCCGCCGTTCGGCCCGCCTGGCGGCGGAGGCGGCGGCGGACCTCCGGACGGGAAGGAGCCGCCCGCGCCTACGGGGCGCGTGCCGGACACGTCGCGGATGTGTCCACGAGAGGAGCCCGCCGGAAGGGAGCCGCCCGCGCCGCCCGCGCCGCCCGGCCGGTAGAGCGCGCCCTTGGCCGCCGCGTTGCCCCAGTTTGCGACGGGAACCAGAGCGGCGTCCTCCTCCTTGAGGGTGCCTAGCTCGAGGGGAGGGGGGGGCGGGTCGGGAGGGGCGTGGTGGCGGCGCGCTGCCGCCTCGCGCGCGCCGTTGATGATTGCGAGTTCGCGCATCTGCTTCTCCTTTTGCGCAACCGCGTCCTCCGAGTACGGGTTGAGCACGATCTCGACGAGCGCCTGGCGCGAGGGGAGGGGGCGAGAGGTGCGAGAGGGCTCGCTGGCCGAGACGTCTCGGACCTGTCCCCGCTCGACCGTCTCATCGCCGGCCAGTGTCTAGGCAGTGTCCAGGAAGCGTCTCGGAAGTGTCTCGGAAGTGTCCCGGACCTGCCCCCGCTCGACAGTCTCCTCGTCCGGCCCTTCGATGAGCACGTGCATTGGCTCGTCGTCCTCGGGGCCGATCGGCTTGCCGTCGTGCCTGCCGCACCCCTCCTTGATGGCCCCCTTCCCGCGGATCACGATCTTGCACCCAGACTCGCGCTCCTGACCAAGCAGACGCGGGCGGCGGCGTCGGCGGCGGCGGCGGCGCGGGGCCAGGCGCGTCCTTCGGCCGTGCGCGCCATCCGCTTCTGCGCGTTGCCGCGCGGCCCGATGATGGCGCCGAAGAAGTTGTACCCCGGGTACTTGTCCACCGGCACGATCAGCTTCCGCCAGCACCGCTGCGGCACCTTTGGCTTGAGCGACTCGAGCAGCTCGGCGCGCTCGTTGATCAGCTGCTGCCGCCTCCGCGCCTCGCGCGAGTTGACCTGCGAACGGCGAGGTGTGGCCAGGCGTCGGAGCGAGCCGACGGCCCCCACACCCCCAACCGCGCGGCCCTGAACCTGCGCTCCCGACCGGTCAAAGATGGGCTCGGGCGACGGCGACCGTCCGCCTGGCGGGATGTCGCTCACGCCGCAGTCGGGGAGCCGCAGCAGCAGGTCGATCTGGTCAACCTAGGGAGGAGGGAAGAGGCGGAACCGATTCACGGCCTCGCCGCCGGGAAGGGGGCGAGCGGAGGGCGGCGGCGTCACCTTCTCCTTGAGCTTTGGAAGGCTCGCCTGCTGCTCGCTCGACATGTGCTGCAGCGTCGCGAGCGGAAGCCCGAGCTGCACCGCCAGCTGAATCGGGTCCGTCGCCTCGGCGGGCTTGGCGCCCCACCGGCTGCGCTTCTTCGGCGCCTCCGCCGCCGGAGTATCCGCCGCCGCGGGCGCCTCGCTCTTCCCGGCGCCCCACCGGCTTCGCTTTTGGCGCGGCGCGGGCGCGGGCGCCTCAGCCTCCACTGCCGGCGCGGGCGCCATCGCCGGAGCCTCTGCGGGCGCCTCGGCCGGAGCCTCTGCGGGCGCTGCACCCGTCACGGGCTCCGCCGGCGCCTCCGCAGCCGGCGCCGCCACCACCTCTCCCGCCTCGGGCGCCTCGCCCTGCTCAGACATCGTATGACTCCCAAAAATGACACCAGTTGGAGCTGGGAAGAGGATATGCTAGCAAGATCCTGCTCGTGCAGGTGGGGACCCTGTCCTTCCCCCATCCCTCGTTCTGTTTGCTGTTTTCTTTCTTTCTTTAAGAGGACCGCCGCAAGCGGCGTGGCGTGGAGCGGTTGTGCATCCCTCCGGGGGCCCCTCTGGCTCTGCGCCGGGGAGGGAGGCGTTGTTGGAGGCTAGGACGCAAGCGTCCGTCGCCCTTTTCAAACTCGGGGCCCACTCCGCTAGCGCTACGCTCCGACCCGAATTTGGAGGGCCTAAAAGTTTAAGGTGGCGCCCCCCCTCGTGGCGCGGTCGGGCTTTCCACCCTCGTGGGAAGCCTACCTTTGCCCCTAGCAATGCTGCGAGACCGGAATTTCGGCAGAAGCCCTACAGGGACATGCCGAGGGACGCCGTCGCGGCCCAGCTCCATCCTGGGTGGGGCGGGCGGGCGCGTACGAGACGCGCCACCATCGTGGCAGTGACACGTGCGCGTCGAGGAGCGCGGAACCCGTAACGACCAGACGTCGGTCGGCTACCCGACATAGACAGGCTTGTCTATCGGTCGGATGCTTGAGACATGAGCTAGCTCCCGGGAAAGCCGGGCCCACATAAGTAGGAAGTGGTTTCCCAACGTGTGGGGGCAGTGTGCACAACACCATGGGCCACCGCTGTGGAACATGTGCGTGCCAGTCTGTGCCACCCTCGTGGCGCGGGCCTGCTAGATGTGCATACGCCCTTGCCCCAGGGTTACAGTCGGTGTGCGACCGTCGGGTGTGTCGCGCAAGTATGTATCTGAGGAGTGGGTGGTGTGGGAGGGCCTCGCGAGTTTCGGGAGCGGGGGGTGAGCACATTCATGGATCGGGAGGTGGAGGAGAAATTCACAAAGACGGTACAGGAGGTGTTCGATGACGAGGTGGAGGCCGATGCGGAGAAGGAGCTGAGCGCCTCAGAACGGCTCGAGAGGCTGACGAGGGTGCTCACGCGACACGCTAGGGCGGTGGTCGCGACCAGGAGGGCAAAGGGCGATGACGAAGCGGGCGGAGAGGAGCGGCCCGCGGGAGGCGGGGAGGCAAGCGAGGGGGCGGGTGGCCGAGGGCCGCCACCTAAGTCCAAGAGAGAGAGGCTGCGATGGAAAGTGGCGAAGTGGTTCAGGATACGGCACGAGGTCAAGAAATGGAGCGGCACAATGAGCGACGGATATAGGAGGGAATGGGAGGGAGAGGGCTTTTGGAGGGAGCCAAACCTGGCGCAGCTCTGGAAGGCCCTCGAGGCTCAGCCGCAGCTGGCGAATAGAGAAAGGCGCGCGAGGGCATTGGCGGTCTGTGAGCGCGAACGACGCGACGCTGAACAGGAGTTCCTCCTGTGCCCGCGGACGGGGGGGGAGAAACTCACAGAGGTGATGCAGGAGGTTGCGACAGAGAATAGCGGCAACAATGCCAGGAGAGTCTTCGAGATTCTGAACAAGGAGATGGGCAGAAGAGCGGGCGGGGGGGAGCTGGTTGCGATGTATGAGGGAGGTGAGTGGGTAACCTGCCAGACGACGAGTGCTCAACTGCTCAAGAACTCGGTCCTAAAAGTACGGACGTCCACCACTTGTGCCTGCTTGTAGCGCGCGGCTGTCGTGATCATGCCGCCACAGACAGCACTAGTATGGGCGCCGCAGACAGCGTACCCGCGAGGGCGCCGCCCTCAGCGAGCTTGGTACGTGCGGCGCCGCCAGCGAGCAGTCCGCCTTGGCTCATCGCGTACCTTGGCGAAGGCTGCACAGGTAGCACCGCCGTTGGCCGGCAGCTGAAACAGCTGCTCGAAGGCGAACAGTGGTTGTTAGCAGCAAAAGGGATCAAATGGAGACACCTTACTTGATCTGCCCTCCTGCTCTCGAAGGTATTGGTCTGCGCGTGTGGCCCGGCGACCAGGAGCTGCTCTCGGTGACTCCAGGCGTGACACAAAGCCACACACCACACACACACACACACACACACACACACACGCACGCACACACACACACACACACACGCACGCACGCGCACGCACACACACACACACACACGCACGCACGCACACATAGGACGCACACACCTACGTTGGGTCTCCAACCTAGCGGGTGCAGTCCCTTCTCTGCCTGACGCGGGCGAGGGATGGCCTAGCCTTGCGCGTACCGAGCATGAGTGCCCTCCACTCCTAGGGAAAAATCCGTTCCTCACGCCAGACAAGGGCGTGGAGACCGCCTTCCTCGAGCTAATGCGCGATGCGCAGGATTCGGGACATTCTGCAGTTGTGCTTAAGGTGAATGCGGAGCAGATGACGCGGCACAGGAGCGCCTTGCAGTATGCGCGGCCGTCAGCAAGCAAAGTGGGACTGAGCACACACCAGCGCGCCCGCAGGCGCACCCTCCGAGCCTTCAACGCGTCTGTTTTTGCGATCCAGGTGGCGGCTGTTGGATGGCATAAAAACCTCGAACTCGCCCAATTCACACTCAGCCGGGCCCTGCACCCCCTGCCACGTCACAGCGCGCCAATCTGCTCGACATGCTCATCTGCCAGACGGTGGACTGCTTCTGGGGCCAGGAGGCGAGAGGGTACCCCGCCCACCAAGATGGGGGGCGGAGTAGCCTCTGCTTTGAGAGGCGACGCGCCCGTGGAGAGGGCGACAGTACACGCGCCTTCCTGCGTCCAGAATCGTTGATCGCCAATCTCGAGGCGTTGGAGGGCGCCGTGGCGGGGGCCACCCACCGGCTGCGCGCGGCCTGGCCGGGTGCGCAGGTCTTCCTCACCGAGGCACTCATGGGACACTCCATGCTGCCCACGGGCGCGCACAGCCTGCTTCTCTCGGCACGTGCGTGGGAGCGGGTGATGGCCACGCTCACTTTGCAGCGCAATCGGGGCGCGGGGGCGAGGCACGCGCTGTCTCGAGCGACGGAGACGCAGCGTCGGCGGGAGCGCCAGATCGTTTCGTGGGTGCTGAATCAGACCGCGCGTGTGCACAGCGTGCGGCCTACCAGAGAGAGGGTGGCCAACCCGGGCGACCTCTTGAAGGTGCTGCAGGCCGACCAGCGCTACTTGGTGTTCTGGGTGAGCTGACTCTCAGCTTGACGCAGGATGCCAAAATGGGCGAGAAATGTCCTGTTCCGAGACAGCACAGTACGACACTCGACACAGTCACGTTCGTACACGTTGACGTACACGGCTCTTACCACACACAAAACTGCCGTGAAACCATACTCTGACCCTAGAGGCTAGAGACACTAGCTGATGCTCCTTTTTACCCATCTCATAGTAGAGGTGTCCCGCCGTTTTTGCCTTATCGTAGATACAGCTCGTGCCCTACACCGCGTGGATCGTGGTACGTGTACCGATCGTATCGCCGACACACGGGCGGGGGGCTCTCAGGGACAGCTCTCACAAACTCTAGAGTTCAGCTGTGAGCTGAGAACAGAGAACCCAAAAAATCACCACGACTATCGCGCATCTCCCGCGGCCGCCACTATGGCCACACCGCACACACACACACACACACAATGGTACACAGCACGCAATAAAATAAACCCAGGCAGTTCGCAAACATGGATCAATGTGTGCCCAAACAAAAAATCCGGGCAGCCGACTCGTCGCTGTCGCTGTTTCAGTCTGAATCAGAGCGCGTCCCCGTACTTCTCTTCGACGTACTTGTTGAAGAGCGCCGGCACTCGCGCCAGCCGGTCCAGCTTCTGCTGCTCCGGCCGCGGGGACGAGGCCTCCAGGCCCGCCGCCTCGCCCGCCTGCCGGTCCACTAGCCGGATGGAGCGGGACTGCACGTCGAAGTAGGCCGCCCAAGACGTGCCGCCCGTCTCCTCGCTCAGCCGGTCGAGCACCGGCGGGCAGCGGCTGTTGCCGATGAAGATTGTGTGCACGGCGACGCCGAGGCCGCGCGCCTCCTCGATCTCCCTCCGCATGGTCCGGTCGCCGCCCTGGCCGTCGGTGAGGAAGAGGACGTGCTGGTCGGCGCCTCGCGGGCTCGCCGCGCCGCGCCGCCGGTGGCGAGGGAGGCCCGCCTCGAACTCCTCGAGGATGGTGCGCAGCGGCGCCTCAAAGTTGGTCGTGCCCCCGCTCTGCGCCTCGCCCGAGTGGGCGGCCAGCGCGGCATACTCGCGCGAGAAGAAGCGCCGCCGCTGGTGGGCGCGGCTGTCGGCGGGGAGGAACTTGCGCGCCGAGGAGGAGAACTCGCAGTAGCCCACCTGGTTAGTGGGCGATGGGCAGGGGCCCCCTCGCATCCTAAGCGTGGGCAGGGGTGTTGCCGTGGGCGGGACGGACCGGCATGCGGTGCTGCTTGGCGAGGTCGACGACGCTCGTGCAGACGAGGCCGGCCCAGCGGTGCCACAACCCCTCCATCGAGCTGGAGGTGTCGCGCACGATCGCGACGCGGCCGGCCGCCCCCGGAGAGTGCCGCCGCGTCCTCCGCGGCAGCCTCGGGCTCGGCGCCTCGCACCAGAGGGCCGCCTCCGCCGGCTCGCTCTCGACCAAGTCGGGCACTCCGGGCGGAGGGGCGCGCCTGCGGCAAGGAGCATTGTGTGTCCCGTGAGACACGCGGGCGTCCCCCCCCCCCCCCCCCCGCCCTTCTGCGTCTGCGCGCCAGCCGCGCGGCGCTCCGCTTGGGCTGAGGACGGGCGCCGCCGCGCCGCGCTCGAGGTGGCCTCGCAGCCGGCGCAGCAGCGGAGAGAGGTTGCGTACCTTGTCCTCGCCGGCCGCGCCGCCGCGGGAGGCGTTGGCCTGCGCCTGCTCCTCCCCTCCCGGAGCATGCGCTGAGTCGGCCGCCCCCTCCTCGCCTCCCTTTTGGGCGCCTCCGCCTCCGCTCCCGCGGCCGCTCATCCCGTTCTCCTCTCCGTGCCCGGGCCCGCCCTCCCGCTCGTTGCGCTGCTGTGCTCCGCCCTGCCGCCCTCCTCCCTGTCCCTCGCCGCCTTGGCCCTCGCCGCCTTTGCCCTCGCCTCCGGGTGGGCTTGCAGCCGATCCGGCCTCCCTCTGGCTCTGGCTCTGGCTCTCGCTCTGGCTCTCGCTCCCTCCCCCCTCCCCGCTCAAACCTCCCCCCTCCCCGCCCTCCTCGCCATCGCTCGACCCATCCGCCGCCGCCGAGATCCGGTCCTCGCTGCCTCCGCCTCCACCTCCGCCGCTGTCGCTCTGCAGCCCAGCCGCCGATCCTCCGGCGTCGCCGCTGCCGCCCCGCGCCTCCTCCTCCGCCTCCTCGGCGAGGGCGCGGTCGATGACCTCGTCGATCTTCAGGTGGAGCGGCTCCGGCACGCGGAAGGCGGTGAGGTACCGCACCACGCGCAGGTCGGACGGGTCGCAGACGTGCCTGCCCCGCAGCACCGCGCGCGCCTTCATCACGCCCACCGCCTTGACGAGGAAGGTGCGGTCGGTGAGGAGCAGCCCCGGCGCCGCGGCGCCGCCCTCCGCGTTGCCACCCTCGACGAGCAGCACGAGCAGCCGCAGCAGCACTCGCTTGCACGCCGGAGGGAAGACGACCATCGGGACGAGCGCAGACGCGTCCCGCAGCAGCGATGGCCCGCACCGGGCGACATGCGGCTCGTGGTCGACATCGCGCGGCCCGGAGTAGAGGTCAATCACCTCGGCGCACCCTGCCCAGTCAGCGCTCTGCACGAGCCCTTGCGCACGCAGCTGGAGCGTGAAGCGGTCCAGCGTCGCCGGGTCGAGCGGGTCGCCGTAGAAGCCGTCGTCCGCCACCGGGTTGCCCGTCGCGATGGCGGTCTGGAGCGGGAGCTTGGGGCCGCCGCCCCAGCGGCGCTCGTTGAGCACGCGGAGCAGCACGTTGAGCGCCTCGCCCGGCGCGCGGGAGATGTCGTCGAGGACCGCCAGCTCGCAGGCGAGCACCCCGCCCGGGACGACGTCCTGCCGGATCGTCTCGCGCCCGCCGGCGTCGGTGGAGCGCACGATGACGCTCTCGCCCACGAGCTCGTTGAGCCGCGTGTCTCGGTGGCACTGGTAGATGAAGGGGCGCAAGTCTGTCGCCTTGGACACAATCTCGGAAAGCATCGTCTTGGCCACGCCGGGAGGACCCTCGATGTAGAGGTGTTCGCGGGCGAGCAGCGCGAGGAGGAACGCCTCCTTGATGTCCGAGTGGCCGACTATGTGGTCGTCAAAGCTGCGACGCAGCCTGTCAAGGCCGGGCTGCACCTTGTGCAGCGTGTCCAGCAGGGCATCCACCCTTCCCCGCCACGGAAGGTTCAATCGCGCAAGCAGCGTGGCCGGAGCCGGCGACGTCCGCGTGGCCACTCGGAGCATGGATCAAATTGTCGCCTTCTCTGAAACGGTAGGAAGCAGCCGTCGATAATAGTGGCTTTGCGTCGTGCGCACGGGACTCAGAAGGGAGTACCTCTCTCTCTCAGAAGTAAGATTGCGACCATCGCACAGTTCGCCGACAGTGAAAAGAATTTTACCAGGCCAAGGGTACAGTGAAAGAATTCCGCCCTGTTTTACCCTCTGCTTTCATGGCCAGAGATGCCGTCCTCCCATCCCTCCCTTGTGTTTTCTTTCTTTCTTTCTTTCATGGCCAGAGAACAAAAAGTAAGGGACGGTGCGCAGACTGACAAAGAATTTCTCAAGAATTTATTCTCAAAAAATCCGCGCCCGGGACTGGCGCGCACTGGCACTAACACAGGTGCGGCCCGGGCGGGAGCCGAAAAAGAATTTGTTCGACGAAAGAATGAACAAAATGGGTGCCAGCTCGACACATCATGTTTGAAGAGAGTCGCGATTTCTTGTTTGTTATCTCTCTCTATGTTTGGGATGCCGCCGTGCCTTTCACCGGCTCAACGCCGCGCCCCACGGTTGGTGCAAGCAGGGAATGTTCCCGCTGCTGCTCCGCTGCAGCCTCCAGTCGCCGCGCGGCCTCCGCACCCTCGGCGTTCGCCTCTCGCCCTGCTGCAGCATCCGTGCCCATCTCTGGCAGCTGATCGCCGAGCGCCTCCTCGAGACCTCACAGACCTCACAGTGTGGCGGCCGCCTCTGACAGCGGCGGCAGCCTCCCACGCTGGCCACGCATCATGCTGCGCATCGCGAGCAATCGCGTAACGGGAGGCTCGCTGGCTTTTTGTGGCTTTTTCGACGTCTTGGCTTCTCCCGCCCTTCCACCCCTCTATTGCCTTTTTCAGTGTAGGTAGCTCTTACGAACATAACCGCGGTGTTTTTTCTTTTTCTTTCTTTCACACTTCCGCCCGACATGCGGCCGCATGTCACCTAACACAGAAAGAAAAAAGCGGATATATCAAATGGTTTATTCAGGACGGACAAACAACATACCTAGATCTACAACATGTTTCGATGAAAGGCTGTTTCGTGAAAGGCAAGCACCGTTTTATACACGCGTCCGAGACGCACCCCCGAATTCGCACCCGGCCAGCAGCAATGGCCCTCCTGCTCGCTATCCATCTCGTCCCCACCCTCGTCTGCCCGAGCACCTGCTGGGGGCACACCTGCGACCACTGGGTTGAAACGTCAGGCAAGACATGCGCCGAACTGCGAGAGAATGGCTGCGAATGCTCCGGGTGTGCATGTGGCGACGCCACGTCGCCTGCCCCAAGCCCAGGCCAACCCACACCGACGCCTCCGGGATCGCGGCGCAAGATTCTCTGCCTCCACGGCGGAGGGGGCACCGGACCGGGATTCGAGATCGGGTTTGCCCTGAGCGCGCTGGCTGCCGAGTTTGACCTCGTCTTCCCGACCGCTCCGCAATCCGGGCTGTGGATCCGCGACCCGCCCGGAGGGAAGGACGTGCCGACTGAGGATGAGGATTGGGCCAGTGTAGCGGTCACCCACCTCAACGAGATCGTGCAGAGTCAGGGCCCCTTCTATGCCATCCTCGGCTATTCGCAGGGAGCAGCTTTTGTCCCAGTCTACCTCGCTCAGGTGCCATCGGGCACCTTTCAGCTCGCAGCACTGTTCTGTGGCTACCTCCCGACCACACATAATGGCCTGGTGCGCCGCATCAACGCCCGTGCCCCATTCGACGGTATCGCCTCGCTCCATTTTATGGCGACTAATGACCCAATAATCACCACCGGCATGAGCGACGAGGCGGCGGCCAAGTTCTCCTCGCCAGTCGTGCTCGTCAGTCCGACGGCTGGCCACGCGCTGCCGAGCAGCAACGACCCAACCTACCCCAGTGTTCTCGCCTTCTTCCTCTCCTCCCCGCTCCTACCTCGACCGCCACCTCCGTCTCTGCCCCTCCCGCCGCCACCGTCGTCGCTCCTCTTCTTCAAACCGCCGAAGCCGCCAGCACCGCCACCTCTGGCCCCCGCGCTGTGCGTCGACGACAGCATTGTGTGCCCTCACGCAAACGACGGTGAGTGTGATGATGGAGGGGACGGGAGTCTCTATGCCCTGTGCCCATACGGGCGCGACTGCGCCGACTGTGGTGCTCGGGTGGCACCGCCGCCGCCAATGGCGCCGCCTCCGCTACCCGCGTTGTGCCCACCGGACAAGCAGTGGATCGAATGCGGGAGGGTGGGCCGCTGCAACAACGACGGAAGGTGCGCGGGCCGGACCCAGACTCACGAGGTGCGTTGCTGCTCCGACACGGAAATCGGAGGCTGGAGCAAGCGCCACGCCAGCTGCCCGTGGGCAGAGTCCGACGACGGCATGGGTGGCTGCCACCACAGCAAGACCTTCCCTGAGGCCGAGGCCATCTGCGCGGCCGCTGGCGCTCGCCTCTGCACCAAGGATGAGCTCACGTCGGACTGCACTCGCGGCACCGGCTGCGGCCACGACAGGGACCTGATCTGGTCGAGCGGCGACACGGCTCCGGGCTCGGCGGGTGCAGAGGGTGAGCAGGATGCGACACCAGAGGAGGACGGCATGGAAGGGGAGGCGCCGAAGGCAGAGGAGGCGGGGAAGGAAGACGAGGCTGCCAAGCCAGAGGGCTGGAGCTCGAGCTGGGGTTAGGTGCAGTGACGGTGAGTTTACGAACTACCTGTTGTACCTATACCTGTGAGCTGTGTGAGGGCCCACCTTCGATTCTGAAGTTGAGCCCTCTGGTGTGTGAGTGAGCTGTGAGGGTCCCGAGGCAGACTGTGTATCCCGAGGCGGTGCCGGCCGGCGCCGCACCTGTCAGAAGTAAGAAACCCGGTATCCGGAAATTCCTACCTCCTTGATTGATTGATTGGACCCCGCCTATAGGTCACGCTATTATAGCGACGCTAATGACGGTCTCCCCTCCCCCGCAAACGAAGAAGTGTCGAACCTTGCGGCCTCTGTGGCGGGTGAAATGGGAGAGTCAGCACGTCGTTGCACGTTGGAGCTCCCAGAAGGAAGAAGTCCGTAGTTTGCGGCTGGCCCCATATCCGGGTTGGACCCAACCCAGCTGCCTCTCCTGGGTTCCGGCTTTTTAGGGGGTAGGGTAGGGTAAGCGTCCGGGGATATTTGGGACAGGGGGGTAGGGGGTGGGGGCCCGGCGGCTCTGCCGCCGCAGGGGTAGGGGGGTAGGGGGTGCCCCCCCCACGCCCCAGCCATTCCCGCCCGCGTTAGGGCTCTGAGCTGGTCCTCGGCCCGCATCCGCAACGACCGACGGCGGAACATGCATGAGACGCGGGGCGGCGGGCGCGCAGGGGCGGCGTGAGGTGACGCTGGACGGACCGTACGCTACCGTTACAGCTTCTGGAGGCACCTCGGGGTAGGGGTAGGGGGTGGTGGACGCGGCCGGAGGGGCGGCGGGGCGTCCCCCCGTGAGGCGGCTCTTCAGCCGAACCCAGCTGCCCTCTCCATCACACACATGGGAGTCTTCCCGCTGCAGAAGAGACCCACAACATCTTCCCTCGCCGCGGAGCTGGAAACGCCGTCGTCTTCCTCGCCACTCAGCGAGTTTATCGCGCTCGTGAAGCTGCTTCGCGCCCACGGTCGCATGCTCGGCCTCGGGGAAGAGCCGCCTCCGGTGGTCCTGCTCGGCCTGCAGCGGCTGCTGCGGCTGCAGCCGAAACTCGAGGCGCGGCAGGCGGCGCGCGTTCCGCGACCTCTCGGCCGCCTCGTTGGCTCTACGAGCTCGAGCGCGCGGAGGACCGACCCGACGCTCGGTGCGGCGCGTCGCTGCCTCGAGCTCTCGTGCGCTGCTTATGGGCCGTTCGGCGCGCTCGTCGTCGGCGCCTCGCGCGGGCGGTACTGGTCGACCCAGAGGACGCTTGCCGGGCGCGCCGTGTGGCGACGTCCAAACGCCGCCGCCTTCGAGACGCTCACGCAGCTCTCGGCGCGTCACTGCCTGCTGTACGCGCAGTGGGCGCCGACCGGCGCGCCGCACCGGGGTGGATACGTGCCTGCGCACTACATCGTGGCGGACCCGACGCTGCGCGCGGTGGTGCTCGTCGTCCGCGGCTCGCTCGGCCTGCGTGATGTGCTGGTCGACCTCCAGACGGCGCCCGCGCCGCGCCACCTCGAGGCTGCCCTCGGACGCGGCTGCCACGGCGGCATCGCGGCGGCGGCGGCGCGGCTCGTCGGCCTGCACGAGGCGCGACTGCGCGCGGCGCTGCAGCGGCGGCCGGGCTGGCGCCTCCTCGTGACCGGCCACTCCCTCGGCGGCGGCGTCGCCTGCTTCGCCGCCCGGCTGCTCCGGCGCGCGCTGCCTCGCTCGGCGGCGGTGCACGCGCTCTCGTTTGCGCCGGTGGCGACGCTTCCGCTCCGCCAGTGCGGCGCGTACGAAGACCTGGCCGACGCCTTCGTCCTCGGCGCAGACGCCGTGCCGCGCCTCTCACTTGGTGGGCCCCTTCCCCTCTCGCCTCTGCCCCTTCCCCCCTCAGGCGGAGAGGCGCTCACTGCCCGCGTCGCCTGTCTCGCAGGGTCGCTGCGCCACCTCCTCGAGGCGGCTCGCCTTGCGGGGAGGGAGTCCTGGGCTTGGGGCAGCTCCTCGAGCCGCGCCGCGGCCAGGGGCGAGGCCAAACCCCGCAGGTCGCGCCGCGCCGACGCGGACGCCGACGAGGCGCTGACGGAGCGGCTGCTTGCGCACCGGCGCGAGAGAGTGTCGCGGCCGCACAAGGCGACGGTCTACCCGCCCGGCCGGCTGCTGCTGCTCGAGCGGGCGGAGGAGGAGGGAGCGGGCGGCGGGGCGACGGGCGCGGGCGGCAGCCGACACTCCGTCGTCTCAACCAAGGAGGAGGCGGGGCGGGGGGAGGAGCAGGAGGAGGGCGGGCCGCCGCCACCGCAGCCGCAGCAGGGGTGGCGGCTCTGCCGCCGGCTTGACCGGCGTCGGCTGTCAGTGCTCGACGTGCGGCCGAGCATGCTGCGCGACCACGGCTTCGACCGGTACGATTCGGCCCTCCGTGCGCTCGCGCCTCCCGGCCGCGGCGACCGCACGGTTCCTTGACCGGTCCCACGGTGTTCTCTTCCAGCGCAACTACTTTTGTGTGCACTACAGTCGAAAAAGAAGAAATCGCAGGCGACAGAGGCGTGGGTTGACAGCCGCGCTGCGTTCGCGGTTCGGATTAAGGATTATTCGCCAGCCCCGCGCCGCCGCGCGGAAAAACACACCGCAGCGGGGGTGCGAGAGGAAAGGCGGCGCTACAGGCTCCCCCGTCCCCCGCTCTCTACACAGGCCCACACAGGCAAAGACGCCGCGATCGCACACATGCAGCCGGGCTCGCGCCGTACATAGACACACACACGCCACGAGAAGCTCAGGCCGTGCACCCTCTGTGGTGCGCGTCCACGTAGTCGTACTGGTGGAGCCAAAAGTTGGCCTGGGAGGGGATGGAGGGATGGAGTGAGCGCACGGCGGCCTCGTGGGTGTGCGTGCGCGCGGGGAGGAGGGGAGGCGGGCTGAGGAGCGCCGCGTATTTGATGCCCTTGAGGACGGGCAGCGCCTCGTGGTGGGTGCGTGCGTCCTTCTCGAAGGGCCGCTCGTTGAAGGTTGCGGGCCACAGCACCGCCCTCCCCTTCTTGGGCTGCACCGTGAAGCCGCCTGCGGGCGGGCAGGGAGGATGCGGAGGGCGACCGCTCCTCGCGCGGCGCGGCGGTTGAGCGCGCGCCGTCGAACTTGGTGCCTCCGCCCTCCTCGACGTCGGAGAGGTAGAGAAAGAAGGTGTAGACGCGAGGGCCGCACGGCATCGTCGCCTGCGGATCGCGGAGAGAGAGCCGCCGTTGGCAAGGCGCTCGCCGCGGGCGCTTGGCTCAGATGACTGACGAAGTGCGGCTGCGGGAGGCGCTCCGTTTGTGATTTGAGTACTGCTGACGGTGCCGCGGGCGGAGGCGGCTGCGGGCCACGCGGGGGCGGGGGCGGCGCGCCAGCTCGGGGATGGTGTCGTGGTGTCGCCGGTAGAACTGGCAGTCGGGCGCGGTCGGCGAGGCGCACGGCATGTACCTGAGTGAAAGGAATGAAGACGGGCATGAGAACAACACAGAAGGGGATGCCGGCGAGGCGCTCGCGCGTGAGCCTCAGCAGCTGGATGAACTCGGAGTAGTTTGTCGACGGCCTGCGGAGGAGCGGAGAGCGCGGAGAGCGCGGAGAGCGCGGAGAGCGGAGAGCGGGCTAACAGCAGGTCGTGTGCTCTCTCCCGTCTAGCCGAGGCGCAGCCGAGACGCAGCCGAGGTGCAGCCGAGGTGCAGCCGAGACGCAGCCGAGGTGCAGCCGAGGTGCAGCCGAGGTGTGTGAAGCTCACATCCGGGTCAGCTCCGCCATGCGGCGCGAGAGGGCGACCACGTGCGGGTCGGCCAGGCAGGCCGCAGTGTCGCACCTGGGCGCGGCCAGGGCGCCGTGCGGGCTTGTGCGCGGGGTCGGCCAGGCAAGCCACCCCGCGCCGCAGCGCGTCGTCCACGAGTCGCGGCGATCTCGCGCAAGCTCGGTCGATCTCGGCTAATCTCGCGCCATGTCGTCCACGAGGTTCGGATCTCGGAGGTGAGAGGGATGAACTCGTCGGCGTCGGCGTTGCGTCCGCCTGCCCGCGCGAGGGTGGTGGTGCGGTGCGTGCGTGTGCGTGCGTCCAGTTCCGGCTCCGGCTCCGGTTCCAGTGTGGGGGCTGTGTGCGGTGGCGTGGCGGCTGTGTGCGGCGTGGCATGGCGGCTGTGTGGCACCCGAGGCGGTGGAGCGGACAAAGCGTCCCTCCGAGTGGCGGAGCAGCGCCTCGACCTCGTCGTCGGAGATGAAGTCCTGCGGAGGCAGCGCCAGGCGTGAGTGCTCGAGATGCTCGAGATGCGGGTCTGGACGGCCCTGGAGAGGTCTGCAGCCGGGACTGCGCCTATGGGTGCGCTGGCCGGGGCGGCGGCTCTCTCACGGGGCGGCGACTCTTGCGAGGGCCGGCGACGTGCGACTCGCGGGGCCGGCGCCGCTTGCAGACGACTCTTTCGGGTGCGGGCGCGCTCCTCAAACGTGACGACATACGGGTCGCTCGAGAGGAGCTGCGGCGAGTACTGAGGAAAGTTGGAGAGGGCGCGCTCAAAGGTCTCCTGCATCGCTCCGGGAGGGACCGCCGGCTTCGCTTCCGGGTCAACGGGGCAACGCTTCCTCCAGTCGAGCATGTCGCACGTGCCGCACGTGCTCGCGCACTTGACCTTCATGTAGGCCGGGTTGGCATCGCACTCGCCTGCAGCAGCCCACGTCGCGCACGCGCCCGACTTGTCGCGGTCGGCGCACTCGCCGGACGGCGGCGGAGGGCCTTGCGCGGGGCAGCCGCAGGACCGGCGGCAGTGCTCATGCATGTAGACCGGGTTGGTGGCGCACTCGCCCCGCTGTGCCCACAGCGGGCAGTGATCTGCGAGGTCCCCAGAGTCGATGCACGAAGCGTCGGTGTCGGAGAGGGCGGCGGCCGGCAGCAGGAGCAGGAGGCGGCGGAGGCGGCGTGGATGCCGTGATGTGTTAGCCATTGCTGTCACTAACTTCGGTGAAATAGAATTCTTTCTTTTGGCAGCAGCAGGAAAAAAGCCCGATGAGTCGCAGTGCTCTTGCGTTTCGGCGGTAGTGATCTAATCACCCGAATGCTACGTTCGGATCGCTTCTCATCGCAAACCCCGTCAGCATCTCTCTCTCGCAGTCCTCCTCCGGGAATGTACGTAAGAGCTACATACACTGTGAAGAAACACACATTTCTTGTTGGCTTCTAAAAATCTCTCTACACTGTGTCCGTGCAGCTTGACACCCAAGTGTTGAGCACCGGTGACTGTGGGAATGGGGAAGCAGAGTTCAGATCAGTCGAGGGAGTGTGATCTCCCTCATCCTCAACGGGCGTCCAATCGCAATCGGATTTACTACGGCGGTGGTCCAATGGTAATCCGCATATTGGACGTCCCCGTCCATTGTTCTCGCCGTTCTTCGGCGGGGCCGCGTCAGGGCGGGGGCGCAGGCGCGCGCCCCGCCCGGCGCGCAGGCGCCAGTGCGGCGCGGAGGTTCTGAGCTTGGGCTGACCTTCGTGGGGCGAGGCGGTGCCTCTTGGCCCGCAGTCGGTGCCCTTTGCCGGTCGCACAAAGGCCAGCGCGGCCTCTGTGCGGCTCTCTCTGGCGACAGTCTGGCTGGCGACTGCCGTTTGTTGGTACAGCTCGCAGTGCCCCGGCCGTGCATAGCGAGCTCTACGAAAGTAACTTGCGAACACGGTGCTGGTCAATCCCTTACGAAAGGAACCCAGCAACGGAGCTATAGCACAGCAAGTTGTGATGTGCTTGGCTGCATTGCGCCTCGCATTAAGGGCTAGGAGGCTGGCTGTACCGGAGAGGAGATGCCGTGAGCAACATACGGCACGTGCCTCTGGGGGCCGGATGAGCACAGTGCTCAATGCCCTCTACGACCGTCGCGGATGCGACAGTTTCTGCTTCCCTGCGCTGTGCCCTGCGGCCTTCGGTGGGTTCACCTATGTCCGGCCGCTTTCACTTGGGGTGTCAAGCCGCAGTTTGGGGTTGCGTCGTGTGCCAAGCATGGCCATCACAGTCAGGCATGCTGATACTCTCGCAGTCTGCCCGTGTGTGTGCTTAGCCCCGCTCAGGCTTCTAACATGCTTGGTTGTCCCAACTTTGTTGCCACATCCCGCAGTTACTGCACTCTGCAGCTTGACACCCAAGTGTTGAGCACCGGTGACTGTGGGAATGGGGAAGCAGAGTTCAGATCAGTCGAGGGAGTGTGATCTCCCTCATCCTCAACGGGCGTCCAATCGCAATCGGATTTACTACGGCGGTGGTCCAATGGTAATCCGCATATTGGACGTCCCCGTCCATTGTTCTCGCCGTTCTTCGGCGGGGCCGCGTCAGGGCGGGGGCGCAGGCGCGCGCCCCGCCCGGCGCGCAGGCGCCAGTGCGGCGCGGAGGTTCTCCCACCCTCCATCCCCATCGCGCTCTATAAACTCTCACAAGCCTGTCTAGAGGTATGGGGGTTGCGTCGTGTGCCCCTGCGTGGTGTATTAGATCACCACCCAAGGTTGCGAAGGTAAAAGTCGACGCGTTGCGCTTTGCCGATCCGCACCTACCTACTCGGGTATGCTCTTGGTGGCGCGCTCAACACGGACTTTTTTTCCTCGCCTCATTCCAACCAAGAGACAGCTTCGAAAAATGGGGCTTCTGCTTCTCGTCGGCTTCGGCTTGACGGTCGGCTTGACGCTCTCGCCCGCCGCCTCCACCCACGCAGCCCGGACTGGGAGTGTCGTGTGCTCGGCCGCGCGGCCGTCGGTGGGGTTCCGCGCCTCTGACGAGTTCCGCCACGGGCACGGCGGCGACGCGCTTGCCTCGTCCAAGGCGATCGATGGAAGCGTTGCAATGATGATGAATGTGGATGGGCCCGCCACCCCGTCCAAGCAGCGTCCGCGGCCCGCGGCGGGAGTGCCGCTGCCCGCCAGCCCCAGTAACACTTTCCGCTACGGCGCCGGCGGCCCCTCGCTGGCGGCGACACGGGCGATCGATGGTACGGTCGCGATGATGCACGTGCCCAATGCGGCGGCGCCTCCGGCGATGCCTGACGCGGAGGAGGCGCCCCCACTGCCCGCCGCCGCAGTCATGGCACCTCCAGCCGCCTCCGCCGCCACGGCTCCTCCCGCCGCCGCCACCGCCACCACGGCACCTCCCGAGCCGGTCCCGGTGAGGGGCAGGGTGGTCCCGACGCGGTCGGCCGACGAGTTCCGCCACGGCTCGGGCGGCCAGGCTCTGGCATCATATCCAGCCTGCGATGGCAGCGTGGCCATGGTCCAGTAGAGGCTAGAGTCTCCCGCGGGAGGGAGATGCTAACCGTTCCATAAAGGGAAATCTCGCGCGTTGTGGGTGCACCCTGTAGTCTTGTGTTGTGCTGATGTGAGCTGGTGTTTGTTGGCAGAGGGTGCGCGCTTGCTGTGTCCTGTGACCTGTGTGTCTTGTGAGCTTGGTCATCATCTGTCCCGCGTCCCACCCAAACAGTCACCCATCCACCGCGCTGGTGTCCACAGTCCGACTCCGACCTCCGAGCCTGGCTCCGTGGCTGTTCTTCGCCTTTCTATCAATCAAAGCACAAAGGGCCAGGCTCTGTGCCTGTGCGCTGTGGCGCGTCACCATCGCGCGATTGGCCAGCAAGCGTGGCCATCAAGCAGTATTCGACGGTGTTGGATACTAGTACGAGGGGCAAGAAACCCGCAAAAAGAAATAAAAGGTACGCGGCACCACTCTGCTACCCAACGCGGCCAAAGGATATCCACCTCGAGAACCTCGAGAACCACTCTGCACCACTCCACACCTTCGCTCATGTACGTGCTCCTCGCTGCTGCGCCCTCCTTCCTGCCTGCGCCTCGCACGCCCGCCTGCGGACGAGTCGGACTCTCGCCGCGCGGCTCGGCCTGTGCCTTCTTCGGACCCGCCCAGTACGTGGACCCGCTTGCGCCAAAGGGCCTCGAGCAGTTTGCTGGCTCGATGACGTCTCGGGTGTGGTATCTTCCGCCCGATAAGAGCGACTGGGCCGCGCTCCTCTTCTGTGCACGCCACGAGGCCATCCGACACGAGCTCCTTCGACTCGAGCGGCTCGTGCCCGTGCTTCAGTACAAGGACAAGGCCGACCCGGCGTTCGATGCGCTCGAGGAGCTGCACGCAAATTACTGCGACGCGGCGATTCGGTTCACGCACCAGCTCGAGGAGGAGGCGCTCTGGCCAGCCATCGGCGAGGTGCTCGAGGTGCCGGCCGATATCCAAGAGCGCACCACCGTCGGAGGGACGTACCGCACGCCGGTGCAGTGGGCCGAGTCGGACTACGAGGAGCTGCGCGAGGCGTTCGCGTCGCACAACGTCAACACGATCCGGCAGGTCCTCCCCGCCTTTGCCGAGAAGGCGGGCAGCCTGATGGAGGAGCAGGAGCGCCGCCTCGCCGCGCTGCTCCGCGAGAGCGGCCGCGGGCCCGAGTGGGGCGAGCAGCTGCAGGCAAAGCTGGACGAGTTCGCGGCGGCGCACCCCTTCGGCGCGACGATGCAGCAGCTCAGCGTCGGCGCGGCCCAGCCAACCAAGCTTCGCGAGTGCGTCGGGCCCGCCTCGGGCGGCGGCGAGGCAGCCGCGGCCCGCGCGCGTAGCCAACGCCAGTGCGTTTAGTCGCTCCTCCAGCTCTCTGGACGAGAGCTTGCCGTCGCCGTCACTGTCAAGGTCTTTGCTGAGGATCCCTTTGAAGTCCCTCCGACGAAGCCGCAAGCGCAAGATTGCAGAGGACGACTATCATCCTGCTGTCTTAGTGTGTGGCAAAGCAAGAACAGCTACAGGCTCGCGTGAGTGCGCAACCGCTAACAAAAGAATTAGAGCGAGCCCTCAAAACCACACACGCACAACACGGGTATACACAACAAAAACAACTCGTCATCGAAACCCTCGTGTTGATTTCGGACAACGTAAAAAAGAAAACACAAATCCAGCGGAGGTCCAAATGAGGTGTATCGCCTGACTGCGAGAGTCACCGAAAACAAAACGCAATTGGTGCCACTATCGCGCGTCCCCCAGTCAGCCGTCGGCACGGCGCGTCGGCACTCAGGAGTCAGGAGTGTCTCCTTCCTCAGCCTGCGCAGCACGCCATGCTTGAGGCGTTGCTTGGTGCCTATGCGTCGCCAATCGTCACCGCCTCAATCCTCTGCGCCTTCCCTTCCCTCGTGATGCTCGGCATGTCCTTCCTCGCAATCGGCCTGCAGGTCCCCGATATGTTCACCGCCGCACTGCAGCACCTGGCAGCTGGCATTGTGCTGAGCGCAGTGGCTGTGGAGCTGGTTCCGAAGATCCTCGAGGCGCCAGACGATGCCGGAACTACACTCGGAATGACAGTCGGCTTCTTCTTTGGCATCTCCCTGTTCCTGCTCATCCTCCCTGCCCTCTGTGGCGAGCCGGAGGAGGAGGAGGAGGAGGACGGCTCGACGCGCTACGTCTCAGCAGTGGCCAGCGGGCAGGGAAGGCAGACAGGCGGCAGCATGAAGCGACGGCCCTCGCTCATAGCGTCCATGAAAGAGCCACCACCCCATTACCCGTGGCCGCTCGTCTTTGCTGTCGGGACCGATGCGCTGGTCGACGGCCTGCTCATCGGCATCTCCGGTGCTGGCGGCATCGGTGCGGGCATCATCATCTCAGCCGCGCTCACCGTCGAGATGGGCTTCCTTGGCCTCACTTTCGCAGCCTCTCTCAAGAAGCAGCCAGCGGTGCGCCGAGAGTCGCCGAGAGCCACCGAGTGCCGAGATGACGAGCGCGTCGCAGATCCTTGAATCGGCTCCTCTCATCGCATCGAGGTGGAGATTTCACTGCTCGCCGGTGGCCCCAATCAGCGCCTTGCTTTCTTCCGCGCAGGTGAAGCGCACATTGACCATCGTCATGCCGCCACTCATGCTCAGCTTCGGCGGCGTCTTGGGCGGGGCGTTGGGCAGCGCCCTCGCCGACAACCCGCCCATGTACACGGGCCTGATGGCGTTTGGCGTCGCGGCTCTTCTCTTCCTGGTGACAGAAGAGCTGCTGCTAGAGGTGCGATGCGGGCTCGGAGCGCCGGGAGCGGTGCCCTCCCCCCACTGACACCCACGCTGCCGGGCCGGCAGGCGCACGAAAACGTGGGCGGGAACGACGAGCACATCTGGTGGGTGGACGGCATGTTCTTCTTCGGCTTCTACTGCTCCTTCCTGCTCGAGAAGTTCACCGGAGAGTGAATGATCGAACGACGCGGGGCGCACGCGGTCGGGGCTATTGCAATACGAACGGGCGCCAAGCGGGCGCCAGAGCGCCGGCGAGCGCAGCACGGAGGCGGCGGAGATGGAGGGTTGGTCAGGAAAACCGCACGACGCGTCCACCCCACGCCCCACGCGTCCACTCTCCGTCCTCTATGCGTCCTCTAACGACGAATACATATTTTCCGTGCGCATAGCAGCGAGATTTTCCGCTCTCTGCGCCCCCGTGTGCGCCACCGCCCCCAGGCCCCCCGGGCGTTTCACGTGGGTTCTGCCCCACGCCTCCCTGGGACTGGGTGCCCCACCTTCTTCTCCCGCGTCAGTGGTCCCCTGAGAGGGAACATACGATAGCGCCACCTTGTGAGCTGTCCTGTACCACGCGGAATCGGACCCTATCCTAGACCCTTGTATCCCCAGTGCTCAGTGCTCAGCTGTCCTGTTTGATGTGATCTATGCGTCCAGCACTATCCGTTGTGGCTGGGCGCAAGTTCGACAACCTAAACTTTTTATCTTCGGACCGAGTGATACGGCCGGTGACAGTGTGCCCTCACGCCGTAGCGGTGCTCGACGGCAAGCTGTATGCGGTGGGAGGCTTCAACGGTGACGACTTCCTCAACTCGGTGGAGCGACATGACCCGGCGACGAATGCGTGGGAGGCTGTGGCGCCGCTGACGCTGGCTCGCTTCGGTGCCGGGGTGGCGGCGCTGGAAGGCAAGTTGTACGCTGTGGGCGGCAGGGTTGAGGATGACGAGGCCGAGGTCGAAAGGCCGGCTAACTCGGTGGAGCGGTTCGACCCGGCCTCGAACGCCTGGGAGGAGGTGGCGCCGATGGCGATGGCGCGGGCCTTTTCTTTCGCGCTCCTGATGTAGCGAGGGGCATAGGTGAGCTGTGAGCTGTGAGAGAGAGCGGCATGTGCGGAGACGAGACGAGGCGGACGACCTCGAAACAGCGCTGGACATGGTTTCGAAGAACCGCATCGTGTGGTTCTCGCTCGCGCCGTCGGCGGGCGCAGCGACGGACTTCACCGCCAGCGCCTTTTCTCCGCGCTGCCGCAGCCGCAGCAGCCGCACAAGCGGGGACGCTCGGAGGAGGACGACACCGAGGAGGAGGAGGAGGCTCCCGAGCCCGCTTGAAGCCGCCGCCGCAGTGCCCACTTTGCCCCGCTGAGCGAGAAACCCAAGGCACCGAGGAAGGAGGAGGAGGAGGAGGAGGACGACGACGAAGACGACGTCGGCCTCGGCGGTGAGTGCTCCAACCCCACGTCGCCGCCTCCCATGCCTACTCCGGTCGACCGGCTGCTCTATCCACACGGCGGGACGGCCGCCCTGTGCAGCTGCGGAGCGATTTCATTCATGGACGCAGAGGCGAGTCATGGTAGGCCCCCTCCCGACGCCGCGACGAGGGGTCGCCCAGCCGACGGGGCGGGTTCCCCGCCGCCGCCTCTCGACGCTCTGGCGGAGGCGGAGGGGAGAAGGGAGGCGAGAGCGGAGGCGGAGGGGAGAAGAGGGGCGAGAGCGGCGGCGGCAGACGCGGGGAGAAGAAGGGGGGCAGCGAGGATGGCGGCGGCGGAGGCGGCAGCGGCGGGCTCGGCGGGCGCGTCACCTTTTCGGCAGAGGCGCTGGACGGAGGCGGGGCGAGGGGGGCGCAGGCGCACACCCTAACTCCTGGCCCATCTGGGCGCTGCGCCACACACCTACTACGTCTAGTACTGCCGCCCCCTCGCTCACTTCCCTTTCGCGGCGAATCTCGGACCGTCCGACCAATCTCGACCAATCTCGGACATCCTCGGCAAATCTCGACCAATCTCCGCCAATGTCGATCAATCTGGACCAACCTCGGATATCCTCGGCCAACCTCGGCCAAGCCCGGACATGCCGACCTCTCACCAAAGGCTTAACTCACTAGCGGTGTGAATGGGTGACTAGGAGCGGCACGACCTCTCTGCGCACGGCAACACGCTCTACCTCTCGCCAGAGGCGTGCCTTAATTAATTAGTTAACTACGACCATCGTACTTAATTGTTAATGAACTAGCACGCTATCTACCTCTCGCCAGAGGCGTGCTATCGTATCGTATTTACTGAGTTATTAATGAAGCAACACTCTCTCCTCTTGCCAGAGGCGTCGCCGAGAGTCGCCGAGAGTCGCCGATGCTAGCGGAGAGAGTCGCCGAGAGTATAGCGTGACTGGGCCGAGAGAAGGTGGAGCTGGCCAGCTGCTGGCCAGCTGCGAGGGGTGGTCTGGACCCACGCCACCCCTTGAGAGATATAGAGCGACACTCAGCGACAGCGACAGCGTGCTTGCTCCCCCCGCGCGCATGGTCGCAGGTGCGCGCGGCGATTCTGACGCGCACGAGCAGCATGAGCCTCTCGCCGGCGGAGGCGAGGCAGCTAGACTTCTCCATTACTGCTTAATTAATCACCTTTTTAGCCTCTCGGCGGCGGAGGCGAGGCAGCTAGACGTAGCAAGTAGTAGTAGGCAACCTTCACTCCAAGATATCTGGCCCCCTCTATCCACACCCCAAGCGACTAGCGACGGGGCGTGGCTGAAATCCACCTCGCTCGCGGCATGTTGAGTTGTTGACAACTCAACATGCCGGGGCAGGAGACACGCTGGGCACGACACTGTAGTCTCATTATCAGGGACTCATCTAGGTTCTGGAACTGGCTTGGTAGTAGTTGATGTCGTGTTTTAGCCTAACTGGTAGTCTGCATATAACGCAGGTGCATGGGGAGGATATCTTAAAATACAAGCCTCTCTCACAGCACACTGGCACAACAAGGGCGCAAACTGCTAACTGGCGCCATACTACTGCATCCTGCGACGGGGAGGTAATATACTACGCAGCGCCGGGACGGCGAGATCGGCCGAGATGAGCCGAGATTGGCCGAGATCGTAGGCGGCGCGGCTCGACGTCTTCTCGCTCGGGCTCGTGCTGCGCTACTTGCTGCTCGGCAGAGCGCCGTCGCCTGTCCTAGCCGAGGGCGCGTGGAGCAGGTGTGGCGGCGGCGCAGCGCAGCGCAGTGTTGTGTCGTGTCGGCTCCCAGCCCACGTGCGCAGCGTGTGTGTGCGTGTGGTGGGCCCGTCAGCGCTCCCTCCGGGCGTCGGCTCTGTGAATTGGCCTCCGAAAAGTGAATTCTTCCTGCGGCAAGGTGCCCGCTGTGACAGCGCCGCTGTGACAGCGCCGCCATGTCGGAGTTTGCGTCGTACGAGAGCGAGTTCACGCATGCCTGCATGGACGCGAATAGCAAGATTAGCACGCTCGAACGCCTCGCGCCGGGTAGCGGGCGCGACGCGGCGGTGAAGGAGGCGCAGGCGGCCGTCGACTCAGCTGCCGATGTGGTGTCGCGGCTCGAGATGGAGGCGGGGCCTTCGGACCGTGGGCGCGTCCGCGAGTGCAAGTCGAGCCTCTCCGAGCTACGCTCCAAGCTCTCCGTCGCTCGCTCCAACAACCGCGCCGCAGAACTCGCGCGCGAGCAGCTCCTGGCGAGTGCCGACGCGCCCGCGCGTATGGAGGCTGAGGCGCAGCACGCGCGGCTGCTGGAGACGACGAGCCGGATGCAGCGCGGGACGGACAAGCTGCGGGCCGCGTGCCAGGTCGCGGTGGAGACCGAGGCGGTCGGCGTCTCCATCCTGGGAGACCTGGATCAGCAGCGGATGACGCTCGAGCAAACGAGAGAGAGGCGCCGCCCGCCCGCCCGCCTTCCCCATCCTCGGAGGGACTGCCGCCTCACCGGGTCCCTCTCCCCCGCCACAGGCTGCGGACGGCCAACCGCGGGCTCGAGCGCTCGAAGAAGCTGCTGCAGTCGATGACCAAGCGAGCGGCGGCCAACAAGATGCTGATGATCGGCATCATCGCCTTCCTCTGCCTGATGATCGTGGCGATCCTCTACCTCAAGTTCTTCATGCCCTCGGGCTCCGACCCCTCTCCGCCGCCTTCACCACCCCCGCCGCAGAGATGATGAGCAGATGCGGTCGCGCTTTTTTTGTACGTGGAGCCGTATGGATGATGGATCCCCCGCGGGCGCGGGTCTCGTTATTTCTCGCGCGTCTCTCGGTCTCGGCTCTTGCGACTCGCGTCGGTGTCGGTCCTCTGTCTATGCTATCTCGGTCTCGCCCGCAAGTGTTTGTGGGCGCGTGGGCATGTGTGTGTGCCGAGACGCGAGAGTTGCATCCGGCCCCTTTTTGTTGGTCTGTGTCTAAACCGCACCAGCCGACGCACCATGTGTTCCACACCCCGGAGTGCGGAGATGGGAAACCGTGCTCCGTGCACCGTCTGGGTCGAGCGGAGGGCTCACTCCTCACATCGAGGGGGAGCTAGCTAGGCCTAGGGAGCTAGCGCGGCGCGGCAAGGCCCGCCCCGCCACTGGTCAGCCGAGCATTCCCACAGCGCACGAGAAGCCAGGCAGCACATGACATGTCCAACTCACTGTTCACAACGGCGACAGCCCACCCGCTGCACCACGCGCTGCTGCTCACTCGACAAAGCCAAGCGTCTGCAGCAGCGTGTACACCTGCTGCGGGACGCTCTCGCCGGTGTAGTACTCGGTGATGAGGCCGACGGGGAGGAAGAACATGGCGAAGCGCCCATTCGTGATCTCTGCCGCCTTGCTCCACCCCACCAGCTGTGCGCCCTCGTCCTCCTCCCTCGCCTGCCGCTTGCGCCACTTCTCCGAGAGGGCGTCCAGCTTGGCCGCCTGCGGAGCGTTCCCGACGCGGGTGGGGACGCGAGGTCGGGGGGAGCGCGAGAGCGCGGGCGCACGGCGCCTGCTCCGCCAGCTCCATCTCACTCATATCGGCGTCGAGCGCCACGGGCGGCGGCGCAGGGTCCGCCATCATGCGCGCGGTCGAGACGCGCAGCGGTGCTGCGGCTGCCCGCATCTGCTGATGCACGGGCAGCTCGGCGCGCGGGCCCGCCACCAACGCGGCAGTCAGGACAGGGAGGGCGAGAAGCATTGCTTGTGGCGCCAGCTCACAGTGAGGCACACACTCTCCGCCGAAGAACGAAGGAGAAGTGAAGTGTCCGCGACATGGCGGCAGAAGAAAAGAAAAAATACCCCTGCAAACATCATCGACACGGTGCGACCACAGGACGACCTGTGGTGCCCAGCCCGCATCCAGGCATCAAGTTCGACAGCCAGTAGTGGTGGCCAGCGCGGGAAGCCGGCACGACCTCGGCGGCTGCGCCGTGACACTACCGGAGGGAGCGCCTCCTCGCAAATGCCGGATGAGCGCCCGCCGGAAGGCCGCATCCCGGCCTCCAAGTCGTACTACTGGCGCAGCCGGCTGCTGGGAGGCAGCTTCGGGTCGGAGGTGCCCGCCTTTGGCCTGTTCGCGCGGCCGCTGCAGCAGCAGCAGCAGCAGCAGCAGTCCGGAAGCGGGCACAAGGCGGCTGCGGGCAGCTCCTCTCCCAGCGCAGGCTCTCAGGGCAGCACCTCCTCTTCCGACGAGCAGGAACTCGCCGGCGCGGTGCGCAGCGGCGGCTTTGTGCGGTTCTATGACGACGACCAGCCGCGGCCGGCGGCGCGGCGCGCGCAGGGAGCGCAGGCGCGGCGGCGTGCCGCCAGCGCCGCGTCTTGGCTGTGCTCGACGCTAGTCGGCGCGGTGCCGGTGGCGGTCCTCAACTTTGCCACCTGCGCGACGTACGGCCTGCTGATGGCGAAAGGGACCGGCGTGCACCCGCAGCTGGTGATCGCGATGCTCCTCTACTCGACCGCCACCTCGGGCGTGCTGCTCTCGCTGCTGTCAGAGTGCCCGCTCACAATCGCGTCGGGCGACGCGTCGATCGCTCTCTACACCAACCTCTGGCTGGTCGAGGCGTACAACCACCCCGCCTGCACCGACGAGACGCGCCTGCCGACGGCGCTCGCCTCCGCCCTCCTCCTCTCCCTCTTGATGGGCTGCGTCTACTTCTTGCTCGGCCACTACCGCGCCGCCGACCTGGTGCAGTACCTGCCCTTCCCGATCATCGCGGGGTTCCTCGGCATGGTGGGCGCCTCCATCGTCAAGGGCGGACTCGTCGTCGCCATCGGCGCGCACACAGCTCGACTCGACCGCCCGACACGCACACGTCCGCCCCTCACCCCTCACCCCTCACCCCTCACCCCCCACCCCCCCTGGCTCTCTCCCGGCCGCAGGCTCGGACCTTGACTCGCCCGACGACATCGCGCACGCGGCGCAGCAGGCGCCCGGCCCAGCGCAGCGCGGCGCTGCCGTGAGGAGACGCAGCTCCACCCCTCTCCCTCTCGCCAGGTGCCGCTCGAGTGCGGCGCCGCGCTGCTCCTCGTCGTCGTCCTGCTCGCCCTGCGGCGCGTCCGCTTCCCGCCTCGCTTCCTCTTTGTCGGCACGATGGCGGCGCGCTTTCCCGGACGCCTGCCCACACCTCCCTAGACACCTCCCTAAGACGCCTGCCCACACCTCCCTAGACACCTCCCAGACACCTCCCAGACACCTCCCAGACACCTCCCAGACACCTCCCAGACACCTCCCAGACACCTCCCAGACACACCTCCCAGACACACCTCCCAGACACCTCCCAGACACCTCGTCGGCAGCCCCCCCCCCCCCCCCCCCAGGTCGCCCTCTTCCTGTTCTACGCGCCGACGGCCATGCTCCGGATCGCGCGCGAGCGGCTCGAGGCGAGCCGAGTAGTGGGGGAGCAGAGGCAGAGAGGAGCAGCTCGAGGGGCGAGAGAGTAGTGGGGAGAGAGGCGAGAGGAGCCCCACCCTCCACTCTCTCTCTCTCTCTCTCTCTCTCTCTCTCTCTCTCTCTCTCTCTCTCTCTCTCTCTCTCTCTCTCTCTCTCTCTCGACCTGCCGCCTGCCCGCCGCCCGGAAGCGTCCCTCGCCGCGCCGACCGGGCGCCGCCCCTCCGCTCGCGCAGGAGAGCGGCTTCCTGTTTGACGTCTCCGACCCGGTCGGGCCTCTCGGCCTGTGGAGGGAGCTCGACCCGACGCGCATCACGTGGGAGGCGCTCGTGCCGCAGTCCGGGGAGGTCTTCGGCACAGTCACAATCTCGACCATCTCGCTCGCGCTCCGCATCTCCGCCATCGACTCGGCGACTGAGGCGCGCCGGCCGCAGACTCGGGAGAACGCAACGCCCGTGACCTCTCGCAAGTGGCCTCTGGCAAGCTCTCGAGACGACACGTAGCCCGCTGTACTCCTCCCAGCCGTGTCCGCCGCATCCGCGGCTCTCTTGTTCCCGCGATGCGCGGGCGTGCGATGCACGGCTCTCTACTCGCCCGCACGCCCCGCCGCGTCCTCCCTGCAGGCGCACCTCGACCCAGACAGAGAGCTGCGCCTCACCGGCCTCGTCACCCTCCTCGTCGGCGGCACGGGCGGGCTCATCGGCTCGCACTCGCCCGGCCTCGTCGCACTCAACCAAGAGGTTGGCTCCGCGCGCACGAGCGGCGTCTGCCAGGCGCTGCTGCTGCTGCTGCTCTGGCCCTCACACCCGCTGCCCGGCCGGGCGGGTTGCGGCGCCCTCCTCACGCCCCTCTCGCTGTACAACAGGCTCACCGCCTTCCCGCTCACCAACCTGCTGCCGCGCTTCCTGCTGGGCGGCGTGCTCATGTCCATTGGCGACACGCAGCCGAGAGCGGGCCGAGAGGAGTAGCCAGGCGCTCGGCGGTGAGTCGCGTCTCTCCACCCCTGCACTACTCCCTTCGCCCCGCAGGCGTGGTGATGCTCATCGAGTGGCTGTGGGTCGTCCCGCGCGTGCGCATGACGCGCCAGTCGCACGCCCTCGTCCTCGCGATGACGGCCTACTCGCTCGTGTACGACATGATCTCGACCGTCTTCGGCGGGATCCTCGTCGCCGCTCTGCTGCTCGTCGGCCGCTTCTCGCGCCTCTCCGTCCTCAAGTACCACGTCTCGATGGCGTCGCAGGCGTCCATCCGCCGCCGCTCCGTCGGCGAGTCGGCCCACTTGCGCGCGCAGGGCGAGCGGGTCCACATCCTCGGCCTCGAGGGTGTGCCCTCTCGACGGCGAGCCGCCCTGCGCCCGGACACCCCGCCGCACTGTCACGGCGCCCCTTCCGTAGGCTACCTCTTCGAGGGGCCGGCCGTCAAGCTCGTCAAGTACCTGCAGCGCGTCGTCGTGCCGCCCGAGGGGGCCGCCGACCGGCAGCAGGCTCCGCGCTTGCCGCTCCGCCCAGCCCTCCTCTCCTGCGGCCTCTCCACGCCTCTTGCTCTATATAGGCGCGTCGTTCGACCAAGGCGCGCGCCGCGGGCAGCGGCGGCGCCAGCGGCGGCGGCGACGGCGGCGGCTATGGCTATGATGGCGGCGGCGGGCGCGCTCACCGGAGCCACTCTCGGCCACCCCGCCACCCTGCTTTTCTCGTCCTCGACTTCTCGCACGTGCAGGGCATCAACGAGACCGCTGCGGCGCTGCTGTGCAAGTTTCGGCGCTTGTGCCAGCAGCACGGCATGCAGCTGGTCATCGCCTGCATCGGCCCAAACGACCTGCACCTTCTCGAGGCGCACGGCCGCGACGCGGACCTTCGAGTCTTCGGCAGCATCCCCGACGCCATCGAGTATTGCGAGGACTCGATCCTCGCGCAGTGGGACGGGACGACCGACGGGCCGTCGCCGAGCTCCCCGCGGCAGCAGGCGTGGCAGGGAGGCAGCAGCCCCCTCCCCCCGCTTCGCTCTGGCGGGGGAGTCGAAGCCTCGCACCCGAGGGAGCACGAGGGGCCCCCGGACCGCGACGCCAGGGCGTTGCAGCCTTCTGAGACCGCAAGCGGCACGCTCAACGGCTCGCTCAGGCCCCGCGCGGCCTCTGCGACGCACGCCCACGAGGCGCCAGCTGCACCTCCGAAGACGGGTCCGCATTCCGGCCCGGCGGCGCCGCCTGACGAGCGGCAGGAGACTCGCTCCCACCTGCCCACGATTGCCGCCTCGCCGCTCTCTACATTCACCGCGGCCGTGTCGCCGGCGCTGTCGGCGCTCCCGCCGCCACTGACCATCCCACCGGCCCGCAGCCTCGAGCCAGGGGAGGCTGCGTTCGGGCCTTCTCCTCCCGGGGATCAGGTGGCCGCCCCGACCACAATCGTGGTCTCGATCCCTGGGGCGGCCTCCACGGGCGCCGGCCGAGAGGCAGCCGAGAACGCCGCGGATGTCCACGCGAGGGCGAGGTGGCCGCCCCCCGCCAGCCTCGAGGAGATGCTCGCAGAGCAGCCGCCGTCCAACTCGTCCAGCTCGTCCAGCTCGTCTGGCGGAGTCGAGACCGCCGTCGGGGAGCTCCTCCCGCCGGAGAGCTCCGACGAGGCCGACCGACCGCTCCACTCCGGCCACGACGAGGCGAAGCAGGACGGCGAGCGGCCCACGTCCTACGTACCAAAGCGCGAGCGGTCTGGCCACGCCATGTTTGTGCCAGCGCAGCAGCGCCGCACCACTGGAACGCCGCGCACCACCGCACAGCAGCAGCAGCAGCAGCGGCAACAACAGAAACAGCCTTCGGTGCTGTCTTTGCCGCCATCACAGCAGCAGCAGCAGCAGCAGCAGCAGCCACAGTCCTCGCCTAGCTGTGAGCACCCTCTCGAGCGGCGCGGCTCGGCGCCTATCACTGCCATCTTCGGCGGCAGCCGTCTACCGTCAGCAAGCAAGACAGAGAGCTTGCCGGGCGTGTCGTACCCAAGTCAGTTGCTCGCCGCCGCATTTGGGCGCGCCGACGGCGGCGCCGATCGCTCGCTTGGCATGCCCAGAGGTGGGGCTGCCCCGCACTCGACCTCCTCGCCCGGCCTCTTGCTCCTGACTACCCGCTCGCTTGCCCCCTGGCCCAGGTGTCAGCTGCCAGCAGCTCGACGGGACGCGCGGCGCGCGCTCGGGCGACGATCTTTGGAGGACCGCACGGCCGTCGCGGCCAGAGGGGCAGGCGGAGGCGGGCGCTGCAGACACGCGAACTGACGCAGCGGCGAGCTTTGACGAGGGCGGCGAGCTGGGCGCAGCGGTAGTAGCGGCTGGGGCGGTTGCGCCTGACCCGCCGCCGCCTTCGGCCGTCCTCGCGCCTCTTCTCCATCTGAGCCGCACCGCAGAGGCGGACGCGGCGCTGCTCGTGGCGTCTGGTTCATGGCGCGTCTACGGCGAGGACGAGGTGCTGTGCGAGCAAGGCGAGGTGAGCGAGGCGCTCTTCCTCGTCGCCCCCGGCCACGGGTCGGTGCTCGTGGAGGTGGAGGTTGGCCATGTCGCGGGCGCCATCCCTTCGCTCCTGACGGGGCAGCACGGAGGGCTAGTGGGAGCCGCTTCCCTGCTTACCCGAGCGCCTTGCTCCTACACCGTCTGCGCCGATGAGCGCTCCTGGGTCCTCGCCATCGACCGCACCGCGATCCGCCACCTCTCCACGCAGCACCCACACTTGCTGATCCGGCTGCAGCAGATGGCGCTGCTGCAGGAGCCGCTCAACACGCGCCGGTTGCGCGTCATGTCGCGGCTCTGGCTCGCCGGCGGCTGGTCGGGCGCCAACTTCGACCAGGTGACGGTGCGGGCGGCACAGGCCAGCAGCCGCTCGACGAGGGAGCGCGCGTGCAGCAAGGAGAAGCCCCGATCGGACCCGCTTGCTGGATTGCCAGCCGCGGAGTTCGGGCCGGGCACGCGCAGTGCGGCCGCAGACCCCGCGATCTGCGACGAGGCCGGCGGCGCAGACTCCGTGTTTGGTACGCTGTGGTCGGTCGCCCCCGGCGAGGACCAGCCTTCGATAAGCGACGCGCTGCAGGAGCACGCCCAGATGCTGCGCCGTTTCGCCGTCGACATCACGGGGCGGCAGAGCTCGATCTCAGACATGGCGGCGCGGTGGGGCAGGGTGCTCGAGCAGCTACATGCCGAGCATCCGGGCGCGGAGTCGGAGGCGCTCGAGGCGCACCGCTACGTCGTGTCGGCCCCTCCTGCACGCAGGTTCTCGTCGGCTCCATCCGACTGCGCCTCGCCGAGCTGGTACCAGCAGCCCACGCGGCGGCAGGCGGATGGGGAGGGGTCGCCGAAGCCTCCACATATGCTCCCGTGATTCAATTATTCTGCGCGGAACTACAGTCAAATATTCTGCACGTCATGTGCCGGTTACGTGTGTGCAATGTCGGCAGAGCCGTGTCCTCTGGCTGCTCCTCTCACCTCTGCGCACGTGTGGCTCACATATCCGACAATAGAAATAGCGTGCGCGCGGGGCCGAATGCGGGGAAGACAAAGGCTGAGGCAAAGGAGATGGAGGTGATGCAGCACCAGCAGATGCTGATGCTAATGGTAATGCTGAGGATGAAGATTTTACAGAGCGTGTGCGAGCAGAGGAGGCAGCAAAGGAGGCAGCAGCTGAAGCTGCCGCAGCTTCCGAGTGCGGATATGACTGATCTGTGTGGATTTCTCTGGTCGCGCCGTTGTGGGGTGACGGTCGGTGAGCGACGTTGCGCCCCCCCCAGTGGGAAACCGCCGGTTTCGGTGTCTGCTAAACCGTGCTTGGAGGGGGTATTTGTTATCTCGGTTTAGTGGCGGTTTAGTCAAGTTTAAGGTAACCCGTGCTAAACCGTGCTGGCCGTAAGGTAACCCGGCTGGCCGACGCGGAAGCTGCAGTGTTTCACGGCGGTAAGCCGCTCGAGCAGAGCCACTACAAGGTGCACGCAAAAGAGGTCACAAGTGGCGCGGAGTACATGGCCTTTTTCGCGGTGGACGCAGCGGTGAAGGCGCACGCGACGCCTTCATACGACTCGTTCTGGACCAATCAGACCTTCTGCCGCGAGGTGTGCCTCTTTCTCGTCAGCAACACGCCCAGCCCATACCTCGGGGGAGAATAGCCGCCCTCACGCGCTGCCGCCCATCGAGCTCGGCGGGGCCTGATACGTGTCATTCTGTGCCGGCGCGTATCTTAGCCAAGATACGCGGCCACACGTGCAGACGCGTATAGCGGTACTCGCGCCCACACGTGCAGCCGCCTACGCTTGCTGAGCTGTACTTGATCTTGTGGGACGAGCAGCGTGCGGACGGCATCAGGCCGGGCGAATGTCTCCCGCCTGACGAGTACTCGTCCGTCAAGAGGGCCGCGGCGCTGGCGGTGTCGGCGCTCGTTCAGACAGGCGGCAAGTTCGCATGCGCGGCTCCCCGCGCAAAGGCCTTTGCGGCTTGGCTCAAGTGGCTGCTTGGCAGCACCGCGCGGGCCGAGGCTGAGTGGCATGAGTGTGCTGTCATGGCCAAGAAGCTAAACATGCCCTACGAGGAGGCACTGGCTGCGTTTTGCCTGGGCACCCACAAGCGCGAGCCCAAGGAGAGGGAGGCACACCTCACGCACGCGGCAGAACTCTTCACGTCGATGGGGGCATGGTGGTACGTCGAGCGGTGCGCTCATGAGCGGGCGAATCCTCTGCACGCTTTAAGCTGAAGGTTAAAGCCCAAGCGCGCACCACCTGGTTCCCGGGGGGCCCGTGGTCCGTGGAGGTCGCGAGCGGGCAGAGTCCACAGAGAGAGGCCGGGGCGGGCCGAGCCCGGCGAGCGCGCGGCGGGCGGCGCGCCGGCATATGCAGTCCGCCCAGCGATGAGAAAAATATGATGAGATCGACGCACCCCCCAAACTGCTACTACACGCTCAAAACATCTCGTTTTGCTCGTTGGCCGCAGCCCGGTCGCGGTCCCGACCGCCACCCTTGGGCTTGTTGCCAAGGGCAAGCGACTCGCCCCGCGATTTTTTCGCTGCGCGCTCCTCCATCAGCTTCTCGATCTGCACCAGCTCGCGGTCCATCCGGGCCTCCGCCTTTTGCGCCTCCATCTTCTCCTTGTCGTGGCGGCCCCGCTTGCCGCCCTTGCCGCCCTTGCCGCCCGCGTCGGCGTCCGGCTCCTGCGTGATGAATACGCCAACCTCAGGGCGGGAAGACGGTGTTGTGCAGTGTATTCAGAGCACCGCGTGACTACGAGGGAGGCGAATACGGCTGAATACGGCTGAATACGGCTGAATAGAATCCGTGTCCTCTCGAGCGCTGGTTGGGGAACAAGAACACGCAATTCCGCTTCTAGGGCCCGGCTCCTCCTCCTTTTTGCCACGCACGATGCCAGCCTCATCGTCCGAGTCGGGACCAAGCTCGTACCCGGTGACGTTGACCCGGCCCAGCGTGTCCGGAAAGTACTCGCCGTACGCGTCGTCGTCGCCCCCGCCGCTCATCGCCATCCCCTTCGGCTTAGCCTCTTTGCTCTTGCCCTTGCCCTTTTTCGGGTCCGACGCGTCGGCAGGGGCGGAGGCTGTCGATGCAGCGCACGCGGCGCGGCTGCGCGCCAAGACGCTCTCGAGCAGGGAGGACGCGCCGCCGCCCCCGGCCTCCTCCTCCTCCTCCTCCTCCAGCGGCAACGGCACGCCCGCGCCCAGCTCGCCTCCCGCCTCCTCCATCTGCTCCACCTCGTCCAAAAACGCTGACGACGGCGCCGCGAGCCGCCGCTCGCGCTCCGCCTCGACCGCCTGCCGCTTGTTGGGCTCGCACACGTAGTCTGAGCCGACGCCGTCGCCGAAGATGTCGTCCACGTCCTCGGCGCGCGCAGCCGGCGCGGGTGCAGGCGCCGCAAGCTTTTGCTGCTGCCGCTGCTGCTGCGATGGCGGCGCCTCCGCCTCCGCCTCCGGTCCCCAGCGCGAGGGCCTGCGCCCCGCGCCGCCCATGCTTGGCGCCTCCGCCGGCCGCAGCCCCATCAGGGGCGCCTCGGCCGGGCGCAGCCCCCCCTCCTCCGCCTTTGAGGGCAGCGGTAGGGGCGTCATCGAGAGCGATCCGGCGAGGTGGAGGCCGAGCGGGTCCTTCTCCTTCTTCGACTTGCGCGCGCGCTCGCCCGAGGGGCGGGCGCAGTACGCCAGCACCTTGGACAGCTTGGAGAGCAGCCCGGCCGACGTCGCCGCCTGCAGCACCTTCTCGCGCCTCCGCGGGATCGTCAGGTCATCCTCGGCGCGCACCAGGCTGTTTGGCGTGTCGGCGGCGAGCGCGTCGAGGGAGTAGACGTAGAGCAGCCGGCCGGAGGTGAGAGAGCGGTTCGGCCGCGCCGGCGGCGCCCCCGACAGCGACAGCTCCAGCACGGCCCGCGCCATCTCGCTCTCCGGCGCTGCCGGCGGCTCAGCCGCCGCCGCCGCCGCCGCCGCCGCCGCCACGGGCCGCGCGGCCTTTGCGCCGCCGCCGCCGGACGCCTTGCCGGCCGAGGGGAGCGTGCTGCCCGCCGCCCGTCCCGGTCTGCCGGCCGCCTCGCCGCCGCCGCCCGCTGCCGCCGCCGATGCGACGGCGAGCTCTGCGCGCCGCTTTTGGAGGAGCGCAAAGTCGAGGCCCTTGACGAGGTGGGTGTGCTCGATGTCGCCGCCGAGGAACTTGGACTGGTCGATGCTCAGGCGGTGCTGCTGCTGCGACAGGTCCTCCCGCGCGCCCACCTGCGCAAAGGTCGGCGCGACGGGCACCTCGGCCACCGGGTGCTCCGGCCTCCCCTCTGCCGCCGCGAGCAGCGGCTCGATGCCGGCGAGTGGCGGCGCCTCATCCTTGTGGCCCGACTTCGCGAGCTCCTTGCGGCGCAGCGATGCCCGGTCCACGTACTTGGACTCCTCCGCCAGCTTCTCCTGCCGCTTGGCCTGCAGCTCCATCCGCTTGTCATACGCCGCCTTGCGCGCAGCCGCCTTGGCCGCCTTGGCCGCTTTCGCCTCCTCGGAGTTGGCCGCCGACTTGGGCGCCGGCGTGGCGCCGCCCTCCTTGACCAGGTTCCGGAAGGCGGAGTTGTCCATGCTTATAGGAGTGTCGACTGGGACCCGCGCGCCGGGGTCTTAGTCGCGTCCACCGGCACCAACACGGAATAACGCGCGGGCGCCCAGCGAGGAAGAGGACCGCCGCAAGCGGCGTGGCGTGGAGCGGTTGAGCATCCCTCCGGGGGCCCCTCTGCGCCGGGGAGGCGTTGTTGGAGGCTAGGACGCAAGCGTCCGTCGCCCTTTTCAAACTCGGGGCCCACTCCGCTACGCTCCGACCGACCCGAATCAGGAGGGCAGCCTAAAAGTTTAAGGTGTTGCTGCGCAAAAGGGGTCGGACACAGGGCGCAGCTCATGCTAAGAGCTAGAAGGGGAGCTAGAGAGAACGACTACCCTGTCCCGTTATTGCGTACACCAACACCACAAAAGCTCTCTCTCTCCTGTCTCCTCACTCAGGAGGGGGGTCACAACTACCGAGTCTCTCGACTAGCTGCCACGTTGCCGACCGAGAGCGGATCTCCTCCTGCTCCGCAAGGAGGGTGGCCAAGGCTAAAGTCTTGCCGGAGCCGCCGGGCGTGTTGACGACTTGGAGAAGGTCGCCCTTGCACTTGTACTTGTAGAGATGCTCGAGGGGGTGCTTTGTGGGGCGGTGCGCAGCCAGGCCAGCAGTGAGGGGAGGCGCACCCTCACTCTCCTCGGTTGCAGAGCTCGTCGGAGGCTGCGGCACGACGGGAGGGTCGGGACAGCAGTCCTCGGGCGAGCCGACGCGCATGTCCAACCAGCGCTGGGACTCGTTGTGACGGCAGACACCGGCTGCCTCTCCATTCGCTTCTGCAGCGTCCTTCTTTGCCCGTGCATGGGCTCGATGCGATTCCGCAGCGTGTCGTCCCCAGCGGCGGTGTTGCGCCGATCAGCTTTCCGTAGCACGGATTTGGCGGGCGTTCTTGGCTTCAATTTTACGAATGTCTTGGCACCAGCTGAAGGCTTGCCCCCGTCCCACGGCCGAGATCACATGGTTTCTGCACGGTATTCGGATTTTGCTATTTGTTCGTGTGGGGGTATATTGCAGATTTGTCAATGGTACCGCGTCTGCGACGCGGGCGCCTTGCGGGCAGAGCCCTTAGCCACCCTTTATATCTTGCGCGGTCATAAGAAGTGGCCCCCACCTGGGAATAGGACCGCCGCAAGCGGCGTGGCGTGGGGCGGTTGAGCATCCCTCCGGGGGACCCTCTGCGCCGGGGAGGCGTTGTTGGAGGCTAGGACGCAAGCGTCCGTCGCCTTTTTCAAACTCGGGGCCCAATCAATTGAAAGTCTGCACTAGGGCAAAGTCCTGCGGGCAGCCAGACAGACACTATTCCTAGGTCAATGGAGACGACCATGGCAACATCGCGTCCACGTTCGGAAAGAGCATCCCTCGGAGACACAGAGAGCTGACACGGTGACAGTGCTAAATGACGTTGCGTGTCACTGTATGGGTGGAACATACGCTCGTGTTTTTATGACGTGTATTTTGAATAGAGCATGAATATGGGAGATGCCCACTATTCATGCTCTATTCATTCCATTCACACACGAGCTTGAGTACTATCATACTAATAAATATGTATGTACTACAAATTATTTAGATATACGTGTACGGAGACTGTAGACCCGTGAGAGGGGACCTGAATGCCAGGGACGGCCGACCGGAACGGAGCGGAAAATGGAATTCCGGAACGCGGAACGGAAGTTTAACCTTGGTAGTACACCGGTACACTGTAGCCGTGTGTGTGTTTAAGTTCTTAGGCACAAAACGGCTACGCCTAGGCGACCTGGCTGGCTGTAGCCGTTGTGCCGCCCCCATCAGCGCAGGGCTTCCCACGGCCGTTTCCTAGCGACTGGCCCTAGGTGGTAGGTAGAAAGGTGAAGAACAGCCAGGCTCGGACTGGACACCAACGCGGTATGGCCGGGGCGGCAAATCTTTTTTGGCTAGGTCGAGGGCGCTAGGTTAGTGGCGCCAGACTCGAGCGCCGGCGCGGAGGAACAGCGGGAACCACTGAGGCAGCTGACACAAGGGCAGGCCGCTTGCGTTGACGGGAGGGTGGGTGCCCCTGCGGCATGCTCAACGCCGAGTGGCCATGGCACCGATTCGGCGTGACGGGCGTCTACTCCTCTGTGCTCATGATGACGGGCCTCTCGATCAACGTGCTCGGCCCGGTCGGGCCTGTGCTCATGCGCCACCTCTCCGCCTCGCCGCACAGCATCGGCTCCATCTATTCGGCCGAGGGCCTCGGCAACTTTCTCGGCTCCCTCCTACTCGGCCCGGTGCTCAGCCGGTTGCGGCCGCACGCCGTCCTCGTCGGCGTGAGCGCCCTCGTCTTCCTCTGCCTCGGCGCGGTGCCGTCCTGCTCGGCGCTGCACCAAGTGGCGTCGCTCTACCTGCTCATCGGCCTCGCCTCGGGACTCGGCAACGCCACTGCCAACACATCCCTCACCTGGGCCTGGCATGGCGCCGCGCCGCAGCTCGCCGCCGCCTTCAACCTTGTCAACTCTTGCTTCCCGCTCGGAGGCGCGCCACTGCCGAGACGCTTCCACCGCCGCACCGCCGCCCATCCGCTCGCCAGACGGCGACTAGAGCCTCGCTCCTCTCCCAGCCGCCCTCTCCCCTCCTCTGCTGCCAAGGGCGGAGGGCACATGGGAGGGCACCCTCCCGGCAGAGGCACCCTCCCGGCAGAGGCACCCTCCCGGCAGAGGCACCCTCCCGGCTCACCGCCTCGCCTCCTCCCTCCCGGCTCACCGCCTCTGCCGCCTCACCGCCTCGCCTCCTCCCTGCAGGCAGCGCCGCGCCTCTGGTCGTGCTCGCCTCCGAGCGGCGAGTCGGCAACTCGCTCGCCGCCTTCAGCGCGATCAGCGTCGCCGCACTCCTCCCCGCCGCCGGCTGCGCGCTGCTGCAGCCGCCGACGGCGCCCCCTCCGCCGCCCGAGGAGCGAGCAGAGGAGGAGAAGGAGGGCGCCGCCGACGGCTCGAGCCGCGCCGTCGGTGGGTCGACGGTGCTGGGGATCGACCTGGGCTCGCGCCGCGCGTACGTGCGGTGCACCGTCCACGCGCCGCTGCTGCTGACGACCACTCTCTGCATCGGGGCAGAGATAGCGTACGCGGCTTGGGTGTACGCCTACGCCGCCCACCACGCAGAGATGCGATCGGACGAGGCGAGAGGCAGCCGAGATGCAGCCGAGATGCAGCCGAGATGCAGCCGAGGTGCAGCCGAGGTGCAGCCGAGGTGCAGCCGAGGTGCAGCCGAGGTGCAGCCGAGGTGCGATCCGACGAGGTGGTCTCTCGTCGCTGCGCGGGTCGGAGAACGGACCGACTCACCTGCCCCTCCACCGCTCAGGCTGCGTATCTCTCCTCCCTCTATTGGTCCGCTTTCGTCGTCGGCCGGCTCAGCGCCACTCCGCTCGCCGCCTACTTCTCCCCGGGCTCCATCCTCGTCCCCTCCCTCGCCCTCGAGGCGCGACGTCTCCTCGACACCTCCTCGACACCTCCTAGACACCTCCTAGACACCACCAAGACACGTCCCAGACACCTCTAGATATCTCCTACCCCTCCTCCCTCGCCCTCGCCCTTCCTCCCTCGCCCTCGCCCTCCCTCCGACCCGGCTCCGGCCTCCCGCGTGCAGGTCCTCTCGCTGCTCGCTCTCGCCCTCCTCCCTCCCTCGTCCAACGTCATGCGCGCAGGCACGGTCGGCGCCGGCGTCGGCGTCTCGATGCTCTTCTCCAACATCCTCTCGCTGCTCGCCCGGTACCTCCTCACTCTGCCCGCGAGGACTCACCCGAACCCCAACCCCAACCCCCAACCCCCTCACCCCGTGGCCCCAGGTATGGCCTCCTCACCACCGCCATGACGGGCGCGCTCGGCGCCTTCGCCGCCATCGGACACATGACCGTCCCGTCGCTCGCCGGCGCTGCCATCGACAGGCACGGCTACGCCGCCCTCATGCCGCTGCTCTGCGCGCTCAACGGGGTCGGCCTCGCGCTCCTCACCGCCGTGGCGCGCCGCCGCACAGCTACGCTGCCCGCGCCGCCGCACAGCCTCCACTTGCATGCCTCCGCCTGCAGGTCCTCCACTTGCGAGCCAACTTCCACGCCGACGAGGGGAGCGGAGGTGCCGTGCCGCAGGGAGGGCGGCGGCTCGGTGGCCGCAGCAAACGGGCGGAGGAGGCGCGCCGAGATGCAGCCGAGATGCAGCGAGATGCAGCCGAGATGCAGCGGGATGCAGCCGAGATGCAGCCGAGCCTTCCGGACCTCGGCTGGCTGAGACGTGGTCACCGGCCAGGCCCTGCTCGCCCGCAGGCGCGGAGAATCGCTTCGGAGTGGTCGCCGTCGCCTCGCGGGAACAGCGCGCTCGACGGCGGCTCCTCCTCGGGTGAGGATTGGGCCGAGGCGGGCCAGGGCGAGCGACAGCGGCTGCTCGGAGGCGCCTCGCGGCGCGGGAGTGCGCCCACAACGGGCACCGTCGTGGTATGACTACCGACGCCGCTCGAATGCGATGCGTCTCACGGCTCTGAACAATCGCCGTGTCAAAGAAGATTGATGTGACGCCAGGAACCACGGATGATGGTGTGTACGTGTTGGAGAGAATGGGTCTGTGTGGTGGAGACACAGCGGCTGTATCAGTGTGAGCGCGGGGGTAAGTAACGAATCTCGATTGAGGAATTGTCGACAACACGAGCTCGTGTTGGGGCTCGCTTGATGGTACGTAGTGAGTTCTACACAGAATATCAGATACGCTTAAACACACGTACACGAGTAATTACATGGCACATGCACACACTGTCACACGCTGAGAGAGAATGCGTACCTCCACGGCGCGCGACACCCCCGCGCGAAAACGAGAGAGCTGCTCCGTGTCACACGCCCACCTAACTCTCTACTGTACGTCACCTGTACCTGTAGCGCGCAATAAATGAGCAGGGGCAGCTGCAGTAGTAAGTCTTATCAAACAAGCTCGTCGAGCTGGCGGATGACAGCCCGCTCCTTGCGGCGCAGGTTCATCCGGTGGGCGACGAAGACAGCCACGTTGACAGCCAGGAAGGAGATGATACCAACGTGGGCAACGAACGAGCTGTTGTGCGCGTCACCGGCCACAGCGTCCGCTCGCAGGGCGCCCGGGGCGGCAGCACCGTCAATCGCAGCAAACTGATCCTGCGTCGCCTTGCCCGACGCCTGGTACGCCTCGCCCTCCTTCTGGAAGTCGAAGTTGGGATCCGTGAAGAAGCGGAAGGCGGTGTCGGCGCCCTGGGCGGCAAAGTTCACGCCCGTCTCGGCGCCCGTCTGCGCGAACGGCATCCACCCGACCTTCTCAGCGGGCGGCGCAGCAGCCTCCTCCTTGGCGGCCTCCTCGGCGGCCTGGTGCTCGGCGTACTTAGCGGCCACGAACGAGGCAGCGGACGAGGCGGCATCGCCGACGGTGGCGTTCTCGGAGAACTGGATCGAGGCGAACTTGTCCGCAGTGGCGGCGGACGATGCCTGGTACGCCTCGCCCTCCTTCTGGAAGTCAAAGTTGGGATCCGTGAAGAAGCGGAAGGCGGTGTCGGCGCCCTGGGCGGCAAAGTTCACGCCCGTCTCGGCGCCCGTCTGCGCGAACGGCATCCAGCCGACCTTCTCAGCGGGCGGCGCAGCAGCCTCCTCCTTGGCGGCCTCCTCGGCGGCCTGGTGCTCGGCGTACTTAGCGGCCACGAACGAGGCAGCGGACGAGGCGGCATCGCCGACGGTGGCGTTCTCGGAGAACTGGATCGAGGCGAACTTGTCCGCAGTGGCGGCGGACGATGCCTGGTACGCCTCGCCCTCCTTCTGGAAGTCAAAGTTGGGGTCAAAGAAGAAGCGGAAGGCGGTGTCGGCGCCCTGGGCGGCAAAGTTCACGCCCGTCTCGGCGCCCGTCTGCGCGAACGGCATCCACCCGACCTTCTCAGCGGGCGGCGCAGCAGCCTCCTTGGCGGCCTCCTCCGCGGCCTGGTGCTCGGCGTACTTAGCGGCCACGAACGAGGCAGCGGACGAGGCGGCATCGCCGACGGTGGCGTTCTCGGAGAACTGGATCGAGGCGAACTTGTCCGCAGTGGCGGCGGACGATGCCTGGTACGCCTCGCCCTCCTTCTGGAAGTCAAAGTTGGGATCCGTGAAGAAGCGGAAGGCGGTGTTGGCGCCCTGGGCAGCGAAGGAGGCGCCCGTCTCGGCGCCCGTCTGCGCGAACGGCATCCAGCCGACCTTCTCCGCGGGAGCCTTGGCCTCGGTCTCCGGGCAGCCCAGCTTCTTGTACTCGCAGCACCAGGCCGCCTTCTCCTTGCTCCACAGCTCGCGGGTCATGCAGTTGTACGAGATCGCATCGGCCGAGCGAGCTGCCGGCACGTCCTCCTTGGCCTGCATCAGAGAGCCAAAGGCGTTGGCCGTCTGCACTCCCGTCTTCTGGAACTCAGAGCCCTCCTTGTTGAGATCAAAGTTGGGGTCGGAGAAGAAGTGCGAGCCTGTGGCCGCGCCCTGTGCAGCAAAGGCGGCGCCCGACTGCACGCCCGTCTGCATGAACGGAATCCACTGGTGCTCAAAGAAGGCGCCATTGCTGTTGGCCTGCGCTGACTTCTCCTCAGGCGCCTTGGCGGGGGCAGAGTCGGCGGAGCTGACGACCTCCAGGAAAGCAGGCGCGGGCGGCTGCTCGGTGGCGGTCTTGCTCTGCTTCCACTCAGCGTAGGCGGTCTTCGGGTCAGCCATAGCCGCCTTGAGCGAGGCGGTGAAGGCGTTGAGGTTGTGCAGCAGCGTGTCCAGCGAGTGCTCCATCCCGACCTTGCCCTGCTGCACGTACGGCTTAGTCATCTCGCGATTGCGCTCCGAAAGGACATCGATCTGGTGGGAGACCTGCTCGGCCCGCGCGTCGCCGGCAAAGGCCTTGACGAAGGGGAGGGCGGCCTGCTTGTACGCCTCGGTCAGCTGATCCTGCGCGTCATACATCATGGCGAGCGACTCGTTGAGCGAGCCGCCCTCCTCGTAGATGATGGCCGACATCTTGACACCAGTCGTGTCCTCCACAGCACGGCTGAAGGAGCTGCCGGTGTCCTTGTTGTAGACGTCGGGGTTGCTCAGGTCAGAGACCGCCTCATTCACTGTGTGGCTGAGCGGGGCAGCGAGGAGGAAGAGCATTGCTGGGGCGGTCTGGTTCTGTTCCCGTCCTGGCGCGAAACTCCTTGCCCTTGGTGGCGACGTGGCGCGAGGCTGCAGAAGATTTATCAGACACAGATTTTTATTAACCAACAAGAAATCACGACTCTCACAGTGATTTGGGCTCGGCAGCTTGTTAGCCCTCAGCCGAAGCTGGGGCCGGTCCCGTAGCCGAGAGAGCCCGCGCCGTGAGTTCGACGCGGTCGGGAGGCCTTGCGGAGAGGCCAGCGAGGTGGCGATCGCTGTACTTCATGGTCGTCATCAAGTGACCGGCTGACAAGCCAGAGGTCGATACTCTGGACGACCCATAGGATGCCACGAATGCCTGAAGGAGAGGGAGGCGAGGCCAGAGGCAGGCTCAGCTGCTCTCGGGTGATCCCGCTTTGGAGGCTGAAGGACCCGATGGTCCTGTCACATTCGCGTTCCGAGTCGTGGGGGTAGAAGAATTCGAGTAGAAATCGAGTCAGCACTTCTCTCTCTCTCTCTCTCTTTATCAGTGTACGTAGCTCTTACGTACATTCAAGAAAGAAAATTGAGGGTTGCTTGACCGAGGGAGAGGCTCGCGGAAGAGGGTCGCCTGTGAATGGAGCCCACGCGCCGCAAAACAACCAGAAGTTGATCAAGCCGCACGCCGCGACGAAGTCCGGCGCCGTCCCAGCGCATGTTCAGCCAGAGCATGTTCAGCCAGAGATAAAAGAGGAACGTGCCGTTGTCAGCAGCTGCGCTTCGGAGGGGCCACGTCGACAAGTCTGCGTCCGTCCCTGCTCGCACCAAGGAATTCATTCAGTAACGAGCGCGAGCTCGCCCGCCAGCAGACCACCTCGTCCCAGCAGAGCCATGAGCGACCAGCAGCAGCGCCTCGTGAGCCAGCAACGGACGGCAGGTCTGCAGGAGACACTGCAGAAAGCGCAGCCGCCGCCTACACGCGTGCATCCTCAGCTGCGGCAGCGTGCGCTGACGAGCGACGGAGCTTCGCAGGCCGACGCCAAGCCGCGGCAGATACTGTACAGCGGGCTGAGCGACGCGGAGCGGGCGACGCAACGGGGTGCGCAGCGACGCGATGCCGCACACGCACCGCTGCAGCAGCGGAGAGCCCCGCAGCGGCGGGATGACGATGACGACTTTGAACTCACGTCATACGCCAACGGCTGCTGCATCTGCTGGGTCTCAGACCACCACTCGCCGATTGAGTGCCGAATCGCATGCTCTATCATGTGAAGGGCCCGGGTAGGTTTAGGGCTCACGTGCGGCTCGCCTTTTATTCGCTGCTCGTGTTGTGAACGTGAGGCCGGATGAGCCCGAGCAGGGCCGGCGCCATCACACATTTGTCCCTCTGTTTAATTGTGTTATATCAATTCAGAATCGGACGCGGGCGGAGAGAGGGAGAGGGAGAGAGGGAACGAAGAGAGAGAGAGAGAGAGAGAGAGAGAGAGAGAGAGAGAGAGAGAGAGAGAGAGAGAGAGAGAGAGAGAGAGTGAGAGAGAGAGAGACGAGAGAGAGAGAGAGAGACGAGAGAGAGAGAGAGAGAGAGAGAGAGAGAGAGAGAGAGAGAGAGTGAGTGAGACAGAGAGAGAGCGAGACAGAGCGGAGAGACGAGAGAGAGAGAGTCGCAGAAAGAGACAGAGACAGCGACACACACACACACACACACACACACACACACACAGAGAGAGAGAGAGAGAGCGAGCGAGAGAGAGAGAGAGAGAGAGAGAGAGAGAGAGAGAGAGAGAGAGAGAGAGAGAGAGAGCGAGCGAGCGAGCGAGCGAGCGAGCGAGCGAGAGAGAGAGAGAGAGAGAGAGAGTAGCCGAGAGAGAGCCATGGAGAGAGAGCGCCCCCGTAGAGCAACAATCGGCTGTGACTCATATCGCGGCTCCGCGGTTCGGCTGGCCGGTGCCGATAGTCGCCAGTGCTGCAAAAGAGCAATGATCAGTTCCGCGGTTGTGACTGGATCTTGGCATCGGGCCTTCCGTCTCATGTGATCCTCGCGGGCGACGGCGACGGCACAGTGAGTGTGTGTCGTGAGTGAGGCCGTGTAAAGATTACTTTTGCAAAAAGTGTCGAGTCGTCCCCCCGGCGTAATACACAACGACCTGTCCGAACAACTCCCACAATATATACCCCTCGAGATATAGCTCCTCATGATGCTGGGGGCACCGCACCCATGGCGCGTTGCCGGTGTCGGCGCACGGCTACGGCCCTGCATCTGGCCCGTTGCCGGTGTCGGCGCCGTCGCAGAACGAGGCAGAGGAGAGCGATGAGGCAGAGGACGACGGGGCAGGAGAGAGCACGACGAGAGTGGGACGACCGCGAGGTGGCATGAAGGTTGCTGCGAGAATTGGCGAGAGACTGCGAAGAGAGATGGGAAGAGGCAGACAAACAAGGGTGGGCGACGGCTAGCACCAAACTCCCCGCGGGCGGGGTGGTTGCGGGGAAGCGAGGGCTCAGTTGCCGGTCATCTCGTAGCCAGGCGCGGAGGTGGTGATGCGCATCTTCAGCTCTTCGTACTCCTGACAGGATGCGCAAGGGCCGCACCAGTAGTGGATGCAGCAGTCCGAGAAGGAGTCGCCCTGGATGTTGTACTTCTTGCGGAGATCGGTGCGGACGCCGCAGGCGATGAGGCTGCCGAAGTGCACCAAACCCGCCAACGGGCCGAGGACAAAGATGGCGACGCCCTGGATGGTGCCACCCACGGCCGCGTGAAGGCAGCAAAGGCCACCGCCACCGTCGCAAACTTGGACGACCTTGCCGGTCTGGATCATCTTGGCATTGGCGCCGACGACGCTGTGGCAGGGAGTCGACTCAGACGGTTGTGCGAGGAGGGAGTAGAGTCAACTCAGGCGACGATATGGGGCTTGGGAGGGGGCAAGGCACCAGCACGGACAGCAGCATCCAGCGCAGCCTGCGCTCTTGCAGCAACCGCCGCAGAGGTCGACCTTCCAGACGTCAGCTTCGACCGCCGCGACGGTTGAGTCGGCCTCGGTGGGCGTCTCTTCGACGGGCTTCACGGGCTCCACCGGCGCGACAGTCTCGACTACTGGCGTCATATGTTTGGATTGAGCGCTCTCTCGCGGTGCGAGCCGCCAAGATGAAGACACGCTACCTGGTATCTCCTTTTTCCGCGTCCCAGACTTAAAAGAAGGAGGCAAAAAAATCGCTATTCCCACCTGCCCCTACCTCAGCGCGCGCCGTAAGGCTGCATGCGCCTCCGCTCTCTCATCAGCAGGTCAGGGTGATGTACCTGCGGAGCCATCGAGCCGGCGTTGGTCGCGACACCCGGTGTCACTCTGGGAGGGCCGGCGGGGAGGCAGGGTAGGGCTTGGAGGCACGGGCGGGATGGACGCACATCGACGATCAGGACGACGCGCATGGAGGGGACGCCGGCCTCGGGTGGCGAGAACACCTCGTGCTCGAGCGAGTCGTCAAAGATCAGCGCCTCGCCGGGGACCCAGCTCGCGTTCACGCCGCCGACGGTGATGACGTAGCCAGCCTGCGGCAATCCCATAGCGCGTACTGAGAGCAGAAGCTACTCGACGGCGACGACCTCAGCTCGCCTCCGGCGCGTACAGGCACACGTGGACTCGCAGGCGCCCGTTTGTCGGGCCAGCGTGCGGGAAGATGCGCGACCCGCTGTGGAACACTGAGAACTTCACCTGTCAGCAGTGCAACAGTGTGAGGAGAGCCGCCGGGTGTGGTGCGGTGAGGCGCGACTCGCCTGCCCCATCGGCGAGAGCACCGCCGTGTGGGGCTCGAGCACGCGGCACGTGGTCGGCGCCAGCGAGCAGCGCCCCTCCACCGCCTTGCCTCGCTTCCACAAGTCGAACTTGTGCCAGTGGTTCGGCCGCGCGGAGAGATGCTCCTCTGTTTGCACCGTAGCGCCGGCGGCTAGGATTGCGGACGCCTCCACCGCGAGCTCGCGCCAATGCTGCTCCAGCGCCTTGACCGCCGCCTGCTCGTCGGCTGGCAGCTCAGCGCGCCTCCAAAACGCCTGCAGTAGTGCCACGCTCGACTGAGAGCGGCCCTGCAACGCGCAAGCTCCGCGCGCTGCCATGGAGCCTGCGAACGCAGCGGCCGCTCCGTCCCTTCGACGCGGTGCACGGCGCTCTCATGGAGCGAGCGGCGGGCGGCGCCCCGCGCGGCTGCCTGCCCGGTGGGACGGACGGCGGGTCCGGCGCCGGGGCCGTCAAAGGCCAACGCGTTCGCGCTCCACACGCCGTCCTGCGCGGGCAGCTCCCCTCGCAGGTGGAGAGCCTCGGCCTCGGCGCGGCGGCCGGTCCGCTCGTAAGCGACGACGAGGAGGAGGTGTACGCGTGCGAGGGAGGTGAACTTGAGCGCTGAGCCGCCGCTCACGAGCACGAAATCAACGACCCCTAACGACGTGAGTCGTCCGTGACTCGGCTCGCGGTAAGGCGATGACGTTGAGGCCCACCGCTCGCCTTCCCAAGCTGGGTCTCCTCGCAGCGCCGCCTCGAGCGGCGCGAGCAGCGCCACTGCCCTGCCGTAGTCGGCCTCGCCTGTGGGCGTCTTCAGCCCGCCCAGCTCCTCGGCGAGGAGCACGGTCGCTCGCCGCGCGTTCGCGACCAGGCGCGCCGCCGGCCGGGCGGTGGGCGGTGCCGTGTCGATATCGCCGGTGGCTCCCGCCTCTGCCACCGCCACTGCCTTCGCAGCCTCGTCCTCCTCCTCCTCCGCCGCCGTCGCCGCCGCTTCTGTCGCTGACGCCGCCGCCGCAGCCTCCCCGTCCCCCCCTCCCAGGAGCGCGGCAGTAGCCTCGCGCCACGCGGACTCGAGCCAGTGCAGAAAGACCTGCCGCAGCGGGCGGCGCGCGTGCGACTCGGCGGCGGCGCGCAAGTGTGTCGGCAACTCGTCGGCAATCAGTCGCGCCACCTGGGGTGAGGGAGTGGGTGAGGGAGAGCTTGCGCTGCTATTCGGGGCGAGCTCCGCCGCGAACCATGGTCAGCTCGGCATCGGTGCCCGGGGCGCAAAAGTGGCGCGTGGTCTCGGTGGCGTCGCTCCAGAATGGCTCCTCCGGCTCGAGCGGCTCGACCCAAGCAAAGAGCGCCATGAATCGGTCATAAGGGTTGTCGGCCAGCATCGCGAAGCGCGCGAACGCCACACGGACCGCGTTCACGGCGATCCGCGCCATCGAAACTGGCCACCGAGCCGCCTCGCTTCTCATTAGTTCGTAATATCCCTCTGTCACCGACTGGCGCGCCAGGCTGCTCGAGCGCGGCTCAGGAGCTTGCAGCAGAGCGGCGTCCGCCTCGAGTGTGCCGGCGAGCTCCCTCAGCAGCCTCGCCAGGGCGCCGTTGCGACGGCGAGTCGATGTCGTCGCGCCTCTGCTCAGCGCGCGCGCCCGCTTCCGTGAGGCAACCGCCGCCGCCTGTAGCCGCTCTGCGTCTCGCGCCTCGCCAACCTCCGCCGGGCTCGGGCGGTACGGGTGGGCGGCCTCCAGCAGCGCTGTGAGCAGCGATCCCTCGGGGTCGGGCGCGGACGACGGCTCGCGCCACACCACCGTGCAGCCATGGGCCGGCGATGGCGAGAGGCTAGGCGACGTCGGCGGCATTGAGGCCTCGCACTCCAGCTCGCTACACACGGTCGCGGAGCAGGCAGAGAGCACCAGTACGAGGCGGGCGAGAGGCGCTGGCTGCATGTGAATGCGCAGTCGAATACATGCGCTGCAAGCACTGCACGACAGCGCACGGCAGCAAATCGTGCGGGACGCACGACGGGACCGAGTTTCTTTTTTTCGCGCTGGAAGGCAAATTGTAAGTACATTACTCTGGGACGCTGGATAAATGAACACTCCAATACGCGTACGCGCCGGCGCGGCAACCAGCAACTCAAACCGTGTACCGCAATACTATCAACACCGAGGCAGCCTCAACTTGGCCGTGCTGCGCCGCCCCTTACGCCGCCGCCGCCGCGCCGCCAAAGGTCTGGTGCACAATCTCGCGCGTGCCATGCATCTTGCCCATCCCCTCCTGCGTCGCGTGGCCGTGCGAGCCCAGGTTGATCTGCGAGATGCCGTCCGTGCCGAGCCCGTCGATGCCCTTGATGTTGGTCGTCCGGTCGATGTTCTTCGACGTGTCGAAGGTGCCGGCCTGCGAGGCGTGCCCGTGCGAGCCCATGCCGACCGCGGTCGTGGTGCCGTCGCCGCCGAGGCCGTCGATGCCCTTCACGTGGTCGACCTTGCTGATGTTCTTCGATGTGTCGAAGGTGCCGGCCTGCGAGGCGTGGCCGTGCGAGCCCATCCCGACCGCCGTCACGCTGGCGTCGGTCCCCAGGCCGCCGATGCCCTTCACGTGGTCGACCTTGCCGATATTCCGGCTGGTGTCGACGGTGCCCGCCTGCGACGCGTGCCCGTGCGAGCCCATGCCCACCGCTGTCACGCTGGCGTCGGTCCCCAGGCCGTCGATGCCGCGGACCTTGTCCATCTTGCCGATGTTGCGGCTGGTGTCGACGGTGCCCGCCTGCGAGGCGTGCCCGTGCGATCCCTTGCCGAGGAAGGTCTGCTCCGCCCGGCCCTTGCGCAGCGTCTCCTCGTCAAAGTGCCGCACCGACCTGTCCGCAAGCTTTGCCCCGAGGGTCGGGCCGCCGTAGCCAGGCACCTTGCCGCTGACGCGGCCGAGCGAGTGGATATTTGTGACGACGGCCATCATGTCCTGGTTCTCGTAGAGCGAGACGGTCTGGAAGAGGTCGTGCTTCGGGACGCCCAGCGCGCTGCACGCCTCGAGGTACTTTGCGATGTTCTCCATCTGCTGGAACGCCATCTTCATCGTCGACGGCTTCTTGCAGACGCCGGGCTTGAGCGCGTTGACGAGGGCGCAGAGGACGACGCCCGACTTGAGCGCCTCCTGGAGCGTGCCCTCGAGCGCCTCGCCCGTCACCGCCTCGATCCACTCCCGCGCCTCGCGCTCCATCTTCGGGTCAAACTTGGCCGCCGCCTTGTCGGCGAGCTCTTTGTCCATGCCGTAGAGCGGAATGCCGTCGTCGCGCTTCGCGGCGCCGTCGTAGCCGGCGTGCACCGCGTTGCTGACCGGCTTGGTGGGCACGCGCGTCGACATGAAGTGGTGGTCCGTCATTGTTGGATGTGGAGACGAGGTTCGGCTGTGGAGGACGTGCGAGTTTGTGCTTCCTTCCTTGTTGACGTGGACGATCGGAGCCGACATCCTGGCCGATGCTCTCCCTATCATGTTAATAAGAAAAGGAGGCGCGCGTCCCTTGTCGCAGCTAGTCACACACACACACACACACCGCCGCACCGCGCGCACGCCCACCGCCCCGCCTAGGTGGGAAAGAGATGAGGAGATGGAACAGCCCGAGCAAGAAGCTAACAAACGCGCGTGGGAGGTTAAGACTTAAGTAGATGCGCGCGCATCTACTTAAGTCCTAGATGCGTCACGCTGCCCGGCTTCCCGGGACAGCCCCGCCCTTGTGAGGCAGGAAAGTGACGGCTACCCCGTACGCCCTGCTGTCTATGACCCCCTCGCTGACCGCCCATCCCTCCCTCCCCTTCTCCAAACCTCGACGAGCCGATGTTCAGTCGTCCCGCTTAGAAGCGCCAGGCCTGCCCCGGCTGAGGTCGGGGAGCAAATCGCGCCGGATCGCCTCGGCGAGCGCGTGGCCCGTGGGCTCCTCTGCGTTGGGCATCGTGAAAGAGTAGTGCGCATCTGCTCCCATCCCGAGCTGCCGCTTCAGAACGAAGGCCTACGGGCGCGATCCGGTTGAGTCACTCACTCGGGAGCGGGCCGTTGAGGGAGTCAACAGTTGGCCAGCCAGCGCCTGGCTCGGGAATGGAGGCAGCGTGAGCGCGAGGAAGATGGGTGGGCACCGGCCAGGCAAATCATGGTGCGACTCCACGTTGTAGTCGCCCGACGCCAGCAAAGCGTCAACCATCGACGTCTTCGCCTCGAAATAAAGAAATTCGCGACCTCGCCGGCATGACGGTCGCGCCTAGCGAGTCCTCACGCGACACGCTGGTCGCCGCCTCCAGCGCGGGCACTGTCGCTCTGCTGGCGCTCATCGCTGCCGCCTCGCGAGCACTGCCTCCGTCGCAGCAGCTGCTGCTCGGGGCCAGCGTCGCGCTGTCTGCCGTCGCCGCGTTTGCATGCTCGCGGCTGATCGAGTCGCAGCAGACGCGCGAAATGTTCCTCAGCGCGGGAATACGCGGGATCGACCTCAACAAGGCGACGACGCAGCGCGACAAGGCGGGCAACCTCGTCCGGCCAATCAGCGGCGTGCCCATCCCGGAGGCGCAGGGCATGGTCACTGCGGCCGTCTACGTGCTGGCGCTCGCCGTCTTCATCCCATTTGCGTGCGCGGGCTTCCAGGCGGCCGAGGGCAGCGGCGCGCCGTTCCCCCACGAGCGGCTCTCCGAGTTTCTCGCCGCGCTCCTCTCCATCATGCTCGCCGCCTTCCTCGGCTTTGCCGACGACGTGCTCGACCTGCGGTGGCGACACAAGATCCCGCTCCCGCTGTTTGCCAACCTGCCGCTGCTGCTGGTGTACGGCGCCTCGGGCGGGCTGACGGGGGTGGCGGTGCCGCTGCAGCTCCAGCCGCTGCTCGGCCCCTACCTCGAGCTCTCCCTCCTCTTTTACGTCTTCCTCCTCGCCCTCGCCCTCCTCGCCACCCACGCCATCAACATCCTCGCCGGAGTCAACGGGCTCGAGGTGGGTCAGTCGGTCGTCCTCGCCGCGGCGGTCGCCACCCTCAATGCTGTCCAGCTGCTGCGCACCGCCGCCGACGCCGACGCCGCGGAGTACCAGCGCCACCAGGTCCCCACCTCTCCACATCTCTCCACACGCCTCTCCGCACCGCTACTCCTTTCGGCTCTGCGGCTGCTCGCCTCTGCTCTGGACGCATCTCCACTCGCACCGGCCTCTCGCCTCCCCGCCTCCAGGTGGCGAGCCTCCTCCTCGTGCTGCCCTTCCTCGGCGTCTCCCTCGCCCTCATGCGACTCAACTGGTTCCCCTCCCGCGTCTTTGTCGGCGACACGTACGCCTACTTCGCCGGCGGCTTCCTCGCTGCCGTCGCCATCGTCGGCCACTTCTCAAAGACGATGGTGCTGCTGCTCGCGCCCCAGTTCCTCAACTATGCCTACTCGGCGCCGCAGCTGCTGCGCTGGATCCCGATCCCGCGCCACCGCATGCCCGCCTTCGACGCGCGCACCGGGCTGGTCTCGAACAGCTATGCCACTCTCGTCGAGGCGGAGCTGAGCCGGCCCGGCCGCGCCACGCTGTGGCTGCTCCGCACCTTCCGCCTCGCCAAGGTCCTCCCGCCCGACGAGAGCGGCGTGACACGCGTCTCCAACCTCACCCTCATCAACCTCAGCCTCTACTGGATGGGGCCGTGCCGCGAGGACGTGCTGTGCACCCGGATGCTCGCCTTCCAAGCGCTCTGCGCGGCGGCCACCTTTGCAGTCCGATTCGGCCTCGCGGGCCTCTTCTACTCGGTGGTGCGATGACCTGTGTGTGTTCCACCCCACTTGTCACCGCGGGATAGCAGAGAGCGTCTCATTAACAGGAATCTCTACAACTCGCGAGAGAAAAAAAACTGTTCAACTTCTCAGTTACTGTTCAGACTTCAGTTCCTTTCATCCCATATCCCAACTGATTTCAGATTTGCAAGCGCGAACTTATTTCTCATAGGCCCCATCCCGCGAGACATCGGAGTTTTACAAACAAAAAGCAAAACGACACCGTATGAGAAGTTCAAGGGTGGCGACGTCGCGTCCAAGGATCATCGGCCGTGGCGCGTGCATGGGTTGGCGGTTGCTGTTGTGGCGTGGTGTGAAAGTGATGATCGGCATGCGGGGGGGAGATCTCACAAGAACCGCGGATGATCTCTTTCAGACGCACACACCGGACATAGTCGGGCGGTCGTATCTGGTCGCCCTATATCTAGACCACTCCGGCTCTGCAGAGCCGAAGTGCGCTGCCCCCACACCGTGCTGTCAGGCGCAAGCCGGATGTGAGGCGGCACCGCGCATCACGCAGCCTGTTGCTGCGCGACCCAGCCGGCGATGGCCTGCTTGATGGTCGCCTTCCACGGCCCCATGTCAGCGCCAAAGTGCGAGGTGAGTTTGTCCTTGATCTGTAGCGCGGGAGGGGGGGCCAGAGGTCGGTGGGCTGGCTTGGGGTGTGCGGCGAGGACTGCGGCCCCCCACCTGGTTGCGACTCATCTCCAAGGCCCTGGCGCCCGCCTTCTTCAGCACGGCGCGCACCGCCTTGCCGACCAGGCCCTCGTCGAGCTTGCGCCGGTGCTTGCTCTCGACGGTCGAGGTGAGCGGCGACGCCTTGCTGCCCCCCTCCGTACGAGCCTCCTTGCCGGCCGGCACCTCGACCTTCATCTCCTCGGGCCGGGGCCGCTTCTCGGACTTGCGCGGCGGCTGCGTCTGCCCCGACAGAGGTGCCAGAGGAACCGCCGCCGGAGGAGCGGCTTTTGGGGAGGGCGGCAGCGAGGGCGGCAGCGAGGGCGGCAGCGAGGGCGGCAGCGAGGGCGGCAGCGAGGGCGGCTGCGCAACCCCAGCCGCGGCGCTCTCGGCAAGCCCCGCAGGCATCGCCGGCGAGGCGGCCGCTGCAGGAGAGGCGGGCGCTGCGGGCGCCGGCGGCACGGCTCCTCCTGCGGGCGCCCCCTCCTCCGCGGCGGCACGCGCGGCCGGCGCGGCAGCCGGCGCGGGAGTGGCGCCGTCGGCATGGCTCGCCTCCCTGGCGCGGCGCTTCATCTCCTTCTTGCGCACGACGGTGCCGTCCGAGTCGTCCGAGTCGGTCTGGTACTCCATCCACGAAGGCGGCTTCCACCGGCTCGCCTCCGCCTCGGCCGCCTCGGCGGCGGCGGCCGCCGCCTTCCGCCTCTGCCGCTGCTCCTGCCGCGCCTTCTTCGCCTTTGGCTGGTCGCGCGCGAAGCGGCTCGAAGACACGCGCACCTCGCGCTGCTTGGCGAGCGGCACTCCGACGCTGCCCATCGCCCTCGCCTGCAGCTCTCCGCCGCCCTGCTCGATCGTCCACTCGTCGCCGGAGAGCACGTCGTCGTCGTCGTCTGACGAGTCGGCGGCCCGCACCGCCTTCTTGCGCCGGCCGCCCTTGCTCGCGCGCGCGGGCTTGCGCGCCGGCGGGGAGGGTTTCGCATCCGATGCCGGGCTGGCCGAGTCGGCGGCGGCGGCGGAAGCAGGGGCGGCGGAAGCGGGGGCGGCGTGGCGGCCGCGCTCCTCCCGGTGGCGCTCGAGCAGCGCGTCGAGGGTGAGCGCTTCGTCGGGGTCCGCCGCCCGGCCCGCCGCCGCCGCCCCGCCCGCCGCCTCCCGCTGGTGCGCGGCGAGCAGCTCGTCGAGCGTGAGCGACTCGTCGAGGGCGCCGAGCGCACCGCCCGCCGCGACCTCCGCCGCGACCTCCGCCGCGAGACCCTCCAGCTCCTCGGCACTCACGCCGACCATCCCCTCGGCGAGCGACGCCTCCGAGAAGCCGGCCGCGGAGAAGACGCCGCCCGCCTCCTCGTCCGACGAGTGGTCATCGTCCACCAGCCGCGCGCGAGGCTTGCGCCGCCCCGCTCCGACTGCTGGCTTGGCCGCCGGCTTAGCCGCCGACGCGGACTTGGCCGGCCGCGCGCGTTTGGCAGCCGGCCCCTCGTCGTCTGAGCTGTCCGCCACCGGCTTGGCGGGCTTGGCGGGCTTGGCAGCCGCCTTGCCGGCCTTGGCAGCCGCCATGCCAGCCTTTGGGGGGGCGGGAGGAGCCTTGCCGCGCTTGCCACCCGGCTTGGACGGCAGCGTCGGCGCCTTCTTTGGCGGCGGCGGCTCGTCGTCGCTCGAGTCGGCGAGAGCTGCCGCCGCGGCGGCGGCGGCGGCGGCGGCCGCTTCTGCCGCCAGGCGCAGCTTCTCCGCGCGGAACTCCTTGACGCGCTTCTTCGCGCTCTGCAGGTGTGCGAGCGGCTCCCAGCTGTCCGCCTCTGCGCCGTAGCCGACCCAGCGCACGAGGAACTGCACCTTGCCGCGGTGCGTCCGCTCATCGAGGATCTGGTCCACCTCGTACTCGCCGCCGCCCTCGGCCTGCTCCGCCGCTGCCGTGGGGCCCGCCACCTCTGCAGGGCTCGCCGCCGGCGGAGGGCTCCCCGGCGAAGAGCGGTACGCCGGCAGCGGCGAGCCACTCTCCTCCCCGACGACGCTGCTGTCGGGCGATCGGCGCGCGCCCCGGCTCCGGCGCCCGCCTGATGGCGGGAGCGGCGACGCCCCCTCGGACGCCTCCTCGTCGTCGTCCATCGAAGGCATCCACTTTGGAGCCGAGCGCTGACGGCGCGGCCGGTTGACCGCCGCCGACGTGGCCGCCTCCTCCGACGCCGCGGCGGCCTTCTCCACGCGCTTCTTCTTGCTCGCGGCGGCCTGCTCCCGCTTCGCCCTCTCGGCCTCGCGCGCCTCCTCCGCCTCGCGCTCCGCCCGCACCTCGCTCACCCGCGCGAGGACGAGCCGGTCGAAGTCCTTGCGGCACTTCTTCACCATCGGCGGCAGCGAGCACGCCGCCTCGAACGCGAGCCGCAGCTTCTTCGCCGTCAGCTCGTCGAGGTCGCTCTCCGCTGTGACCTGCTCCTCCAGCCACGCCGCCGCCCGCTCCTCGGGGAAAGTCACGGTCTCCGCCGCCTCCGGCACCGCCTGCGGCTCTGCCGGCGGCGGCTCTGTCACCACCCGCTCCTCCTCCGCCGCCTCCGCCGCCTCTTCCGCCTCCGCCCCTGCCGCCTCCTTCGCCTCCACCTCCGCCTCCGCCGCCGCCCCTGCCGCCTCCGACGCTTCCGCCCCTGCCGCCTCCCCCCCTGCCGTATCGTCGAGGTCGTCCACCGGCGCTGGCGCCGCGGCCTCGAGCTCGGCCAGCCGCCCTCGCGCCGCCTCGAGCGCCTTGGCCGCCACGCCCGCGGCGACCGCCACGTTGATGATGCAGCGCAGCGCCGAGGCGGAGCCCCACGCCGGGCTGCTGCTCGCCTTGAGGACGGTGGCGGCGGCCTGCTCCGCGGCGTACACCTGCTCGAGGAGGCGCTTGAGCTGCTCGAGCGCCGCGTCGAACGACGCCTGCTCCGCCAGCTTCTCGGCGACGCGCAACGAGAGCACCGCCTTTGCGCCGGTTGCGTTGAGCGCCAGCCGGCGGCAGAGCTCCTTGAGCTCGACCAGCCGGTGAGAGGCGAGCATCTTGTTGAGCCGGCTCGCCATCGACTGGCCTCCCTCGTCGGCGGGGGCGGCGGGCGGCGGCGGCGACTGGCGCGCCGGCGCCGCCGCCGGCGCGGAGACGTACGTGCGGAACCGCCCTTGGTGCGGAATCATCACCTCGACGTTGTACCGCTGGCGGAGGTCGGCGTCGGAGAGCACCTTGTGGGCCTCGGAGAGCTTCTTGAAGGCCTCCTCGGCGCCGCGCGCGTGGTTCTTGTCCGGGTGGACCTTGAACGACAGCTTCTTGTACAGCGATCGCTCCTTCTCCGGGTCAAACTCGGCCTGCGTCGTGCCTGCGGTGGCGCCGAGCGAGCCGCGGTGACGGCGGCGCCTGGTCGGGAGAGGTGTGGCGGAGCGCAGAGCGGCGCGCACCGAGGATCGCGTAGAAGTGGGGAGCGTCGATTACCGCCTTGACGGCCTCCGCGGCAGCCGAGCCAGGGCCAAACTTCTCGAGATGTGTGCAGAAGCTTTTCGCCTGGTCGTTCGCGTCGTCAAGCCGCACCGCCTTTTGAGCGAACCGGAGAGCGCCCTCGTCGTCTCCGTCCTCGTACCGCTTCCTCGCTACATCGAGCGCAGCCACGGAGGACTCGGCGTTCATCGAGGAGCACGCGGTTTCGCTCGCGACGGATCGCAGCTGGTTGCCAGTGGGTTCGAGTGAGCAAGACAGTTGTGCCCGAGCGGGAGTCCGGCGAAGAAGAAATACCTCGGTTCAGCAGCTCCTGCTCCGCGACTGTCGCGACAACTAGTTGACATAAAAAAGCAAAGCCGCGACGTGGAGCCGGTCTGTGTAGAGAGGATTCACAGGACACATTCACAGTCGGAACGAGTTCACGATGGACGGGCTGTACCCACACCACAGCTCTGCCCAACGCGGCCAAAGGATATCCAGCTCGAGAACCTCGAGGAGCGAGAACGCTTCCACAGACACAGGAACAGGAGGCACCTCACACATGCCGCTGATCACAAAGCTCATTCTCGCGCTCACCATCGGCTCTGCGCAGCCGCTCCGCCAGCCCGTCGGCCGCATTACGTCGCTCGACCGGCGAAAGCTAGTCGCGAGCGTGTCCGACTCGGAGTTCTACAAATCTCCGCGGCTCGTGGCGCACGCCGACGACGCCTTCCTGCGCAAGCTGACTGCGCTGTACCGCGAGCGGCTCCCAGCGGGCGGAGTGCTGCTCGACCTGATGTCGTCGCACATCTCTCACCTCCCGCCAGCGATGTCCTTCGCGCGGGTCGACGGCCATGGAATGAACGCCGAGGAGCTGTCCAAGAACCCCGCCTTTGCGGGTGGCCAGTGGTGGGTGCAGGACCTAAACGAGGACCCGGCGCTCTCGTTCGCCGCCGACGGCGAGTACGACGCCGTGTTGTGCATGGCGGGCGTGCAGTACCTCCAGGAGCCCGAGAGCGTCTTTGCCGAGTGCAGTCGCGTGCTCAAGCCGAATGGCGTGATGATTGTCGCATTCACGAACAGCTTCTTCTACCAGAAGGCCATCTACGGTTGGAGCGAGAGGGGCATGGCGACGCGCGCAAAGCTCGTGAGGGACTACATGCGGGCGGCGGGCGGCTTCGACGACATAACAGTCGAGGGCGATGGCACCGGCCTCGTCGCGCAGCTAGCCAGCATTGGGGGTCTGGGCGGCGACCCCTTCGCGGCGGTCGTGGGGCGGAAGAACGGCAGCTAGTGGATACTTGTTTCTGGATTCCTGGGGTACGAAAGTCGGCCCTGTTTTTGGTTTTTTTTACCGCGCAAGATATAAAGGGTGTCCTAAGGGCTCTGCTCGCAAGGCGCCCGCGTCGCAGACGCGGTACCATTGACAAATCTGCAATATACACCCACACGAGCAAATAGCAAAATCCGAATACCGTGCACGAACTGCAGGATGTGCGCCGGGCAAGCCTTCAGCTGGTGCCACATCCGTAACGAAATTGAAGCCAAGAACGTCCGCCAAATCCGTGCTGTCGTGCTTTGGGAGCAACTGAGGGAAAGCCGCTGATCGAGCCCAGCGTGCCCGCGGCCGCCTCCCGCGCAGCACCGCCGCTGGGGACGACACTCGAGCCCATGCACCGGGCAAAGAAGGACGCTGCAGAAGCGGTTGGACGTTGGAGAGGCAGCCGGCGTCTGCCGTCACAACGAGTCCCAGCGCTGGTTGCTCCGGCAAGACTTTAGCCTTGGCCACCCTCCTTGCGGAGCAGGAGGAGATCCGCTCTCGGTCGGCAACGTGGCAGCTAGTCGAGGGACGCGGTAGTTGTGGACCCCCGGAGTGTCTGAGGACAGGAGAGAGAGAGCTTTTGTGGTGTTGGTGTATACGCAATAAACGGGACAGGGTAGTCGTTCTCTCTAGCTCCCCTTCTGGCTCTTAGCATGATCTGCGCCCTGTGTCCGACCCCTTTTGCGCAGCAACACCTTAAACTTTTAGGCCCTCCAAATTCGGGTCGGAGCGTAGGCCGTACGTAGCGGAGTGGGCCCCGAGTTTGAAAAGGGCGACGGACGCTTGCGTCCTAGCCTCCAACAACGCCTCCCCGGCGCAGAGGGGCCCCCGGAGGGATGCGCAACCGCTCCACGCCACGCCGCTTGCGGCGGTCCTATTCCCAGCTCCGCTGAGGGCCCGTCTATTGTAGAATTCTTTTATGACCGCGCAAGACATAAGGGTGGCTAAGGGCTCTGCCCGCAAGGCGCCCGCGTCGCAGACGCGGTACCATTGGCAACTACATGACATACCCCCACACGAAAAAAATATAATTAAAATTCGTGCATATCGTGCGATTTTCGTTCGGCGACGCAGACTTCTCGTCCCACGTTCAACACGGCGCCCGGGCAAGCCTTCAGCTGGTGCCAACATGCGTAAACCAAGAACGTCCGCCGAATCCGTGCTTTCGGACGGAGCAACTTACCCCCCCCCGTAAGCAGCCCGTCGATGCATGTGGCTCGCGCGGCCACGGCCGCAACGACGCGTCGCCGGCGGCGCTCACTCGAGCCCGAGCCCTCCGCGACGGCAACGCCAGGTCGTCGCGTCCGCCCCGCCAGCCCTTGAGCACGCCTCCCGCATACCGATGACTGCACTCGGCGTCCACCGGCGGGGGACCATGGAGGAGCGGTCAGCAGTCTCGACTGCTCCACCGGCTCCTCCACAGGCTCTCGCCGTCGGCCCCGGCGCGCTGCGACGGCGCGCCGCCGGCTCCCACCGCGGCGTCCGAGCTGGAGGGAAAGGTGACGCACCTGATGGAGCTGCTCAAGGCGCATGAGTCGCGGGACGCGGAGGCGTCGCGGCTGCAGCAAGCGCTGCAGCGCCAGGAGGAGGCGGACGCCGCCAAGCTCGTCGAGCTGATGCGACGGCAGGAGGCGGCGAGCGCGGCGGCGGTCGAGGAGGCCAAGGCTGCGATCGAGGCGCAGCTGGTCGAGCGATTCCGCGAGGAGCAGGCGGCGGCGGCGGAGGCGCACTCAGCGCAGCTGCAGCAGCTGAGCGCGGAGCACTCGACGCAGCTGCAGCAGGCGGCGGCCCTCCTGGAGGCGCAGGCGCGCGAGAAGTTTGAGACGGCGGTCGCGCACGAGAGGGTGATTGCGCGCGAGGCGCAGGAGCAGGCGGTGCTCGCAGAGAGGCTGGTGAGCGGAACCTCTCCCCTCCCGCCTCCCCGCCCGCCTTCCCTCCCGCCTCCCGCCTCGACTCCCCTGCCTCACTCCTCCCGACCCATCCCTCACTCCTCACTCCGCCCGCCTCTCCTCTCCCCTCCCTCCTCCCCTCCTCCCCTCCCCCTCCCCTCTCCTCCTCCCCTCCCCCCCTCCCCATTCCCCCTTCCTCTCGCCTCGCGCCCAGCCCAGCCCCGCCACCTCACCGCCCTCCCAGGCGTATCTCTCCGCCCTCAAGCAGCTCGAGCTCGACGTCGACGTGCTCACACGCGTCCTGGCGCCTACTGTATACTTGATGCAGAGCTTTCCGACGTCATTGTGTTTGCCGCTCCGCGCTCGACGCCCGCCGCCGCGCGCGCCCGCGCGCCACCCCTTTTGCGCAGCAACACCTTAAATTTCATGGCCCTCCAAATTCGGGTCGGAGCGTAGCGGAGTGGGCCCCGAGTTTGAAAACGGCGACGGACGCTTGCGTCCTAGCCGCCAACAACGCCTCCCCGGCGCAGAGGGGCCCCCGGAGGGACGCTCAACCGCTCCACGCCACGCCGCTTGCGGCGGTCCTATTCCACGCTCCAGGGGGCCGGTTCTTATTTTGGCAAGAGCTTCGGCGCGGCGCGGAGAGACATAGCTCCCCCGACTCTTCCCAGTCCGACAAAGCGTTTGCCGTCCCGCCGATGGCGGCGCCGCCAGTGGAGGTGGCGGGCACACCGCTGCTGGTGACGGTCAACGCGACCACAGACATCGGCCCGTCACAGGCGCCTCTTGTCAAAGCGACGCTCGTGACACCCCTTGCAGCAGTGGCGGCTCCGGCCGGCAATGCCCAGCCCGCAGCTTCGGCTGTTGTTGCCATACCGAGTGCACCGGCCGTATCCCTCCTCCCCCCCCCCACGAACGGATCGCCGCCTCCGCCTCCCAGTGTGTCTCCTCCGCCTCCGAGTCTGTCACCACCTCCGAGCAGTTCACCACCACCACCACCGCCACCGCCTAGCGCCTCGCCGCCGCCGCCGCCGCCGCCGCCTAGCGCCTCACCACCGCCGCCGCCTAGCGCCTCACCACCGCCGCCGCCTAGCGCCTCGCCGCCGCCGCCGCCGCCGCCGCCGAGCGCCTTGCCGCCGCCGCCGCCGCCGCCGCCGCCGCCGCCGGATGCCTCGCCGCCGCCGGATGCCTCGCCGCCACCACCCAATGCCTCACCGCCGCCGCCGCCGCCGCCGCCGCCGCCACCCGACGCCTCGCCCTCACCCGATGCCTCACCCCCACCTCCGCCGGACGCCTCGCCGCCACGCCACAGCCCGCCATGGGCCTCCGCGTCGGTCGCGGCAGTTGCCGAGGGGGCGCCCGATCCCGAGCCCGTCACGCCACCGGCGGCAGACCCCGTGCCTGTCCCCGTGCCTGTGGCTGTCACCGTGCCCGTGCCCGTGCCGGCCGCCAAGGCGCCGTCGGAGGAGGACGAGGAGACGGTCCTGCGGCAGATGGCGGTGGCGCAGAGGCGCTGGTGGGCGCAGGTGTTTGGGGGAGTCGGGGCGGCGTCGGCGGCACTCTTCCTGCTGCTGAAGTGCTGCCGCCGGCGCGGCCTGCGCAGCGGAGCCTACTCCTCGGTGCACGGCGAGGCGTATGACGCCTCCTCCCTCGCGCCTATGTGCTGCGCGCTCGATATCGCCGACAACGCGTCGCAGGCGGGGTCAACCATCTCGCACGAGCAGATCGACACGTGGGACGACTTCGACATCGACGAGGACGGGGATGACGGCTGGGGCAGCCGCTCCACATCCTCGAGCCCGCCCAGAATGGCGAACCTGGAGCCTAGCACACAGGAGCCTCGTCCGCCACCGCTGGTCGAGTTCTGAGGCGGCCACGCAACCCGGCGGCTGTGGGGTGGGCCCGCGGCGTGAGCTCGGGGAGAGCGTCGTTTCAGGAGTAGGAGGGACGCAGCGTCCCCGTCCAATCACCGCAGCGGTGTCAGGAGTAGGAGGGACAGATCCCAATCCGGGGAGGATGAGCCGTTAATGCGTGTGTCCGGCCTTTGATTGTGATGGAGAGCGGGGAGAGCGAGAGGCTGATGCGAGGGGTATATGAAGCGGGGTCGGCGAGGGGCTTTCTTCCCTTCGCCTCCACACTGCTCTCGCTGTGATGTATATGCGGTACTACTACTAGCTAATACAGGCGCACTCTGCGCGCAAAACATGCACATGCACATGCACATGCACATGTGCACATGCGCATGCGTGCACATCGTGACAATGTGCGCCGCCCCCGGCCCCGCGCCCCCACCCCCCCAGCCCCCCACACACGACACACAGCCACGCAACGGACACACACGCAAGAATTCAAGAAACGCGGGGAAGCCGTGAACTGTGAGAACACTCTGTGAACACCCGTGACGAAAAACGGACGCACACCAAGCGCTAAGCGTGAGGACGCGATTTCGAATTCGGAGGTGGCATCTGAGCAAAATTGGGCCCGCCAGGTGTGAAAAAAATTATAAGGGTCATAATCGCCGATTCGATCCGGAAGCCACTCGACCATCGAGAGCGCGAGCGCCGTCGGCCGAAGTCGGCAAACGTAGATCAAATGGTTAGAGATAGCGTCCACTCAGAGACCGATAGCCGTAACACATTACCGAGGGAATTAGACACCACAGATACGCACAACCGACGCCCGAAGTGCCAAGAAGGACGTCATTAGTACGAAACCTCAGAAAAGGCCATGGGCGTCGAGAGAACATTCCCTCGTGCCTCGAGAGGACAAAAAGAAAGACTAACCCGGGTGCCAGCGCGGCGGAAACGTCCCATTTCCGCTGCCAAACAGCCGGTTGGCCAGCAACTGCGCAGAGAGCCCAGCAAACATGTTGTGCCGTACCAGCTCCATATTGAGCCCGAAGAGCATGCCGCTTACCGGCTCGGCGGCCAAAGAGAGGTTGAGAAGCAGCGGCGGCACCTCCCGGTCCAGCCTGGCTGCCTCCGCCTGGCGCGCGGAAGCAAAGGAGGCCCAGTGCGCGCGGCATGCCTCGCCGCACGGTGTCAGTCCTGCACGCTCGAGGACGTCGGGAGGAAAGTTCATAGATCGCCAGCGGCCACCGTCACGGCGCGGCGGCAGGCGCGGGACACGCGCGACGATCGGGGGGGCGACGACGGGCACGTGTGACGTGACGTATGGGTGTGAGGTTACCGACTGCACTCCAAGTGCTCCAAGTGCAAGCGGCAAGGCGAAACACACACCACGAGATACTGAGTGACTCTGTGGGGCGTTTTGGGGGGTCTTCCGCTTCCCCAGGATATGTATGTATGTACAATGTGAGAGGACTCGAGATTTGTTCGAGATTGGGGCAGGCCGCGGGCGACGCGGAGCTTCCGCCGGAGGACGACGCGGTCGAGATGGCGAGCGCCGTCCACGTGCTGGACAGCGTGGCGGAGGTGGGCCCGAACTACACCCTGCTGCGCAGCAAGGAGACGAAGGCGATGCGGCGGAAGCGACAGCTCGAGGATGCCAGGGCGGCGCTCGACGGCCACACTGTCCTGCCCACCGGATCGCGCCTCGAGATCTTCTGCGACAGCGAGCGGTGGTATCCTGCGACCGTCATGGCGCGGGAGGAGGACAGGGACGGACGGATCGTGCACGAGGTCGAGTACGACGGCTACCCGGATCGGCGGTGGTGGCACATGCTGGACGACGAGCGGTGGCGCGCCGTCCCAGAGCAGGCCGGCGCGGGCGCAGGCGGGGATGGGGATGGGGATGTGGCGATGGACCGCGTGGACGGCGAGCATGGCGCCCGTGCCGCGGGCGACGCCGAGGCGGCCGAGGTGCGGCCGGCGCCGCCTCCTGTGCGCCGGGGCGTGCGGCGCAGCGCGCTGGCGGACGCCCTCGAGGCGGAGGATGACGAGCAGCAGGAGGCGGCGGCGCGTGGCGATGAGCGGCCGATGCTAGCGCCTTACGTGCCAATATTTGGGCGCCTATTCGGCGCCCAATGTGCTAATATTGGTGATCCAGCGGCAAGACGTGCCACTGCACGGGGTGTGGGAATATCATTTAGGGAATAGGTAGACTATTCATCACTGTGGGGGGGGAGAGAGTGATAATAGGGGTGCTGAGGTGGGGCTGGGTGGAGGTGATTCTCCGGGTCAGTCTGGAGGTCATAAAGAGCCAGAAAAGCCTCATAAGGACACGGGGTGAAGGAAGGAAATCGGGCATTCTCTTGCCGTCGATCATCTCAAGAGGCCGCGCAGTTCATGGCCGACAAGGCATGTCTCGGGTACAGCAAGGTCAAACGAGAACAGACCGGCGAAGAAACGGTGCGCGCGAGCCCTCTTGAGAGCGCGATCGCCAAGCAGGAGAAGCTGCGCAGCCGCCTTGACGCCGAGGCGAGCGTTGGCGTAAGCGCCGCCCTCGTCGGCTCCTTTGCGCTCTCGCTGCTTGTCGAGGCCAAGGACATGGAGGACGGGTCTTCGGTGCAATGGATGTTCGTGCTCTTCATGGCCACATCCGGTTCGCTCTGCCTGGTGGCGGTGATCACAACGGGCACCATCTACTGGGCTGGCACGCACATCATGTCCGCCACGCTCGACAATGTCGCGCAGGAGAACGACCTGTTCCGAGCGTTTTGGAAGCTCGGTGCCATGCGTGCGGCTCGGACGGGCGCCAGGCGCGCGTTCCAGCTCTCGGTCCCTCTATTCCTCGCCGGCATCACCGTCATGATCCAGAGCTTCACAGGAGACGAGAGCGGAGGTGTCAGCGTGGTCGCGGCGGTGGTTGGGGGCGTCTTCTCCGCGACCATCACCTTTGGCCTGATCGTGACGGCTCTCATAGAGCGCTACACGTCAAAGACCACCGCGACCGCTTGATCCGCGTGCGAATCGAGAGGCGCGCGCGGAGCATGTCATGGCATGTGTCCTATGGGCTATGTTGCGAAATAAGGTGGTGCTCGGGCACAACCCTCTCATGTTAGGGTAGGACACGTGGCGTCATGTGTGTGTGTGTGTGTGTGTGTGTGTCAGGGTGCCCACGAGCAGTGGGGAGGGTGGTGGGGAGACCACGAAGTTGGGGCCCCGATCGACCGCCCCGTAGTGACTGTCAAGCCTCCCGCCCACATAGGTGGGTCCCACGTCCCAGTCGGATGTCACGTCACGTCGCGGGTGCGTCGAGGTGCGTCGCCGATGCGTGTTGCGTCGCCGTGCGTCGCCGACCTCGCCGTGCGTCGCCGTGCGTCGCCGTGCGTCGCCGTGCGTCGCCGTGCGTCGCCGTGCGTCGCCGTGCGTCGCCGTGCGTCGCGGGTGCGTCGCCGGTGCGTCGCCGGCTGGCGGCGCCCGCTGCCAGCCGCGAAATCTGAGGTCGCCCCGCCCGCCTGCGCCCCCGCGACGGCCCCGCAGCGGCCGGGCCGGCTGCCTTGGTGGGCGGGGCACCTCCCGCTGCCGCGTCGCGGCCGCGGACGCGCTCGGAAGCACACCGCGGGCCTCTGCCGCGCGCCTCGAAAGCGTCGCCGCTCTCGACGCGCGGAAGAGCCGGTCCCATGCGTCGGTCCGAGCGTCACGCACCCCCGTGCTCGGTCGCAGGCACCTACTCGACGGTCGACGAGCTCGCCGGCATGTCGCCCGCGCGATACGCCACTCCTGATCCCGATGACGACGGCTACGACGAGGACGTGCCCGCCGACCCCCCACCCCCTGCCGCCGACGACGATGCCGCGCCGGACGACGAGCCTGTGGTCGGCGACGCCGATGGCGGCGGCGGCGGCGGCACGGGCAACGCGCGGCGCTGGGCCGAGGTCTTGCCCGACCCGTCGTGCTGCCCCGCGCTCCCGCTGCTTCTGCTCGCGCTCATCGGCACGGTCGCGTTTGCCTTCTCGCGTCCGCCCGCGGCGCTGCTGCAGTGTGGACCAGCCACTCCATTGACGCTGCTGCTGGCGCCTCGACCCGAGGCGCAGTCAAGGACAGGAGCAGCGGCGAGAGGCAGCGAAGAAGTGGCACGGACGCAGCGAGCGCGCAGAGGCAGAGCACGAGTAGTCGAGCAGGAGAGGCGGCCGCACGTGCGAGCACGAGCACTGGTGTGCGGGACCACGTTGGTCGCATGTCGAGCTCGGACCTGCGCTTCGGGCCTTCGGCTTGGACACAGTTTTGTAGAGAAACGCGACAAACCTCAAACGGCCGGGTGTACTCTGAGTCTGTACACCAAGTACCCCTTTAACCCCTGTCCCATTCGCCTCTCTGATATGCCAGGACAAGACGGGCGCGGAGCCCGCACTCGAAAGGGCTACTAGCCTCTCTCGACGCTACGGCTTTTCTTTTGACTTACGCCGCCCTCCCCCCCCGGCCCCCCCCCCCCCCCACACGTAGAGCTAAGAGCCTGGCCTCGGTGCTAAGCCTCGGTGCTAAGCCCCGGACGTGATCGGATAGTGTGAGGCGCAAGCGGCTGTTGAGGGAAAAGGTTTGCAACCTAACGGAGGCGAGTGTAGCGGTGCGCTGTGCCGGCGCCGGTGCTGATGTGACTACTCCAAGAGACCGTGTCGATTGAAGACTACTCATGACAGAGTGAGAGAGTGTATGCGCGGGTGGACGCGGGCGAGAGGCGTGATGTGGGATGGCGCACCGGTCGCGGTGGTGCGGACGCCGCGCAGCCGTGAGGTGCTCTGAGTGGGGCCGCCGGGATAGAGCCTGCGCAGGCAGCAAAGGTGGGCGGCGTGAGCGCGCGCGGTGCCGCGCTCCATGGTGTGCGAGAGTGCCGGGCCAGGCGTGCCCCCATCAGCGACGGAAGCTCCAAGCCGGCACAGAAACTCCGACACGGGCGTCTGCTGGTTGCGCGTGTCGACGAGCGGGCCCGAGCGAGGCCGCAGAGGAGGAAGAACGTCGGTCGTGCGAGCGCTGAGGACAAACGGACGGCTGAGTGAGCGACGGCAGTCATACCGGCAAGCGTTGGTGTGCGGCGGCGGTCGCTCGGGGGCGGAGGCCGGCGGCAGGGAGAGAATCGGGCGAGAGCACGGAGCACGCCTACCGTTGAGCGAGATCAGACATCTACAGAGAGCACGTGCGGCCACGCCGAGCCACCGAGAGGCGCACCTGGCGCAACTCGAGCGTAAGTGACCGTGGCGGCAGCCGCTCGGCGCTCGAGGCGACCATCCGACCGCCGGGCGTGCCTCTGGCGCCGACTCGGCGCCGTCGGCGACCCCGCGCGGGCCAGAGTCATGTCGAGCCGGGGCTGAGCCGGCGGTGGCGGACGCTTGGATGCACGCTCCGGGGGGCTGCCGGGTCGGATCGGCCTTTCGGGCGCCGCCGCAGCGCCGCGGAGGCACTGTTCTGGTGAGAACACGCGCCACTGAGGCCGACTAAAGTTGCACGCCCAGGCCAGCCGGAAAAAATAGGTCGGAACATTGTAGGTCGGAACATATGGATATGCGCATATCATCTGTAGATGGGGGGGTCGCCGCCCCTGACGGCCCGCTCGCCCGCACGCAAGCGCGCCCGAGCCGGCGAGGACGGCGAATCGGACGGCGGGGCTGTGGCGGTCGCGGATGGCTTCGAGGCGCCCGTCTTTGGCGCGCGCGTCCCTTCGGCCAGGTCACCACGCTGCCGCTCGAGGGCGAGAGGACGGCCCTCTGGCAGCGAGCGACATGAATGGCGTCGCAAGTGATCGCGCGGACGCTTGGTACGTCACCACTGCTGACTCAGTGCTGCACGTCTCTGCGGCCGGGCGCGTGCGCAGCGTGGCAACCCTGGAAGGCGCCGGCCTCCGCGGCATCGCCGTCAGCCCGGACGGCAGCGCTCTGTTTGTGGCGGACTTTGACGGCCGCAAGATCCTACAGGTGGAGGCTGCGACTGGCGCGGTGACCACTCTTGCGGGCAGTGGCACTCGCGGCAGCGCTGATGGGGTGGGCGGCGCGGCGCAGTTCCACTACCCACATGCGGCGTCGCCATCAGCCCGGACGGCAGCGCGCTGTTTGTGACAGACTTCGGCAACCACAAGATCCGGCGGGTGGAGGTGGGGACTGGCGCGGTGACCACGCTTGTGGGCAGCGGCACTCGCGGCAGTGCTGATGGCGTGGGCGGCGCGGCGCAGTTCTACTACCCATGCGGCGTCGACCTCAGCCCAGGCAGCGCTCTCTGTTTGTTGCTGACTTCGGCGGCGACAAGATCCGGCGGGTGGAGGTGGCGACGGGCGCGGTGACCACGGTGGCGGGCAGCGTATAAGTAGAGGAACCAGTGGAGATATACGAATACAGGAAAGCGCAGGAATCGGCGCCCGGCCAGCTCCTCGCGAGAGTCTCATGTTTTCACGGAGGTCGGAGCACGGTGCACGGCAGTTCGTCCCTCATTTTAACAACATAAGAGCTACAAAGGCGTACGGAACGCGCCCCCATGATACTAACACCCCCGTCGGACTCCGTGAGCCGCGGTTACAGAATCGGTTGTCAAGGGCACAGCCGCGCGCGGCGCTCACCGAGTGATGACAATGTCGTCAATCTTCAGGATGAGCCGGACGCACTCGGTCGCGAGCGAGACGGCCGAGGTGTGGACGAGGAGCGGCACCAGCACGTTCTCCTCGAGGATGTTTGTCACCTTGCCCTTGCGCACGTTGATGCCCGCCGCCTTCTCGCCCTCCGCATGCTTGTTCCGCAGCTCCGTCACGACGTGGATGGCGTCGAGCCCCGCATTCTCGGCGAGCGTGTACGGGACCACCTCCATCGCCTCGGCGAACGCGCGCACGCAGTACGAGTGCATGCCTGCGGCGGGGCGGCGGCGGGCTGCGGCCGGGCGCGCGCGCGGCGGGGAGGGGCGGCGGGCGCGCGCCGAGCAGCGAGTCGGCCCACTTGGAGAGCTCGTACGAGAGCCGCATCTCCGGGGCGCCGCCGCCCGGCGTGAGGAACCGCTTCTTGACGAGGCAGCGCAGCACGCAGAGCGCGTCGTGCAGCGAGCGCTCCGACTCGTCGAGCACGAGGTTGTTGGACGCCTGCAGAGGGGCGGCGGAGGGGGCCGGTCGGGCGGCGCGGTCGGGCGGCGGCTCGCGGGCGCGGCGCGCTCCTTGCACAGGATGGTGACGGTCTTGCCCTCGTTCGGCACGCCCGTCACGCGCACAATCTTGCCGTCGCCCGTCGACACCTCGTGGACGAGCTCCGCGCGGCCGAGCTTCTCCGGGTGGAAGGTGTCGATGTTTGCGATGGGCAGGCAGCCGCAGGTCTTGCAGATGAACTCGACGTCGTCGCGTTCGATGTCCTTGACGACGAGGATCTTCATCTTTGCGAGGAAGTGCAGCGACAGGTCGTTGACCGCGTCCCGCAGGATCGACTTTTGGATGAGCAGCACGTTGCAGCCGCTCTTTTGCACCTTCTTGCACATGTCGAGGATGTACTTGCGCTCTTCCTTGAGGATCCGGTCCTGCAGCACCGGCGCCGCGGTGAGGGGAGGGCCGGCAAGCCGCACGCGTGGGGCCGGCCGCGCGCCATCTGCGTGTAGTCAGAGACGGTCACGTTTTGCTCGATGTCGGTCTTTGGCGCCGAAAGGCAAAACTGGATCAGGCCAATCTTGGCGCCGGTGACCTTGGTCGGCCCGCCAGCCGCGTGCGACACCTTTTGGGTGAAGACGAGCCCGTTGACGAGCTCGGTGTCGTCGATGGTGCCGCCGAGCTTCTTGACGGTCGCGATGTCGCGCAGGTCGACGTTTGTGGCGGTGGCGGGGTCGATGACGGAGAGCAGCGCGTCCACGGCGAGCGGCGCGAGCAGCGAGGAGTTGTTGGAGATGACCTTCGAGTTGAGCGACGTCGCCGCCGCCTTGATGAGCTGCTCGCGGTCGCCTGTGGGGCGGCGCCGGAGCGGTGAGCTTCGACACGCGTCGGGGCGGCGGAGGCGGCGGCGGCGGCGTGGCGAGGGGCGGCGGCAAGTGGCGTGGGGCGGCGGCAAGTGGCGAGGGGCGGCGGTGGCGAGGGGCGGCGGCGAGGGGTGCACCTAGGTCGACGGGGATCGACATGGCCTGCAGGATCTCCTCCGACTTCTTCGCCGCGAGCAGGAACGACTCCGAGATGACGGTCGGGTGGATGCCCTTCTTGAGCAGGATCTCCGCCTACGCAAGCCACGGCGCGTGTGTGCGAGCCGGCGGCGTGGCTCGGAGGGAGAGGCGAGTGGTGGGGGGGGGGGGGGGGCAGCCTGGTTGAGGAGGGCGCCGGCAATGACCGTGACGGTGGTGGTCCCATCGCCCGCCTCGACGTCCTGCGACTTGGACAGGTCCACCAGCATCTTTGCAGTCGGGTGAGCGACCTGTTTGGCGGGAGAGAGAGGAGCGCCTGGGTGAGGGAGAGCGGGGATGGTGCGGAGCCGGCTGTATGCGCGGCTCGCCTCCATCTGCTTCAGGATCGTCGCTCCGTCGTTGGTGATGACCACGTCGCCGCCCGCCGACGAGATCTGCGGGGAGGGCGAGCGGTGCGTCAAGCCGGCGGTGAGTGGCGGCGAGGCGTGCGGCGGGGTTGGGCGCCATCTTGTCCATGCCACGCGGGCCGAGCGACGTGCGCACGGCGTCGGCGACCGACTTGGCCGCCACGATGTTGCTCTCGCGCACGCTGCGGCAAGGCAACGGGCTCAACCGCCCGCGGCCGTTCTCTCGCGGCTGCAACCGCCGTGGCGGCGGCGCGGCAGGGCGGGAGCGGGCACGGCGTGTGCGAGGGCGCAACGCACCCCTTCTCCTGAGCGCGATCGCTAGCCTTGCGAGTTTGGCCTGGACCGCTGGCGGCTGAAGGCGGCATCGTTGTTCTGGCGGCAAGAGAGGTCGAGGCCCGCGCAACGCCTCTGGGCCCGCGCCAAGCCACATTCTTTTTCTCTCAGCGCATGCACATGTACATGTAACGCAAACCGCCGCCTGGTAAACATCGGCAGGGGGCACAGGCGCCTTGTTGCCGATTTGAAGCTCACGAGCTCGCTTGCGAGCAAGGGCAAGGACGCGGCCGGCGTCTCTCTCTCTCTCTCTCTCTCTACGCGGCCGGCGACGGAGAGCTCGGCTGGAAGGGGGCGTATGAGGTATGTTCGCTTCGGCAATACGGAGCCCGGGCTGCTCAATCTGGTCAAAGGGCGCGGCAAGTACTCGCCGTCGGGAGCGACGGCAGCGGGCGGTGGCGGAGGAGGAGGACGAGGAGGAGGAGGCGCGGAGGTGGAGGGAGCGGCCGCTCACTGCTCGGTCCCCCCCCCCCCCTGCACAACTAAGCTAGGGGGGGGGGGGGTCTGACCCCCCAGCAGCAGAGCGCTGCTGCTGGGGAGGGGGTCGGCCATGAGCTTAGTTGTGCAGGGGGGGTACCGAGCAGCGAGCGGCCGCTCAGGAGGTAGGGAGGGGAGGGGGAGGATGCGGATGCCCCCAAGGGAAAGCTCAAGGAGCTGGATGGCGATTACCGCTTTGCGGATTGCGCGGGAGCAGGATTGCGATCTGCGCTTGTTCGACTTCGAGAGCTTCGGAGGCTTTGGAAAGGAGGTTCGCAGCACCCTGGAGGGAGGCGGCGAACCAGCTGAGCAACAAACTTTCGCATGCTCAGCACCTGGACGAGGTCACATGGACAACCAAGAACTGGCACGGCCTGCAAATGCAGCGTTTGTCTGTCGTCCTCCACACCGCTGTGGCCTGTGGCGTGGCAGACGGTGAACGAGCTAGCGTGCGGGGAGAGCGCAGAGCGGCATTGTGCATGGTGCGGAGTGCATTGCCGTTCTTAACGGAGTCGCTTAGGCGGCTCCGGTGGTGAGCCGGTGTGTGTGCCAGTCCGCGCCAGTCCGCGCCCTTGTCGAAGAAAGAAAGAAAGAAAACGGACAACCCAAGGGAGGGACGGGAGAACGGATGTGTGCAGAATTCTTTTGGCAGTGCGCCGGGCAGAGGCTCTCGCCAGCGCGTGTATGGCCAGTCAAGCCGGCAAGAAGTCGGGCAAGCGCAAGGAGGCGCAGGCTCGCAGGGAGACGCAGGCTGCCGCAGAGGTGCGCCGCTCCGCCGCCCTGGGGCGGGCAGCGGCCGAGGGCCTCGGTGGGGAGCGCTGTCGCAGGGAGACGCGCGCTGCCGCACCCCTGAGAGTGCGCATCCGTGCCCTCCGCTCCGTCCGCCTGACCGCGTCCTCCGCCTGCGCGCGCGCGCAGGAGGACGGCGAGGCGCTGGCTGAGCGCGTCGCAGCGCTGGCGGGCGACAACCAGACCGACGCTGTCGACGCTTGCTGCGGTGTGGCTGACGAGGGCTTCCGAAGGGGAGCCCACGAGCTGGCGTTCGCGGTGATCCGTGCGAGTCTGCACAAGCATGGCCTCCAAAACGACAAGCTCTGCCGCCGCTACTTCTTCCTGCTGGACACGGTGGTAAAGGCGCGCATGTCGGCAAAGAAGAAGCCAGAGGGGCCGCCCAAGATGCTCTACTTGCGCGAGATGCTGGGTCGGGTGCCGGAGGTGCTCTCGGGCCAGCTCGCCCTGCTGGGCGGCGTCGACGGGGTCAAGGCGGGGGAGCGATGCGTGCTGATGAAGGAGCGCGGCGTGATGGTGATCGGGCTCTCGCTGCTGGAGTGGCGGCTGCTGCTCGAGAAGCAGGCGGGCCCAAAGATGGAGATGCAGATGATCTCGGGGGTGGAGGAGGCGGTGGTGCGCGGTCTCTCGCAGAGCGAGGGCATGTCGGACGCGCAGGCCGAGATCAAGCTGAGCTGGAACGCGTGGGCGCTCAAGCTGTGCGAGGCTGAGGAGGGCACGCCCCAGCTGCGCGGCAAGTGCCTGCTGCAGCGCACGGTGCTGCTGCTGGCGCAAAACAGCTTCCAGAAGGCCATCGACAGCAGCGGCGAGGTGATGCGGATCCAGCCGGCCAACAAGCACGCGGCCGCGCTGAACGCCACCGCGCTGCACAAGATCGGGCGCAAAAAGGAGGCGGCGTCCGCGGTGACCGAGCTGATCGGCGCGTTTCAGCGGTCCGAGGACCAGCACGTCCAGGACGAGCTCGGCGCGCCGCTCGAGCTGGTCGTGTCGCTGCTGGTGGAGATGCACCGGACCAAGGAGGCGCTCCGCCTCCTCTCGCAGCTCCTCTCGCGCGTGTCCGGCCCGCGCCACCAGCCCCTCTTCTTCGGGCTCGCGCGGCTCTACGCCAAGCACGGCCTGAACAAGGACGCGCTGGTGCTCAAGCTGCCGCAGCTCTGCACGCGGCCGCCCGACCGGCGGACGTGGGACCTGCTCAAGTCGATGGCGGAGTACACCCCCGCGGCGGTGGAGCAGCTGCTGCAGTCCTACATCGACGAGGCGGGCCCCGGACGCTTCACGCACGTGCCGCAGATCACCGAGGTGATGTGCAAGCTGCCGTTCGGCGCGCACGGCTCGGCCGCCAACAAGGCGCTCAAGCTGCTGCAGCGGTGCGCGTCGCAGGTGGCGCCCGACCGGCCAGAGGACCTCAAGATCATCGTCGAGGACCTGCGCGCCTTCATGTCGTCCAACATCCCGCCGACGGTGAGCGAGCAGTTCCCTCGCACCATCGAGTCGCTGCTGCTCGCGTACTGCGAGGCGCTGACGGCGCAGCACACTGCCGACGCGTGGGAGATGCCTGGCGACCTGATGAAGCGCGCCTTCAACGGGCAGCCGCCCGTGGTGCTGCTCGAGCAGCTGCAGCGCTCGTGCCTCCGCCTGCCGCTGACGTCCGAGAAGACGCTCTGGGTCGTCTTCCGCCACCTGTCGCCCGACTCGGGCGTGGCGCTCGTGCGGACCTGGCTGCTGCAGAACGACGCGGCCGCCGACGTCGACAGGATGGAGCGGTGCGCTCGGCACTTCCACATGGCGAAGGGCGAGCACGCCGCCGCGCTCGATCTGCTCCGCTGGGCTGAGTCGCGGGGGCTGCAGGTGCCGGCTGAGTCGACGCGGAAGTGGCGCGAGCTCTACTTCACCGTCTTGCGGGCGACGGCGGAGGAGCGTGCGACGACGATGAAGCGCGGCGGCGCCTTCACCAGCGGCGGCCTCGACATGGCCACGCCCGCTGTGCACGACGGCGGGTCGGAGGAGGGCGCGGTCGCGATGGAGCTGACCACATTCCCCCACTACCGCTCGCAGCTGACGCGGCTCGAGATTCCGCTGCGCAACATCACGCTGACGGAGCGCGGCGTGCTCGCAGAGAAGATGGACGTCGTGGCGCCGCACGGCGGCGGGGAGGTTGACCTCGAGGGGGGGGGCGCCGAGGCTTGGCAAGGGGGGGCGCGCGAGGGCGGCGGCGCGCGGGAGCTGTCGGAGCGGACGCACCGGCACCTCGACCTCAACGGCGCGCTGATGGAGCCGGGCGAGCTGCTGCAGCAGCCGGCGTCCAACGGCGCCGACTGGGGGGAGAGCGTGCCGTTGCTCGAGGAGGATGGCGACGCGGCGCACGAGCGCAGGCTGGGCAGGCCAGAGGAGGATGCGGCGGCCGCCGACGGCTCCGCCCAGGACGCGGCGGCCGTGCCGCCGGCCGACGCGGCCCGCCCGATGTTTTCGCAGCAGCAGCTGCAGTACGCGCAGAGCCTGCTCAACCAGCTCGGGCTCAAGGGCCACGTCCCGACCAGGCTCGAGGACGAGGAGGCGTGGCGCAGCTTCGTCGCCGAGCTCTTCTCCGCCTACGGCTGGACCGTGCTCGGCGCGCACTACTCCGACTCGCCGCAGCACGTGCGCAGGCAGCAGCTGCTCGGCGACATGGAGCGGCTGCAGCAGGCGCTCCGCGAGCTGTCTGCGCGGGGCAGCCAGCAGCAGCAGATGGCCGCGGCCGAGGGGGGCGCGGCGCAGAGCATGCGCGGGCTCGAGTGGCTGTACCGGCTACTGCAGGAGCATTGCGCGGCCGGGGCTGCCGGCAAGGTCGACATCGACGGCGTGGACACCGCCGAGGCGGCCGACACCCTCGCGTACGAGATGGGGCAGCGCGCGGTGTGGCACGAGCGCTTTCAGGGCGGCCGAAGCGGGCAGCAGTGGCACGCCTTTGTGTACGCGCCGCTGGCCTCGCGGGCGCCCTTCAAGCTCGCGTTTCTGCACGCCGCGGACACGCTGGTCACGTCCGCCGCCGCCGCGACCGAGGGCGGCGAGGGGCAGGAGGCGGGCTCCGTGGAGAGCCCGCTGCGCGACAACCAGCAGCTGCAGACGTGCAAAAAGATGCTCACGCCCGACCCGAGCAACGCGCTCGCCATGGCGCAGAGGATGCTGGACGAGACGGCGCTCCGCAGCGAGGACGGGCAGGTGGAGGCGCTGCACATGCTGAGCGGCGACGCTTGCTTCGCCCTCCGCCAGTTCGGCGACTCGGTGCACCACTTCCAGCACGCGGCGGCGGGGAGGCGCGAGTTCAGCCCGACCGGGCTGCCGGAGGATTCGGTGATCGAGCAGGTCTGCGCGATGCTGCAGGAGGGCTACCCGGCGGCGCAGGTGACGCGCGTCGCGGAGGACGGCTGCCTCAACGAGGGCGCGCACGCGGAGGGTTGGGTGCTGCTCGTCAAGCTGCTCGCCGAGATTGTCGACGCCGACTCGGCGCAGGAGCAGGTCGCCGAGGAGGAGAACCGCAACATGGTCAACAAGCTGCTGATGCTGCTCGGCTCGAACGTGACCAACAAGCGCGAGCGGGATGCGCGGATGCAGCGCTGCCTGCAGGAGGGCGCCGATGGCGGCGACTTCACCTCGGCGTCGGGCCGCAAGGCTGGCCGGAGGCCGCGCGTCGAGGACGAGGCGCCCATCGACACCGACGCGCTGCACGAGTTTTGGAAGAACGTCGCGCCCGAGGAGCGGCCGGCGCTCTGCCGCGTGCCCATCGCCGACCTGCGCAAGGCGGTGTTGCAGCTCGCGGCCGCAACCGCCGCCGAGCCGCGCGACTCTGGGGGGAAGCAGCAGGGCGAGAGCGAGGCGGTGGCCCTGCCGCCCGAGTCTTCGCTGCCGGCGCAGCTGCTCGACGTCTTCGCGGACGAGCCCGCGAGCATCGCCGACCCGGGCGTCGCACCGGGCCTCTCGTGGTCGGACGCGCTCTGCGAGATCCGCTCGCTCGCCGAGGCCTCCTCCTCGGGCGTCAACAGCTCCGAGCTGCTCGAGGTGTCGGCGTACGGCCTCTTCTGCCTCGACGGCGACGCCTTCACGCTCGGCGCCGCCACCCCGCTGGCGCCGGACGGGGACGCGACCGCCGAGGGGCAGCCGCCGGCTCCGGAGGTGCCAGCGGGCAGCCCCGTGAGCGCCCTCATCGCCAGCGCGCCCTCCCCGGGCGACCACAGCAAGGCGCTGGAGCGGCTGCTCGCCGTCGAGGCTGGCTTTGAGCTCGACGTGCCGCACAAGGAGATGCCCTCGCTCGACCTCGGCGCGCAGGTGACGCCGGAGCAGATGCTGCTCCTCGTGCGCACCCTCTCGGCGCTGCACCTGCACGTTGGCGGCACGCTGCCGCACGCGGCCGAGGCCCTCTCCCTCCTCTGCCAGCGGCTGCTGCGCAAGAAGCCGGTGCGCGCCCTGATGGCTTCGCAGCGCGCGGTGGTCTCGCTGCTCTCGAGGCTGATGCTGCGCGCCGTGCGCTCCGCGTTTGGGAAGGAGCGCCAGAAGCTCAAGGCGGAGGAGGCGGAGCGGGCGGAGCGCGAGCTGCTCGAGGAGCTCGCCGCGGCGGAGCGGGCGGAGCGCGAGCAGAAGGAGGGCAAGGACGCGGACGCCGCGCGAAAAAAGGCGAAGAAGAAGGTCAAGAAGGAGCGGAGAGCGGTCGTTGAGGACGCCGCCGACGACGCCGGCGGCGGCGGCGCGGCGAAGGCCCCGACGCCGAGCGCAGCCGCCTCTGCGCGTGGCCGCAGCCCTGAGTGCGGCGCGTACGCGGACTGGGGGACAGCAGCCACCATCGCTTCGGCGGCGGCGCAGGCGGCAGCGCAGGGGGCGACAAATCACAGCAGCGGCGGCGGCGGCAGGCGGGCCGCCGGCGCGGGGGGCGGCGCGGCGCGCCGGCAGCAGCAGAACCAGGGCGGCGGCAGGGGCGACGCCGAGGGTGACGTCGGCGACGACGAGGATTACGCGGCGCGCGAGGCGCGCGAGGCGGCGGAGGCATTGGCCGTGGTCGAGGCGGAGGAGGCGGCGCAGCGGGCGTGGGAGGCGGAGCTGCTCGCGACTCCGTCGCCAGAGACGTGGGAGACGGTGGCCAAGAGCGGGCGGCGGCGCGGTGGCAAGGCGGGAGGCGCCGGCGGCGACGCGAACGGGGTGGACGCGGCTCCCGCGGGCGGCAGCGGCGAGGGCGTGGCGGGCGAGCGCAACAACGGGCGGCGCAAGGGGCGCGGCGAGGCCGGCGAGCAGCAGGGCGCGGGAGGGCCGGCCGCGGAGGACGAGGTCGAGCGCGAGGGCAGCGCAAAGGGGCGGCGGAAGAAGAACAAGCCGCGCGCGGCGCCGCCGGCGGAGGGCGGCGGCTCTTCTGAGGGCGACGAGGCGCTGGCGGCAGCTGGCGGGGACGGGGCGGGCGCCGCTGACGGCGCGCGCAAGGATGCGGGCTCGATGGAGGGGGGCAAGACTGCGGGCGGGCGCGGCTCCAACGGCACGGCGGCGCGCAGGCTGCCGAACGGCCCCTCCAGCTCCGCTTCGGACCTGGAGCATTTCGGCGACGAGGTCGACGGCGGCAGCGGGGCCGCCTCGGACGGCGCCGGCGGGGGCAAGCGAGGCAAGAAGGGCAAGGGCGCCAGGGAGACGCCCGAGAGCGTGCCCGTCGGGGGCGGCGCGAGCGCCGTGGGCGGCGCGGGCGCGTCGGGCGGCGGCAGCGGGAGGCGGAAGAACAAGCAGCAGCAGCAGCAGCAGCACTCGTCGCAGCAGCAGCAGCAGCAGCAGCAGCAGCAGCAGCAGCAGCAGCAGCAGCAGCAGCAGCAGCAGCAGCAGCAGCACTCGTCGCAGCAGCAGGCGGCGGCCGTGTCACCGCCGCCGCACGAGGCGGGCCCGTCCAGCTCTGTGGCAGGCCCCGGCAGGCAGGGCGAGTCCGCGATCGAGGCGGTCGCGGCGCCCGGCCTGGAGAACAAGACGGGGCAGCACTCCTGCTTCGTCAACGTCGTCGTGCAGACCCTCTGGAACGTCGAGGCCTTCCGCGACGAGTTTCTCTCGTCGGAGCCGCGGCCGGGCGCCGAGGAGGAGGACCGCTCCATCTACAAGGCGATGGCCGAGGTCTGCTCGATGATGGAGGACGGCGCCTCGTCGGAGGCGGTGACGCGCGAGAGCTCGCGCGACACGCCAAAGGCGACCGCGTCGGCGCTCAAGGAGGCGCTCTTCCGCCTCGACTCCAACTTTGAGCTCGGCGAGATGCACGACGCGACCGAGGCGCACGAGGCGCTGCTCGAGGCGCTGCACCGCGCCGTTGAGGAGCGCGCGCCCGCCCCGCCGGACTCGGGGCCCGCGGCCGCGCCGGCGAGCGGCGGCGGCGCCGGCGGCGCGCCGTCGCCCGCCGCGCGGCGAGAGCCGCGCAACTCTGGCGAGGCCAAGGGGGTGACGAGCGGCGACTCGTTTGTCAAGCGCATCTTCTCGATGAAGATGAGGCTCGAGTACGGGCAGCCCGCCGACCCGAAGGAGGAGCCGTGCAAGCCCGTCGTCTTCGACCAGTGGACGCAGTACGTCACCGCGTCGGAGCTGCGCGACGCCGTGCGCGAGCTGCGAGAAGCGCGAGGAGGGCCCGCGTTGGCCGCGAGCCCGCTCGTGCGAGTGCTGCGCAAGGAGGCGGGCACCGAGCCGCCGCCGCCGGGGCAGGCGCCGGTGCCCGGCTCGTCGCGCAAGCTCCTCCTGCTGCAGCCGCCGCGCGTCTTCTCTCTCGCCCTCGGAGCGGACACGGCGCACGCCTCCAAGGGCGAGATCTCCGAGTCCCTCGACGGCATCCAAGAGAGGCGCGCCGCCCCCCGCCCCGCCCACCCCTGGCCCCTGCTCGCCGCCTCTGGGAACACCGCGCCCGCGGCGCGGCGCACCCCTCCGCCACCCCCTCTCCCCACCGGCCCCTCGACCCAGGATCGACCTGCGGGACGTGTACGAGGAGCTCGGACGCGGGCAGGCGGGCTCGACCACCTGCCGGCTCGCCTCGCTCACCGCATTCTACGAGTCGCACTACGTCTGCTTCTGCTACTCGCGCGCCGCCGGCCAGTGGATACACTACGACGACGACACGCGGCGGGTCGTCGGCCGCGACTTCGAGGCGGTCAAGCAAAAGTGCGTCGCCGGCCGCCTCCACCCGCAGCTGCTCTTCTACTGCCGCGAGTGAAGCCGCGCGCGCGACTCGGGCGAGAGCGCTTTTCCACGCCCGCTGCCCGCCGATGGACTTGTGATGTGTTGAGAGAGAGGACATCGAGACTGTGCGTGGCCGCATCCGACTCTTGAGCCTGACTGGGTCCGCGAGGGCGCGTCGCCCTCGCGGCGCGGGGGGGAGACGAGCGCATTCGAGTCTGTCTCTTCCCGTGCCTAACCGATTCCTCCCACGACTCCATGTGCACCATTTGTAGTAAGGATCTGGAAGTCAAGCGATTACAGGCGAATACTACGAAACAACACAGTGCAACGCTGACGCGAGCTCGCATGCGACATATGCTACCAGGTCAACATATGTCCTCTCTCTTCCATCCAGCGATACTCGGCCAGGATTTCGGCTCGGAAAACTCTCTCGGCTCGGGGACAAAGTTTCCGCAAGTTGACCGGGATTGGCCGCCGAATATCCTGTTTCCGCAAGTGTTGACCGGGATTGCCCGCCGATATCCTGTCCAGGACTTGCCCGACGTTGCCCTGCATGGTGTCGAAATCGCCCGCAGCCGCTCGCACTGGGGCGGTCTCTGAGAAGTCCAGCCCTCGCGTGCTCCAGTTCTGGGCGTCGTGCTGGGTGGTTATCACCAATGTGTACGCCATCGGATGGTCGATCAGCGGCATCATGTCCGACGGAACGGCCTCAGCAAATGGCTCGGAGATGGCCATCCTTTCTGTCGAAATTCTCGGCGCCGCGCTCACCATGCTCGGGGCCATCGTCTACTCCTGCTGCTCATGCTTCTGCTGCCGTGGCATCTCAACTTGGTTCTTTTGGCCCCTGCTCATCATTGGCATGCTGCTGCAGTTTATTTGTGCCGTTGGAATTTCGGTCCGCGCCACCATCTCGTGCTCCTTACCCGCGCCCCGCACTCTGGACCCGCTTCGCGGGGATCCCCGTCGGGGCCGTGGCCCGTTCTTCGACATGCCGTTCTTAGACGACTATGACAAGTACTATGACTATGACTTTTCTGCCTTTGAAGACTGGGATGACTTGCTAGAGAGGCTTGACACTTGCAGATTCGTCCTGCCGTCCTTCGCCGCCGGTGCGGCCATGTGTCTCCTCGCCGCGCTCGCCGCGGCTCGCCTCATGATCCGAGCCGTGCGCGCGCGCCGAGCCGCGGCGTCGGCCCGGGCGGTCGAGGCGAGTGCGCTCTCCGCCAAGCGGAACACGGGCGACGCGGCCGATGGCAAGCCGGCCGATGATAGAGTCTCGGTCGGTGACACTGTATTCGCCTCGAACGGCATCATCGTCGGCTACTTGCTTCTCTCGCTGCTCGTGTGTGGCTGGGGCCTCTCAGTGCTCACCATGTTGAGCTCCGACTCCATGCAGCGCGTCCTCTCTTCCGCCCCGCCGCCGTCGCACCCACCGTTCCCCCCCGCGCCGCCGGAACCACCAATGACATATCGCTACTTGCGCCCCCCGCCGCCGTCACCGAGCCCGCCGCAACCACCTTCGACGCCGACGCCGCCAGGCCTGCCGCCCACGCCGCTGTGGCCCGTCGGCGGCTCGCCGTTTCACGTCAGGAGCGGCCCGTGCCGGCGGGTGGGTGCGTGCGTGACATCGAGCAACTTTGACGTGCGCTCCATCTCAGACTTCCCCACCTACTCGTCCTACTACTCGTACTACTACTCATACTCGAGCTTGCAATCAGTCGACGGCTATCGGGACTATGAGCGTTGCTCGATCGATGTGACGCCAGAGGTGGAGCTTTCAGTCCTCCACTTCGACACCGAAGAGTATAGCGACCGCCTCGTCGTCACCACGCCCATTGGCGCCCGCCGGCGTTCGTACTCGGGCACCATAGGCCCCGACGGCGTGCACGCTACCCATCTCGACTGGAACTCCGACGGCAACTCTCGCCGCTCTGGCTGGGCCGTGTGCGCACGCGGGGCGGAGGCCGACCTCATCAGTGAGGCCGAGAGCGCCGTTGAAGACGGCGCGTTTTACAAGCGCGGCCCTGCCTACCCTTGGCACGTCCTGACCAGTGCATTCGCCTTCCCGACCGTGGCTTCCGCGGCTGCGGCCATCGGCGTGCTTGCCGCCTTTGCCGCGATCTGTCAGTCACTTCCCGGTGCAAGCATTAGCTCCGACCCCGCCCATCCGCGGGTCTCGCGCAAATTTGCAATCATTGGCCGTCTCCTGGCGGTGATCTCTGGCCTAGGCCACGTCGCAGCATGCATCGGGCTCATGACGACCATCGGCCAGGCCTGCGGCAAGAATGGAGGCCATGCAGTCACACATTGCGTGCACCTCTACCCGCTCTTTTCGATTGGTGTGAGCGCGTGCTTGATTAGCGCCGCCATGTCCACGTACCTGTTTTGCGACCTCGCACCCATCGCGCATACTGCCGCTCGCGGCGACCCCGTCTCGCGCATCCTCTTCCAGGGCGCCCACCACCGTCGCCTCATCCTCACCACGCCTGTCCTCTGGACGATCGACCTCTTTGTCTCGATCATCCAGATCGTCATCACCTCGCGCTTCTCCCCGTGGAGTAGCATGCCGGCCGCATGGATCTTCTCTGCGCTAGGGATCGTCTCGCCAATCTTCGGCTTCGCGGGCTCCTTCCTGGTGTGCAACCGGCGGTTGCTCGGCCCTGGCCACGACGACACGCGTCTCATCGCTATTGCCATGCTTGGCACGCACACTCTCCTCGTCGGTGTCATCACCGTCGGCGACTTTGTGGTCTCCTCCTCATACAACGGCGGTGGCACGTGGACGTACATCATCGGCTGCCTCTTGCATCTCGTCTCTTTTGCCCTCGGCGGCGCACTGCTGAGCCAGGTGGTCACGATGCCCAAGCACGCCTTGGGCAGTCACGGCGACGAGGCCGAGGCGCGCGAGGGCCTTATGATGGTGAGCGATGTGGACGCGCGCGTCGATCGCAAGCTGCAGCATATTGTGGTTGACCAGGACAAGAAGATTATGATGTTGGTCGGGCAGCAGAGTAAGCTCCTCGAGATGCTCTCCGCACAGGCGAGCCCGCAGCACGCGCACGACAGCGGCGCGGCGTCCTCGCAGCAGGAAGCCGGCACGGCACAGGGACAGGCGCCGTAGCTATAGGCGTGTGGGCGATAGACTGCCGCTGCACGTCGGTTCCGCTGCTCTTGGGGGGGGTTGGGGGGGGTGGGGGGGGGGCGGAGAGCGGGCGCGAGATATGACTGCGAGGGCACTCGATGCAGTTCCTTGTGAGTCCCGACGAATGAGCATTGTGTCGTATCGGCGGTGTGGGCTTCAATATATTTTCAGTAGAGTATGGCCGCGCGGCATTTCGTAGATGACAGGCAGCTTGGCCACTTTTCACACCTCTAATCCAAAAACGAACGCCAAGACCTAAGTATGCAAGAACGCCAAGACCTAAGTATGCAATAAGGACGCAAACTAAACCAGGCGGGATCGGCGCGAGCATCCAGCGTTCCTTGGGTTTCCCGACGATGCGCATTGGCGCTCCGTTTTGCGTCCTCGCTGCCGCGCTCAAGCCTACACCATTGCTCGCAACTTCGCTCCTCCCATTGTCGCCATCGCCATTGGCTGCCCTGGAGACGTATCTCAAGGCGCCTAACACCGGCGCATCTGACTGGTTCGACGACTCGGTCGCGCTCGATGGCGACACCCTCATAGTGGGAGCACAACACGAAGGCACCGGTTAAAAGAAAGAAAGAAAACAGACAACCCAAGGGAGGGATGGGCAAGGCACCGGTTACGTCGGGTCGACCAACGTGAGAATTTCTTTTGGCCGGCTTCACGCTACCACAATGCCGCACTTTTTGCTCAGCCTCTCCATCCTCGCACACGTCCTCGGCCCGTCGCGGCCGCCCTCAGCCAGCGCTCGAGCAGCTGCGCGCCGGGCGACGGCTCTGCGCGCGGCGGAGCCAGCCGCGGAGCTCGATCGCATGTTCTTCGACCGCGCCGAGCTGTTTGTGCGGAGCGGTGCTGGCGGCGTCGGCGCCGTCTCGATGAACGGGCAGCGGCCCGTGGGTGGCAACGGCGGCGCGGGCGGCGACGTGGTCCTCCTGTGTGACGGCTCCCTCAACACGCTCGGCCACCTGCGCGGCCGGGCGTCGGTGCGCGGCGATCGCGGCGACGACGCCCGCGGCAAGGAGTCTGGCCGCAGCGCGAGAGAGGCGATCGTGCGCGTGCCTCCCAACTGCCGCGTCTCCGAGCTGGAGAGCGGCGACGCCGTCGGCGAGCTGCGCGAGCCGGGGGAGCGGCTGCTGATCGCCGCCGGCGGCCAAGGCGGCGAGGGGAACGGAGACGGCTACCGACGGACGAGGGATTCGCGCCGCAACTACCCGCCCGGCGGGAGCACGCGCGCGCGCCTGCTGCTCTCGATGACACTGGTGGCGGACGTGGGGCTGATTGGACACCCGAACGCCGGCAAGTCGACGCTGCTGAGGGCGGCGACCCGCGCGAGGCCAAAGGCGGCAGACTGCCCGTCGAAATACGCCGGTGGGTGCTGCAGAGTGTGATTGAGTGGCTGGCTGCTGCTCAATAGGTTGCGGACTACCCGTTCACCACGCTCGTGCCCAACCTGGGCGTGTGCGAGGGCGGCGGCGGCGCCATGCTCTGGCTCGACATCCCCGGCCTGCTGGAAGGGGCGCACGAGGGGCGCGGACTCGGCAGGGCCTTCCTGCGGCACGTGGAGCGCTGCCGGCTGCTGCTGCACCTGGTGGACGGCGAGTCGGCGGAGCCGGCGGCGGAGTACCTCGCCATCAACCGCGAGCTGCAGCTCTACTCGCCCCGCCTCGCCGCCACGCCCCAAGTCGTCCTCGTCTCAAAGGCCGAGCTGCCGCACGTCGCGGAGCGAATCAACGAGACGGTGGCCGCGATCCGCGCCGTCGCGCCGCACGGGCGCATCCTGCCCTTCTCCGCCCACTCTGGGCTCAACGTGCAGCAGCTGATGCAGCGCACGCACGCGCTGCTCAGGCAGGTGCAACACCAACAGGCGCAGGAGGCGGAGGCGGAGGCGGCGCCACACGGCCACGGACCGGACCGCACTTGATATCTCGTCTTCGTTGCGTAGTCGGTTTCTTTTGTGCAATGCTATTAGCTGCTAAAAATCACCGTATCTCACTCGCCCGCGGTACATGGTTGACGTATAGTGTGGCAGGCGCGACGCGCGGGTAGAGACGCGACAACGGACAAGACGACGCGAAGGCGCTCTTGTCAACTCCGTCTTGGGTCTCCTCACTCCTGTGTCCGGACTCTCTGTGTTCGCGCGCAGCGCGATGCGGGCGTGCGCTCCCGCGCCGCCTCTCTACTTCTAGCTGGCCGACATGCCGGCGGTGCGGTCTCGGGACGTAGGAGTACGCCGCACGCGCGTGCTCGCCAGGCCCTCTTTCGGAGGGACGAGCCGCTCCTCGGCCCACCCCGCCACCGGCTGACCGCAGGCTCAGACGGCGCCGAGGGTCGGTTGCGCCTCCTCCGCTGCCGAGCCATCGCCACCCCCGCCCGCCTCTGCAGCCTGAGCGCTCGGCAAAGGGCCACCCGTCTGCTGCCCGCCCGGCCCCCCACCCCCTGCCTCACCCCCCGCCTCAACGCCAGCCTCATCGCCGCCCTCACCGCCTGCTCCGCCGCCAGCAGACACGCGCTCGCTGCCCGTCTGCATCGGCTCGGCCGCTGGCGGGACGCCGTCCGCATCGGCGGAGCCGCTGTCTGCGGCCTGCAACGTCGACTCGCCTGCAGAGGCGGCGGTGGCCTCGGCGGCGGCGGCCTCGGCCGCTGTGGCCTCGGCGGCGGTGGACTCGATCCCCATCGGCTCGCCCTCGGGCAGCGGCTCCTCGTCGAGCGGATACTCCGTCTCGGCTGCCGCCTGCTCCTCCTGCGCCGTCTCTGGGAAGCGCTCGCCGCCGTTCTGAGGGTTCATCGGCGAGGCCTGCCACCCCTCAGCCGCCTGCTTGAAGGCGTCGCGGTGCAGCAGGTCGGGGTTGGCGGCCTTGACCTTTGCGACCTCCGCCTTCATGAAGACGTTGTAGGCGCTGAGAGCACGCGGCACGCCGGGCGCGCCGCTGCCCTCCTTCTCAATCTTGCGCTTGCGGCTCCGCTTCGCGGCGCCGCTCTGCAGGGAAGGCTGCAGCGCCGCCGGCTGCACCTGCACGGCAAAGACGCCCTTGCACTCGCTGCACTGCACCGACGTGATGCCCTCGGGGAGCTTGACCTGCAGGTGCTGGGCGCAGCTCGGGCAGGTGACCTGAAACCACTGCAGGAGGCCTGCATACAGCGTGGACATCTCGCACGCGCGACGGTGTCACTTGGTTCTGTCGCTTGTCATGAGGGGCGACGTTTTTTCTTTTTGCCTATTCCAAAAGTGATTGGGGACACCTTGTGGCACCCCCCCCTCTCTTGGCGCTTTCTTAAGCGATCCACGTGTAGTTTATTTTTGCTTGGGCGGACCTCATGACGGGGTAGGTAGGGTAGGTCTGGGCCCTCCCGTCGGGTTTTTCCCTCTTCCACGCTGGAATTTTCACAGCATAAAAAGAAATTTTTCCGCGGAAATCACGATGTCAACCCTCCCCAAATGGGTGATCTGATGCTTGTAGGGCTTGAGAGTGGCCTGCCATGTCACAAGAAGGACTGTGGTTGCAGGAGAGTACCACCAACCATCACTCTAGTTGGTATAGTACCCCACCTTCACCCCTCCCATGATTTCTTTTTTAGTTTCCCTGAGTCGCCTCTCAGCCAGCGGGGCGGCTGGCCGACGCCCAGAGAGGCGAACCCTCGTGGCCGCAGCGGGCGGCCGCTCGAGCGGCGCGACGACGAGCGGCGCTCGCGGCCCAGCAGCGACGGGCCCGACTCGAGCCGCCACCCGATTGACGACGACTCGCCGGATGAGCTGCGCGGCGCCGACTCTGACGGGGCGAGCGTCGCAGCAGGCGCTGCGCGGGGTGGCGCGGCGGGCGGTACGAGTCGCGGCGCGGCGGACGGCGAGCGCTCCTACCGCATCCCGAAGAGGCAGGGCGCACACGAGGTGATGGACTCGACGAGGAAGCGGGAGCTCGAGGCCAAGGCCAAGGCCGAGGCTGAGCTGCTGCGGACGCGTGAGGAGGCAGCGAGGCGCGAGCGCCGCGGACGCGCCGACCAGCGGAGGGCGGAGCTGCAGGCGCACGACGAGACGTGGCGGCGCGAGATGGCGGCCCACACCGAGCACGCGCGCTCGGTGGCTCGCGCGCTCCGCGAGCACATCGGGTGGCACTGGCGGCCGAGCAGCGACGCGTTCGCCCGCTACCCCGAGGGTCTCCTCCGCATCCCCGAGCGCTTCGTGGCCGTCCACGTGGACCGGGTGGTGCTGCCCCTCCTCGTCCGCTGCGTCGAGGTGGAACTCGAGGGCGCGTATGCCAGGACCGCCTTCCGCGACGAGTTCCTCAGCGAGGGGAGGTACGCCCGGCGGGTCGACCTGCTGCCTGTCGCGCCGCCAGCGCTGCAGCTGCTCGACCGCCTCAGCAGCGCGGTGCGCGGCATGGAGATCGAGCTGCCGCGAGACCCACGGCGCGCCAGGTACGTGACCGACGCGCGGGGCCGGCGGGTGGGGTGCGCCGGGGGGGCGTCCGGCGCGGCCTACCCCGGCTTCGAGAAGACGTGCAAGACCTTCGACGAGGCGCTGTGCGCGGCGGCGACGCATCTCTACCAGGCAGGCGTGGTTGCTCCCTTCCAGAACCCGGAGCTCTGGCGCATCCCCGACAGTGGCACCCTGCGGGTCACCGTCGAGAAGCGCGCGACAGCGGAGGGGTGGGAGCTCTCGGGCGCCAGGCGCAAGACGGGCCCGGAGGCGCGCAAGGAGGGGAACAGAGTCATGCGCCGTCGGGGGGCCACCGCCGACGGCGGCATCAGCCGTCGGTACCCCGTGCCGCCGCCGCCGCCGCCACTGCGGCCGTCGCCACTGCCGCCACCACCGCCGCCCCCGCCGCCCCCGCCGCCCCCGGCGCGAGGAGAGCCGCGTCCCCCGTCTCTGTCTGTGGAGTGCGGTCAGTCGAGTGGTGTGCGTTTTTCCGAAGGAGGCGGCAGTGCGTATGGGGGTGTGGGAGAGCCATCGGGGGACCACTCCCCCCTACAGTCGGCGGACGGCGTGCGGCCACCGCCGTCGGCACCGCCCTCGCCGCCACCCGCACCTACCACCCCCACGAAGGACGCCGGCGGCGCGCCACCTACCCCGACCACGCCACGGCCACCATGCACGCGCTGCGGCCTGGACCGCATCCCCGACGACGCCGAGCAATGCCCGGATTGCGGCTGGCCCCTCGACGAGACCTGGGACGAGCACGAAACATACCACTGGCAGGATGGCAACGACCTCCGCTGCTGCGCGTGCGGCGAGCTGTGGTCGGCGAAGGTGCAGCACTGCCTGGGGGACTGCTGCGGCGGCCCCGTCGAGCCAGTCGATGGCTCGTGGCACGTCGAATGGGTGAGCGGAGGGGCGCTGCACTCGGAGATGCCCGTCTTCTTCAATGGCCGCTACCGTGAAGCAGACGTGGAGGAGGTCCGCCTCGGGGGACCGCGTCCGCCGCCCCGACTTAGCTCTGGCGCCGCTGGCAGCTCGAGCGCACACGCGGACCTGTCGCTGGGCGGGGCAGGTGGCGAGGGCGAGGCGGCGCCGAGCGACCGCTGGCGAGAGGCAAGCACCTCGCCACCGACTACGCCGAGGAGGCGAAGCGGAGTGCCAAGGCCGCGGCGTGCGCGGCCAACAACTACGACTTCATGACGTGGGCGGCGAGCACGCGCGGCGGCATTGGCCGCGAGGCGGCGGAGTGGTTCACCACCGGCTTCGCCGCCAAGGTCGCCCTGGCGCGCTCCGACGGCGAGAAGTGGCGAGTGCGCAACGAGCGCAAGCGCCTCCTGCAGCAGCACTCGGCCATCATTGCGAGGCGCAACTGGGAGATCACCCAGCGCAACGCGTGGCCGAGGATGGGCGGCGTGGCGCCGCGAGCGCCGCCAGTCGAGTAGTAGCGGTAGGGAGTAGAGGTAGTCGTCTCAGTAGTGTCCTGTCAGAGCGTCCCGTGTCGGTCAAGCAGCGTCTGTCGGATAGTAGGAGAGAGTGTGTCGTGTGTCGTGCGGATCAGTCCTGTCTGAGTAGGGGAGGGGAGAGACGGAGAGGAGAGTCATTGAGCCTTGGCACCAGCCGGGCAGTGGGTTTGGCCCTGGCATCAGCCGGGCATGTTGTTGATTTGGCCTTGGCATCAGCCCTGGCAGGCGGGCACGCGGGACATGCACAGGCGCCAAGGGGCGCAGAACCGACCTAACCCGTCGGAGGTGGGGGGAAGGGAGTACCGCCGGGTTCCCCTGCGTGAGCGCAAGAGTAACCCCAAGAGGGCTGAAGATGAGCGGTGCGCGCAGGGGTCGGCGTGACGGGGCGAGGGACGCGCCGCGCGGGGCGCCGCCTCACCGGCCCAAGTGGCGCAGGGCGAGGCGGCGAGAACCGAGCGAGCACGTCCTCGTGAGCCCCGTGGCTCCAACCAGGCCCTTCCTTTTTTTGAGCAGGTGTGACGCCGCGCGAGCGACGCTCCGAGATCGCCCGAGATAGCGCGGCGCGGCGGTGGGTGAGGTGGGGTGGGGTGGAGTGGCGTGGCGTGGAGCTCCGGGATTGCGCGAGATTGTGCGAGATCGCCCGAGGTCACGCGGCGCGGCCCGAGATCGCCCGAGATCGCGCGGCGCGGCCCGGGGCGGAGTGGATGGGTTGGGAGCGAGGGGGCGGAAGTGTTCAGTGCGGTAGATGGCGAGCTCGGGGCGCGTGAGCCGGACTTGTGAGCCGGACCACCTCCTCTTGTTCCCTGCGTTGTTGAGCCAGGACTCAACATACTCGGGCTTGCTCATCCCAAACTGTCACTCCCCTTTCTCCCGGCCGGGGTGGGGCGCGCGCGGGGGCGGCGGGTGTGCGGCGGGTGTGCGGGATGTCTGTGGGCCCGAGAGCGATATGCCATGTCCGCCTTGCGTTTGTTTCATAACATCGAAGGCTAAGCTCAAAAAATAAACTACACGTGCCTCATCCGCTTTCTCTGTCTTTCATCGGCGCCAGTAGTCGGGCCAGCTGTCGGGCCAAACACCACCATGCTCTCCCTCCCGCCTCTCGCCTCTGTCGCGCTCGACAACGGCGTCGCACGCACGCCTCCGATGGGCTGGATGACGTGGGAGCGCTTCCGCTGCACCGCCGACGGCGGCGACGTGGCGGGCGGCGGCGCGTCTCAGCCCAGCTGCGCCGAGGACCCGGAGAACTGCATTTCGGAACGGCTGGTTCGGCAGCACGCCGAGATCATGGCGCGGCCGGAATGGAGGGGCGCGGGCTACGAGTACCTAAACATCGACGACTGCTGGGAGAATTGGAGCCGCTCGCCGGGCGGCAAGCTGGCGCCCAACTCGACTCGCTTTCCGCACGGCATGAGGGCGCTTGCCGACTACGTGCACTCGCTCGGGCTCAAGCTCGGCACGTACAACGACATGGGCACCGAGACGTGCGGTGGCTACCCCGGCGAGTGCAAGGACGAGAGCTGCTCGCTGCCGGGCTACATGGGTGTCGACGCGGCGACCTACGCGGGGTGGGGGATCGACTCGCTCAAGATGGACGGCTGCCACTCGGTGCACACGCACGGCGTGCTCGACCCGGCGTACCGCTGCATGGGCGAGGCGCTCAACCGGACGGGCCGGCCGGTCCTCTACTCGTGCTCGTGGCCAGACTACATCCGGACGGCGCCTTGTCCGCGCCTCGAGGCGGCGCTGGAGGCACTCGCGCTCGACGCGGCACGCGGCACGCTCGAGCGCGTAGGCGAAGGGCGAGGCGCCGGTCAACTACACCGAGACTGCGGCGCGGTGCAACATGTGGCGGATGTACAACGACATCCAGGACTCTTACGAGTCGGTGAGCGGCATCGTCGACTGGGTTTGGGACCCGCTGCCGGTCGCTGCTCCTCGCCCGCGCCTCCTCGTCACGCCCTCGTGCTGTGAACAGGTGGGCGACCACGCCGAGGCCAACGGCATGCTGGCCGCGCAGGGGCCCGGCGCGTGGAACGACCCCGACATGCTGCTCGTCGGAAACTTTGGGCTCTCGCTGCCGCAGGCAAAGGCGCAGATGGCGCTGTGGTCCATCATGGCCGCGCCGCTCATGATGGGCAACGACCTGCGCCGGCTGTCGGAGGAGATGAAGGCGGTCCTGCTCGCTAGAGAGGCGCGCCACGGCCCTCGGCACAGGCAGGCCCGCACGCACACCGCACCGCACCGCGCGTCACGAGCCCGGCCCCGGCCGGCAGGTGATCGCCGTCGACCAGGACCCGCTCGGCAAGCAGGGCCGGCGCGTCTTCCAGCTCAAGGGCAGCCAGTGCGGGGCGCACGACGTGTGGGCTCGGCCGCTCGCCAACGGCGACACGGCGGTGGTGCTGTGGAACCGCGGCGTGTGCGGCACCCACTCGCTGCTCGGCTTCGACTGGCCGACGGTCGGCGTGGCCGACGCGAGCAGACGGATGGGCGTGCGCGACCTCTTCGAGCAGAGGGACCTCGGCGTGCACGCCGGCTCCTTCTCCGGCTTTGTCGACCTCTCGGGCGTGCTCATGCTGCGGCTCTCGCCGGCGGAGGGCGCAGAGCGCTGGGGCGCGTCGTGAGGGGCACTCGTTCTCCCGTCGCCGATCATTGCTTCCCCCTCGAGGCGGTGCGGACTGCCGGAGGCGTCGGTCTCCCCTCTGCCCGTACGACTCTCGCTAAACCCCCTCGAGGGCAGACCACCTCTCGGCTCGAGCACGCTGCGGCGCTCTCGCTCTCGCGGGGGCGCGAGACGCGCGGCTCTCTCACGTGGGTTTGGCACTACTCTAGGCTTTTGTTCTTACGTCCCTCGCCCGCCCCAAGACAGCGTGCACTCTGCTACACGAAGTACTTGTACTCTACCTGTATGCTGTGCGTGTGGGAATGGGACTTTCTCAAAGAAAAAGAAAGAAAGAAAACAGACAACCCAAGGGAGGGATGGGAGGACGGCACGCCGCCACCACACAGGGATTTTAAGGAGAGGTGTGTGATGCGCTAGCCGTCGCCCACCCTAGGGAGTCTGCCTCTTCCTATCTCTCTTCGCAGTCTCTCGCCGCTTCTCGCTGCAGCCTTCATGCCACCTCGCGGTCGTCCCACTCTCGTCGTTCTCTCCCTTGTCATTTCCTCCTCTGTCGCGTCGTTCTCTTCTGTCTCGTCCTGCGACGCCGCCGCCTGCCGGTCCCTTGTTCTCGCGGCTTCTTTCGCCTTTCGGCGCAACTCCGTCCTCCTCGCGGCGTATCCTGGCCCCTCGAGTGTATCGAGCTCCCCTCGCGCAAGGACCACATTTCTGACTCCCACTCCGAGCATTTGCCTCCAAGTCATATCGTTGCTCAGGTCCACTCTCTCTTCGAACACTCGTGCCTCTACGGATGATGCCGGCGCTGGGGTCCCCTTCGGATGCATCGTGACATCTGACAACTGAATTTCCACTGGTTCGTCCTCCTCGGAGTCGTCTTCCCCCGCTGCCTTCCGCTCGGCATGAGACTTCTCAGTGTTTGACTCTTCCATGTCTGCGTTTCTTCACCTCACTTGCGACCCGAGCGCTCACCTCCCGCCGCCCCGGGCACGGCCTCCCATCGTCGGGCCTGGCCGGGCCAGATACCACCCATGCCAACACTCAAGGAGATCCAGGAGGCACGGGAGCGGAGAACCGAACGGAATCTCGCATCGCACGGCATCACTCGTGGCGACAGCGCCACGCCCGCGTCGGCTACTCCCTCGAGCCCGAGCAGTAGCGTTATTTTTGGGCTCGGGATTGTTGGCATGGCAGCAGGATACGCGGCGCTCGCCTTCCGCTTCCGCAGCCTCACGGCCGGTCCTGGACGCGAGCGCTTCCGAGCCGGCAGCGCCGAGTTCCGAGCCGCGCAGCAGGCTGCGGAGACCTTCTCGCGCGGCTCTCGCCGGAGGGCAGAGGCATTCTCAGAGACGAGGTGGCGAGAGCGGTCGCGAGGTCGGTCGCGATACGGAGCGACCGATGAGGAGTCGCGCCGGCGCGCGGAGCAGCAGAAACAGCGCGACCGGCGCAGCGAGACGCTATCCCCGGGCAGCCTCGGTTGGGCGCTGGGTGTGCTGCAGCTACGGTCGCTCGAGGGCCTCACGGAGCGCGAGGCGAAGGCCTCGTACCACAGGCTCGCCAAGCAGTGCCACCCGGACACTGGTGGCGCGAGCGCTGACGCGGAGCAGTTCAAACGCATCGGCGTCGCCTACGAGGCCATCTCCAAATTTCTCCGGAGCCGCAGAAGCGCCCCGTGACCGCTTCGGTTCTGTGGAGGGTGCATGCCGCTCACAGGGACATTTCAGCCTCCGGTCATCATTGCTCCGGACATTCTCTCGCCAGCCGGACCGATGCCAACTGTGCACGGTGGTGCGGTCAGGTCGGAATTTACGCGGATAGGGGTTAGGGCAGTCGCGGAGGCGGTTGGTGTGTCATAAATCCAGCCGGCACACCCAGATAGGTTCACTCAAAGAGAAACCAACTAGGCGGCACGATGTTAAGATAGTGATCACTGTAGGCACAATCAAGTTCAAGAATCATGCGCGGGGTCGGCAGGGCGAGAAAAAGTGTGTGTGTCCCTTTTCAACACTTTCATGCGCACACGACGAGCGTACTGCTCATGTCCCGGCCGTCACGCCTTAACGCGCCCATGCGCATACAGAAAGCGTTCCCTGACTGCGCTTTCGGAGTCCCTCTCTTTGAGCCACGTCTCGGTCGACAGCCCGGTCGGCACCGGGAGCCTCGCTTCCACTCCTAGCTCGCGGAGCAGGCTGACATTGCCAAGATTGACGGCGGTGCCATCCTCCTGCAGACACCTCGTGCTGAGTACCTTCAGTCGCCAAGCTTGCCACGGATGCGCCGGCTCGCCGGACGGCGGCGAGAGGCGCCCCCCCACCGCGGCGACCCCCGCGGGGCAGCAGTCGCCGCCGTTGTTTGCCGCCTCCCACCCGAGAGGCGCTTTGCAACTATGCAGTTCGAGAAAGTGCGCCAGAACAACAAGGCGGTTGATGAACTTGTGTCGGTTGTGGTAGATGGCGAGCTGGCGGTGCACGCGGAACCCGTGCGTGTCGTAGTAGAGCGAGTCCCAGCCGTGCACGCTCAGCAACGTGAGCGGTAACCTATGCGGCGGTGGGACGCGCGGGTCGGACCACTCGACACACGTCCCCGGCAGGTGGCGTTTGGTCGGTGGTGCGGTGGGAGATCGGCGTAGGGGTGCTCTGGCGGAACGGCGCACCGCGACCCCACGTGCCTCCAGAGCACAGAGCCGAGCCAGACATCCTCCACCACAAATTCCTTCGCTGGCATTGGTAGGACGCTGAGCGAGTCCATCTCTGCCCTGATGCCTTCGTTGGCGGCCAAGGCCTGCACGAGGCGACGCCCGATGGCGAAGAAAGGCCCACAGGCGTACGGGAAGGGCCCGTGGCACGTGACGTTTGGGACGGAACAGCGCTTCGCGAGGCCCGTCCTTCTCGCCGCCATGTTTGAATAGCCTCGTTGTGGAGAATACGTGGTGAACTGAAACTGGCGCCCAGGCTCGTAGAGCGTGTGGTACCAATTATGGTAGCCCAGGTACGCGTGCTTTCTCATTCCCACGGGCACCGACTCGAGAAGACGGATGATCGCGGGAGGGTGCAGGTAGACGTCATCATCGGCTTTCCCGATGAAATGCGCATTCGGAAAGGTGGCAATGGCGTGGGATAGCCATGCCATGAGCGAACGAACCGGCCCCATCCGCCGCCCCAGGACAGCTGGCACATCGGTGCAGAGCACACCCGGCTCGGACCTCTCCGGAGCATCCACAGGCAGCCCACCACACCGCAGTACGAACCGCACAGCTGCCGGCACCCACTGCCTCTCCAGCGCCTCACCCCATGTCTGCCTCGCGGCCGCTCGCCGCACACGATATTTGACCCCGTCGTGCGACGTTCCGCTGAGCACGCCGATGGCAGCTATCATCCTTTGATCGCGGCCTCGCGAACGCCTGCCAGGCATTGTGCTTGCGATGCGCTTTAAGGAGGACGGGTGTCGCGCTGTCAACAGCCTGACACCTGTCTGGTATAGCCAGCCGCCTGCGCTGTGCTCTTTCGTCGGAGCTCAGTCTGCTCTGTAGCTGCCTCGCCCGCGGCAGACGCGTGACGAGTGTCGCTGGCACACCCCTCCGCTCGCAACGAAAGTTGTTCCTTTCAACACGTACGTCATCTCTCTCTCTCTCTTCTCTCTCTCGGGTGTAAACGGGTGCCCCTACGTACATAGGAACGGGCGCGAGAATAGAACGGACCTGCGCGGCCAGGAGTACCGCGAAAACTGGCGCGCAGAGAAAAACGCGTGAGCGCCGGAGCGAGTGCGCGAGCCCCGTGGCTCCAACCGGGCCCTTCCTTTTTTGAGCAGGTGTGCCGCCGCGCAAGCGACGCTCCGAGATCGCCCGAGATAGCGCGGCGCGGCTCCGAGATCGCCCGAGATCGCGCGGTTCTGCGGCGCCTCGGCATATCTCGGGCTCGGCGAGGCGGATGGGTTGGGAGCGAGGGGGCGCAAGTGTTCAGTGCGGTAGAAGGTGAGCTCGGGGCGCAAGAGGTGGCCTGTGAGCCATCCGGCTTACATTTACCCTGCGTTCTCGCACATGGAGTGCGAGGTATCTCGACTCCTTCCCGAAAAGTCACTCCCCTCTCTCCCGGCCGGGGTGGGCGCGCGGGGGGGCGGCGGGTGCCTTGCGTTTTGTTTCATAACATCGAAGGCTAGCTCAAAAACAAAATTCCCCTCAACGACATGGATTTTTGTTGGATCGAGGGCGTCAAAAATGTCAGATTGCTCCTACGGGAATGTACGTAAATAAGAGCAAGAAGGAGACGTACGAAAGAACAGGAGAGAGAAAACAACAAACTTCCGCCGAGTCGAACGGGATGGCTGTAACCGCGTCATCTTCGGTCTGCTTGCTATGCCACGTCCTCCCGCCACGCTGCAGGAGGAGTTCATCGCGAACTTCCCTCGTTCCGCGCCCCCGCTGCTCCGCTGGCCGCTCAACACAACCCGCAGCGACACGGGCGGCTTTGCACCATCAGTGCCGAGAGCCTCGCGGCCCAACTTTGTCCTCTTTCTCCAGGACGACCAGGATGAGTTTCTCGGCGGCTGGTCGCCGATGAAGAAGGCGCAGGCGCTGCTGGCCGATTCTGGCGCGCGTGCTACGAACTGGTTGATCCACACGCCCGTATGCTGTCCGAGCCGCGCCGAGCTCCTCACGGGACGGTACTTCCACAATGTGCGCGAGGCGGTCCACACCGGCGGGTGCATGCACATCGACGAGAGGCGCGTCAATCCTGTGTCCTTCGGCGCGGCACTGGGCTCAGCGGGCTACACGCTCGGCTGGTTCGGAAAACACATGAATGTCTGCCCCCACCGCCCGCCGCCGGGCTGGGACTGTCCGACATGCGTGTGGTTCGCAAACGGCGGGGGACGTGACGCAGAGCCGGGCGGATATCTGAACGCCTCCTTCTCGCACTTTGTGGGTGGGAGCGCCGTCGGACCAGATCGGTACCACCAAACGGCGGGCACCTACGTGGCAGATACCGCCGGCGAGTTCTCAGGATACTACACTTCCGTCATTGCAAACAAGTCGATCGCCTGGCTTCACTCGGTGGCCAGAGGCACGAGGCCATTCATGCTCACGGTGGCATCCAAGGGGCCGCACGTGCCCTCGACGCCCGCGCCGTGGTATGCCAGGGGCACCTACATCGACGGGCTCGCGGCGCCAAGGACAGCCGCCTTCAATGCGTCCCGGGAGCAGCTCTCACACCACCACTGGCTCATCGCGCAGCAGGAGCCCATCACGCAGGAGCAGGGCGCCGTCATTGACGAGCTGTTTCGCAACCGGTGGAGGACGTTGCTCTCGGTCGACGATGCGATTGAGGGCGTGCACGGGGCGCTGCAGCAGCTCGGCGTGCTCGAGTCGACGTGACCCGACGCTGCGGGTGGACGCTGGCCTCGCCCGTTATTCCCGTGACGCGATCCTCCTGGCGGCCACAGGTACATTTTCGTCACCTCTGATCACGGCTTCAACCTGGGCCAGCACCGGCTGCCGACATGCAAGCTGAATGTGTACGATCACGATCTGCGCATCCCAATGGTCATCCGAGGGCGCGGCCTCATCGCGTTCACCATTCCGACTCGTGACGTCTTGGAAACCCGCGCCTCGTTTCCCGTGCAGGCCGGGCATCCCACATGGCCTCCGCTTCCCCCAGCCCGCCTCCAACGTGGACCTTGCGCCAACCTTGCTCGGGCTCGCCGGCGTCCCGGCAGAAGCCACCGCTCACATGGATGGCCGCTCCATCGCCCGACTCGTGATCCCCTCGACTGACGGCCCTGCTCTCCCCGCCAGCGCCGCAGCGCACGTCCGCGCGCTTGCCGGGGCCGAGGCTGCGCCGTGGCGCACTCACCACTTTATTGAGTACTACAGCCTCGGCTCAGTCGTCCGAACCGAGCACCTCATCGACGACCCCAATTCGAACACGTACCGCGCGCTCCGCTTTGTCGGCGACGCCCGCCACGGCGACTTTCTGTACGCCGAGTTCACGGCGCTGGCCGACTGGAACTTTTCTTCGGTGGGCTTTCACGAGGCGTTCGACCTGACGTCCGACCCCCACCAGCTCAACAACGTGTTTAGCTCTCTGAAACGGGACACGAAGGCGGAGCTCGCCGAGAGAGTTCGCCGCGAGTGGCGGTGCAGCGGGCAGAGGGGGAAGCTGGCGTGCGGGTAGAAAAACGCGGGATGGATAAGCGGAGAAGCGAGAGACGATGAGAAGAAAGAAAAGAAATCAAACAGTCAGAGACCACCCGAGTTGGCCGAGCGAGAGGGGAGGGGGGGTGGAGGGCTGACGCTCTGGATTTTGTTTTGACGCTCTGTGGGGTGTGACGCTGTGTATGACCCGAGACAGAAAGAAAGAAAAAGAAAGCGGACAGTAGAAGCTAGGGCTGGGTCGAGCTCGAGGACAGACGCGTCCCCACCTTTGCAGAATTTTGTTTGACCCGAGAGCCGCGATGAGCGATGCAGCGATGGAACTCCCACTGAATTCACAAACAAAACTCTGTCTGAATTCTTTTCCCCAGCGCCCAGGTGACAACAAACCGTCTGCACGTCTCGCGCGCGCGTGAACAGGGCTCCAGGCCCCAAATGACGTGTGAGTGTTAGAGTTGTTTGGTATTGCTAAAAATCTCTCTCCCAGGTGTACCTGAGTGGCTGAGTGCCAGTGGCAGTACCGAGTGTCGTGAGAGGGAGTTTTGTCGTAAAAAATCTTTTCCCAAATAAAACGGACGCGATTTGCCATAAATAATAAATAATAATAGCGGCGCTCCTAATTCTTTTCCTGGGACTCTCACACGAGGCAAGTCGTGATGGCAGATCTTCAGGCCGAACTGAGTACCTTGGGATCGAACCGCAAACGAGAAGAGCTGGCTGCTGATGACGGCCTGTCAAAGCGCGCGCGGATCGACGCTGACCCTGCGTCGGATGCACACACCGCAAGCACCATCGAGGGCGGCGCTGAGCCAGAGGCTGGCGCGCCGCCAAAAATTGACGCTGCTGCGCCGACTGCTGTGCCACCTGCCAGCGGCAACGGTGCCGAGGCGCCTGCTGCCGCGGCGCCAGAGGCTGCCGCGCCACTGCCTGCGCCGGTGCTTGCGCCTCCGCCACCCCAGCCTATTATGCAGCCGCCGCCGCCGTATGGAGGCTGTGGCGGCGGCGGTTTTTACGGCGGCTACCCGCCGCCAGGTGGTGGCGGCGGCGGTGGCGGCGGCGGTGGCGGGCAGGTTTGTAAGGACTTTGTGAACGGCGTGTGCCGGCGGGGCGCGGCTTGCCGCTTCCAGCATGTGGCAGCGCCCAACGCCCAGTCGCAGCAAACGGCCCAGGTTTGCAAAGACTTCCAGAATGGGCTGTGCAACCGCGGAGCTTCCTGCAAGTTCAGTCACGAGCAGGGTGCGGGCCCCGGAGGCCCCGGCGGTCCTGGCTTCGGTGGTTTTGGCGGCGGCGGCTTCGGAGGCGGAGGGTTTGGCGGTGGCGGCGGATACGGCGGAGGCGGGTACGGTGGAGGCGGGTACGGTGGAGGCGGGTACGGTGGAGGCGGGTGGGGCGGAGGCGGGTACGGTGGCGGCGGGTACGGTGGCGGCGGGTACGGTGGGGGCGGGTGGGGCGGAGGCGGCGGCTATGGTGGCAATGGCGGAGGCGGCTTTCCTGGCTTCGGCGGCGGCGGGCCGGGCTACGGCGGCCCGCCACAGGCCGGAGTGTGCAAGGACTTTATGAACGGGCGGTGCACGCGGGGCGCCTCGTGCAAATTTGCGCATGAGGCGAGCGAGCGAGCGAGAGAGGGCGAGGCGAGGGCGAGGGCGAGGGAGAGAGATCGTGCGTTGGGACCACCGGCCCCTCCCGCAGGCGACCGCGCCTCCCGCGCCTCCCTACCCTCCGCAGGGCACGCCGAACGAGACTCAGCAGCCGGTGTGCAAGGACTTCCAAAATGGCGCCGCGGCAGCAGCCGGCACCGGCGCCCTGGCTCGCTCCTCACCCCGGGCTGCTGCTCGAGTAGGCATGTGCTCGCGTGGCGCCTCGTGCCGCTTCCGGCACGAGGCGGAAGGTGGTGCAGCAGGCGGCGCGCAGCAGTGCGGGCCCGGCATGCAGGGAGGTGGGATGGGCGGCGGCATGGGCGGCGGCATGGGAGGCGGCATGGGAGGCGGCATGGGAGGCGGCATGGGAGGCGGCATGGGAGGAGGCATAGGAGGAGGCATAGGAGGAGGCATGGGAGGAGGGATTGGAGGCGGCATGGGAGGAGGCATGGGAGGAGGCATGGGAGGAGGCGTGGGCGGAGGCATGGGCGGCGGTGCGCAGCAGGGCGGACCGGGCATGCAGGGAGGCATGCAGGGAGGAAGCTTTGGTTCGCGCTCTCCCCTTCCGCGTTTCGCCCTCCCTCCCCTTCCCCCCAATCCCCCCCACCACGCATGGACACGGCACCGTCCAGAGCCGCGCGCTTCGAGCCGCCGCCGCACCCATGCCCATACCCACCCTCGCCATCTCGCAGGGGCGCCGCCTTCGTCGGACCAACCTCGCTGCCTCGACTTTCTCTCTGGCCGCTGCACCCGGGGCGACTCATGCCGCTTCAGCCACGCGGCGCAGTGATCCAGGCGGATGGAGGGGCCTCATGGGCGGCGTGGGCACACTCGTCGGTGGCACAGAGAACAGGGCTGGCGCATGTGGGCGGCCGGACAGACTGGCTCACGAGCGCTCTCTAGCTCTGCGGCACAAAAACACAGGTGTGTTCTAGCATCTCGAAAGTCACACTGCTACTTTGCAGTCATTTCACGTTGTGGGCTCCTGTCTTGTCAGCCTGACCGAGATTTTTGCAAACTCGCCCTCAACCCGAACGCCGTCCCGCGGTCCTGTCCACCGAGCGTGCCCGGGCGGGAGGAACGGGTCGGGTGGCACGTCCGTGGTGAACTCGACCCCGCTCTCGCCCTCGGGCAGCGGACCAACCCACGCCTGTACCTGCGGAATGTCGGAAAACTGCCTTGGACGGCCCCATAGCTCGCTCGTCGCGGCCTGGAGATCTGCGTCCTCGTCGGTTTGAGTCGGGCTGCGCAGGCGGTGGAAGGGCCCATAGGACATCACCGGCGCGTCTCACTGCCTGCTGGCACGCGTCCGGCTGCGGCAGGAGGCACGACGCAGGGAGCAGTAGGGCTAATACGTACGAGCTCGTAGATGAGCTTTCACCTGCCTGGTCCGGAGCTGCGGACGTTCGTCCAAACTTACCCTGAACCTTCTTTTGTAGAACGCAGAGAGCAGCCTCGCTCTCAATCCTAGAAGTCGAAGGATTGTGAGCAGCACTCCTCGCAATCGTAGCATCTCTGTAGATTGCTAGCACCTACGCTCGCAATCCTACATCTTCTAGGACTAAGAGCAGCTCCGCTCCCAAGGTGACTGGTGACGCCTACGACTACTACCAGCGCGCTCGCAATCCGAGCATAGTCTAGGATTGCGAGCAGCTATGCTCACAATCCTAGCAACATGCCTCCGATTGCGAGCAGTAGCGCTCGCAATCCTACATCTTGTAGGTAGGACTATGAGCGGCGGTGCTCAACACAATCGTACCAGATCCAAGGATTGCTAGCAGGCGCACAGAGGGCGCTCCCAATCGCTCCAGCCGCGAGCGCTTGTGAGCGCGCCGGGACGGTCTCCTCACAATCCAAACAGTGGCACTGCGCAACAGCAGCCTGGCCGTCGCCCCAGCCCCTCTCTCTTCTCTCGCCGTAGCCTCTCCGCCAGCAGGAGGCCGAGAAAATCGACTCCCGCCACCATCCCCGTCATCCACCGGGGCCTCCTGCTGTGGCGCCCACGGGCGCCACTACAAGCGGGGGGTTCAAGTGTGAGCGATGACCGGGAGACGAGCCGCTCTTGCCTAACGGCCAGCGCTGCTCCGTCGGCCCGCCTCGTACGAACCACCTGAAATCCCAACCGACATCGTTTGTGTCCATGTCGTCGCATGGACCCTCCGGGTCCGGCGCGGAGCGACGGGAAGCCCACAGAAACGAAGCATCCAGCTAATAGATCGAGTCCCAAGCTGGAAGCACCGAATCCAGGCGCCCCTTGTTCCCAGTTTGCTGCGCTGTTTTTGCCAGCCAAAGCGATACACGTGCATATGGCACTGCGCCGCGTGAGTGGAATCCTGCTCGCTGGCGGCGCCCGCGCCATGTCGACCTCCGTCCCAACCACCGGCATGCCTCCGGGTCCGTTTCCCGTCGGCGTGACTACCGTGCAGTTTTCCGACGGCAGCCGCACCGACCCGGACAGTGGCGGGCCTCGCCAGCTGCAGACGGAGATCTGGTATCCCGCGGCGAGCGAGGCCGCCTCACAGCCGCGCAACCTGTACTCGGAGTTCCTCAGCCGCGGCGTCATCCCCGGCTCGATCGCCGCGGCCGAGACGGACGACGCCATCGGAGGCTATCGGGAGGGCCTGACGATTGAGGAGCTCGACCGTACGTGGCCCAACCAGGCGGTGCGGGACGCGCGGCCGTGTGGCGCGTGCAAGAGGCCGTGGCCGCTCGTCATCTTTTCGCACGGCTCCGGCGCCTTCCGCGCCAGCTATATCTATTGGACCGAGTTCCTCGCCTCGCACGGCTTTTGCGTGGTCGCGTGCGACCACCCGGGCTCCGCGCGATACACGCAGGTCGGCGGCGCGGTCGTCAAGCCGGGCGGCACGCGCTCGGCGCGCGCGCAGATGGAGGCGGACCGTCCCGCAGACATGCTATTCCTGCTGGACTGCATGGAGGCGCTCTCTCGCGGCGCAGACTCGCGGTTCGCGGGCAGCCTCGCACCTAGATGAAAGAGTGGTCGTGCGCTCCCACGGGCGGCCGAGAAGAGACACGCACTCGGCCCGTTCCATCGGGTTCCCCCCCTCGGCATCGTGTGAGAGTGTCCACAGCGCGGTCCTGTGCTCCCACCCGCTCACATCGCAGGCCGCGTCGACACCGACCGGACGGCGCTGAGCGGCATGTCCTTTGGCGGCTTCTCGACGGCGGCGGCGATGGAGGTGCGGGACCCGCGCGTCAAGGCGGCCATCATGAAGTGCCCCTCCATCGCCATGTCGGGCGGCGGCCAGCTGCACACGTCTGCCCGCAAGGACCGCACCACTCCGGTGATGGTGATGCTCGGCACGGAGGACACCGTGATCGGCGAGGCGGGCAACGCGGCGGGGCGTGCGTACGTCGAGACCCACGAGGGGCCGGCCGCCCTCGTCGAGCTCGTCCGCGGCGGCCACGTCAGCTTCACCTCGTGCGCGCTCTACAACCCGGCGTACGGCAACGGCATCGGCGAGAGCAAGAGCCTGAGCCGGCCGGGCGAGACGTACACGCCGCTCGAGATCGGCGAGCAGCACCGGATGGTCAACAGCTACGGCCTCGCCTTCCTCAACGCGCACCTGCGCGCCGACTACGCGGGCGAGGCGGGCGCCGCAGCCTCGGCCGGCGAATACAATGCAGAGTACCTCAAGGCGAACCGGTTCGACGCGGCGGAGCTGCGTTACGCGGCCAAGTGAGCCTCTCAGGCTGTGCCATCAAAAGTGTTTTTCTCTTCTTCGCCTCGGCCAGACTGGTGCGGCGTCGCAGGCGACACACACACATATGTCGCTTCTCCCGACCGAGTCTCGCTCCCGCGACCCGGTGAGCACCGACTGGGACGACATTCAGCGCCGGCTCGGCAACCTGCCACCGCTCGAGGAGGCGGCGTCGGCGCTGGCGTGGGAGCCCGAGGAGGCGAGCGACAGGGCGCTGCAGCAGAGGCTGGGTCCCGCCGAGGGTGGCGCGCCGGGCTGCTCCGATGACGCGTCGGCCGACACGGATGCGCTCGAGCAGTGGCGCGCCGAGCGGCTCGCTCAGCTCAAGGGCTTGGCGGGCGGTTTCGGCACGCTTGTGCTCATCACGCGCGAGCAGTTTGTGGCCGAGGTGAACCGCGCCGGCGACGGTGTGGGCGTCGTCGTCTTTCTGCACAAGCCGAAGCACTACCCGTCGGCGTACATGGAGGTGCTGCTCGAGCGCCTCGCAGCCAAGCACCGCGCCGTCAAGTTTTGCCGGATCGGCCACCACGACTGCATCCCCGACTACCCCGACGCCAACCTGCCCACGCTGCTCATGTACCGAGACGACGACCTGCTGCGCCAGTGCGTCGGGCTCGCCGCGTTCGGCGGGGACGCCTACGGCGTCGACGACGTCGAGTGGGAACTCGCCGAGGCCGGGCTCGTCAGCACAGACCTGCCTGCGAACCCGCACGCGCAGCGGCATCGGTGAGGGAGTTGTGTGTGGCGAGCAGTTAGTAGCGCGAGCAGCTTTTTCTTTTCTTTCGCTGCCCTCTGAGAACACGCCGCTCGATGGACTCCATCCCTTCGATGGCTGTCAAGGAGACGGGGTCGGAGGTCAGCGCCTCGATAGAGGAGACGAACCGCGTGCGTGCGGAGCTCGGTCTCAAGCCGCTGGCCGAGGGGAAGGGCTCCAACAAGGAGGCCGAGGCGGCCGAGCGCGGGCGCAAGCTGGCGGCGCAGCGGAAGCAGGAGGCGGAGGAGGAGGCGATGCGCGCCAAGCTGGAGGACGCCAAGCGGAAGCGGCAGCTCCACGCCAAGGTGAGCGGCAAGGGCATCGGCGAGCAGCTCGACGGCGAGGAAATGGACTCGGCCGCGGCGTGGGTGGCCAAGTCGCGGCGCGGCGAGGAGGTGGCCAAGGCGGCGCGGTCAAAGGCGCGCGCGGAGGGGCGGGCGCGGCCGAAGGGGAAGGGGAAGCCCAAGCCGGCAGGGCTCGGCGAGCGGTACGACGAGATGGACGAGGAGTCGCAGCTGAGCGGCGCGCTAGTGGGGCACTCGACGGACGATTTCAAGGCGGGCGAGGACGTCGTGCTGACGCTGGCGGACGAGTCGATCCTGGACGAGAAGGAGGGGAGCTACGCGCTGCGCGAGGGCGACGAGCTGCTCGAGAACGTCTCGATGGCCGAGCAGCAGCGCCGCGAGCGCGCGCGCGACGCGGCGCGCGGCGTGCGCGAGCGCGACGACCCCCTCGGAGGCTCGTCCATCCTCGACAAGTACGACGAGCCCAAGGAGCGGGCGACGGTGCGGCTGGACGGGTCGGGGTCGGTCGACGAGGCGCGGCTCAAGAAGCTCGCCGCCGTCAAGCAGCGCCTCGCCGCGCAGCAGGCGTCGGGCGGCGTCCTCGCCGCGCACGACTTGAGCAGCGGCGGCGCGGCGGCGGCGGTGCCAAAGCTGGCGGTGGGGGCGGACTACATGACGAAGGCGGAGGCGGAGGCGGCGGGGTTCAAGAAGCCGGCGCACCGCGAGAAGAAGAAGCTGCGCAAGAAGTCGCGCGCTTCGGCCGGCGCCCTCGACCTCGACGCGATGGCGGCGGCCGAGGCGGTCGGCGGCGGCGCGTCCAACCTCGGCTCGCGCGGCCAGCGGGCGGCGCGCGCCGAGGAGCGGGCGGCGGAGGCGCAGGCGGGGCGCGACGAGCGCGCGCAGAGATTCGAGCGCGCGCTCGAGATCGCCGAGGGCCGTGCGGCCGAGCGGCTGCGTGGTCCGGCGGCGGCCGGCGGCGGCGGCGGCGAGGACGTGGAGATGGGCGAGGCGGGCGAGGCGGAGGAGGAGAGCGCGGAGGTGGACGCGGAGCTGTACTCGGCGCTGGCGCGGGCGCGCCGGGTCGGCAAGATGACGTCGGAGCGGCGGTCGGAGGACCACGCCGCCGCGCGGCTGCAGGCGCAGCTCGAGGAGGCGGAGAGGTGGGCGGCGGAGCGGAGGGACGAGGGCGGGATCCCGGCGGGTGACGACGCGCCGCCGCCCGAGGGATCGATTGAGTTTTCGGAGACGTCCGAATTTATCAAGTCGGTGCAGGCCAAGGAGGAGATCGACGAGGCGGCGGCCGGCTCCGACCTCCCCTCGGTGGCTCGAAAGCGCGCGCAGGAGGCAAAGGAGCGCGCGGGCGACAAGGACAAGGACGCGGCGGAGGGCGGCAAGGAGGACAAGGTCAAGGTGAAGCAGGAGAAGGCGGGCGCGGCGGGCGGCTGGGGCGCGGTGGGGGAGGGCGGCGGCGGGCACGGGAACGACGACGACGACGACGACGACGACGACGACGACGAGGATGAGCAGCTCAAAGGGTTGCACGACCGCGAGGTGTCGTCGGGGCTGGCGGCGGCGCTGCAGATGGCGCGGACGCGCAACATGCTGGGCGAGGAGAAGGAGGCGGCGGGGCGGATGTTCGACTCGAAGGGCGCGGGGCTGCACAACTACGAGGAGGGCAGCGAGGCGGAGAAGGGCGTGCAGCTCAACTACTTCGACGAGTACGGCCGCAAGATGACGCAAAAGGAGGCCTTTCGGCAGCTCTCGTGGAAGTTCCACGGCAAGGGGCCGTCCAAGAAGCGCAAGGAGAAGCGGATGGCGGCCTTCGAGGCGCAGATGACCGAGCAGAAGGACGACCGCGCGATGGCCTACATGGGCGTGCTGCAGCGGGCGCAGCAGTCCACAAAGTCGGCCCACGTGGTCCTGACTGGCCAGCACGCAATCAAGGCGTCCGAGGCGCGAAGCGGGCCGGGCCTGCCGGGGGGGCGGAGGCGGGCTTGGGCTGCCGGACACCAGAGCGTGATCTGTCCGTAGGTGACGGCGAAGCAGCGCAAGGCCGACAAGCCCGCGCCAAAGAAGCCAAAGCTCGGCTGAGGCTGGCATCGTGCGGCGCCGCGGGCGTTGGCGGCGGAGCCGGTGGGGACGAATCCGCCAGCGCCCAGGCCGGGCTTGCGAGGACATGTAGGCACTTGCGGGCCGGGCGCCCGCAGTGCCGCCAGTACGCTGAACGGTTTGCGTGGGGTTTCGCGCGTGTCAAAGTCGGCAGAGACTCGAGGTTGGACACAGTCCTGCTGCTGCTCACACGCTCGTGTCGTCTAACGAGACTCGAGAGGCGCGCGCCCAGCTGTGGCGAGTCGTCCTGGAGAGAGCCGCGGCCGGAGGCCCCGGAGCCGGGTCTGTGGCTTGCCTCTAAAAAGCGGAACATTATGCTGTACGCAAACAGCACATAGCTATAATCACTACGGTAGACACCGCGAGTGCGCGTTTGTGGTGCATTACCGGCTCGGCGCCATGCCCATGGAGCCCGCCCCGCGGCGGGAGGGGCGGAGGGAGCGCGATGCCGATGCGCGATGGTCTGGGCCGCGGTATCCACACGGTCAAAGCCGAATCAGCCGCATGTGAGGCATGCGCGCGCTTCGCCGGCCGCGTCCCAGGCCCCCGCCGCTGTCTCCCTCCCTCACTTGGCGTTGATCTCGGAATAAAAGACCTTCAGCTTCTCCTGGATTTGCGGAAGCTGCTTCTTCAAGTAGCGCAGCGCCATCTGGTGCGAGCCATCGTTCGGCTCCTTCGCGCTCCATTTGACCTAGGGATATGGGGCGTCGGACGGTGGATGGTCGGCCGGTGGTGTGCGCACTCCCGCGTAGCGCGCCTCATAGGCTCCATCAGACACGTCCTCAGACACGTAGGGCAGAATCAGTGTGCCCTCCACGTCGTCGTAGTCGACAGAGCCCTGCCATTTCAGCTTCACGTCGAGTTCGTAGGCCACGATGCGCTTTCCCTTCCGGTTGGAGACTGATGCCTCGCCCGTGCAGCTCTCCAGCCCAGTCACCCGCACCCAGCCCTTGTCGGGCACGCCAGAGGCCTCAACGCCGACCAGCAGCGCGGTGAGACGCTCCTTACACCACGGCAACAGGTCCTGCTCGCTCCAGTGCCACTGGTTCACGTTCGCCGCATCCTCCCGAGGCGCTGTTGCGCCGGCAATGATGCGCTGCGAGGAGGCGTCGGCCAGTTTCTGCCACAAGGCTTCGGCGGTGGCGTCCTGCAGCGACGTCTCTCTCGCTGCGGATAGAAACTTCTCCTTGGTGACGAATAGGGAAGCGGTCTTGTCGTTCGAGGCTGCCATGCGGATTTCCGACCCTCCTGGTCAGGGTTTCCGTGCTGCTTGCCAGCCTGCCTGTCGTGTGCCGCGCGCCCCTCACTAAGGGCGTAGACCTTACCCTGACAAGACGCACAACAAGCACACACGACAAGCAACGCGGTCTCCGGTCGCTCTCGAGGTCTCGCCTCACACTCGTCGCCGCGAATGGTTGGGCAGGTTGCTCTCATGCTAAGCGCGTAGTCTACGCCCTTCTCATGCCAGTTCGACGATCGGCAGCCTCACCGAAGGTCGCGCCGCTGCGCAGCGAGAGCCAGGCTCGCCCGGCGAAGGTGACCAGAGAGTGAGTGCTCAACAAATACCAGAAAAACTCAGGGAGCCTCAGGGAGTGCCACTGCCACCACCCAGGCCGCGGGAGCCGAACGGCTGCGCCGAGGACAGCTCCCTCAGTGTGCTCCGCGGCCCACCAGTGTGCGCCGCGGCGCCGTCCAGCCACTTTGGCGGCCAGCCACCGGACGAGTTCTTCGACTCTGAAGGACAGAAAGGTACCGTCTGAAAGGTATTTTCATGCTCTATTGACTGGCGAAAAATCCCCCGCCAACTGTTTTCACAGCGGGCGTGATTCACACCGAAGCATGAGCAAAGCATGGGCTGGGAAGAGGTTACCCAGTCAGTACTCGTACACGATCGCGCCGTGAACACAACTACTCGAGTAACTGACGGATCCGATCCTGACAGTCGCACGCGCCGCGCTGTGGCGCGTGCGACTGTCTTTCTTTGAAGTCAAAGTCGAATCAGAGCGGCGTTGTCCTGAGTTTTCTCCCCCAGACCGCCCAACCGGGACCGCTCCGGGACGCACGCCGGCGAAGCACCATCAAGAAGCTGCTGTACGGCCCGCCGGCATCACACTTTACCACTCAGAGCTCGTCCCGGTCCGGCACAGCGATCCTTGGCCTCCGGAGGGCCCCCGGGACGCGGTCGGGCGATCTGGCGTATGGATTCCCCACCCAGGGCTATCACCACTGGCTATCACCTGGACCCATCAACAGGCACCTGCCCGGGGGGCGGCGCCGAGGTCACTAACTGTTGTTCACACCGCTGCCCAACCATTCTTGCAGCACAGTAGGCGAGCCCAAATCACTCTCTAGAAATCACTGAGTCACTGTGAGAGTCGTCGTGGTCTTTCTTGTTGGTTGGGTTTCAAAATCCTCATCGCAAACCCTTGTCACACACAGCACACACACGGCAGAGAGTCCCCTCTTACGCGCTACGCGGGAATGTAAGAGCAAAGAGCCACATACACTGAAAATCATAAATCTCTCTCCAATCTGGCACGGTCCACACGCGGGCCACACAGGTTCAGCCGCGCGGTACACAACGAAAGGAGAGATCTCTCTACATACGAACAAGTTCACGAAAAAGCGTACACTCGACAGAGGGAACTGTCATCTGACATACAGCATCCCAACCTAGTCAATGCAGGGAATCTCGTACACCCCTTCGACCACGGGGTAGGGGAACCAGACCAAGAACTTCATCAGGAGGCCCGTGGGGGCGGGCTGCAGCGGGAGCTCGTCTTCGCCGCACGGCGCCCACTCTTCCGCCTCGTCGAGCGGGCGGCGGAGGACGCGGCAGTTGATCCCGCCCGCGCCGTCCTCCTCGAGGCGCACCTTGGACTGCACGGCGGTGTGCCTCCACTTCTCGTCGCCGACGACGCCGGGCAGCGTGTCGTACTCGAGGACGAAGGACTCGTTGGCGGCGCGCGCCTCTGCGAGCATGCGCCGCAGCTCGAGGCCGGGGACGGTGTACACCGGGAAGGGCCTCCCTCCGTCCCAGTGCGGGAGGTGCCTCCGGATCCTGTGCGAGCCAAACATGCGCATCACGGTCGGGTGGTACTCGTGGCCGATGTGCCCAAACGAGTGGAGCATGTCGCGGATGCCGGGCCGCAGCTCGTCCGTCACGTTGCACGGGTAGAGCGCGTTGAGGTAGTCGCTCGAGCAGCTCGTGATGCGGACGACGCCGCCGCCAAACCCGTCCGTGCCGCGGCTCCACTCCCACTGCTGCAGCAGCGAGGTTGGCATGAGGAGGTGGTTAGAGCCGCCGTGCTCGCGGATGTGCGAGAAGGGGCTCGTCGCAGAGATGTCCATCAGGCCCAGCGTCTGCGCGCCGAACACGTAGAAGAGGACCGCCAGCACCCAAAAGGCGCCGTTTGCGCGTAGGAGGCGGCTGGCGAGCCCGCCGACGGCGCCCAGGCCGATGGGCCCCGCCTCCGCCCACGCGGCCGCGTGCCGCATGTCGAGAAGCACGACTCTCGCGCCGATGAGGCAGAGGATGGTCTGGGCGGGGATGCCCCAGTTGATCACGATGCCGGGGTCGGAGGTGAGCGAGGCGGACCAGGCCGCGAGGGCGACGGAGGCGACCCGGAACGCGAGGCCGCTCGAGGTCCTCGGCGCGCTCACCACCTCGGCCAGGGCCACCGTCCACGCCTCGGGCATGACAAAGAAGAGGCGGGTGTAGCAAAACACACCGAAGAGCGGCACCGCGTTCGGGTGCGGAGTGATGCAGATCGCGTAGTGGAGCATGTTGGATAGCACGAAGCCGGCGCGGCGCATGGGCCGGCTGGGCAGGAGGAGGAGGACGCCGATGCTCATCTCTCCGATGATCGTCATCCACGGAGCACTACCGAGAGCTGCGGTCACCAGCCACGGCGGGAGTAGGCCCTCCGGCGCGAAAGTGGCCAGCAGCGACGCGATGTAAATGGTGCCGCACGAGACGGTCGGGTCGAGGAAGCTGGTGTTCATCTTCCAGAAGCCGGCTCCGATGTAGAAGAGGCTGATCATGGTGCGCACGAGGTCCTTCGTCTGGTCAACGACGGCGGTGGCGGGACACAGCAGCAGCGTGACCACGCATGCGAGCTCGAGTGCGTTCGCCCAGTGGCAACTCTCCCAGATCATGGGCGACTGGACCACGAACATGGACACGCGCACAAGCATGGAGAGGCTGACGAGGAGCCGAGACGGCACGGCCAGGATGGCGAGCCAGAGAACGCACTGTGCCCAGAACCAGACGGGCGTTTCGACGCACTCAGAAGGGAAGAAGCTTTCGCAGCCCGGCACGAGGAACATGTTGCCGTAGATGATAACGAACTCAGTGACCGCCCACAGCCGCGCGTAAGCTCGAAGGAGGTCATGCTGAGAAGGATGCGGCACGGCCTTGCTCGGTGCCATGCGCCGAGCTTTGAGCGCGCCGCGCCAGAGCCGAGCGCGCCGCGCCAGAGCCGAGCGCGCCGCGCCAGAGCCGAGCGCGCCGCGCCAGAGCCGAGCGCGCCAGGCAGCCGCTCACTCCCGGCGCCCCAAAAAAGAATTTTATGCTCGCCCACAACACTGGGCACGGGACTGGCGTATCCTATGCGAGAGAGATCCCCTGTGCCCTGTGCCCAGCCCTCTCCGCGCGGCGATGCGCCCTCCCCCCTCGCTTTTGCAAAATCCTGCAAAGGTGGGGACGTGTCTGTCCTCGACCCAGCCCTAGCTTGGGATGTCCGTTGTATTTATTTATTTATACGGGACTGGCGCGCACTGGCACTAACACAGGTACACCACGGGAGCCAAAAAGAATTTTACGACAAACCCCCCTCGCACGACACCGTACGGTGCTTCGGTGCTCGAGCGCGCTCAACATTGTGGTCGTTCAGGGCGGCTCGCACAGACAGCGCCCGCAGGCACACACACACACACACACACACACACACACAGAGAGAGAGAGAGAGAGAGAGAGAGAGAGAGAGAGAGAGAGAGAGAGAGAGAGAGAGAGAGAGCCCCTTCCCCTTCCCCTTCAAGACCGCACGGGCGAGGACACGCGCAGGGGCCGCACCTCTAGCGAAGCCCACAGAGTGGGAGACTCCTATCACCGCCCTGCCACCCACGTGAGCCTTTTGGCCGCCTCTGTCAGTGTGCCCGTGGTAGTGAGAGACTGCTGGTGAGAAGCCGGAGGAAGGTCGCTAGTCGAGAGAGATCGCCAGCGGAATAGGGAGTCCACCGTGCTGCGAGCCTGTCGCTGTCCCTTGTCAGGAGCAGGAGAACTAGGAGAGCGCAACCAGTAGGAGGCCCGCGCCTGCCCCCGTGCCGCCGGGTGCAACCTGTCCTATACGCGAGAGGAATCCCTGGGACCCTGTCGTGTGGGTGAACCCTGCCCAGCCCCCCTCCGTGTCGCGATGCGCTCCCCGCTCCCGTTCCCCTGTGTCCCTGATCGTCCTTACAAGATCCTGCTCGTGCAGGTGGGGACCCTGTCCTTCTCCCACCCCTCGTTTGGCGTGCCCGTTTTATTTATCTTTATACACCGGGTACGGGGCTGGCACTGCAAAAAAGAATTTCGGGCTGCTGACCCCTGGCCCTGGATGTGCGGTTAATGACTGCACTCCAAGTGCTCCAAGTGTGCATCCTAAGCAAAGCCCTCTCTCCTCCCCTATCCCTCGTTTGGGTTGTCTGTTTTCTTTCTTTCTTTCTTCTCACGACCCCGGAGGAAGGTCGCTAGACTGAGATGAGACCGCCAGTGGAGTTGGGATTCCACCGTGCACCGCGCTGCGAGCCTGTCGTGTCCCTTGTCAGGAGCAGGAGAGCCCACCTGGGAGAGAGATTTTTAGAAGCCAACAAGAAATGTGGCACACAGAGTGATTTGGGCTCGGCAGCTTGTCGACTACCGGCCGAAGCCGGAGTCGGAACCGTAGCCGAGATGGTCTTCGAGGGTGTCGAATATGTCATTCGCCTCGCTAGTGGAGCCGGTGCCGCATGAGTCGCGGTCGGAGGAGGAGTCGTCGGAGGAGTGGTCGGAGAACTCGCGCTTGTCGCGCCTGATGCGCTCTGCGAGGGGGCCGGGGTCGTAGTTGTCGTGCTCGAAGGCAACACTCCGCGCGGCGGCGGAAGCACACTTTGGTGTCGCCGTGGTCCGAGGCGCCGCCGGCGAGCAGCTGTTCTGCAGCAACGCCTGGACGCCCTTTGAGTACGATCACAATGGCAACCGCGACCTTTTCATCACCGGCTTCCGGGTAGAGCGGTGCTCAACGTACAACACTCTCGTCAAGTAGGTGCTGAAGTAGGTGCTGTTCGAAGCGTGTGAATGGCAGCAGTTTCGGCGGCGCGTATCCCGGCGAGCTGGTGCTGCAGACATTTTTGGAGGGTTCGCCCGATACTGGCTTCGTCTACACCTTGGATGGCCCGATTCGCGGCAAGGTGCGGGTGACATGCGAGCTCAGGCCAGGTGTGTTTGCTGTGCCCGCGTGCTGCTGCTGAGATGCTTCATGGCGTACGTAGCTATCACTACCGAGCGCATACGCGATCTGAGCCGCTGTTGAGCCGTTTCGCGGGCAGCCTGCGCGCGGCGGGGGGCGTCCGGCTGTCGCGTGTCGGCTGTGTGGTGTGGAGAAACCGCAATCGGCGAGGCCGCGCCGACACTGCCGACATGCAGCATGCGGATGCGCAGCCGCAGGCGGCCAGGGGCACGACTCAGAGCCCTCAGCGGGTGAGAAGATGACCGGGCGTGGCGCTCACTGGCGCGTGGCGGGTACTAGAAACAAGAACAAGATCTCCGCCCAAACGGCGAAATGAGAATCGCATACTCGGAAACATGCAGTAAATATTGGCGTTTCGACACTCGAGGAGAAACAGGTGAGAGAGCAGGGTTGCTACCTGACCAGCTTGAGCAAGCTCGTGTACGCCGCGTTCAGCTCATAGACGGACGGGCGTCCCGCCAGCTCCTCCTCGGTTGCGGCGTCAGGGTGCAGCTCGCGCGACCGAAGGCGGAACTGCGCCCGCAGCGCCTTTTCGTCCAGCGCGAGCAGGTCGTCCTCGCTCACAGCCTCGAAGCCCAGCAGCGCTAGGTCGGACTCGAAGAGACGGAGGCGCCCGAGCCGCTCACGCGCCTCGGCAGCCTGCTGCAGCTCACGCTTCTTCTCCTCCGCCGCATCGGCGTCCATCAGCCCGGCGGCGGCGGCGGCGTTGACGGCAGCCTCGGCCGCCTGCGTCGCCGCGACGTCGCTCAGCGGGCGCGGTCTCTGGACACGCAATGCTTCTTCTGCCGCCTCCCGCTTCTGCCGCAGCTCCTGGTCGCGCCGCTCCGCAGCCGCGCGCTCTGCCGCCGCCGCCTCTGCCGCCGCCGCGGCCGCAGCCTCAGCCGCCGCCGCCGCCGCCTCTGCCGCCGCGCGCTCGCGCGCGGCGGCCGCCTCGGCCTCGGCATTGGCCTCCGCAGCCACCGCCGCCTCGCGCGCCTCGCGCGCCTCGCGCTCCGACTTTGACTCGCCGAACAGGCTGGAGAGCAGCGCCTTGCCCGCCGTCTCTGCGACTGCGGCGCCAACCTCGATGCCGACGGCCACGCCAACCGAGCCGAGCGCTGAGAGCGGATTCTCCTTCTCCCACGCCTCCAGCGCCGCCGCCGCCGCGTCGAGGTCCGCCGTCGCCGAAGCCAGCTCATGCTCCGCGGCCGACGCCGCGGCGGCCGCCTCGTCCGCAACCTTTTGGGCGGCCGCCGATCGGCTTGCCGCCGCCCGTGCCTCTGCAGCGCACCTCTCCGCTGTCTGTGCTTCAGCCTCGCGCCGCTCCGCCGCAGCAGCCAGCTCGTCCTTTGCAGCCGCCACCCGCGCCTTGGCTGCAAGCTTGTCCTTCTGAAGCGACGCGGTCGGTGGCGGCGGCGATGGTTCAGGTGTCGCGATCGGCGCACGCGAGCGCGGACGCTGCGCTCGTGGGCGCAAAGCGACGTTCAGACCACTAGCTTGGAGGAGGAGGAGGGTGCTGACGGCAGTGAGGCTCATTCGCGTCATTTCGAGAACAGAAATACCGTGAGCGAAACTTACGGAGACAGGTGTTGGGAGTGTGAATACCCCACTCGTGTATATAGAGAGATGTCCCTGTTGAGTACTGTCCAATAGTCGAGATGCCTTGTTCCAGAGGGATGTGTCCTGGTGATCTTGGTGTGATCGCTCCTGTACGCCTCGGTACAGACCCTCGCTCCGTGTACAGCTCTGAGCTCACTACATGGTTCCTCCGGCGAGATTGCGGAGCGAGGAGATCGACGGCAACTCGGCCGTCGTGAGTGCTGGTGCGGTCGCTGCGATGCGACCGCACAGCTTCCCGGCTAGCGCTCGATACGGTAGCCAGCACCATGGACACCTGCGGGGTGTTGTGGTGGCGGGCAGGGCCAGAGCCCCTGCACAAAGTCTTCTCGGCACCTCGGCCGGAAGCCTGCTCGGCACCTCGGCCGTGCAGCCCTGCAGCATGATCCGGATGATCTCTGCGGTCTGTTCCTCCATCGGCACCCACCACGAGCACCTCGGCTTCGTGGGCACGGATCTTCATTGATAACTTCATCTCTCCTTCTCCACTGTATCGGCTCGCTATCATCTCCTGCGAGCCACCATCGCCGCCGCCGCCAGCTCTCGAGCCCGTCAAGTTCCCTGCTCGGGAGAATGTTGGACGCCTACTCTCACCGCCATCAACTCCATCGCCGCCGCCGCTCTGGACGATGGCAACCTTCTACGACCAGAGCTTTGCGCCGCTGAAATATGACGACGGTGGCACTCTTCTGTCCAGGATCGCGGCAACTGCCACATCGTGGGGGAGGCTGGGACATTGGTGCGATGTGGCGACGCTGCGTCTTTCGTCCGCGCCGAGCCTCCCAGTAAGCTAAAAGTACGTACACTGAAAATTCTATTGGACCCGCTGTGATTCGCGCTCGGTTTCTGGATTGCCGCGTCGAGCCTCCCGACGCACCAGCGGCGCCAAGGGGCGCGCCCATCGCCCCGCCCGCCGCGCGAGCTGCGCCCGCTCATCCCGCCGTCCCGCGGCGCTCAGCTCGGATCGCCGCGCGCGGCTGACCAAGCTCTACTACCCATGTTGTTCAATTGAAGACATCCAGTCGACCGCTCAGATAGTCTACTACCTTCCGCTTGAGCCCGGGAGACGGAAGGTCACATGCCACGTTCACTAGCTCGCGCCTCTGATCAGCGTGACAATTACTTGCTTCACACTCCGCTGTGTTGTCTGCCGCATCTGAAGACCGCGCAGACAATGGGGGAGTGTTGGGAGTGTGAATACCCCACTAGTGTATATAGAGAGATGTCCCTGTTGAGTACTGTCCGATAGTCGAGATGCCTTGTTCCAGAGGGATGTGTCCTGGACGGCGTCTCGTCGTGGTCCTTCAGGACGATAGCTTTGTCCCTTTCAGGACGATGGTGATCTTGGTGTGATCGCTCCTGTACGCCTCGGTACAGACCCTCGCTCCGTGTACAGCTCTGAGCTCACTACAACAGGGTTGCCAGGTGAGAGCGAATGGCGCGGTGGGCGAGAAGCCGCCGCCGAACGTCTCGTGGAGCAGCAGGGGTTGAAGTTGTTGCGCTTGACAAAGATCGCGTCGTGTGGTAGAAACCATGTTTGTTTGTGCGTGTCGCCGCGCGTGGCACGGGAGGCTGCGGGCATCGCTGCGGCAAAAGCGCCCGTCCTCTGCTTTGCTTTCGCCCGCGTTGTACGACAACTTTCGGTTTATCATAGCCGCCGAACTTTTCTTACCTCGCTGTTTCTTTAAAGGCGTCTCGCTGCTGCGTATTCTCGTATTATCGTCGAGTAGTTGCGTGGGGGCGGTACGTATTCTCGTATCACTAGCTAGTGTCGTGTCCACTAGCTCCGAGTAGAGGGGGGGCGCTCCGCAGCTAGGGGAAACACAAAGCGCAGACTAACCCTCGGAGAGTATTCTTTAGTTCCGAGTAGAGGGGGCGCTCCGCAGCTAGGGGAAACCCAAAGCGCAGACTAACCCTCGGAGAGTATTCTTTAGCTCCGAGTAGAGGGTGCGTTTTCTGCAGTTAAGGGGAAACCCGGTACACGGAGCCAACCCTCGGAGACCCGTGTTATGGCCCTGCGACCGCGCACCCCCCAGGGCTAGGGCTCTCTTGCCCGCAACCCGATACCGATCATCCGGCCCGCTGGGTGCGCTTCTTAGCTCCCCGGCCCTGGATGTGAGGTTAATGACTGCACTCCAAGTGCTCCAAGTGCCGTATCTAAGAATGTCACTTAGGTTGTGTCTTTTCTTTCTTTCTTTCTTTGACGCGAGGTGGCATGAAGGTTGCAGCGAGAATCGGCGAGGAAGTGATGAGAGATAGGAAGAGGCAGACGCCCAAGGGTGGGCGACGGCTAGCAACACACTCCTCTCCTTAAAATCCCCTGTGTGGTGGCGGCGTGCCGTCCGTCCTCCCATCCCTATCCCTGGTGTGGACGGTTTTTTTCGCGGTACCGCGGCGGGATATGGCGGGATATGGCGGGATATGGCGGGATACCGGGAGATACCGGGAGATACCGGGAGACACCAGGAGATACGAGATACGGGCAGATACGGGCAGATACGGGCAGATACGGGCAGATACGGGGAGATGCGAGGAGATGCAAGGAGATACGGGGAGATACAGTCAGATATTGGAGAGATACATCAAGATACCGCAAAAAAAACGTCCACACTAGGACTATCCCTCCCTTGGGTTGTCTGTTTTCTTTCTTTCTTTTTCTGTGACTTTTGTGGCGTGCTAGTCCGTGCCAGTCTGCTGTGAGAGGGGCTTTTATTCGTAGAATTCTTTTCTTGCATAATTCTTTTTCTGACGTTCCAGCCAAAGAATTCCACCTGGAAAAAGAAAAGATACTCCCGCGCTAGGCCGTCGGCCCATTGCACGCTCGCTCAGTGCACGCTCCTGAGTGCTGATGAGTTGTGAGAGAAGCTGCGTGAGGGCAGCTGGTACGCGGTGCAGGAACTTACCGGGTTTTATGTGGGCGCACGGTTTCTTTCCAGTGTCGATGCCAGTGACAGGCCAGTGCATATGTGCATTCAGTCAGACCCCAGAGTTGTGCATGAATGCGAAAGGTCGATGCCTGGGGGAGGGTGTAGAGGATGTAGAGTGTAGAGCGCTGTAGAGCTGTAGAGATGTAGAGCGCTCTGGAGCGCTGTAGAGCTGTAGAGCTCTACATCCGCCGCGTGACGAGGCGCCTGCGTTTGTAGAGCGATGTAGAGCGCGGTTTTGCTGTAGAGTTTGTTGTAGACAAGAGGCTCTACAGCCAAACCGCCGGGAAGGCAGTAACTCAAAGAGGTCGAGTCGCACTAATGGGGTGTCTCCGAGCTTACTGGAGCTCTGATGGACGGCCCTGACTATCCCTGACACACAGAGAGTCACTCTGACGGCACACAACACCCTATAACTGCGTCATGACCAGCCTGCCATGCGTCGCCGGTGCCGCATTCGTCGCAGTGCTTCTTTAGCAGGCGGTGGACTGTCGGCTGCGAGGACGGTCGCATTTTGCGCGAGGCGAGGCGAGCATTGCTGCGCGTTGCATGCGCCATGACTCGCGCCAGCGCGTGCGGGAGCCCCTGGCTGAGCGTTGAGTCCAGGCGAGTTGCGCTGGCCACTATTGCTACGCCGAGCCGAGCTCTGACGCGCCGAGGCGCCGGCCAGTCGCAGCCGTGAGGCATGCCACAGCAGCAGAGGCACGCCACCTGCCACCCATTGGGCGGGCAGACAGAAGGCCAGGGCAGCACTGGCAGGTGCAACGCGCCTCATGTCGGAGAGCGAACGGGCCTCGTTCGCCGCTTATGATGTAGAGTTTGTTGTAGAGATTTCACGTTGTAGAGCGCCTCTACATCGCTCTACAACGCAGGCGCCTCGTCACGCGGCGGATGTAGAGCTCTACAGCTCTACAGAGCGCTCCAGAGCGCTCTACATCTCTACAGCTCTACAGCGCTCTACACTCTACATCCTCTACACCCTCCCTCCAGGTCGATGCCTCCACGCCAAAGCGGCGAGCAAGCGAATAGAAAATAATCAAATGACGATCGGCCGTCGAACGATCCCGAGGCACGAGGGTCGTCGGTTGAGCTAGGGAGCCTGGCGATGGACGCCACCGCGACCCCTCGTGGCATCTCTCTCGCCGTCGGCGAGCTAGGGGCTCGCGGACGGCCGAATTAATATAGTGTACAGCCGTGAATGTGAACGAATAGTTTTTACCCATCTCACAGTGAGGTGTCCGTTTTTATTTATGTATTGAACGAATAGTTTGACGTGCGTCCGTCTGTCGGATCATCCGACAAGGTAGAGCGCACCCACGGCTTGTCTTGTTTTGGGGTCGAGGGACCTCACCTTTCCCCCCTTTTTGCAATTAACAATGCTTTGGAATCTATGTGTGGACATGACCTCGAGTGGAGCCCCCTCTCCGACGCTTGCCCCCTCTCCTGACGCGCACCCCGCGCAGACGGCGCTCCGGGACAGACGGAGCAGGCAGCGACCGCGCGCGCGGTCTCTGCTCCGCCCCTCCGTCCGTCGCGCGCGCCGCTGCCGCCGCGCCCCCCTCGCCGTCTGTTTCCCGCCGTACTCGAGTATGGTGTGCGGTGCGCGCAGCGCACACAGCAGCCTCCCCACCCCCCTACCCACCCCGTCGCGCCGCCGCCGCCGCCCCCGCCGCCGCCGCCGCCCCCGCTGTAGCGTTTGGGGGGCGACTGGCGACGGCAAAAATGCTTCCCCCCTTTCTTGGAGTTTACTTGAAAAAAGAAAAAGATGGGTGCGCCTGTCCTTCGCGCTTTGACCCTGGCTTTGACCGTCGGAGCACAAGAAGCATCAGAATCACGGGAGACCGGGCATCTGGATGCCCGCTCGGACCGCGCTCGTCCATCGCTCGCTCTCCACCGCGCTCAACCATCGCTCGCTCGCGCTCGTCCATCGCTCGCTCTCCACCGCGCTCGCCCACCGCTCGCTCTCCACCGCGCTCGCCCACCGCTCGCTCTCCACCGCGCTCGCCCACCGCTCGCTCTCCACCGCGCTCGCCCACCGCTCGCTCTCCACCGCGTTCGTCCAGCCCGCGCTCCGGCCGCTCTCTGCGGAGGACGCGTCCGACGTGGAGGCTGTGGTGGACGCTTCGGCGCGACGGCTCTTCAGCCTGTTCGAGCGCCACGGCAGCAGCGACTACATCGGCGAGCCAATGTCCATCACGGAGCACTCCGTGCAGACGGCAAACGCGGCGCTCAAGGCGGGCGAGACGGACATGGCCGTGCTCGCCTGCCTGCTTCACGACGTGGGCCACCTCTGCGGGCTGGAGGCGGGCCACGCGCCAGGCATGGGAGGCTGCGGGACGCCCGACCATGAGCGGATCGGCGCGGACTTCCTCGGCGCGCTCGGCCTGCCGCAGGACATCGCCTACCTGTGCCACCACCACGTCGGCGCAAAGCGGTACCTGTGCGCCACGGTGCCGGGCTACGAGGAGCGGCTCTCCGAGGCGAGCAGCGTGACCCTGCAGCACCAGGGCGGGCCAATGTCGCCGGCGGAGGTTGCGGCGGCCGACGCCGACCCTCGCTGGCCGCTCGTGCTGCGGATGCGACGGTACGACGAGGCGGGCAAGGACCCGCACGCAGCAGCGACGAGCCCTCGCGACTTCGAGGCGCCGCTCCGCGCTGCCTTGCGCGCGTCGGTCGTCCAGCAGCTCGACGCCGCCGCCGCCTCGCCGCTCGCGTACCCGCTCTCTCCCTTTGCAAGCGGCTACCTGCTCTCGCAGGAGCAGCTCCGCTTCTGGGACGAGCAGGGGTACCTGACGCTGCGGCAGGCGCTGCCGCCAGCGACGGCGGCCGCGCTCTCGGCGATGGCGGACGAGGCGGCCGCGCTGCCGCGCGGCGCGTGCTACCCGTGGCTGCTGCACGACGAGAGGTCGAGGGTCGACGGGGAGGTGCGGATCTGCCGCGTCGAGAACTTTGTCAAGCACCACCGTGGCTGGGGCGAGGTCGGGCTCGGACTCTTGCAGCAGCTCGTCACGCAGGCCTTCCGCGCGCCGGCGGTCCTCTTCAAGGACAAGATCAACTTCAAGGGGCCGGGCGGCGGCGGCTTCCTCGCCCATCAGGACGCGACCGCGTACGCGACGGACAAGCTCGCGACACGGCACATCTCCGTGCGGCTGCCGATCGACGACTCGACGGCGCACAACGGCCCGCTCGAGGTCGCGCCCGGACAGCACCGGCGGGGCATCCTCCCGCACGAGACGGGCATCATCGTGTCGGAGCAGGAGGCGGCGATGCGCTTCGAGCCGCTGCTCGTCTCTCCAGGCGACGTCGTGCTCTTCGACTCGTACCTGCCGCACCGCTCGTCGGCGAACCATAGCGACACGTGGCGCCGCTCCGGCTACTATACCTACAATTTGGCCTCCGAGGGCGACTTTCACGCGGCCTACTACGCGGAGAAGGCCGAGACGTGGGCCGCGGGTGAGGGCGGCAAAATCTCGATCACAAACGACTTTGGCGGCCACATCGTCTCGTGAAAGGTCGCGAGGAGCGCACTTCAAGTGCGTGCACAGTTCGCTGGCTTACTCCGCCGCCAGGACGGTCCATGAATGGGTGTTCGCTCCTCTGACCGAGTACACATAACCTCTCATTGGACCGGGCTCCCCGGGGCATGCTCCGTCGAGCTTTTGGGTGACTCGACGTACGTTACTATCACGTCCCGCTCTGGGGCACAGTAGCCGGTGTTAACTATCACGTCCCGCTCTCTGGGGTAGCCGGTGTGTTACGCATCACATACGTCAGTACTCGTCGCTCGGCTCAATTCACTTTTTCTGTTCCGCGCTGCAGCACATGGGGGCCACGCCCACGGCCTCGCAGGGGCTGAGGCTCCCGAGTCCCGTGGAAAGGAGTCACGCTCACGGACGACGGAGCGCCTCACGCGGTTCACGGCGGGCTGCAGATAAAGCCGTAGCAGGATCAGCTCCCAGGCCAAGTGTGGAGCACCAGTGGGCTGTCGGGCAAGCCGGCGTCCTCTCCATCCGGCGTCAGGAGCAGGTCTACCTGCGTCACCGCACCATCCGACGCCGGCACATTCACAGCCTCCGTCGCCAAGCTATTCTTGTTGTACGGATCGACGGCCGGGTCCCAAGAGGCGGCCAGCAAGTAGGTCCGAACCTCTCCTCCCTGGAGCACTCGGACGCTCACTATCTCGAGGCTTTGATTCTTACGTCCCTCGCCCGCCAAGGCTTGGGGCATCTCTGCTATAGAAGTACTTGTATGGTTGCTCACACCACTCGTACACTGTGGGGGGTATTGCATGTCGCATGTGTTATACGTCTACAGTCGTTGTGCGTTTGCTTTGTTGTGTTTTTGCGTTTGTGGGTCAGTCGGAGAGGAGATTTTTGAAAACCAACAAGAAAATCACGAGGCTCACAGTGATTTGGGCTTCTTCTTGTAAGTCGGCGGCCTGGTTGCAGCTGCACCTGCAGGGTCGGGGACTCGGGGTGGGGCCGCCCGTGACCAATGCGCAATGTCCCTAGTCGCTAGTGCCTCCAGTTGGATTCGTTTCTTTGACGAGTCGCACACCAGTGGAAAGCTCTTTCACCCTTCGAACTCCATCCGAGAGTGCATGTGGCCTTGCGCGAATTCTTTTATACGAGTCCAAGTCCAGGTCCACCCACAAGGCGCCCGGAGTACAGTGCGCCCCTTGCTCACCGCCCTTGCCGCGAACACACCAAAGCTGCCCGGAGTAGAGTGCGCGCCTTCACCGCTCCCGCCGCGAACACCGCGGCACGCCCCGCTGCCCCTCTCCCTCGCCGCCCCCCCCGACCTCAAGAAACCGCGCCCTCATCAGGACCTCAACAACCGCGCCCGAAAATGGCAGCCATGGACGACTCCTTCCGCCGCCTCCAGGAGGCCGCCGCTGCCGGCGCCGGGTCGCTCGGCGCTGGCTCGGGCTCAAACGACCAAACGATGGAGTACATGCTCCTGGCGACCGCCGCCTGCTACCTCGGCGTCTTTGCGCTGCTGGGAGTCTGCGCGTTCACCTCGCGCCGCGAGCGCCAGCCGCCCGAGCTTCCTCTGCGTGCGCCGCAGTTCCAGGACTCGGGGGAGCAGCCCTTCAACAAGACGCCCGTCGCGGACCTGGACATGGTTTGGCGAAAGGCCTTCTTGCGCAAGGTGTACGCGATTCTCGGAGTGCAGCTCCTCACGACGACGGCGCTGGTCGCGACGATGATGATGAAGGGAGGCGCCGACCTGATCACGTGGGTGCAGTCGGAGGGACGCTGGACGATGTGGACCGCGATGATCGGCTCCTTCGTCTCGCTCTTCGGCCTGCAGTGCGTGAGGCACAGGACGCCGCACAACATGCTCGTGCTCGGCGCCTTCACGCTGTGCGAGTCGTGGATGATTGGCACCATCTGCTCGATGTACTACGCAAACGGGATGGGGATCCTCGTGCTCGAGGCGCTCGCCCTCACCTCCATCATCTTCGCCGGGCTGACCGTCTTCACGATGCAGTCCAAGATCGACTTCTCCGTGATGGGCCCGGCGCTCTTTGTCTCGCTGCTCGCCCTCATCGTGTGGGGGCTGTTCGCGCGCTTCTTCTTCGCGTCGGTGGTCGCGTCGCAGGTGTACGCGCTCTGCGGCGTCGTGCTCTTCTCGCTCTTCATCGTGTACGACACGCACATGGTGCTCAAGCAGTACTCGTACGACGAGTACATCATGGGCGCGATCCAGCTCTACCTCGACATCATCAACCTCTTCCTCTTCATCCTCGAGCTGCTCGGCATCAAGCCACGGGACGACTAGAGCCACGCGGCGCGCCCTCCCCCCCCTTCACCCCCCCCCCCCCTCTCTCTCGCCGCACCGCTAGGACCCGGACGCGGGGGGAGCGCTCGAGGGGGGAGGGAGGGGAGCACGTGCTCGCGCACACCGCTCGCGAGCACCGCTCGCCCCTCGCGCATCACTGGCCAGAGCGCACACGGACCTGGCGTGCGCGTGCAGCGGAATTCGCCACGCGCGGGGCGAGCGTTGTGATAGGTTTGTTGTGTGCACACCATGCGCACAAACGTGATGCTGTAGTACTGTCTCGAGTCGTCTCTTCTCGCGTGCGGCGGCAACTCTGTGGCGTGTAGGGGCCGCCGCACGAGCTCTACTTCCCTCTCTACCTTGTGATATGTCGAGTAGAAACACGGCATCAAACGGCTAAGCGGAACCCATAATTTAAGCATTATGTTCATGGAGTGACCACACCTGCCGGCTGCCGCGAGCGAGCGTGTGCGGTGTTTTGTGCGGAAAGCTGAAACCGCGGGTGAGAGCACGTCATCTCACGTCGGGGCATGTGCGCTCGACCGCAATCCGCAGACCGCACACAAACCGCGTCTGCCGCAAATCGAGTAACGGCGACCCGCCTGTGCGGCGCTGACCTCACCGCTTCTTCTTGGGCGAGGCTGCGGCCAGCGCGCGCCGCTTCCGCTGCACCGCCGTCACGATGAAGTACAGCTGCGCGACGGCGAGGAGGGCGAAGACAGCCGCGCCCGCAGAGCGCCAGTCGACCGAGCGCCGCGCCTCCATGCCCCAGCAGGGCTCGCCTCCGAACTCGCAGCGCGCGCGCCCGGCGCCCCCCCACAGCGCGTGCGTCTCCGCCGCCACCGCCAGCGCCGCGGCCGCGTCGATCGGCTCCCCGTTGAGCCCGTACTCGTTTGGCGGCTTGCCGTCCGACGTCTTGTAGAGGCGGAACCACTCGCGCACCTCGTTGACGCGCTCCGCCGGCACGTCGCCGAGCTCCCGCCACGCAGGCGCGTCGGCCGCGTCCACGTCCACCACCAGCAGCTTCCAGTCCGTCTCGCCGCCATCGACGAGCGCGAGCGCGCCCAGCACGCGCACGCGTTGCACCGCGCCGGCGACGCACGAGCCCTCGTTGAGCTGCAGCACGTCGATCGGGTCGTTGTCGCCGCCCAGGCCCGTGTGCGCGTCCGCGTGGTGCGGGTCCTCCCACGTCTGCGGGATGGCGCCGTAGTTGACGGTCGAAGGCGAGTAGGTGTAGTAGCGCGGCGAGCCGTCCTTGTTGACGTCCTGCACAAGGTCGTTGTAGGGCACGCTCTTGTGGATCTCAACCTTGGCCGACACGCCGCGCGGGATCTCGCACACAAAGTGGAGCAGCGGACGGCCGGTCGCGCTGTCGTCGCCGGCGAGGTACGGCACATCGTGCCACGGCGAGACGCGCACTCCGTCGAGGTAGTAGCGCAGCGCCATTGACTCGTTGCGCACCGATAGCCTGTCTGAGCGCCACATGGACTCGTCCGCGGCAGCCGCGCCGAGGAGGAGTGTAGACAATGTGCCGCGACGCATGCTCAAATTTGTTTCTTTTTTCTTTTTTCACCCACACCGGCTGTTCTTCACCTTCTACCTACCTACCTACACCAACAAAATTCGGGCTCCCACCTCCCAGTAGCCCGGCACCCACCGGGATCCAATGCTTACTTTCTCAAAACTATTGACCCGCCCACCCCGGAATAGTAGGTGAAGGTTGCCGACAGCGCGTGGAGGACCTCGGGCGTCTTGTCCTCCTCGCGCACCTCGTTGCAGACGTCAAAGGTGGCGTCGAGATCTGCGTTGGGACGGGGACAGGGTTGGATCGTGCGCTGCGGGTCTATCTAGATACTCGCGTCCTCTCTGCTACTCGTCTCGCGAAGTCCGGAGCGCACCGTCCTCCTTGCACCAGCTGAGAAGCGAGCAGAGCGCGGAAGGTCGCGAGTCGAGGGTGCCCAGCGCGTCTGCCTCTCGCAGCAGGTGCAATGCCGCCGCCATGCCGCCCGCGCCGCGAGCCCTCGAACACGCGCGGAAGAGCGAGTCTGCGGCAGAAGGGCTGATGGGCAAGCGCCGCGCTGCGAGCTCGGCCCACACCTCGTCGAGCGAAGCCGGCTCGTCGTCAAGCCGCCGCACGAGAACTTCGGCGAGCGTCGCACGCCTCGGCTCAAACGGCTTCGCACTCGCCGCCGACTGCCGCGCCCACGGACCGGCGCCACCGCCCCGGGCTGCGGTGCTGGCTGCAGTTGGAGCCGCCTGAGAGGCTGCCGCAGTGGGAGTCTCGCGCATGAGCTGCTCAAACGCCGCGTGCAGCTCGACAAAGGCCTCGTGCGAGGCTGCGCCGCCCTCGGCGCCACCAGACATGTCCGGGTGTAGTTGCATCGCCAAATCGTAGTAACGCTTGCGCACGGCGTCGCGGGAGGAGCCAGGGCTGACTCCGAGGACTGCATGCGGGTTCGCCACGTGGAGCAGGCGCACGCCCACTCTCAGACACTGGGTTGCGCGAGCTCGGCGCAGCATGTAGACACACCGCTCCTCCCTCACTGAGCCAGATAAAGAAGAAAAGGAGGCGGAGGAGCCGCTGTCTGCTCTCCAGCCCGACGACGCGCACTACTACATTCCAACAATACACCTACAAATGAATAGAGAGACGTTTATGTTGCCGTGGCCAGCAAAAAGCGAGCAGGACGGCTGCTGCCCGAAAGGCGAAAGTGGAAAGACGAGACATAACGAGATAAATAAAATAATTAAAAAGGACACCTCTCTACTGTGAGATGGGTAAAGGGGAACAGGTCCCCGCCCGTGCGATCTTTGTGCAGGGTTCTTTACGAGACATAACGAATCCGGTATAATGGCACTTGGAGCACTTGGAGTGCAGTCGGGTTTTATTATAAAGCAAAAGGCTCCAAAACGCTCCATATATGTACACACAGAGACTACCACTAAATGCCACGACGCAGTTGTACACCCAGAGAGAAGAACCAGATTCCCAGTCACACGTGTCAAGTTCACCTTCATAGACGGTCGGCGAGCGAGCGCAGCCCGCGCACGGGCACAGCATGAGAGATATGCATCATAAGGCTCGCGCAGTGTTTGGAGAGATCAGTCGGGCCAGGCTTTGCTGCTGACAAAGAAACCATCGGCGACCGCGAGGAACTCACTCACGGCCTCGTCCGGCATGTCGGCAAGTGCGCCCACGTCCCAGATTGCCTGCAGTCGTGCACGGGGTGAGCCGGACCCGGTGTGCGGTGCTGTCCTGCTCTCTCAAGGGCGAGGCAAGCCTGCTCGTCGCGCTCGGGATCGGTGTCGACGAATGTGTAGCCCTCGCCAGCGACCGCGCTAAGTAGTGCCCGGCACGCGCACGGCGTCGAGGAGGAGGCATCCGCCGAGCCGGGGGAGCTGGGAGATGAGAGTGGAGGCGAAGCTGGGGGCGTGACGCGGGAGGCCTTGCTCGCCCTGTGAGAGAGTGGATCCTCCCCCACCTATGCGCATGGCGCCGGTCAGCTCGGCCGCGGCCCCAGCATCACGGGGCAGCGGTGGTGATGGCTGAGGTCAGGATATAAATCACGGGAACATCTCGAGGGGAACAGCCCTCAGAATGGACAAGCATGCATTCTGTGCACTGCAAATACGGGTCCGCCCCGAGCCTGGCGGCGACACGGGGCTAATCGGCCACAAGATACGGCGGCGCGCCTGCTGGAGGAAGTTTGCAGCTAGCGTGTTGAGGGGAACTCCGTCCGTTGCCGATTCCGTTGTGGATGGCGAGGGCCTTGTAGGTCGTCTGGCACCAGACACGCGCGGCCGGCGCGAGCTGGGAGGGCGTGACGCGCCAAGCTGGCTGTCCGACTCCGATTTCCGCTCACCGCCACGATCTCGCATCGTCAGGCTTTGTAGACAGACGACCTGCGACTAACGACCTGCTGCGATGCAATATCAGGAACCGCCGCCGATCATTCCGGGGAGATTGCCCGAGTCGGTTACGTGCAATATGACCGTAACTTTGTTCCAATCGGCCGGCGCCGCCGTAACAGAACCGGCAAGTGCCGCGGCGCCTCTACATGTTCGCTCTGCGGACTTCTCTTGAATTTTTCTGAGTGAGGTTTCAAGGCGAAAGAACAGCAAAATCTCCTATCAAAGAGCGCCGGCCGCTAGCTACGCAACAACAAAGCATCGGCTTCAAGCAAATCACTGTGAGAGTCGTGATTTCTTGTTGGTTAATAAAAATCTCTCTCTAGGCTTCGCAACTCGTGCAGCCGCAACGAAGGCGCGGCAGGCTCCGGCTCCGGCGTTCGGCCCTAGGTTCGGGGAGAGAGTTTTGTTTTGTTTAGGTTCGGCAGCGAGTCGCCTTCCGATTCCAGTGTTTGTTAAAAAAAGAGAGAGCCATTCATAGAAAGCCAGGCTCGGACTGGACAGGAGAGCCAGGTTTTTCTTTCATGTGCCGGTGTGTGCCAATCTGCACCATAAATAAATAAACAAAGCGCAGTAGAAAATCCAAAATCCAAATCGCAAACATAGAAACCCAAACACACACAGCCACGTGGCATAGGAGAGCAGGAGGTGAAAGAGGTCAGCGCAAGTTGCAAGGAAATAAATAAAACGGAAGCGCCAAACAAGGTGGGAGAAGGACAGGGTCCCCACCTGCACGAGCAGGATCTTGTAAGGACGATCAGGGACACAGGGGAACGGGAGCGGGGTGCCAGTCTGACCAGTCCTAGACGCAACGAATTCTTTTCATCGAAAGCAGGGGCGCCGGCATAGTCTTTTGGGCGCCGGGGCATGCTCGGGGTGAGCGCCGCCATCGAATGTCATCTCCTCCGGACACGCCTGCTCAAGCAAACGCCGACGCTGAGCTTGCTAACGCCTCTGACTCCGCCGACGGTGGTGACGGCGGCGGCGGCGAAGGCGGCGGCGGTGAGGGCGGTGGCGACGACACCTTTGAGGGATTGTTGCGATCTCTGCGCAGCACGGAGCCTGGTGTCCGCATCCCGGCTCAGCGGCAGCTGCGGTCGATGCGGCTCTGTGATCCTGAGCAGGTGGCCACGGTGGTGGACGTGTGGCGGCACAGTGCCAGCGAACACGTGCGTGCGGACGCCGGGGATGTCCTCCTCGCGGTGAACCCGCTCCTCTTGGCGCCGCACGTCGACCCGGTGATTGACGGCCTCGCGGACTGCAACTCGTTCGCGCGGCTGGCGGCCGTCGCAATGCTTCAGAAGCTGCTCGGCCACGGAGTCCTCACGCCCGAGGTGCTGAGGCAGCACGACGAGCAGCTCATGGGCTCCTTGCGGTCGGAGCACTGCGACGACGTCGTGCGCGATCTGGTGGGCAACGAGCTCATGACCGTCGCCTTCGAGCCGGGCGGCCTCGGCGCTGTCGGCGCTCAGGAGAACTACCAGGCCGCAGCCGGAGGCAGCAGCAGCGGCAGTGGCGGCGGCGGCAGCAGCGACTCTTCGGTCGAGCAGCTGCGCGCGATCCTGGGCTCGGCCGTGCCTCGCAAGCTGCTGCTCTCTCTTCTCTCCGAGAGCCGGGGCGACCTCAACGTGGCCGCGAACCGGTACTTCGGCCTGCAGCAGCGTGAGGGCGACGGGGCGCAAGAGGTGGCGCTCGGCCTGCTTGACGGGACCTTGCCGCAGCACCCGCTGGCCATGCACGTCGCGTCGGGGGCCGTCGCAGAGGGGAACCTCGACGGCACGCTGCCGCACCACCCGCTGGCGATGAGAGTCATGTCCGGCACAGTGGCACCCGCCGTGGCGGAGGGACGGCTTGACGGCACGCTGCCGGAGGACCCGCGCAACGTGCGCCTCCTCGACGGCACGTGAGGACACCCTCGCGCGACGGCGGCGCCAGCACCGGCCAGCCGCTCCCGTGCTGACAGAGAGCAGGGTGTTGTGCCACCCGTCCGACTATGCGTATGCCTCTCTTCACGCGGCCGAGAGCATGTGCTATCTTGCGATTCGCGCGGTTTCTCGGGCCGGCACGGGGGGCGGCGGGGGGGGGGAGCGGGGGAGGCGGAGGGATTACGGCAGGGGCGCAGGGGGGGGGGGGGGGGGCTGGACCTGTGTCTATAGATTATTAATTGCAGTGTGAGTGCGTGTGCGTGTCTCGTCCCGCGCCCGGTGTGGGTGTGGGTGACCTCTCCGACTCCACCTCACCACTCAGCGGCGCTACACGCGCTAATAAGTAATTTCCGACAGCACGCGAGAACGACACACACATCTGACGACACGGTGAGAGCTAAACCGGACTCTCGCTCACACACCGCACGGTCCACGGAGGGCCGCGGGTGCGGGGCTTGCGCCCCACGCCCCACGCGCTAGCTAAAGGCGTCCGCGCGACGAGGTATAGTCACACACAGCTCTATCAAAGGGCAATCAGCTGGCGGCGACACGCTCGGACGCCCTCTTCCACGGCGCCGCGCGGATCCAGACGTTGATCGCCACCTTTGCGCCGGTGAAGCTGTTTGTGGGCGGGGAGCCGCCGTGGAGTGTGCGCGGGTCTACGTCGCCGTTCGGGAGGCAGTCGTTGAAGACGACGGCGGAGGAGGCGGCGGGCGAGACGGAGAGCTGCAGCTTGGGGAAGGTGGTGTGCCCATTGTACTCGTCCGCCACGTCCGTGAGGTAGATGAGCATCGTCACGTGCCGGTAGCCGTTCGACGCATTCTCCTCGTAGTCGCATGCCTGCCGAAATCGGAGTGAAGAGGGTCACCTCGGGCAGTCTCGGGCAATCTCGGGCAATCTCGGGTACTCTCGGGTACTCTCGGGTAATCTCGCCTCGCCAAAGTCGAAGTGCGGCTCGTACTTTTGGCCCTCGACGTACCGCACCAGCTGCAGCGGCTCGATGTGCTCCTCGGGGTAGCCCGTCAGCAGCGAGGCGCGCGCGGTGACCGCCGCAACCACCGGGTCCTCCTGCGGCGAAGCAACTCGGCCTGCTCGCGGACGTGTTTGGGAAGCGTACGGGAGGCGTCTGGGAAGTGTCCGAGAAGGGTCTGGGAGGTGTCTGGCTCCCTCGGCAGCATCGCGGTGGTGGAGGTGCGGATCGACTCGGTCCGCCCGCCGGCGAGGGAACGGTGCATCCGCGGCATCCTACGAGAGAGGACGGAGCCGCCTCAGCCTCGGCGGGCGTGCGGCGCAGCCAGCCGGCCGGCGGCCTCGCCCGATCTTGATGATGTGCGCCGCTTCGTCGGGCGACACGACGCCGCCGACAAGCCGCACCTGCAGGGGGAGGGCCTCGCGGTCTCCCTCCCCCTCCGCCCTCCGCCCCGCGAGACGCCCGACGCTCTCGCCCGGCCGCCCGCGCCTTTGGCTCCAGGGCGAGAGGAAGCACCGTCATCTCCACCCCTCCGTCCGGCAGCCGCAGCCTAAAGTCGGACCCGTCGCCCCCTCGGTGACGCGTGCCGGCCCTCTCCCCGCCCGCCTGCCCGCCCCGCGCCTCTCTCGCTCCGCCTCCGACAGCCGCACCGCCCGCCGCACCCCCGCGCGCGGCGTCGTCGAGCGGAGCGCACGGCAGCGCGCCTCGGCCGCCCTGCGCCAGCGCTGCAGCAGCGCGGCGCGGGGCGCGGCGCAAGTTGCGGCGGGCGGCTCGTCGAACGGTGTCGCCTTCCAGCACGGCAGCTGCTGCCCGCCGGAGCGGGCGCCGCCCGCCGCCTCCAGCCGCCGCGCCGCCAGAGACGCGTTCCCCGCGCCCGCCGCGCCAGGGAGGAGCGCAGCCACGTAGGCCTCCTCCCCCGACCGGCCCTTGGCAAAGCCGAGCGGGCCGACGTCCTCGTCGATGCGGCCGTAGCGGCGCGTCCGCACGGTCAGCCGGTCGCGGTAGCGGCGCAGCACGCCAGCCAGGTCGCTCCTCGCGCAAGAGAGGTAGCACCGCTTCAGCTCTAGCCCGGCGCACCCGCGCGAGCCGACCCGCACCGCGCAGTCGGCGTCGAGGTCGGTCAGCTCACGGCAGCGCAGCGCCTTGCGACACTCCTCCGGGTCCGCCTCGCTGGAGCAGATGGCCCAGCCCTCGCACGAGCCGGCGCATCGCTGGGCGAGCGCGCTCTTCTTGCACGTGGCCTCGTTCGCCTCGTCGATGCAGCCCGGCGACTCGTCGAGCGCCGCCTCGTGGACGGCGGCGCGCTGCGCGGCGCAGTTTTTCGGGCACGACGAGAGCATGAACTTTGGGTTGCGCGTGCACTCACCCTGCGACGACCAGCCGGCGCACTGCTCCATCTCGCCGTGCTGGTCCAGCGTTGGCGCAGCCGTCGCACACGCCTTGGCACAGTGCTGCTCCATGAACATCGGGTTGCTCTTGCACTCGCCGCTCCGCGCCCAGCCCTCGCAGTCAAAGGACGGATCGCCGCGGCAGGCGGAGACGAGGAGGAGGAGGGGCGAGGGGCGCAGCGGCAGGCGCGAGAGACGCAGCATCGCAAAGTCTTATCCAGCAGGCGGCTTTTCAGCGCGAACAACCATGCACATGAAAAGAAATTTGACGTGCTTTCTTTTCCCTTGAACATATAGTGTGGTGGGGGCGTGCCGTCCTCCCATGCATCCGTGGGCCTCCGTGCTTTCTTTCTTTGAACATATAGCCGGCAACACAAGTGTGCATGCGCGCCGCCACCATCCTCGCCTTTCTGCACGGCGTCTCTCTGGGCGTGCTCTGGGAGTGCGCCTCGATGGCGGTCCTCATCGCCGCCTCGATCGTCGAGTACAGCCTCGGCACCCTCTCGATGGCGGTGGTGTTTGTGGGCATCGCCTGCGGCGCGTTCGCCTGCGCGCGGCAGGCGCAGCTCGCCCGGCCGCTGCTGAGCATCCTCGCCTTCCGGCTGAGCGCCCAGTGCGCGATGACGTTTGGCACCGGATCGGTGCTCCTAGCGACGCTCCTGCACGACACGCCGGCCTGCACCTCGTCGACGATCCGTTCGAGCGCGTGGCGGGCGCCGCTCGTGCCGCTGCTGCGCGGCGTGCTGCCGCCGCGCCTGCTGCGCCGCATCTTCGGCGTCGTGCCGCCGCGCGCGCCTCCCTTCCTCCGCCTGCTCGCCGCGGTGCTCTCCCACGAGTGGCTCGGCTGGGTCCCTTCCCTCGGGCTGCCGTCGGCGCGGCCAGTAGCACTAGCAAGCAGCTCTTCTGTCGCCCCTCCCCTCGGCCCGCCCTCGGCGTGGCGCGCCGCCCAACCCGCGCCTCCCTCTGCCTCTGTGCCACCCAACCCCGCCCACCCCGCCGACACCCTCGCCGCAGGCGTTTGCTCTGCCCGGCACCATCTCCTTCCGCCCCTCGCCACACATGCGCGGAGGCAGCCTCGCCACCGGCGGCGGCGGAGGCGAGGGCGGCTGGCTCGCCGTGCGCGAGCTCGCCGGCGTGTACACGTACGGCTGCTACGACAGCGTCCACGCCGACCGCGCGTACATCTTCCGTTACAAGGTGCAGCACACACACCATGCTCTCTGCGCTCGGCTCGCACGTCCCGTCGATGCCTCCCACCCTGACCCGGACGCCAGCCTCCCGCCCCCAGCCCTGCTCCCTCCCACCCACGCCCGCTCGCCCGCGCCAGGCCTTTTGGATCCGCCCCGCCGCCGCCGACCTGCTGCACACCTCTGGCTCCCTCCTGCTCAAGATGGTCCAGATGCGGCACCGCGCACGCCGCCCCGAGGCGTGAACAGCGTCTCTTCACAGGATCAGCTGTGAACAGGTCCTGATGCACGCGTACGCCGCCCTCTTCATGCTCCTCGCGCAGCCTAACCACAGGGACGCCTTCGCCGCCGAGCTGCGCCGCCGCGTCGACCGCGTACGGCGGAGGGTGGCGCCCCGTCCGCCCGTCCGCCGCATCGCGATCGAGCCCGGCGACGTCTGCGCCTTTTGCCACGAGGAGCTGCTGCAGCCTCCGCCACGCGAGATCTCTGCCGAGGTCCACTCGCACCGCGGCACCAGCACACCGGGGCTGGTGCACCGAGCCGCGGCGGCGGCGGCCACGTCTGCTGAGGCGGTACTGGCGGCCGCCGTGAGCCTCGCGCTGCGGCGGCGGTGGGCGGCACCTCCGCCGGCCGGAGGAGGGGGCGAGCCGGGAGGAGGGTGCGAGCATTGCGTGTACTGCCGCTGGGGCTGCGGCCGCGCCGTGCACCGCGATTGCGCGGCGCGGTGGGGGCGAGACGCGTGCGTCTTTTGCTGGGCGCCGATGAGCTGACCCTCGCGCGATTTTCGGCTGTGGCGGCCGCAGCAGCGACTGGCGCTCAGGGCGTGGTGAGGGGTGGAGCGAGCCCGTGCGCATGATCCGTCTCGTTCTCGCCTATGATGTGCGAGTGTGTGTGTGTGTGTGTGTGTGTGTGTGTGTGTGTGTGTCGTGTGTCTTGGGCGTGTATCGCGTGTGCTGTGTGCATTTTTTCAGAGAGCAGCTTATCGCCGCGAGGCCCGGGCGCTTCCCCATCCCCTTCCGCGCTGGTTCGGGTACATCTACCTACTACCAACTACCAACGGCTGGGCTCTAGCGTCGTGTTTTGATCTCTCGGGGAAGTGTGGGCGCCCGCCCGCCGCCTCTGGAGGGGGGTCGGCAGCACCCGCGCTTCTTGTCGGAGTGGAACCTGTCGAAGAGCTGTCCAAGCTCGCAGGAGCTGCACTGCCACCTGGGCCAGGAGGTGTCAGTAGGCTGAAGCACCCGACCAGAAGCAGCATTCCGATGCTGTGAGCAGGTGGTGGTGTGGCTCCACGTGTTTGGCTTTTGGTGACGGCCGCCGGAGAGGTTGACCTTGACGGGCGCGAAATAAATAAATAAAAACGGACACCTATCTCTACGTACTGCCTAGGTGGCTGCCTACTGGTGAGATGGGTAAAAAGGATAAGGAACACAGGTCCCCGCCCTTGACGGGCGCGAAATCGCGCCGCAGTGTTTTTTTACTTGGCTCCACGTCACATAACGCGCGCTCTCGAGAACACCTCCACGCGACGAGGCGGCGCGGGAGCCGTCTATAGAAGTGGTTACCGTACGATATGAGAACAAATTTCAGTCGGCGCATCGGCCCTCGGGGTGGGCGGCCCCCCGGCCGCCGCCCTCGCCCTCGTACCCGCCCTCCAGCGCAAGCAGCGTCCCCATCAGCGTCATGATTCTGTCGAGGTCCCCGCTCGCCTCCGCCTCTGCCATCTCCGCCTTGAGCTGCGCGATCTTGCGGCTCGGCCGGTTCATCATACCGATCCCGTCCTCGTCGTAGTCCTCCTCCTCCTCCTCCCCTCTCCCCTCGTCGCCCTCCGCCCCCGTCATCGTCGGCGGAGGCGCGCGGGCGCCAGCTGCCGCCTTCGCCTCCCACGTCTTGAGGTGCGTGTCCGGCTTGGCGGTGGCGGCTCGCCGGTCGTCGACGGCGCGGTCCGGCTCGCAGCCGTTCAGAGGGCGCGAGCAGACGAGCGCAAAATGGCGGCCGGTGGCGGCGGCGAGCCGGATGCGCCCAAAGCCCACCTCGGCGAGCGCCGCCGCCGGCCCGCCTCCCGGCACCCCCTCGGCGGTCTGCCAGTCCGCGTAGGCGTCGAGGTACGGCTCGGTGGAGCGGATGAGCGAGAAGAGGAGCGGGTTGGAGCGCAGCTTCGAGAAGCCCTCCTGGCGCGCAACGTACGGGGCGCCTGAGCCTCCTCGGCCCTCCCTCATGGCGCGGCGGCGGGCGCGGCGGCGGGGCGCAGGGGCGGGCGCGCGCCGTGGCGAAGTCCATCTCTGTGACCCAGAGCTGTCCGCCCGGGCGGAGGATGCGGTGCGCCTCGGCGAAGATGTCTCCCGCAGCGGCGGGCGGCAGCTCGTGCATCACGAGGGACAACTGCACCACGTCCACCGAGCAGGCGGCCAGGCCGGTGGCTGCGGCGTCGGCGTGCAGGAGCGAGATGCGGCCGTCAGGCTCGAGGGGCTGCACCCACCGACGGCGCTCCTCCTCCTCTAGCTCCAGCAGCCGCCGGCCGACGGCGAGGAAGTGAGGCGACAGGTCGACGCCGACGACCGAGCCCGCCTGCGGGTGCGCCGCGGCCAGCCGGCGAGTCGAGATGCCAGAGCCGCAGCCGAGGTCGACGAGGGAGCCGCCGGCCGGACACTCCGCGCCGAGCGAGGCGAGCGCCTCGTCAAAGGCGCCGCGGAAGGCCTGATCGGGCGGCGCGAGCGGTGAGATGGATCAGGCGACGGGTGAGATGAATCGGGCGGCGCGAGCGGTGTGGATAAAGGGGCGGCGGCGGGCGCCTCCTCGCCACGCTCTCCAAACTCAGGAAAGTTGCGCGCTCCGACGGCGCGCGATGCGATCTCGCCCTCCCACGCGGCGTCCCAGCACAGGTTGCCCTGCTCGTAGGCGTGAAAAGGCCTCCGGTAGTACTCTGGGATCGCCACAGCCGAATCGTCCTCGCTGAGACGCCAAGGGCCGCGCGCCTTGATCCAGTCGAGCGCGTCGCGCCAAGGCACGCCGTTCCGTTCAGCGGTCTCTACCATCGTGCGCTGTGCCTGCGGCACGAGAACCGCCTTGTACAGCGGCGAGCTCAGGGCCGCATCGAGCAGCGCCCGGCCGATGTCGATCCCACCGCCTCGCATCGCCAAGCCACGAGAGCGCGGCGGCGGCGGCCTGAGCAGGCTCTGCAGCGTGACGAGGAGGGCGAGCATGCCGGCGCTATCGACTCCCGGATAAAGAATTTCGAGTACGGGCGTGCCGTCCCTCCCATCCTGCGTCGCCCATCTCTCCCTGGATGATGACTGCTCTATTTATTTATGTCTCCCATCCCGCCTGGGCGTTTTATTTCTTTTTTCATCGAGCCGCTTTTCACCACGTTGGGGCCGCTCGTTAGTATATATTCACAGTCCCCGGGGTGGTTACGCGCAGTGTCCAACGCTGCGCTGCTCCCCAATGCGCGCACGAGAGGCGAGACGCCCCCGGGCGCCGCCGTCAGGCGGGTTGTAGCGAGGCCTTCTCGTCGTCCTCGTCGTCCGCCTCCGCCTCGCTGCACTTCACCGGCGTGGGCCTGCTCGCCAGGTTGGAGCGCGCGCGTGCGTACGCCGCCCCTCCGAGCAGCGACGTGCCGCAGCCGACGACCGCCTGCCACGAGGATGCCTCGTGCAGCACGGCGATGCCAAAGGCGACGACGACGAACTTGTTGAGGTTGGCGAGGACCATGAAGGTGGTCGCGGTCACGTACGCCTGCGCGTTGATGCCCGCCCACGAGATTGCGACGGCGTTGACGCACGAGGCGAGCAGCAGCATCCCGTCCGCAGTGGACAGGCGGGCGAGGAGCCGCCACTGCGGCACCTCGCCGGTGCAATAGACGAGCACCGACATGGGGAGGAGGGAGACGACGTTGTTGAGCAGCATCAGCCCCGTCTTGTTGATGTCCACCGGCTCCACCGCAATCATCCTCCGCTGGAGCAGCCTCTCGAGCACGCCCGCCGTCATGTTGAACGCCATCCACGCCACGCCGGTGGGCGAGAAGGCGACGTCGTTGGAGACGTAGAGCCCGACGCCGCCGAGGATGAGCAGCAGCGAGAGGATGGTCGCGCCGTCCACCTCTATCCGCTCGCCCGTGATGACCCCCTCGATGGCCATCGAGACGAGCGGCGCCACGTTGCGGAGCACGACAATAGCGCCCATCGACGAGTGGCGCAGCGCGAGCATGCTGGACGTGAGCATGGCGGTGAAGAGCCACGGCACCGTCACGCTCCACCGAATCACGTGCCTGCACGCACCGGCCGCAGGCCTGTCACACGAGGCGCGGCGAGGGCCGGCCGCCGCCGGGAAGCGGGCACTGGAGCGAGCCAAAGTGCAACCCGCATGGCGCGACGCAGAGAATGCCGGCGGTGAAGGCCATCTGGATCATCACGACCGTGATCGGCAGATGCACCGCGCGTAGCACCTGCGGCGAGACGCGGGGTGGCGTTATCGCGTGCGTGCGTCTCGCGTGGCGTCGTGCGCGGGCCAGGCGGCGGCGCCATCTTGTTGATAATCATCATCCCGGCGGAGCAAGCCATGAAGAATACGCACGACAGCACCAGCGCCGCGGCGGCGGTGGCTCGCGCCATGGTGGATGCCACGAGGGCTAGCACGGAGGGCGCCACGGAGCGCCACGGAGGAAGCGGTGTTCGCTGGACCGGCACCCGCGCAAAGTTCTCGTGCCAACGCTTCCGGGGTCGTGCGAAAACCAGGTTCGTTGTGAAGAGCTGGGGCGCGCCACCCAAGAGCCTAGGTAGGTGCGGATCGGCAAGAGCGCAATCGATCTTTTTGCCCTCTATCACCTTGGGTTGTAAGAACTTGAAACACACCACGCAGGGGCACAGCAAGCACGGATAGCCGTTGAGGAGAAAGGCCGTAAGGTGTATGCGCAGCCACGGCCGTGTTGCGGTGGGCGCGCCACCTCCCGCGAGCGCGGCGGGATCGGAATTGCGGCCGGAGGGAAGGGCGAGCCGCCGCCGCCGCCGCCATATACCATCAGCGACGACGACCGCGGCTCGCCCCAAACGCCAGGCGCTGGATCGGCAGTAGGGCTTGGGCGGCGCAGCGTAGGCCTCGAGCCACACGAGTCGCCGACAACCCCCCCTCATCGACGTGATGGCCGCACCCGCTGCCGGCCGATGCAAGCTGCCGCCTCCACCGCACCAGCGATACTGGCCGCGGCTCGCCGCCACGCGCCGGCTCGGAAGAGGGGCTATCGGCGGCGCAGCAGAGCGGCATGCGTCGTCATTCGAGCAGCACCAGGTCCCCTCTTCGACGTGACGGCCGCTCCCGGAGCCGGCCGGTGCGCGCCCGACCCACGCCCCCTCTCGCACCCCCCCCGACCCCCCTGCGCGGCGCCCCCTCCACTGCGCGCCGGCTCGAGCGCCTATTGCCAAATCGCGACTTTCGAGCGCAGTGCGTGCGCCCCACACGTCACGCGAGCGCAGGAGAGTTTGCGGCAGGGCAGTACCGTGTACTAGCCGGAGGCATCGCGCCGAAAACCCCGCGCATTCCGCCCCAACAGAGGCTGCAGGAGGCTGAAGGAGGCAGGTGGCCAATAGCGACCATCGTTACGAAATGTAGCCTCTCCGGGAGGTCTCCAAGCTGTCTTGGGTGGTAGAATGTACGTCGGCACTTTATATGACAGGAGAAAAGACGAGCACTTGTTGTGTGTTGTGTGTTGTGGTGGTGTGCGGTGTGCGGGGTGTGTGTGTGTTGTGCGTTGTGTGTTGCGTGTTGTGCGGCGGGCGGTGTTGTGCGATGGGCGGCAGCGGGTGAGTGAGGGCGGCTATTCTCCCCCAAGGCAGGCAAGGATACGCAGTCCCTCGTGTCGCGCGTGTAAGTCCCGGTTGCCGTGCGCGCCAGCGCGTGTGGCCGCGTACCTTAGCTAAGATACGCGCGCACGGGCGTGGGTGGGTAAAAACGGGTCACTTTGCGGGGTTTGCCGCCTGTGCACTTGGGCCGGCCAGCCTCGACCCCGCCACGGTCAGCTGGAAGGACTACATGCAGCAGGGCATCGAGACGGGAATCAAGTTTGCGGCCGCGGGCGCCGGCGTCGCCAGCGGCGAGACCGACCCGTCGGCCGACTTCGGCGACCTTGTGGCGCAGACGGCCGACGACTTTGGCGCTCTGAACCACGTGCGGGATGTTGTGGCCGAGCGGTCCAGCGGCGAGGACATCGACCCCTTCAGCATCGCCCGCCCCCCTCTCTCCCCGTCTCCGCCGCCTCCCTCTGACGACGCAAGGCCCTACCTCTCGCCCTCGCCGCCTCCCTCCTCGCCGCCACCGCCAGGGTGCGAGCTGCTGGGCTGCGAGCGGTGGACCTGCTGGTTGACCAAGCCTTTGTGGCCTTGCCCTCCCCTCGGCCCGTGGCCGCAGCCACCGTGCTGCAGCAGCGAGGAGGCCACCGAAGAGACCAAGTTTGTGCCCCGCACCGGGCGAACCATCGACCCCGGCTTCAACGGCGGCAGCAACAGTGACCACACCTCGTCGCCGCCGCCGCCCTCCCCCTCGCCGCCGCCGCCTCCGCCGTCGCCCTCGCCGCCTCCTCCGCCGCCGTCGCCCTCGCCGCCGCCTCCGCCGCCGGAGGACAACTGGGCGATCCAGGAGGTTGACGGCAAGAAGTGCGGCTCGCCCGATATTGCTGAGAAGCTCGAGATGCCGCTGGACCGGCCATGGACCTGCAAGCAGACGTGCCTCAACTACGCCAACGACCAGTTCCCCTCTTATCGCAAGAGGGACTTTTGCTGCCAGTACAAGCCCGGCAAATGCCAGATCTCGGAGCCCACCTACGACCGCATGCTCCCCGAGGCTTCGTCGAAGCACACCGCGTTCTTCTTCCAGTGGAACTGAGCGCGGCGCGCAGCATGGGTTGGAGTAGACGCGCTGCCTGCGGCGCCGCCCCGCCCCCATGGACACGCCAGCTGCAAGCCGCCGTCGCAGGCCTCAATGCGCGCCGTGACCGCGGCTAGCCCCCACGGGTTCCGCCCGCACTTCTCGGTGGTCTCTCTCGACTCTCCCCCCTTGTGGGCAGCTCTCCCGTTCGACTTTGTAATGGTGTCCCGGGGGGGGGGGGGGGGGTTCTGCTGTGTGTACGTGACGTTCGTGTTGTTCATTAGTTCATTAATGTGTATCACAACTCCACAGCAGGCACAAACACACACAGCGCTCAACTCAACATCGCATTCCTCTTCATTCGTGTGGTGGGGGCGCGCGCGGCCGCGGAGAAGGCGGCCCGCGGTTGGGGGGCGGGTCATACCCGACACGCGCGCGCGTGTGTGTATGTGTGTGTGGGGGGGGGGTGTTGACGCTTTCCCCCTTCCGCACGTATCTTTTCTGAAGAGAACACTGCTGCGCACTTCCACCCTCCAGGTCGCACGCTAGGATCTGTGGGGGGCCGCACACACCGTCCGAACCACACTGTGTGGTTGTCTCTCCTAGAGCGGCCCTTCACACCGTCTCTCTCTCCCCCCCCCTCCTCCTCCCATCGAGTCTTGTCAGCACAGCTTGCAGCACAGGGGGTGCCCCCTTGTCCTAGAGCCATGAGGGGATCTTTTTAGCGAGCTGCACTTCCCCGCGCCCCACTTCTACCAGCCGGCCGGCGGGGTGCCGGCTCGCCTAGCGGCTCTCGCACGCTAGCCGCTAGGTCCTAGGATCTGACTTCACGGCGCCGACGAGTAGCGAACGGAAGCGCCCGCTGTTTCTTCTTTCTGGCTTGCCGCCGCTGCCGCATCCGCCATAGATCCCAGTCAGCGCGCCAGCCACCTCTAAGTAGAGAGCCTAGATGGGAAATACGCAAGGAGGTGGCATCAGATACGCTCAAATACGCGCGTATCCAGCCTCAGAGCAAATACACACCCAAATACGCAGCCGGCAGCGGGAGGCAGAAAAAGAAAACATTTTGGGCCAAGGACTCGGCCGCGCTGACGTCACAGACGAGACGATGCCGCCCCCGGCACCGACGCCGCTGCGCCAGCCCGGACGTCGAGCGCTGGGAGAGCGACGAGGACTCGGAGGACTCGGGAGACGAGCGCGAGGGGGATGAGCACGAGGTGGCGCTGAGCGAGGCGGCCATCCTACGGCTGATGGCGTGAGCTGCCCCTCCCCCCCCCCCACCACTGCTAGGTCCGACGGACGCCCTGCGCCTGCTTCCACCCCCCGCCGCCGAGACTCATGGCGGCGTCTCGAGAGAGCCGCCGCGCGGGGCGCGGCGCGGTCGCCGCTCCGGCGTAGAGGGCCGGGCGCAGATCTCCGGAGCCGGAGCCGGGGGGCCGCCCGTGGGGCGAGGGGAGGGCGTAGGGGCGCGGCGGGGCCCGCCCAGCGGTGAATCCGGAGGGGCCGTGGCGGGGGCGTCCCGCGTCCCGGTCCTGTGCACCGAGGAGGGGCGGCGGGGTGTGGTGCGGCGAGGTTGGTGTGCCGTCCGCCCCGCCCCCGGCCGTCCCGGAGCGTCTCCCGCCCGCCCGGCTCCGCGGGGCCCGCGAGCGGGCGTGGCGTGAGTCCGTGAGAAGAGCGTCGCCCCGCGTTGCGAGCAAGTAACTACACACAAATACGCTTGTACCCAGCCTGAGTCCAAATACACAAATTACAGACTTCAATCCCAGCATCTGGGGACTGGGCTAGATAGAGAGACGAGACGCGGCCGGTTTAGATTAGAATAAGTAAATAAAACGGACACACCAAACAAGGGGTGGGAGAAGGACAGGGTCCCCACCTGCGCGAGCAGGATCTTGGAAGGACGATCAGGGACACAGGGATTAGATAGCCACGCGCTGTTTCTTTTTTGGAAGGCGCTGCCGCCCTGTCGCTGCCGCTCGCGCATCCCGGCGCGCGCCCTTTCCCCGTCCCCCCTCCCCCACCTTTCGCGCGCGCGCAGCCGCCCTGTGCGCCGCGTCCGCTTCCTTGCGCGAGGCAAATTCCGGCCGCCTGGCTGCTTTGAACCCGCGCCTGCCGCGCGCCGCTTCGTCAGGCGCTCTGCGACGATGCCGCTGGCGGATCGCAAGGAGAGTGGGCCGCGGTATCGGAATCAGCTGGACAAGGACGATGCCCGGCGCGGTCGTGAGGAGACCACCATCTCCATCCGGAAGGACAAGCGCAACGAGCAGCTGCAGAAGAAGCGCTTTGGCGGCCCCGCCGCGATGATGATGCCTCCAGACCAGTCGCAGCAGTCGGTGGGGTCGCAGGCGCGCTGCGCTCGCTGCGCGGGCGAGCGCCGGCCCTGGCTCTCCGCCTGGGTGAGCGCCTCGTGCCCATGCTCCGCAGGCGTGGGCCGAGTCCGACCCGCAGAAGCTGGTCGCTGGCGTGCAGTCAGAGGACCCGAACCAGCAGCTGCCGGCGGTGACGCAGTTCCGAAAGCTGCTGTCGATCGAGCGCTCGCCGCCCATCGAGGAGGTGATCGCCGCGGGCGTCGTCCCGCGCTTTGTGCAGTTCTTGCAGTGCGGCGACAACCCGATGCTGCAGTTTGAGAGCGCGTGGGCGCTGACCAACATCGCGTCGGGCACGTCGGAGCACACGCGGGTGGTGATCGCCAACGGGGCGGTGCCCATCTTTGTGCAGCTCCTGATGTCGCCCAACGACGACGTGCGGGAGCAGGCCGTCTGGGCGCTCGGCAACATCGCGGGCGACTCGCCCGAGTGCCGCGACCTCGTGCTCACGCAGGGCGCGCTGCAGCCGCTGCTCGAGCAGCTGCAGCCCTCGTCCAAGATGTCGATGCTGCGCAACGCGACGTGGACGCTCTCCAACCTGTGCCGCGGCAAGCCCCAGCCGCAGTGGCCGCACGTCGTCGGCGCGCTCCCCATCCTCGCGCAGCTCATCTTCTCCAACGACGACGAGGTGCTGGCCGACGCGTGCTGGGCGCTGTCGTACCTCTCCGACGGCCCAAACGACAAGATCCAAAAGGTGCTCGACACGGGCATCTGCGCGCGGATCGTGGAGCTGATGGGCCACCCGCCGGCGAGCGTGCAGACGCCCGCGCTGCGCACCGCGGGCAACATCGTCACGGGCGACGACAACCAGACGCAGCAGGTGATCAACTGCGGCGCGCTGCCGAGACTGCTCGCGCTGCTCAACTCGCCCAAGAAGGGGATCCGGAAGGAGGCGTGCTGGACCATCTCCAACATCACGGCGGGCACGCGCGAGCAGATCCAGGCCGTCATCGAGTCCAACATCATCCCGCCCCTCGTGCTGCTGCTCGCAACGGCGGAGTTCGACATCAAAAAGGAGGCGGCCTGGTCCATCTCCAACGCGACGAGCGGCGGTTCGACGGACCAGATCAAGTACCTCGTCACGCAGGGGTGCATCAAGCCGCTCTGCGACCTGCTCATCTGCAACGACCCGCGCCTCGTCACCGTCGCGCTCGAGGGCATCGAGAACGTCCTCAAGGCGGGCGAGCAGGACGGCGCGGCGACCGGCACAAACCCGTACGCGTCCTACGTTGACGAGGCGGACGGGCTGGAGAAGCTGGAGAAGCTGCAGGAGCACAACAACGAGGACGTCTTCAAGAAGGCGGTGCACATCCTCGAGTCCTACTTTGGCTTGCTAGAGGAGGAGGACGAGCACCTCGCCCCCACCACCACGCAGCAGGGCTTTGTCTTCCAGGGGGCGCAGCAGCCCATGGGCGGGAGAGAGCCCTCCCGTTTCGCGCCCCCTTAACCCCCCCCCCCCCCCCGCGCGCGCGCGCGCGCCGTCGCCGCCCCCTCCTTCCCTCCTTCTCACACGCCGCCGCCGCGAGTAGGCCCTCCGCAAGGCGGCTACCAGTTCTGATGCCGCTGCCCGCCCGGACCGTCGCCGCGCCTTCGGCCGGTGCGGATCTGGCTCTGAGCGAGGCTCGACTCGCCGGGCCGGCCGCCCTCGCCTCATCCCCCGTCCCACGTATCCTCTCGTATCGCGACACGAGTGTTTTTGGCGTCCCGTGTCGCACCCCGCCGCAGATCTCAGCGAGCGTCCCGCATCGCCGCCAGGCGCGCGCCACCAAGACCGGCGCGCACTGGTCGCGGTCGCGGCCGCCTCGCTGTCCGGCGGCCCCGGTGCTAACCCTCCCCCCGGGTGCCGCCCCCAATCTCCATTGGCACAGCTCTGGCAAGCCCTCTCACTCTCCAGGTCTCTCCACATTTCCTCCGATGTGCTCGGGTGCTGGGTCACTGTTGCAAGCGAGTCAGCCCTCGGATCTCTGTGTTTGTATGTCCTTACGGTATTCCCCTACAAAACAGTTAGAATAATGCTGGTGCTGAAAGTGAAACGCCCTTGTGCACGGGGCAGCCCTCAAGTGGTCCTGGAGTCCCTGGCTCCTGCTCCTCCTCTCGGCTCTCGCCTCTTGGGCGGGGAGTGGGGAGTGTGGCGGCGGGTTGGCTCTCCCGACGTCGCTCAGCGCCTTGCGCCCTGCACCGTCGCCGGCCGAGCCGAAAATGTGCGGCCCGCCCCGCCACCCGCAGCCGGGGACGCCGCGCCTACGGGCGCGCTCGCCGGGCGCGACCCAGCCGCGCCCGATGTAGCAGACAGGCCGCCCGGCGCCTCCCCAAGCCTCGTGGTGCGCTCACGCCGCTGGCGGGCGAGAGCGCCATCGCCCTGCCGCACCCCCTCGATCCACAGACCCTCAAACGTGTCGCCATCGTTATATTCGCACCGACCGCGACCGTGGGGCGCGCCATGCAGCCAGTCGCCATCGTACTTCTCGCCGCGACCCCATGGCTCTGGAGCACCCTCGTACCTCCCGAGGCCCGAGCGCTCGTCGTCCCGCCACTCGCCAACGTAAATGGCCACGGCCGTCTCTGCTGCACGTCCAGCCGCCGCACCGTCCTCTTTGGATGCTGTGCCGCCGGCGCCGGCGTCGCCCTCGCCTCGAAAGAAGGTCAGTGCCGAGGCGGGCGGGAAGCGACACGTGCCTTGCCCGTGACGACGGCTGGCCGACCACTCGCCATCGTACACGCTGCCATCCGAATAAACACACCGGCCTCGACCGTGACGCTCGCCGCGCACAAAGTCACCAATGTAGACGCCATGTTTGTCCGTCTCTGTGCCCTCTCCGTGCCTCTGATTGTCAGACCACTGTCCAACATAGTGGCAGCTCCGGCTGCGCCACTCCCCGTGACCACACCGTACCCCGCCTACCCACGCGCCGGTGTACGTGTCCTCTCCGCTCGCGGCACGAAAGGTTCCCTCCCCCTGTTGATGATCCTCGGACCACCCTCCGCTGAACTCGTCGCCATTGGCTGTGACGATCCGCCCTGTGCCGTGCCGAACGCCGTTGCGCCAAAACCCGACGTACACCTCTCCTGAGGGCCACTCGCACCGCCCATGACCGTGGCGCCGGTCTGCTTCGAATCTGCCCGTGTATGTCTCGCGCCGTGCGTTCGCCGGCCCTCGCGCCACCGCGCGCCCCTCGCCCGACCGCAAGCCGCCGACCCACTTTCCAGCGTAGAGCGCCCCGTCTGGCTCTCGCAGCTCGCCCCACCCGTTGGGCCGGCCATGAAGCCAGTCTCCCTCATAGACCGACCCATCTGCGTAGATGCATCGGCCTTGGCCATGCCGGCGGCCAACACTCCATTGCCCATCGTAAACCTCCCATGCTGCACCGCGTGACTCGCGCCGCCGCATCACCCCCGACCCGTGCCGGACGGACGCCCTGAAGTGGCCGGTGTAGCGCACAAGCCCGTCGTCCGTCCTCAACTCGCCGCGGCCGCACCACTGGTCGTGAGCCCACTCACCCTGGTACGTGGCGGGGCCCGTCACTTCGCCTCGAGTAAAAGAGGAGGCGTCCACCATGAAGAGCGTCCCTTTGCCTATCCGAGACGGTAACGCTGCTCAGAGACGGGGAGGTGCGGAGGGAGCAACTGGCCGCTCTCTAGCCGTGGCGCATGCCGCCCTCCAGCTCCCCCGTGTACCGATCACCGCAGTCATACGTCCAAGAGCCGTTCCCCGCCGGCATTCCAGCAACAAAGGCACCCGTGTATCGCTTGCCCGGTAGTGACAGCGTGCCGTGGCCATGGCGCAGCCCATGCGCAAAGTCTCCTTCGTAGAGGACCCCCTCTGCATACGTGCAGCTTCCGCTGCCATGCGGCAGCCCTTCCACGAAGGGACCGCGATATGCGTCCGTCAGCCCGTCAGCCAAGACCCCCTCGAGAAAGCCGGCACTGGCCGCTCGTGATGACGCGTCTTCAGGAACGGACGACTTGTGATCGCCGCCCATCTGCGGCTCCTCTCCGTCCTCGAGAGTGACAAGATCCGTGCCGGAGAGGGAGCACAAGGTCGCAATGCGAGCTGCCCCGCCGAGTAGGCTAACGCCATTCGGGCCGACGGCGAGCCTCGCCTGCGTGAGCAGTGTTCCGAGAGTGGTGAGACGGGCTGGGGCTGGAGAGGGAGGAATGGCCTGGAGAAGGGGAGCCTCCATGTTGACCCCCGGTAAAGTCTGGGTAGCGTGATGCAGTCCTACCCACTCAAATGCTTCGTCGGCGTCCTGTGGATCTGTGGTGCCCTCTGAAGCAGAGGCTAACACGCGCAGCGACGCCAAGTCGCCCAGTGGCTGCCCCCGTCGGCCGACTCCGCCAAAGACTAGGCCTCGCCATCCGTCCCCATCGGCCACCAGCCCGGTGGTCGCCGGCCAGCAGCGAGGGGCAGGAGCTGACCCGGCGACACGCGGTGTGCTCCAGATCGCCTCTGGCAGAGAAAGCACGTGTAGGCTCTCCAGCGCGGAGGTCTTTCCGTCCGATCCTCCAAATATGATGACTTGCTCCGGGGTGGAGCTGGTTTTCGAAGCAGCAGGCCTTGCCAGAGCGCCGTGATAAGCTCTCGCCGGTGCCAGCCCGCTCGTCGCCAGTGGTGACCACTTCGCAGGCGTGGAGCTGACGATGAGGGACCATACGTCTGCCGCAACGCCCGAATCAGTCATGCCACCGTAGACAATGACTTGCCCTGAAGCCATTAGCGTGGCCGAGTGGCCGGAACGTGGGCTTGGCGCGTGTGACTCAGGGTCGGCTGCAAGTGGCAACCAAGTAACGGCTGGCCGGGACTTTTGTTCATGCCGTGTCACATGCCGCTGCCAGCCCTTGAGGCGATGGTTGACCAGACTGCGCTGCATGGCGTCGATCCGCATTTCGTGTGCAGCATCAGCCGCGCTGGGGCCCTTTGAAGATGCCTCGTGATTGTCAACGATGCTGGCCGCCTCTAGACGGGCCTCTAACCTGTCCATTGCTGCTTGTGGAAGCGCATCACCGTCTACTCCGAACTCGGCAAGACCCACTCCCTTCATCTGAGCAATCGTCACTGAGCAAGTGACACCCTCCTCGCCTGCAGCTTCGTGCTCAATCTGGATCGCCCCGCGAGGAAGTGAGAGCGCGGACGCCAGGCACGACCGCACTGCTTCGAGCTGTAGCAACGGTCGATGATGATCGGCATCTGCTGCGGCGCCTGCGACTCTCGCGTCGAGTCTGAGCTCCATCCGACTGCTGCTGGACACCTGAGTGCGTATCACTTCCAGGCTCCACGCATCGTCGAGCCGGCGGCGTTGGGCATCGGCACCTCCAAACACAAGCATTTGCGAGCCAAGGCTGACCGAAGCGTGGCCGCTACGGGCAGCAGGTGAATTGTCCAAATCGGCCTCCAGCCAAGACCAGCCTGTCTCTTTTGCACCTCGTACCCACACGTCGCTGACAGCTGTGGCCGCCGATTGTGTGGCCGCCGACTGTGTGCTAGCAGCAAGGCCACCAAAGCATACGAGCAGACCTTCTACCTCACTTACCGTGTGGCCGGTGAAGGGGAGGTCACGAGGAGGGCGGCGTGCGGCAGGCATATGCAAAATGTGTGCCATGGCGGTTTCATCGCAACGAACGCGCGACGAACGCGGGCAGGTCTTTTGAAATTTCTTACCGGTTGAAAGAAAGCGAATGCCCGCCGGTCTCAAACTTGCTGATCATATGTCGACTCCGCCCGCGGTGGTCTCGCTGCACCGAGTGCCCGTGGCAGAGTTCCACGACCGTATTCCGCGGCTTCCTCTAGCCCTTGTGCTCATGTGTGCCGCAACCAGTCGTGAGTGTCGCCGCCTTGATGCTGAACTGAGCCGCGCACGGATGCAGGTGGCCACTCAGCGTTGCCACGACTTGCCCACACTCTGCCTGACCTCTGCTAGACCCTTGCCTTAGCTCTCTATCGAGCGATCGGCGTGCGCGCTGCGGATGGTGGACATCTCCGGAGCGGACGGTGCCGCGCTTGCTTCTGAGTTTGGCGCACCGTCGGCGCATCCTTCAGTGCACGTCTTCAGAAACGGCGCTGCTACGCTTTACACTGGCGCGCGCAGTGCCGACGCCATCGTCGCGCACGTCCTCGGTCTTGGCGGCGAACATCCCAACGGGGAGCGCTCCGCCACGGCCTTTCCGGAAACGCAGAGTGCAATGCTACAACCGGCACTGCTCTCGCTGACACCACAGACGGTTGGCGACGCGCTGCATACCCATCCGCTGCTGCTGCTACTTGTGCGTACCTAGATTCGGATCCTCTATAGACATAGCCAGTCTTCTCCTAGCAACTTCGAACGCGCAACCCCCCCCCCCCCCCCCTGCGCGATTGCAGATATGCGAGCGGCGGCCGGGCCGCTCTCACCTGGTGGGCAACTTTACTGCGGCGGCCGAGACGCTCGCGCGGCAGGCAGCCCGTCCTCGGAAGACAGCCTGGTCCCTGGGCTCGAGGAAAGAGCCACCACCGTATGTATCAGGGAGTCGGCGTCAAGCTCGGCTTGCTGCAAGTGCGCCCCACCACCGCTGACGCGCCGCCCGACGCGGCGTTCCACGCGCTGCGCAAGCGGTACTCAGTCGGTGCGTTGCCCGAAGAGCGCGCAACCACTCCACGCAGCTCCTCTCAAGACTGTCCCGCTCTACAGGTGATCTCCCTGAAATCAAAATTTTCGACCGCGGACAGCCGCTCGATTACGCCGCGGCTGCCGACGTGGACTCGATCGTCGACGTGGCTCGCTGGAACGCAGGTCGCTCCACAGTTCCGACGCCGACGTCGCGCGTAGTTCCGCTGCTTGGCACGGAGCAGCTGCGCCGTCTACTGCAGCCTTCGAGCGGTCTGGTGCTCCTCGTGTTTCGGGCGCGCTGGTGCACGCGTTGTCTTGTGCTCGAGCCTCAGCTCCACACGGCATCCGTGCGACTCGCTGCCACAGCTGCATCGGTGTCCGTCTCTGCTGCTGCCTCCGCTGCCGCTGCCGCCTCCGCACAGGCACCACCGGTGAGTGTGCCATAGCTCCCAGGAGCACGCACGCGTGCACGCACGCAACGAACATGCACAACGACGTGAATGAGTGCGGACAGGTGACGATCGCGACGGTCGACATCGATGACGAGCGCAACCAAGGGCTTGTCAGGGAGATCGCGCCACTTGGCTTCCCGAGCACCATCGCCTACTGGCGTGGGTCGCCGCTCGCCGGTGTGTGACCCACGCTGACAGCGCCCAAAGGGTGTGAGTGCTTCACCACTGCTTAGCCCCATCAACCCTGGTCCAGGCACTGCCGAGTTGACGTCCGAGAGCCTGCGAAGCGACGAGATCGTGGCAGGCTTGCTTTCCCTACAGCGGCAGCTCCTCGCTCGAGACTGGCAAAGACGAGTGCGTGCTGCCGGCGCTGGCGCTACCACAGGTGGAACAGCCACGGCGCAGCAGGCGCGGCAGCGGCGATGACGGATTAGTCTTTAGTGCGCACTTCTTACTCTAACGATTAGGGGTTACCGTTCGACTGCACTCAGTCTGCTCTCTGGCCCCCGAACAGCAACACCCGTTATAGCGGGCCCTCATCGACGTCCACGTGCTGGTGGCTGGCCTGTATTTGTTTATAGCCATCGTTGATGAGAAAACGATTCACAACTTCAGCAGTCGAGTCAACACACGGAAGGGAGGCGCGCCAGGTGGTGGATCACACTCTAGAGAGCCGCATAGGACAGAGTCCTTTCTGGAATTGGCCTTCGCGTCAAAGCCTGGTCCGTCACTGGTAAAGGACGCCGGTGCAGTGCACGTAGTAGAGCAGCACCGCGGCCGGCTGTCCAAGGAAGCAGAAGGCAATCCAGAAGAGGTAGTTGCCGAGCTGCGCGAAAGGAGTTCCCGCCACGCGAGCGTTGATTGCGGCCGACACGGCGACGAGCGGCACCTGCGCCATCATCGCGAGGAAGGCGAGGGGCATGTGGCCCGACTTGAGGGGGAGGGCGATGACGAGCTCGTGGAAGACGGCCGAGACGGTGAAGGCGATGAAGCCGACCGCGGCCTTGGAGAGCCGCTTCCGCAGGGCGGGGAAGTAGACGTGCCGCGCGATCCAGTGGTGCACCGGCAAATTCCACAGCCTCCAGTACGCCTCGAAGGTGACGGCGTTCCACCACGCCTTGTAGAAGAGCCGATCACCAAAGCGGAGCAGCTCGGCGAGCAGGTTCATCCAGACGTGGAAAAAGACGTAGAAGCCGGCGAGCCACACGTAGGTCACCTAGAGGAGAGCGGGGTCCGCGTGAGGCCCCTCCGCCCGCGGCCGGCGGGCCACGCGTCAGCGAGGCCGCCGGCAGGGCGAGCTTGATGAGCCGCTCGAGCAGCTTTGGCATGTCGCGCGCGACGACCGCCGGCTCCGAGTTTCGCAGCAGCGGGTGGATCATCTGCACGGAGATGAAGACGATGATGAGGCACATCACGAGGCCGCGCAGCAGGAGGGAGAGCACGTAGACGGGCCTGCGGTGCCAGACCGCCCTCGCTCAGACTACGCCAGCGCAGCGGGCAGCGAGGGGGCTCGCTGCGCAGCACCGGACGGACGGCGAGCGCGGAAACGCCTCCTGGTAGCAGAGCGTGGGCGCGAAGACGAAGTAGAGCAGCCGCGGCATCGTCACCGTGTGAGGGTAGTGCGCGGCCGACTCGGTGTGCTGCACGTCCGTCGCGAAGCGCGAGATGGTGGCGGCGAGCGACGAGAAGTCGTGCGCTGCCCCCGGCGGTGGCGGCGACTGGGCGGCGGACTCCTCGAGCGCCTCGGCGTTAGCCAAGCGGAGGTCGTGGTGGGCGTGCGCCCAACTCGTGAGCTTCATGAAGAGCGTGCAGGCGAGGAGCAGGAGGACGATCCCGGCGCCGTAGGAGAGGTCGCCCCAGTAGGAGTACGCGCACGGGAGGAGAAGGGTCAGAGCCAAGTTGAGGGCGTGCAGCGCGTTGGCCTGCGAGGCGGGCCGGGCGACGCCGATTAGGCGCTCGCGGCACACGGCGAGGGCAGCGGGGCTCTGGAAGGAGGGAAGGAAGGGTCCCCCCTCCTGCGCATCGGAGACGCGCGGCCCGCGGCTGTGCGTGCGGATGGCACTTCGCTCGATCAGCCACGCGGCGCCGATGCCGAGCAGCAGCGGGCCTACGCGGGAGAGGCTGGCGGCTCGTCAGGAGCGGGGGGGGGGGGAGGGCACCGCGCGGGGAGCCACTCGAAGGAGGTGCCGAAGTAGAGCGCGAGGGCGCGCGCGGTCGGCCACAGGGAGGCGCAGAGGTTGTGGAGCGACGCCATCGAAACCCCTCCGGCGGGCGGCGGTGCCAGCGGCGGGTGGTTGCGCCAGAGGCCCCGGAGCGTCAGCCACGAGAGCAGACGCGGGGCGGGTGGCGGAGGGGGCGGGAGCGGGAGCGGCGTCCCGGCGGCGGGCGACCAGGGGAGAGGGACGAGGAGGCCGTACTTGAGGAAGTTCTCGAGGAGCAGCTGCATGTGGGTCGAGAAGAGGATGATGAAGCCCAGGTTGAGGAGGCCGGAGAAGTCGGACTGCGACTGGCCCTCGTGTGAGAGGAGGGAAGGCTGCGCGCGCACGTGCATCGGCCTGCTCGCCGGGAACAGGAACGGGTCGAGGGGCGCCTTGCGCTTCGAGCGAGAGTCGCGTCGCGAGAGGCGCCGGCTCGAGGCCCGCTCCGGCGGCGCGGCGGAGAGGGGGGCGGCGGCGGCGGGCACGGGAGACGCGGCGAGGGAGCTGGTCGGCGTCGGCAGCAGCGCCTCGCCCGCGGGCTGCGCGCCCGCTCCGAGGAGGCAGTCGATCCACTGGCGAGCCTAGACGGCTGGAAGAGGCGTGACGGCGGGGGAGGAGCAGGCGGTGTGAAGAGGCAGATGGCTCGGCTCGCCTCGGCGGAGGAGGAGCAGGAGAGGCGAAGGAGTGCGCCCGCGCCGGGGCCGTGGTGCGACTCGAGCGTGTGGTTGAGGTAGAGGGAGAAGATGTGGTACTGCCTCCGACTCGGAGCCCCAAACAGCGGCCTCGTGTCGGAGGCTCGCGTCTCCTTGACGCCCTCGTCCACCAGCACCACGTTGGTCATCGGCAGCGAGCGACGGGGCGCCTCGCGGTGGCCCTCGCCTGTTCACACCCGCAGGCGTGGAGAGACGCCCCTCCCCCGCGTGCCGTCTCGCGGCCCGCCGACCGAGGTAGTAGACCAGCGTGTTGCTCTTGAGCACAAAGTAGCGGCGCGGCCAGCGAGAGGCGCCTCCGGGGAGGACCCAGGAGCCTGCGCCGGGCGAGAACTTGTGGAGCCACCCGCTCTTCTCCGACGCCTGCAACGCCGCCAGCGCCGCCTCGAGCTCCGCCACCCTCGCCCGCAGCGCCCGCTCGCCAACACCTCCACCACCTCCTCCTCCTCCTCCGCCTCCTCCGCCTCCGGCCGGCGGCTGGATGGGAGGCGTCGAGCTGATCGACACGCGGCCGCTGAGGGGACCGGCCGCAGCCCCGAGGTCTCCGTCGCCTGTGCTCGCGCTCGCCTCGCCGGCGAGGATCGCCGCCGGATGACTGCGCCATGTTCCGCCCGAGATCTCGTCGACAGCGTCAACGTATCGTAGACGTGCCGTGTCTGCGGGAAGGCCGCGCACGGCCGACCAGGCAGCGTGCTTTGCGAGCTCAATGATCTGCGCCCAAGAAGGCGCTGCCTCGGGGGCGTCGCCCTCAAGAGCCTGCTTGTACAGCGCATACAGCTTCAACCTCTTTTGCATCGGGATGGCAGCCTTGCGCGCTGCGCTGTAGGCCGCCGCTCGGCGGAACTCGAGCGGCTGAGCGGCGAGGAGGAGGTTCACTGTTGATGAGGCATTTCGGCTCCTCATCTGGATCGATCGTCAGCGCTGGGCTCGGCGAGCGTGCCGATAAGATCGGCGGGTTTTCTTTCTCTTCGCCTCCGCCGCCATAGCGGCGGCGCAGGCGGCGCAGGCGTCGACATGACGGCCAGCATTGTCGAGCGAACAAGCGAGCGATGAGGGGAGACGATATCTCACCGTATTTTAGCGTATAAGCCTCGTTGATGAAAACACGACGGAAATACCAAGGTGCAAGGACCAAGGTAAAATAGAAAATAGTCACTCACGAAACACGATCACGACGGGATTAGTCTCGCTCACTACTCGATGGCGGAGGTCACGTCGGCCGCAACCGCAGCAACGCGGGGTCGGCCCCTGGCGGCGACTCGGCGCTACTGGCAGCGCGCGGCACGCCGGCACACCCGCCCAGCGCCGCCGAACCGCGACGCAACAGCCGCGCGCGCAACACCGCCATGAGGGCGCCGTACGCGTCGCCGCCGTCGTCGGTCGGCTCGCCAAAGCACGAGCCGACGAGGGACGACCAAAAGAGCGACCTAGAGTGGGCACGAGCAAAGACGGTGCGCGAGCTGCGCGTGATGTGCGGCGCAGGAGGGGGGAGTCACCGCCACGCGCAGCCAAGCTTGGCCTGCATTGCGCGCAATCTGGGACCGTCGGCGGCCACCTCCCACAGCCGCGAGGGCAAGCTGCTGAGGTCGTTGGACGGCACGCGTAGCGACAACTCGGACCACGGTAGCAGCTCCTCAAAGGGGAGCGCGTCGTCCGTCGCCGCAGATGCCCCGAGCGTAAAGACCGGCACGCAGCCGTGGAAGATTGCGACCATGTGGCGGGTCGGGTCGCCGTCGCCCTGGCCGCGAGGGACCTACGGCGGAGTCCGCGTCGCGGGGTCGGGGCGTCCATCACCCGGCTCCTGCGCCACCTCGCCCGCGCGGTGCCCAGCAAAACACCTACAGCGGTGTCCACGCGTGGCGTGATCCACCGGACGCGCCGCACCCACCGCGCACGCCCCGCGCAGCACCGAGCCGAGGCTCATGTTGACAGCGTCCCTCCGGTCCTCGGGCCGGCCGCGAAGCGAGTCCGCCAACACGAACCCCGGCTCGGCGAGGCCGTCGTGGCGGAAGCGGCGGAAGAGCTGCGTGCGCGCGCTGCCGTGGCCGGGGTGGCCGCCAAACCACAGTAGCGTGGCGCGGCTCGTGTGCTGCCCGCGCCGCTCAAAGGTTGGGCTGTGCGGCGAGGAGGAGGCCATGCGGTCGCACGAGGGCTGGTCCGAGTGAGAGCCTGCGGTGCGGGAGTGGGGCGGGCAGGGGCTCCGTGGACGTGCAGGGAGGACGTGCGCGGAGGCGGCCGCGGCCAGCCCTGGTGGAGGCGACGCGCCTCCGCGCGCAGAGAGGAGGAGCTGCGGCATCGCGACGTCGACGCCGCGCATGAAGTGGACGGGCGGCTGCGTGTTTCCGTTGAACTGGAGCCCGAACCACCGGCGGTTGGCCGAGTCGGCCCTCAGGTCGTCGGGCAACTCGCACCCTCTCTCGCGCAACGTCGCGGGGTGCTGGTAGCCTCCCCGTCCAAACAAGCCGCCCAAGATCGGGGCGCTGACCGCCTCGCGCCGCCACGCGACCGCCTCCTTGAGCAGCGTCACCAGCCTGCGCACGCTGCGCCCGCCGCGGCGAGCGGCGCGACGCGAGGCGCGGTGTGGTGGCACTTGTGACGGCAGCCTTGGCGGAGCCTCTGCGCGCGCGGCCGCGATGAGCTCATCGAGCTCTTGCGCCGTCGAGGGTGAGCCGAGCGGCCGAGGAGGCGGAGCTGCGGCCCCGCACACTCGACCCGCGGGCGCACCGCCGCCGTTTCCGCTGCCGTTCCCGCCACCTCCACCACCACCTCCTCCTCCTCCTCCTCCTCCTCCTCCTCCTGCTGCTGCTGCCCCACGGAGCCGCTCCTCAAAGGCGCGGCGCACGCCCACGACGTGCGGCTCGAGCGCGAGCGCAGGCCACTCCTCGCGGTCCTGGTCCGCGTACGAGAGCTGGAACGAGTCCATCGACGCGCGCTCCGTGAGCAGGGTCATCGCGTGACGCGCGCCGGCGTGCCCGCGCCAGAGCGGCGAGCGGGAGCGGACGTGCCACAGCCGCGCGAGAAGGCGGTGGCCGTCGATGACGAGCGGCGGGCCGGGCAGCAGCGCGTAGTCTGCTCTCGACGGGTCCGCCTCGCGCCGCGTCGAGGAGAGGAAGCGGTCGAGCAGCCTCGCGTCGAAGCCAGCGGCGAAGTCGACGCCGAACCGAAACTGCGGAGGCATGTCAAAGACCCACACGCGTGGGCGCGGCGGGCGGCTCGCGCCCTGCCCTGCCTCGCCTCCCCGCCGCTCGTCGCCCTCCCTCCGCCTCCGCCGCGCCGCGCGCCGCGCGAGCGTCCGGTTGGAGTGCGCCTCCACCTGGCGGGCCGAGCACGCGTCAGGGACGTGTCCTGGTGCTGGGTGGCCTGGGTCGCAGAGCGCATCTCTCGCCTCGGGACTATCCCGCCTCGGGGCTAGTCATGAATGCGCTTGCCGACTACTACTCTTCCCGCCTCGGGACTGCCGTCCGCGGCGAGGCGGAGGGCGCAGTCGAGGCCCCAGTAGCCCACGTCGCAGTTGCAGAAGCCCTGCCAGTCGCACGTGCCGCGCGCCGAGCAGCGGGCAGGGCACGCAGGGCCCCAGTGAGGCGCCGGCCCGGCGGCGCCATCTTCTAGCGGGCCGGCGGCGCGGCGCGGCAGCTCCTCGTCACAGGCCGGCCCGCCCACGCCCGCCCGAAGGCCGCCTGCGAGGAAGCAGCCGCACCGGGCCGCGGCGGTGGCGGACGAGGCGCCGGTGGAGGAGAGCCACGGCCGGCGGCGTCGCCTCGCCGGCGCTGGCACCGGCTCACACCAGCCGCGGCCGCCGCATTCGCGGGGGCACCGGCCGAGCGGGAGGAGCGGGAGGGGAGGCGCGCTGCCGTTGAGGAGGAGGCGCGGCGGCTCGGCGAGCAGGCAGGAGTCGGCCGCTGTCGCGTCGGCGGGGTCGACGACCGCCCGGATCTGCGCGGCTCTCTGGCGGAGCGGCGCGAGGACGGCGGCGACGGCCGGCAGCTCCTCGTCCATGTTACGCGAGGCGAGCGACGGCGTCAGCCCGAGCCGGAGCGTGTCGTGCGCCGCCGCGAAGGAGAAGCGGCGCCACACCGCGGAGCTGGGGCGAGCGAGCACCTCCGCGAAGCTTGACGCGCCGCCGGCCGAGCCCGACTCGGCCAGCGAAATGCACGGCGTGGTCCAGCCACGCATGCCATTCAGCCGCGAGCGCTCAAGCAGGAAGGGCGCGGCGACCCATTCCGCGAGGCACTCGCACGCCACGGGGCCGATGGCGCTGCGGTCGTCCCAGCGATCACGCGCGGGGCCGTTGTGGAACGCGTGGAGCACCCACGAGCGCACGGGAAGGTGGCCGCCAGACGGCAGCACGCACGACGGGAGCAGGCTCTGCTCGCAGCTTGCGCCACGCCAGCCGACCGGACACTCGCACCAGCCGCGCCACGGATTGCACACGCCGAGACCGCAGTCGCGGTGCGACTGGCACGCACGCAGCATCTTGGCGGTACTGCTGATTGAGAGGTCCGTGCAAACGAGAAGGCGAGGCGCACGGAGCAAAAGTAGTGTTTTTGTGTACGTACTTATAGCTTACTGGGAGAAAAGAGAGAGGGAGTTGTGTTCTCTAGGCCCCTAAGGGCCCTACGCGCGGCGTGAGAGCTCGGAAGCGAGCTTTGCACGGCGATCGAGGATGGCACGGTTCACCCCTTTCACCGAAGCGATGGAGATGCGTTCCGCGTGGTGTGACACAAATGAGAGGGGGGAGTGGGGAGGGTACGCGGTGCGGTCAACGCCCGAGCGTTGAGCCTTGCTCTCTCTCTTTGTGTAACCTCCGAGCAACCTCCGAGTTCCTCGCATGTGAGGCGGAGAGAGCCGGCACGCCTAGATCTCAGCCATACACTCCTACCCGATGGCTGAGATCTAGGCGTGCCAGCCACCCTTATCACGGATGGCTGCAATTGCAGGATCCTAGCCACTCCGCCCTGCAAGCACGCACGCGCCATTTTGGCTGCCTTCCAGCCAGTGCAGCCATCCTCCGGCCGATGGCTGCGATGGCTGTGTCCCGGCCATCCGCCCGGCCGCATGATGGCTGTCATACAGCCGTCGCAGCCATTTGGCCGGAGGATTGCGGCCGCCTATGCTAAAATTTGAAGATTACAAGGAGCCCACAGGAATTGATTGCGACTCAAGGACGTATTTCCTTCTCAATAACATGAGGGGGCCGTCTGCTGTGTCCTTTGTAGTGCCAGTCCCGTACCCGGTGTCGTGCGAGAGAGTTTCGTCGTAAAATTCTCTAACAAGGCTGGCGCTATGCGTTCACATAGCGCCAGCGGACGTATTTTCTTCTCATAACAAGGCTGTGAATAACAAGGCTGTGAACAAGCCTGACTTCTGACTGTCGTTGCTGTCTCTCCCCCTTCTCGACTGTCTGTGCTTGTGCGTCTTGGGTCCGGAGTTGTGCGTTTATGTGAACAGGCCAGCGCACAGCGCCATAGGAGGTATTTTCTTCTCAATAACAAGGCTGTGAACAAGCCACCGCCGCAAGCCGCGCCCAAGTTGAGAGACAGCTCCGAGTTGCGTATGCGCACTGCTCGAGCTGCCGCCGCTGCGACGGCCGCCGCGGCGGCCGCTGCGACGCTATCCTCGGCTCGTCCTCGCCACGCTGCGTCCGCCGCCGACGACGACGTGCGCGCCGCCGTCCAGCTGCGTGAAGCCGCCCTCCGCGCGCGGGCGGTGCTGAGCGATCCTCCGCAGATGCTGCAGCGGTGTGCGCGCTCTGCTTGGCGGCAGCACGCCGGCGTCACGGCCATGGACGAGCTGGCGAGGCGCCAGGCCGCGCTGAGTGACTCGCTCGCGTCCGCCGCAAACTCGTGGAAGGAGCGTCAGGGCGTCAGGCCGGCAGAGCTGCGGAGCCTCACAGAGGCGGTCTCGGACACAGAGGCCGCCGTGCGCGGCGCGCGAGCCTCGGCGGTGCGTGCCGCAGCCGCAGTCCCGTGGGGTGAGGTGCTCGGCAGCTCACGCCTCGAACCGGCGACTGGTAGCGCGGCGGCCGATGCGCCGGGGGCGGAGCGGCTGCGAGGGCGCGTGGTCGGGCTCTACTTCACTGCGTCGTGGTGCGGGCCGTGCCGCCGCTTCACGCCCAAGCTGGTCCAGCTGTACGAGGCCGCCGCCGCCGCACGCGCGCCCGACGGTCTCGAGTTGGTGCTGGTCTCGTGGGACGAGATTGGCGACGAGCGGAGGGAGTACGCGCGGCAGGCGGGGATGCGCTGGCTGGCGCTGCCGCACTCGCGCGAGGCGCGCGCCCTCGCCGACGAGCTCACCCTCCGGTACGACGTCACCTCCATCCCCGCCCTCGTCGTTGTCGAAGTGTCGGCCGACGGCAGCTCGGCGCGCGTGCTGAGTCGCGATGGGCGGATGGACGTGGAGCGAGGCCACGCGCCGTGGATGTCGAGGGTGCTCGGGTGAGGCAACCTGCGCGAGGATTTGTGCCACCGCCGGCGGGATTTGGGCTGCGTGCAACCTTAACCGGCACGCGCCGCGGTGCACTGTTTTTCTAACACGACATGGATGTACGGCTCTAATGCTTTTTAATGGGCGCGGCGCCGCCCGCGCCCGCGCCCCCGCGCTCGCACACGATTGAACATACCCGGCTCGCGGGTCAGCGAGACAAAATGTGCTCATTGCCACGCATTGGCGCAACGCGCAACCACCTAAACAGCCTTCAACTACGTGCGTCGGCGCACCTCGCCCCCCCGCACAGCCACACGTCCCTCCAAGTCCAACGAGCCCCGGGCCGTGCGGCGGGCATATACTGGCTGCACCCTCCTCTGCACCGCTAGAAGCCTCGTTGGACCTCCTCGGCCGCATACCTGCACCGCACCACCACCACCCGCCCACGCTACACGGCGCGACAGAGCCCGAGCTGCTGCACGGAGCCCGAGCTGCTGCCGCGCCCGGTGGTGGCGCTCTGGCCGCCCTCACGGGGAGGCGCCGTCGCGAGGCGAGTCGCCAATCGCGGCGACCGCGGGCGCGCCGGCCGCCTCCTCTCTCGGCTCGGGCACCGCCTCGCCGGCTCGGCGAGGCGCGTGCACCAGCTCCTCGTTTGGCGCGTCGACCCAGTAGAGCGCCTGCGGTGGGGGGGCAGGGGGGCGGGGGGCGGGGCGCCGCTCAGCCCAACGCCCTCACGGGCCGGGCACAAGGAAGCGCTGTGCGCGCGGCGGGCTTGAGCGCGGTCGCAGCGCGGGTGGTCACCTCCTCGGTTAGCTCCGCGCGCAGCACGTCCATGTAGTCCGCGCCCATGATGTTTACCTTCATGCCGCGAGAAGGACGCGAGGCTCAATCTACCTCTCTCGCCCTCGACCTCTCCTCTACTCGAGCGAGCCGCGTGTGAGTACGGAGGGCGGCCATGGCAGAGGCACCTTCTCCTTGACCGACTTTGGCAGCACCGTCGAGACCATCCGCCAGGCGCCGTTGGCGAAGCCGGGCGCGTTGATGACGGTCGCCTTGCGGAAGGAGGACGGGTAGTGCGTCGCGAAGGCGGAGAGCACGTCCTTCGTGAAGTTGAGCGCGGAGAAGGTGAGCATGTGCGTGCCCAGTCCCGCGAGGTCGAAGATCTCGTACGTCTGACCCTCGGTCAGGTTGGCCGTGTCGGCCGCGTGTTGGTCGAGCCGCCGCTGCAGGCAATCCACGAGCCCCAGGTAGAAGGCGTTGAGCTTCTTGCGGTAGTTTGGCGTGCTCGTGATGCCCTTGAGGTCGAAGCGGCCCAGCCGCTCAATCTTGACCTGCGAGCGTACTCTCCGGCGGTCGACGCCTCTCCTCTCGGGAATGGGCCCTCGCCGCCCGCCTCGAGAGGGGCGAGTGAGAGGGTGGCGAGCAGCCCGGGCCGGGCAGCCGTTCTAGGAAGTGGCTAGGACGTGTCTAGGACGTGTCTAGGACGCGTCTAGGAAGTGTCTAGGAAGCCGGACCGGGCAGCCGTTCTTCGCAAAACCACAGTGCATGCCAATCGGGCAGTACTGCGTCGCCCACTCGCCGTCGGGCATCTCGCTCGCCTGAGAGAGAAGGGAGAGAGGGAGGCAGGGGCGAGGGGCGGTGAGGGGCGGGGTTGGCCCGTCGTCCCGTCCCGCGGCCACTCCACTCCCACAGAGACCCCGTCGCCGCGTGGTCGCGCACCGCCATCTAGGAAGTGTCTAGGAAGTGTCTAGGGAGTGTCGCACCGCCATCCAGCGCGTGGACGCGATCGGCTGCAGCACGCTCATCACCTCGCTGTTGTTGATGTTCTTCTCCTTGTACTCGCACGCCGCCCGGAACTTCTTCTCGATGCTCCGCGGCCTCAGCCCGTGCTCGCGGATGAAGCGAACGAGCTGCACCTCGAGCGTCTCAGCCTACGGACGCGAGGGCGCGAGGTGAGGCGGCCCGCGCGAGAGGGGCGACGAGCCCGCCGCGGCGGCGCTGCGTCGTCGGGCGCCCCTTTGCACGGGCTGATGTGCAGCGCGCGAGAGATCTCTGCGATGCAGGCAAGCTCGGCCTGCGAGCTCAGTCCGCTCAGCGCCGCGCCGTCGCGGCTCATCGAGGAGAGGGGCGACGCGCCTGCGAGTGAGGGGCCCGGGGTGGGAAGGGTGTGTGTGGGGGGGGGGGGGGGTGCCGCCCCTCCAGGGCGAGGGGAGGGGCAACGCGCAAGCTCCCGCGCCTCCGTGCGCGTCTACGTCGGAGCCCGAGCGGCGGCGCATCGGCACCGGCGTCGCCCATGGCGAGGCGGGCGCGCCGCCGCGCGGGCTCGAGGGCGGCTCGAAGCCGGTCTCCCACGGGAGGCCGTGCGGCGGCCGGTGGTGCAGCGTGAGCGTCGACCCGTCCCGGAATACCAGCCGGATCGGCCTCGGGATGACGGGCGCGATTGCGTGCACGGCGCGCGCGCGGAAGCCAAAGCCCGAGTAGGGCGTGAGCAGCACTGCGAGGGCGCCCGCCAGCAGGGCGAAGGTGCGCTGCACGAGGGTGCCCTGCGTGTCGAGCAGCCCCACCGCGCACACCACCCACAGCACAGCCGAGCAGAACAGGCCCAGGCTCACCATCCAGCCGCCGCCACGGCTGAGCCCTAGCCAGGAGCGGACGGCGCGCAGAGCCATGCGGAGCGCAGTCGGCTCCTCCGAGTGGCCGCCGCGCTGCGCCGCGGCCTCGCGCCGCGCCATGTCGGCCGCGGTCGCGGCCGCAGTGGAGCCCTCCACCACCTCCGCGTCGGGCGGGCGTGGACCCGTGCTGCTGCTTCCCTCGCGCGCCCCACTGATGCTGCGGCCTTGTGGCGGCGGCCGCGGCGGCATCACCCCTGCTCTCGCCGGCACCGCGGGTGCGGCCGCCGAGGGCTGATCCGCAGACGTGAGCAGCAGCTGCTTGGACGCCTTGCGCTCGCTTCGCGAGCGGAGGTTCCGACGATGGGCCGGCGGCGCCCAGCACCGGTCCATCGTCGTGAAGCATCGCATTGCAGATTCAATCTGTGGCGGGACGCAGCACCGCGTGAGCGGGAACGGGTGGGGTGGAGCAGTGAAGCGAGCGGCCTCGCCGTGTCTTCAGCGCGGTGAGCCCCGACTCGGCTGGGGTCTGCTTGAGCGAGGAGACTGGAAGGTAAAACAAGCTGCAGGCGTTTCTTTTTTGGCTTTCTCTCTCGAGCGAAAAAATCCACAAAAATCAAGACTGAAATTCGCAAGTATGCTATAAAAAAGGTTTTCAATACCAAGCCCCCTGCGCCCTGGCGCGAGCCAAAGACACTCCTAACCACATCCCCACTAGCACTTCTCTCCAGGCAGGCCTGCGCCTGCGGCCTGGCTGGACGTGGGATCCGCAGAGTGATGGGTCGCCTGAGACGTTGCACGCGACTCTGAACACTGAAGAGCCGCAAGTGCCGCCACGCCCGCCTCTCCAACCTGACCTACGGCTTCCGGTCTCTCGCCGCCACCCGTCGCATCTCGCAAGCCGCACAGATCACGACGGCACGCGTTACGACACGAGGCAACCCGCCTCCGCTCCCCGCGCAAGAGAGTGAAGAGCCGGCTGTTGCCGGGGTTTTGCACCGGCGCCGCGTCGCGCGTGCGCTTGGGCGCGGCGTGTGGCGTCGACCCGACGACCTTGTCCCCACTCAAGGTTATGGGAGCGGCCATAACAGGTGTTATGGCTGTTATGGCTGGCTGCTCATAACACCCCATAACACCCCATAACACCTCATAACACCTCATAACACCTCCATCGCTGTTATGGCTGTTATGCCCACCCTACCATAACACCTCATATAACACCTCATATAACACACCTTCATAGCACTCATAACACCTCCCACTGTGGTTGTTATGACAGCCAGCATAACAACCTCATAACAGCTGTTATGACTCGGCCACCTCACACCGTCGAGCCCGGCCCGCTCAGCAGCCTGCTCTAACTCTGCCAGCTCACGTTCGATACTGGTCGGCCCGATCCGGAAAGGAGTGCAGGGCATCAGCAACGCGGAAAGCAGCAACATCCATCCATCGATCGCGCGATGAGCAAGAGTTTTACAACAAACTCCCTCGCACGACACTGGCACGGGACTGGCGCGCACGGAGCTTTCGGAATTCCTAACTACTAAAAAGCGGGAGCAGCCAGCTTCCACTTTTTAGAAACCTCGAGACACGTAGTGGGAAAAGGAAAGAAAAAGGACGTGAGTTAAATTGCGGGAAAGACATACAAGTTTCAAGTTAAAAACGGAGGGAAGCGTGCAGAGCTGCAGAGAGCACGAGTTAGAAACGGGAAGCAAATTGCGTGTGTGTGTGTGGGGGGGTGTCTTGATTGAGCAATCTGAAGCCATCGCTCAGCCTCAGGAGGCAGGTTGATGTTATTGAATTTAACTTGAGGGCAAAAGAGAAAATATTTGGCGATCGATGCCGAACCTACCTCGCGCGCGGCAGCGCGCGAAGCGAAAATTCCAGCGGCGAGCAGTCCGGCGTGGCCTCTCGGGCCATAACACCGTGGACCCGGGACGGCCCTCCCATAGCAGCCCATAACATGTTATGGGTGTTATGGCTGTATGGGCCCGGGCCCATAGGAACAGCCATAACACCCCCATAACATGTTATGGGCTGCTATGCCCAGAGAGCCCCATAACACCAACCAAATAACTGTGAGTGTGATTGACTATAACGAGACTGATTCCCTAGATAGAGATAGATAGAGACAACAACATGCCACATGCAAGCTAGCCCTGTAGCCTAACCCGGAGACTGCGGCGGACCCTCGTCCGGCCTCACGTTCACAACACGAGCAGCGAATAAAAGGCGAGCCGCACGTGAGCCCTAAACCTACCCGGGCCCTTCACATGATAGAGCATGCGATTCGGCACTCAATTGGCGAGTGGTGGTCTGAGACCCAGCAGATGCAGCAGCCGTTGGCGTATGACGTGAGTTCAAAGTCGTCATCGTCATCCCTCCGCTGCGGGGCTCTCCGCTGCTGCAGCGGTGTGTGTGCGGCATCGCGTCGCTGCGCACCCCGTTGCGTCGCCCGCTCCGCGTCGCTCAGCCCGCTGTACAGTATCTGCCGCGGCTTGGCGTCGGCCTGCGAAGCTCCGTCGCTCGTCAGCGCACGCTGCCGCAGCTGAGGATGCACGCGTGTAGGCGGCGGCTGCGCTTTCTGCAGAGTCTCCTGCAGACCATACGTCCGTTGCTGGCTCACGAGGCGCTGCTGCTGGTCGCTCATGAAAGGTGCTATGCTGCGGCCAAGTCCTGGTTGTCCAGCCGCCAAAATCCTTGCCACGCCACGTGGAATGAAGAAATGCCACGCTGCGTCGAGTCGCCCTGCCTGCCCCGGCCGGTCCAGACAGAGTACGACCCTCTGGCCGGCCACTCTCACTCGATGGCACCATGGAGTTGCCAACTCGCAACAACAAATCCCAAGGAGCTCCCAACTGGCTGCACACGCTGGCCTGTCTGCAAAACTCTTTTCGGCTGCAGCTCTGATTAGGTCTCCCACACTATTCACTACCTGCCTGCCTGCCTGCCTGGCTGCCTTGCCTGCCTGCCGCCTGCACGGTGCCTCAGCAAGGCTCCTCCAGACCCAAAGCCGAGTGCTTCACTCGGGTGGGTGTGGGTGTGGTGTTCTCTCGAGGTTCTCGAGGTGGATATCCTTTGGCCGCGTTGGGTAGCGAGGATTGGTGTGACGCGATCCACGCAGGCGTGGTTTCTGGCGGCCGACCGTCAGTGCACGGAGTTGCCCCTTCTCCGACTGCCCCGGCTAGTTCACCACACAGGGATTTTAAGGGTCCCCCACTTGCAGGAGCAGGATCGCGAGCGCGAAATTCTTTTTTGAGCTAGCCTTCGATGTTAATAAAACAAGCGAAGGGACACACACATGACACTGCACACACAAACGCACCGCACCGCACCCCGCACCCCGCGCCCGCCGCCCCCCCCACCGCCCCGCCTAAGGTGGGAAAGAGATGAGGAGATGGGACAGCGAAGGAGGAGCCCAAACACGTATGGGAGGGTAAAGTTGTGCGTCACGCTGCCCGGCGTTTCCTGGGCGTTTCTCACTTTCCGGGACAGCCCCGCCCTTGCGAGGCAGGAAGGTGTGACGACTACCCCGCACGCCCTGTTGCTTCTACCCCTTCGCCGACCGCCCATCCCCCCCCCCTCGCGCCTCGGCGAGCCGATGTGCGATGATCGTCGAGCCTCTGTCCTTCCTGCGCGCCCCCGAGCTCCCCCCACCCACCCACCCACCCACCCACCCACACACACACACACACACACACACACACACACACACACACACACACACACACACACACACACACACACACACACACACACACACACACACACAGCCGCCGCCGCGGAGCGCCGCGAAGCGGCACACCGCTCCAAAGAAAACTGGTTCGCATGCCGATGGCGGCGCCCGTGCTGTGAGAAAGGGTGAGAGCACTTGGAGCACTGGACAGTGCGAGGCCTGAGCACTGCGGCCTGTTGATGACGCCTCTGAACTCCTTGCTGCCGCTGTTCCCACCTATCCGTCTCCGTGCGTCGAGCTCCGACTGGTTCGCCAGCCCAAAGTTTGCTCTGCCTCACGGAAGCACTCCGGTGTTCTCGTGGGCGCCGCAGCACACCGACCGTGGTTCGGTGCAGGCCTCCTTCAACCTGACAATCTGGAGCGCAGTGGGACGCGTCGTGTGGAGTGGCGACGCGGCCTCGAGCCAGCCGCGCATGCGCTACCCTCCCGATGCACCACGCCTCGAGCCGGGAACTTACGTGTGGCAAGTCGCCACCCGCGAAGCCGACGGGAGGATCTCGCCGCCCAGCGCTCCTTCCGCCCTCCACGTCGCCCTAGGGCACGGGGAGTGGGACGGCGTCCCGTGGCTCGGCTCCGCGTCGAAGAATGTGTACAGCACGACCTTCGACTGCCCGGCCGGCGCAGTCACCTCGGTGCTCTACATTTGTGGCCTCGGCTACTCGCGGGTCGAGCTCAACGGCCACGTCCTCAACACGCTCACGACCGCGCCGTGGACCCAATACGCGTACGTGAACGGCTTCTCTACCCTGGACGTCAAGGACCTCCTTCTGGTCGGCGAGCCAAACCGCCTCGTCGTCTCTCTTGGTCGGGGCTGGCGCGACCGGACGGCGTTCCGCATCCTCAAGGGCGACGACGTGGCTTCGGACGGGAAGGTCGAGCGCGTCGTGCGAGCCAAGCTAGTGGCCACGCTGAGCACCGGAGATTCGGTCGCCCTCAGTCACACGGGTGACGGCAAGTGGCACGCCGCAGCCGGCCCGACGACGGCAGATTCCGTCTACAATGGCGAGGAGTACGACGCCCGCGTGGCGGAGCGGCTCGGGGACGGGCCGCACAACGCCATCTCCCCGGAGCTGTGGTCGAAAGCGGCGCCGCTCGACGAGGGAGACGCGCCAGCGGGCGTGATGACGGCTTGGGCGGCGCCCGCCGTCACCGTGACCGACAGCATCGCGCCAGTCGCCCTGACCAACCCTCGCAAGGGGCTGTACGTGGCTGACTTTGGACGGAGACTGACGGGCGTGGTGCGGCTCAATCGCATGATTTGCAAGGAGGGCACGCGAGTCATCCTCCGCCACGCTGAGATCATGCAGCACGCCGGCCTGCCCGACGTCAAGACGGCGGATCCGGCGATGATCTACGTCGGCGAGCTGCGCGGTGCGAGAGCCACCGACGTCTACACGTGCAGCGGCCGCGCGGGAGGCGAGACGTGGCAGCCGTCGCTGACGTACCACGGCTTCCGATTCGTCGAGATCAACGTCACGAACTCAGGGGTGCGCCCAGCCGCTGCGATGCTGACCGCGTTGCACTTCCACTCGGGCGTCGCCCTGCGCACGCACGCGCACTTCAACTCGACGACGCTCAACCGCATGCAGCACCTGGCCGTCTCCGCCCAACAGTCGAACCTGCAGACGATCCCCACGGACTGCGACCAGCGCGACGAGCGGCTGGGGTGGATGGGCGACGCCAGCCTAAGCAGCGAGTCGATGGCGCTCAACTTCGAGATGGCGCCCTTCTTCTCTTGGTGGGTGCGGCACGTCGTCCTCCCCGAGCAGCGGGCGGGCGCGCTGCCCGACGTGGTGCCGTTCGTTCGGTACGGCGGCAGGCCGGCCGACGTCTCCTGGTCCGCGGCGCTGCCTTCGGTGGCGCACGCCGTGTGCGACGTATACGGCGACACAGAGACGTACCGCGAGGCGGCCAGCGCGATCGCAGCTCTGGTCGATGAGGTGGGAGTCGAGGCAAGGGCCGGGCTGGGCAAGATGCGGACGCCGTATGGGGACTGGTGCCCTCCGCCGGCGCGGATGGGCAAGGGGCAGGGCCGCAAGCCGAGCCCTCCACTCACGTCGGCCTTCTCGTATGCGCTCATGGTGCAGCAGGCGGCGGAGCTCGCGCGGGCCGCTGGCAATGCCTCCGAGGGGGCCCGCTACGCGAGTCTCGGTCGCGAGATTGTCTCCAACTTCCACACCGCCTTCTACGTTGGCAACGGCACCTTCGACACGAGCGGCACGCAGACTGCGAACGTCCTTGGCCTCGCGTTGGGGGGTGCTCCCGACGTCGGCTTGGCCCGGCGGCGGCTCCTCTCCCTCCTCCGCGCCAGGCGGACGCACTACGACACGGGAATTGTCGGCTTCAAGTTCCTCTTCGACGTGCTCGACCAGGCGCAGGCGCACGACGCCGCGCTCGCAGTGCTCTCGCAGACCGACTACCCATCGATCGGCTACTACTTTGCAAACTCCCTCGAGCCGGCGACTGCGAACCTGTGGGAGCTGCCCGACGCTCCTGCCGAGGGGACAGGGATGAACTCACGCAACCACCATATGTGGAGCAGCTACTCGGCCTACCTCGTCAAGTCCGTGGCCGGCCTGCACCAGCAGGCAGGCACACACGGCTTCCAACGGCTCGAGCTGCGCCCGAGCGGCGCGTATGCCCTCAGCGGGGCATCCGTGACCGTCGACCTGCCCCACGGCACGGCGCGACTCAGCTGGGTCCGCTCGGGCGGGCGGCAGCACGACAAGGTGAGCGAGGGCGAGACGGCTCGCCTGTCTTGCGGCCCATCGGGAGGTCGGATCTCCGCCGTCTCGTTCGCTTCCTTTGGCACGCCATCGATCGGCTCGCCGAGCGATTTGCCCTCCGACGGCCGTCGTTCAGACGGGTTTGAGACCGACCCAGCCTGCCACGCCCTTCGCTCCAGCCAGGCAGTCGCCGAGGCGTGCGTCGGTCGCAACTCGTGCGAGGTACCAGCAACTCGCGTCTTCTTCGGCGAGCGGGGCTCTCTCTTCTGCACGACGCGTCGCGACCCGCTCGCGAGCCCTCTGCGCCTGTGGCTGACGGTCGCGTGCGAGGTGGCCGCCGACTCGCTCCGTGTCGAGGCTGGCGTGCCTGTCGGGTCGACGGCGCGGCTCCTCCTGCCCCTCCGAGGGATGGCAACTCCCCACCTGCGCGAATCGGGGCGCTCAGTCTACCTCGCCACCGACCCGAGCGCATCTAGTGCTGCTCGCAAAGCCAACAGGCTGGGCTCGGTTCAGCTCACCGAGGACGAACGCACTGGTCGCATTCTCGCCGTCGAGTTGCCCTCGGGCCTGTTTGACTTTGACTTGTCCGACGCAGCGACCCCCCGGGCTGCGAGCAGTGCGACGGAGGCAGCGATCAGCGTGTAGAGTAGGGTCGCGCCCGCAATGTTTACACCAGCTGATTTCCTGCAGACACACTATATCACTATTGAGTCTGGAGTCAGGAGAGAAGCGTCGGGTGTGTGTACGTTCGTACTGAGATGAAATAAAAAGTTTAAACGCGCAGAAGGCAGAACGTCTCACGAGTGTACTGTCCCTCTCAAGAACATGCCTACTACTTCCAATCCTCAGGGTCAAGCGAGAAGTCTCCCAGAACGGCTGTGCCGCCAAGATCGACCTCGATTTTGCCTGAGGTTTGAAGCGTTGGCACCTCGCCCGAAAAGTCAGCGGCAGCTTTGTCCGGATCCCGGTAGCAGCAGCTCTTTGAGCATAGTGCGCTGGAGCACGCCTGCCCACTCGACGAGCGCGCGCAAGGCTTGCACGCGAAGAGGTCGAGTGCGACCCCAGCGAGCACGGCCGGGAGAAATATCGTAGTCTGCCACACGCACTTTGGAGAGAGCGCGCCGCACTTTATTGTCGTCTTGGCCGCGTCTTTGGCTGCGCCACCCGCATCGAAGTTAGGTACCTGGATAACCTTGAACTTCCCCTTGTCGAAGCGCATGATGAGGGGGTCCTTGACGCTCATGCACTCGAGTATCTCCGTGGCGAGGTTTTGCAGCAGCGTGTCCTCCACCCAGTCGGGGAGGTTCATTCCGCTGAAGAAGAGCTTGATGTCGAGGTCCCACCGGAGCTTCGGCTTGCGAACCACGTAGAGCTTGATTGTGAAACCGAGCTCGGGCGGCGGGTCGAGCGCGAACTCAACGCGCAACCGAGCGTCGTCGATCGCAAGCAGCTGGTCCGTCGCGGTGAGGTCGGGAACAAACCAGGTCTCGCCCTCCAGCTTGATCTTGATCTTGGAGGACAGCTCTGCCTGCAAGCCCAGATCGAATTCGGCGAGGTAGAGGTGCAGCTTGTCCTTGTCTTCCACGCTGGCGATGATGGTCGCATCGTCTGGCCCCATGCGCGAAGACTCTTTTGGCTCGGCAACCTTCACGTTGGCAAGTCGTATGGCCATCGTCTTGAAGATGTCGCCGGGATCCAACTCCTCCCCCTCGGCGAACGCGACCTTGAGCCGAGCGTAACCCCCGAGGTCAAACCCGCCACCCTGCTTTGCCGTCGCTTTCCGCGCCTTGAGCTCGGATTCGATCTCCTTGGCCTCAGGAGTCGTGAGGTTTGCCTTGACAACCCCGCCGTACTGGAGGAGGGCCGCCGCCTCGTCGCGCGGGTGGCCCAGGTCCATGAGATATTGGAGTGTCGACGCATAGTTCACATCCTTGGCGCGGTCGCCCCACCTCGCGATCTGGACGTTTGTCGTCAGCGCCTTGGTACAGGCCACCGACAGCTCGTGCCGGATCGTCTCGCGCCACAGCATGACCATCTGAATCAGTCGTGGCGCGCTATTGCATGGGTACTCATTCCCGAACGCTGACAGAACGGCATGCTTGGAGGGGTCTGGCGCTGACTTGATGGGGCTAGACGGGCCCGCTGGCTCGGGGGCGGGGACCATCCCAATGTCTGCACCGGCTTTGCCAGAACCCTTGCCACAGCTGCAGCAGCTGCAGCACCGACATTGCTGAAAGCAGTGCAAGACGGCTCGCCACGCGTCGCCAAGGGCGTCGCCGACTTTTGCGACAGCGTCCTTGCAATCACCGCAGCCTCCCATGCTGTCGAAATCGGCGAGGAGGGTTCTCGGCCCGGCGTCCGTCCGTTTCGGCGGGGGTTTTGCCTTCGTTTTTTTTCAGACTACGACGTACGAACAGCAAAAAAAAATATACGAGCAGGGTACGGGGCCGCCGCGGTGCTGGGTGGAGGCCCGCGCCATCCCAGGGACGCAAGCACGCACGTCCGTACGGTGTGAGCAGGGACGCACGCTTGCTTTCAGCGTGAAGAAGGGAGGAGCGCCGCGTGCGGCGATTGAGCGCCCTCCCTCTCTCTCCGGCTGCGTGCCTGACTGACTGACCGCGCGCGACAAGGTTTTTGCTCGCCTTCCCTGGGACCCCGTGTTGCGTGTCTGACTGTCACTGTGCTGTCGTGCGATTTCGGGCCCGGGGTTGTGCTTTTCCGAAAAGGCTTTTGTGTTTTTTGTTTGTTGAAGAAGTGTGAGGCCCGAGCGCCGAGGTGCGAGGAGCGAGGTTCTTTCTGGATTCTGCTAAAAAAATGAGTCGGGCAGGGCCATGAACCCCAAGAGAGAGAAGAACATCTGAATCCTGTCGCAGGAAGCTGGGTACGAGGACCTGCACAAGTGCCAGTGCGCGCCAGAAGAAAAATAAACCACAAGGAGGAATGGGAGGACGGCACGCCGCCACCACACAGGAATTTTTAAGTGCGCGCCAGTCCCGAAAAAGAAAAATAAAGAGAAGACGGATGAAATTCTTTTCTTGCGTGTCAACGAGCTTCATGCTCCTTCTCGGCTGTTCTGCACTCTCACCTCCCATTTCTCGCCGATCCGCGCTCGGAAGTCTGGCTCTCCCGTCGACGTTGGCACTACCGTCGGCGGCGACGCTTTCGCCCGCAGCCGCCTCGGCAGCAGTCGCCGGCGAGCGAGAGGTGGAGACGACGGTTGACGTCAGCCTCGGCCGCGGCCCGCCCACCCGCGTCACTCGCCGGCGGTACACGGGCGCGGGTGATCCTTCTTGGAACTACGCGCGCCGTGATCTCACGCCGGCCGTCTTCCGGGACTGGCCGAGCGATTTCCCGTACACCGGCGCAGACGACTTCAAGCGGCTCGACGAGGCGGTGGACACCGAGTTCTACAAGCTCCCGAAGCTGGTTTACCACATCGACGAGGGCGCCGTCGCGGCGCTGACGCACTTTTACGACGAGTCCATCCCTGATGGCTCGGACGTGCTGGACATCTGCAGCTCGTGGGTGTCGCACTTCCCGCGTGACTTCCCTTTGCGCATGCGCTCCATCGTCGGCACAGGCATCTCGGACCTCGAGCTGCAGTGCAACGACCAGCTCAGCGGACACGTGCAGGCGGACCTGAACGTCGCGCCGCGCCTGCCGTTCCCAGACCGCTCCTTCGACGTGGTCACGTGCTGCGTCTCGTTCGACTACCTCACTCGCCCACTGGATGTGATGCGCGAGGTCCGACGCGTGCTGCGGCCAGGCGGCTCCGTCCTCCTCTCCCAGTCGAACCGCTGCTTCTTCACCAAGGCTGTCGGCGTCTGGACGCGCGACATGTCGGACGCGGCTCACCTGCGCGTCCTCGGGACCTACATCCACTTTGCGGGCGGGTTATCGCCGCCGGCCGCCACCGACATCTCCGCGAGCGGGACGGGCACCAACGACCCCATGTACCTGGTGAGCGCGAAGCGCGAGTAGACGCGTCGAGAGTAGTATTTCGCGGCACTTGGAGCACCGGAGAGTCATTATGCACTTGGAGCACTTGGAGTGCATAAATAAATAAATACAACGGACATCCCAAGCTAGGGCTTGGTCGAGGACAGACACGTCCCCACCTTTGCAGGATTTTGCAAACTTGGAGTGCAGTCGGTAATCCGTCGCGTTTTTCTTCTTCCCCGATTGGCGGCCGGTGCGTGATTCGCGGACGCTGCACCGCTGCCCCGGCCACCAGGTGCTTTGCTGGTTGCCACGCGTTTACACACAATGACGCAGGAGGACGCCACCTTCTGCGCTGCTCGCTGGCGGGCGCTCTGCGGGCGGCTGGGCGCCGGCGAGCAGGCGTCGGCGGCCTGGTGGGCACGCGTGAGCGCCGCCTACTCTGGCGACGGCCGCTTCTACCACACGCTGCGGCACATCGGCCAGATGCTGCAGCTCAAGGACGCGCACGCTGCATCGCTAGCAGACGGCGACGCGGTGGAGCTGGCCATCTTCTTTCACGACGTGGTGTATGACGCTGCCGGCGGCGGCGGCGGCAAGAACGAGCGCGACTCTGCGCTCGTGCTCTTGGAGTTTTGTGAGAGCGCTCTCGGCGGCGGTTACGCGGCTGCGCAGCGGGTGGCGCGATGGATCGAGATGACCGCGCACCACCGCTGCGACGCGGAGACCGAGGCCGACTGCCGCTTCTTCATGGATTTCGACATGGCCATCCTCGCGGCTCCGCCTGCAGAGTACTCCGCCTACTCGAGGGCGGTGCGGCGCGAGTACGGGCACGTGTCGACTGTCGCGTGGTGCGTCGGGCGGGGCCGCTTCCTCTCCCAGGCCGCCGCCGCGGGCACCGCCGTCTTCGCCACCCCAGCCTTTGCAGCGCTCGAGGAGAGGGCGCGCTCCAACGCCCGCAGCGAGGCGGCGGCGCTGCGGCGGCGCCTGCTCGCTCTCTCCGCCGCCGCCCTCGCCGCCGCCTCTGTCGTCGGCCTCGCGCTTCTCCTCCCCGCCTCTCCGCCACGCACGTTCGCTCGCGCCGCCACGGCCGCCGCCGCCGCCGTCGCCGCCGCCGCCGCCGCCACCCGGTTCGAGCCGTTTCCGCAGCGCGACGGCGCCGCACGCGACGCGCGGCCGGCGTGCATCGCCGGCTCGTTCAACCCGCCGCACAACGGGCGAGCTGCGAGCCAGTGGTCCTCTCCCGCCGCCCGCCCGCCCTCTCACCGCGCTGTCGCGGCGGTGCAGGCACCTCGGCCTCGTGCGCCACCTCAGCTTGCGCCACTCGGCGGTGGTGGTGGTAATCGGCCACAACGCGGCGAAAGCGTACGCCGTCTCTCCGCTCGAGCGGCAGGCTCTCGTGCGTCAGGCCTGCGCCGAGATGCAGATCGAGAACGTGCGCGTCGAGTGCTCGGACGACTACATCTGGCGCGTCGCACGCAAGCACGGCGCGCCTCTCCTCTACCGCGGCATCCGCAGCTGGGCAAAGGACGGCCTCGCGGAGCGCTGGCTCGAGTTTCTCAACCTCATCGGCGCACTCCTCCCGCCCCGATTGCCGGCCGCCAAACGCCCCCATCACAGCACACACACCCCCCCCCCTCCCCCCCCCCCTCCCCCGCCCCTCTCCAGGCCCGCCCGCCCTCGCTCTGGCGCCGCCCCTGCGCACCTGCTTCCTCGAGGCCGACCCGCGGTACGCGCACGTCTCGTCGACGCTAATCCGCAGGCGATGCGCGGCGGCGGAGAGCGTCGCGGACCTCGTGCCTCCGAGCATTGCCGATGCCGTCGCGAAGCTGTATGGCTAGGCGGAATTGTCGATACAGAGATCATGGGACCCACACGGAGTCGCGGTGTGTGATCTTCACTCTTCACACGCAGCGCTCTCGACACACGGCCGAATTGCGGTCTCGTGTGCATATGTCGATATCGGCACACACGCACACCGCACCCCGAGAGCGTGCACATGTGCGATGTGGGCCAGCACAGAGCCACAAACCACAATGTGGGGCCAGCGGGAGCGCTCAGCGGTCAGCGAGATGGGACACACGGCACGCCGCGACACCGCCCCTGTTTTCAATAAAGTCTGTACTCTCACTGTGAGTACGAAACACTGTACACGCCCGACTACGAGGGCAACACTCGACTTGCTTTTTACTTCTGCTTGTCTGCGGCCGCACGTGCTGGCTTCGGGCCCGAGAGGAGGACGAACAAGCCGAGCAGCAGTAGCAGCCCCGCCCACATCTCCGCGGTGGTGTTCTTAGTCACCCAGTTCTTCGAATCTCTGGCAGCGCCTATGCCTGCTTGCACCATCACCGCCGTGTTTGCATCCACAAAGCGGAAGAAGTTCAGCAAGCCGGACACAATCGCCGCCTTGATAGTACCGCCCTCTGCCGCTGTCTCGTCCGTGTGGGTGCCTGCAGACATGCGTATTAGCCGATTCGACAGCAGCAGAGAGACTGCACAGCCAGCAGACAGCCGCGTCCAACGCGGAGGGAGCAGCGTGCGGCCAAAAAAAGTAATAGCGCCAGCGTTACGAAGGCGTGCCGTCCTCCCATCCCTCCCTTGGGTTGTCTGCTTTCTTTCTTTCTTTCTTTTTACGATGAGGCAGAGGACGACGCGCTGCAGGCGAGAGAACGACGAGAGTCGAACGACCGCGAGGTGACATGAAGGTCGCTCGCTGCGAGAGCCAAGAGTGGGCGTTCGCTAGAGTGTAGAGAGAGACTGCGACGAGAGAGAATCCACGAGAGGTCGGCCGGAGAGGACGCCCGAGGGCAAAGCGGGAGACGCGGCGCGAGAGCCGCACCACACTCCTTTTTGGTGACACGAGGATGATGATTGGGGCGGCGGCACTCTCCTCGACGGACGACGCGTCCGCGAGGCGCACTCCGCACCCGGCACCCGCGCACCCCCCGCGCTCTGTGTGGCGTGTGGTGGCGGCACGAGATGTATCTCCCATCCCGCCCTCAGTTTGCCTTACATCTTTCTTTTCACTTTTCTTCTGTGTTAGGTATGTTGTGGGCCAAAGATGTAGTCGTAGAGATTCCATACATGGAAATCTCTACGCAACATCGGAAGATCCTTGGACTGGTAGATCGTAGATGCCTTTTAGAGATCCCTTAAGTGGCAAATCTCCTGCCAAGAGAAGCAGTAGATTGAAGAGAACTGGTTCAGGCAAATCCTCTCCAGTGTAGATGCTCGAGAGGAGTCTGAGATGTCGAGTTGGTGCGTGCAGTCGCTTGTGATCTTGCGACAGAGGTGGAGATTCTGACTTCGCGCCAAAGGCGCCTAGAGATCGTGTGGGCCGACTGGAGATTGCAAAATGGCGCGAAAAGAGGGTGGAGATCCTTTTGCATTGTGAATGAATCCATAGCGCATCTCCTTGAAGGTTTGAGCCCCCCTCCTCCCCCGGGCCCCCGAATCGAGATTGGAGATTGGAGATTGGAGATGGAGATCGGAGATCTGACTGAATCAGATGACGACGTTGGAGATTGGAGATTGAAGATGGAGATCGGAGATCTGACTGGATCCGGCCCAAGATGTAGCGACGCTGGAGATTGGAGAGTACTGGAGAGATGGAGATCGGAGCCCCCCAGCCCCTTGGTGTCTCATCGATTTTTTTGTTTTGTTTTTAGATAAAGGTTCTGTGCGCGGACGGCCCGGGGAGCCTGCGGCGCCATTTTAATCTGCGCTCCTCTTTATGGCCTGCGGCGCCTGGCTTGAGCTTGGAAGTGTAAACGAGTCCGCCAGGGCGGTCTGCAAACACGGAGCGCGCTGCGCGGCGCGCGCGGTCTACGCCGAACTGGGGCGGTATCGTGGAACGTCGTGGTTCACGCTGCCCCAACTCGGCAAAGAAGTTCGCCGTAGACCGCGCGCGCAGCGCGCTCCGTTTACAGACCGCCCTGGCGGACTCGTTTACACTTCCAAGCTCAAGCCAGGCGCCGCAGGCCATAAGAGGAGCGCAGATCAAATGGCGCCGCAGGCTCCCCCCGGGCCGTCCGCGCACAGACCATCAGACCACAGTAACCCTTTTTATAAAAAAACATCTATCACACACCACTAGGGTGTGGGGGAGCTCCGATCTCCCCACCTCCAATACTCTCCAATCCACAGCGTCGTCATCTTAGGCCGGGGATCCAGTCAGATCTCCGATCTCCATCTTCAATCTCCAATCTCCAACGCGTCATCTTAGGCCGGATTCAGTCAGATCTCCGATCTCCATCTCCAATCTCCAATCTCCAATCTCGATTCGGGGGCCGGGGGAGGAGGGGGGCTCAAATCTTCAAGGAGATGCGCTATGGATTCATTCACACTGACCATCTCTCATCTCCAATCTCCAATCTTCTACTTGGCCACTGTCGCCGCCGGCAGCAATCTACGACCTCCATTTTCAATCTTCGATCTCACAGCTGGGGCGGATGGCTGGGCGCTAGGATCTACAATCTGCATTATCCATCTCCTATCTCCACATTTTGGCCCGTGTTGCTGCTCAGCGATCTGCAATCCACAATCTCAATCTTCGATCTTTAGTCTTAAATGGGGAACCGCGGACGGCATGTTGTGCGAGTATATGGGACACGATGTCTCAAATATGAGGGGTTTTGACTCCTACCGGCTCCTGACGCTATCCCTGGCAGCTCTAATGACCAGGATCAGTAGTGCTATGATAGAGGGTGCCCATACTAGCGAAGGAGCTGCCACACTCGCCCGGAACGTCCCCTTCTGGGGCCGGTTCTGCAGCCCGCGAGAGCCGACAGCGGGGCCGTGCCGCGGGTGCCTACTGCCGAGTGCCACAAACACTGCGCCGTCCCGCCATCACCTACAGGCTGTCTTGTGTGATGGTTGGGATGTCCAAACGCCACCATCTTGGCTCTTGCGACCTCAAACCCGCGAGCTGTATGGGTGGTCCTGACGTCGACAGACGCCCGATGACCACGGTGAAGCTGAGCCGGAACGAGTCGACAAGTCTCGTCTGAGCCCGTGGCGGTCGCCGGCTGAGTCGCTGTGCACGGGCCGGTACCTCAGGCGTCACCTCCGCAGCCTCAGGTCTCACACTCCATCACCTCCGACGGGACGCCGTCGGTGGCACGCTCGGCGGCGACTTTGTGGCAGCCCCACAGCGAGCGCGGCATCGAGCCTACTCGGTCTGGTCGGTCGGCCGCACTCCCTGGGTGCCAGGGAGTGCGGCCGACACGCGAGCGGTGCTTCCTGGCGGCGCGCGCCGGCTGTGGGGCTGCCACAAACTCGAGACACGCTTTTTGGGACATTTTCGACGCTTTTGTCCCATATACTCGCACAACATGCCGGACAGGAGGGATCCTACTGGCGAGACTTGGGCGTGTCCGTGTGAGAGATCCGCTAGGATCTCCAGTCTAAACCTACTATCTCTCCCCCAACGATCTCCTGTTCTTGCGTAGAGATTTCCATTACTCAGAGATTCCTGTCAAATGTCGCAAACCGCGCACACAGCCCACACGGGATAGGAGGAAGCAACATACCCTTGTGCCTTGAACATAGAGTATACCGAACAAAATCTCTCTCAAGAGTTAAGTTCTCCATAAGTGCTCCAAGTGCTCTCACCCAGTCAGTAATGAACACCAAAAACCGCGCTCAAGCTGTCTCTATCGGCCGCTGCAACTCACTTGGGCAGGTCGAGTCGAGCGGCCTCGCCGTGGACACTGTATGCGTTGTAGGCGGCAAAGCCGAAGTTGATGAGGGAACCGATGAGCATGCCGTGGAACCACTCGAAGTCTAGTTGCCCGCAAATTGTGCCAAAAAACGTGTTGTCGCAGCGGCGGATGAACCAGACGAAGCTCAAACAGGTAAGGACGAAAGCGATGATGCAAGCGACTCCCGCTCTCTTCCACTGCTTTTTCCCGAAGGCCAGCAAGCCAGCTGCAACGCCGGCAAGTGTGGCAAGGAGGACAAGTGAGAAGGATGCGGCAACTTGCTTGCCGTAAGGCGTGTCCATCCATTGCTCTTGGCTGAGCGGAAATCCTAAGTCAGGCGGCATCCAGTCCGCTCCAACCTTGCCAAGGAATACGATCAAGAGAATGCAAGCGATGGCGACGTTGGCGTAGAAGCCGTACGTCGAGGCCTCCTGAGACGACACCATACCGGTTAAGAGCGGAGCAGCGAGCAGCTGTTGTGCTCAAGGCGGCGGCTTGGGGCCAAGGAGCGGGCGTCTCGAAGGCGGGATAGTAAGGGGAGGATGGGCGGGTTTTTTCTTTTTAGTTTCAAGCTTGCGTCCTGGGCGAGGCGAGGCAGGGATCTCGGCGACGTTGGAGAGCGGGCGCACGATGTGGGCGACGCCCGTCCCCCATGTTTTATTTTTTTTCATTTTCCGCCGGCGCGCCAAGCACAAACAATTGCTAAAAATCTTTGCGTCTCTCTCCGCCAAGCCACACGCCGACACAAATCAGAGACGGCATTCCTCCGCGCCAGCCGCACCACGCCTAAAAGAGAGGCCACCCGATGTCCTGCACACTACTGCTAGCTCCTCTGCTCTGCGCGGCCGCTCCGAGTACACTCCGCGTCCGCCTCGAGCAGTGCGCCTCTCGTGGCCACGCCGGTTTGCCGTCGGTCCTGCTGCTGGCGGAGGATGACAAAGGGCCGGCCGGCTCGTGTGCCATCGCCGCTCTTCGAGTCTGCGCGGACGGCTTCGTCGACGCGGCAGCCGTTGCGCGGCCATTTCTCTCCGCTCTGTACGTGGAGCCCCGCTGCCGCAGGCGCGGCGTCGGTCAAAGATTGGTGTCGGAAGCCGAGATAGTGGCGCGCGGGTGGGGATACGGCTCGCTCTGCCTGCACGTTCACGAGCGCAACACCGCTGGGATGCGCCTCTACGAGAAGCTAGGGTTCGCGACGGTCGAGGACGGCAGCGCGAGCTGGCGGGACTGGTCACTCTGGCACAACGACGAACCATCGGGCGTGGGGTTCGCATGGCCGTCGGTCGGGCGGCGCGTCTACATGGAGCGGCTCCACGCTGGCGAGGAAACGCTCGCGCGGGGCAGTGAAGAGCGTGAAAGCTCCGGCACTTCCCCACAGGCCGGCTGAGGAGCGTGCTGCAACGGGAGGGTAATTTTTTGAGGCGATTCGCCTCGTTATTTCCTTCTGTCTGTGTGTGTGTGGCCGGGAGTACACGGGCGCACGTGAGCGCGCTGCCTCGCATGGGTCTGTGTGTGTGGGCTCTCTCTTTGTTTTGTTTGTTGCTGCTGTGTGGTGCCGTGCCCGTGTGGGGGGTTTTCTGTTTCTTTTTCGCGATGGCGGCCGTAACAAATGTCCTCTGCAGCTCCTTCGGCTGCATGCTCCTCGGTCTGGCCGTGGCACGGCTCCAGTTGCTCACCGAGGCCGGCTGCGGCGCCGTCGCAAAGCTGTACGCCAAGCTGGTCTTCCCGACAATGGTCTTTTCCGGCGTCGCCCTGATCGACCTCTCGGCAGTCGACCCAGCCGTGGTGCTGGTGGCTGCGGGCTCCAAAGCCATTCTTGCGGCGCTAGTCACGTGCTGCGGGGTCGCCGTGCTCCGCGCCGACAAGGGCCGGGCCGCGGTCGCGCACGCCGCGGCGTGGGCGATGGCCGCCACCCACTCGTTTGACGTCACGCTCGGCGTGCCGCTCGCTCGCGCTCTCTTCCCGGGCAAGGTGGACTACCTCTACCTCAACCAGACGGCGCAGCTGGTGCTGATTAATCCACCGCTCCTGATCCTGATGCAGCTCGGCGGCGGCGGCGGCGGCGGCGGCGCCGTGCTGCGCGGCATCGCGCGAGAGCCTCTCGTGGTGATGACCGTGCTCGGCCTCGCGTGCGGCCGCGGCTTCGGCGGGGTGCTCCCGCCGCCGCTCGCCGCGCTGAGCGGGCAGGTGGCCGCCGCAGGCCCACTGCTGGGCAACCTGGCGCTCGGCTTCGCGATGGCGCGCGTGGGCGGCACCACCGCCGCCGAGGCGAGAGCGTCGTGCGCCCTCTGCGCCGCGAAGCTCGGCGTGATGCCCTGCCTCTACGTCGGCGTCGCGGCGCTGATCGGCTGCGACGCGCCCTCCGCCTTCCTTGTCTTCCTCGGCTCGCTGCCCGCCTCCGCCTCCGTCTACTCGCTCGCCCTCGTGCGCGACCTCTCCCCGCGCGTCATCGGGCCGCTGGTGCCCGCCTCCATCCTGCTCTCCGTCGCGAGCATCCTCCTGCCGCCGGAGGCCCGCTCCGCCGTCATGATCGCCGCGGCGCTGCTCGCCGCCGGACTGGGCGCGATCTACTCGCTGCGGGCAAAGGGGAAGGCCGACTGAGATGGGATCCGTGGGGGAGTGTTTTGGGTATCGCCGCGCCCTGCCTCGACTTCGGCGCACTTTGAAACCAACCCGACTTTGATTCGTCAGAGCTGTCTTGTGGGATTAGGTTAGGAGGACGGCAATACGCAGCAGACTCGCGGTGTGACCCTTTGAGCTTTGTCGCGCTCGTGCGTGTGTAGTCAGGTGTGTGTGTAGTGTGAGCAGAGCGAGCCTGCGCTTTAAAAAACGTATATATATCGTTCCGAAGGCTGCGCGCGAGCGAGCGAGGCGCGGGCGCTCGAGAGTGTGTCGAGAGCGACGAGAGGCGAGAGCGCGCGGCGGAGAGGATCTCACAGTAAAGTCTCCAGGCGTCCAGCATGTTGGATGTAACGCAGAAGTCGACGGCCCAGCTACAGTGCAGTGTACAAGCGAACCCCACAACACACCCCGCACAGCGTAACACATGGCACACCCCATGTACCCCACCAATACATCCACGGCGCGGTTGTCCTGTGTTAAACAGGGACTCCGCCGTCGGCAATGAGGCCTGCGGCCTGCAGAATCTTGGCCACGCGCATCACCCCGGCCCTCCCACCAAAGTGTATGATGTCGGTGTACTCGGCCTCCGTCGCTGCGAGCTCCAGCGCGTTGGCATAGTCTTGTCGCTCCATGTGGTAGTTGAGGTGCTCCAGCCGGTGCGACTCCATCGACTCGTTGAGCGCCCGCACCTCCTCCTCCGTCACGACGAGGTCGAGCGCCGTCTCGTACTCACCCGTCGCCGTGTGGTACCTCAGCCAAGTCTGCCGACACTCTTCCTGGTACTCCGCCTCTGCGCGCACTACACGCTCTCGCTCACTGGGAGTCTCGGCGAGCTCCGCTGCCTGTGCCAATAGAGGGGGAAGGGTCAGCGCGGCTGGCTCAGCGCGGGTGCGAGATTTTTGTCCAGCGGGCGCGCCTGCTCGAATTGGCCCTCCGATATCAAGTAGTTCATGTACTGGACTCGGTTCAGCTCACGGTTCACCTCTTCCCCGCCCATGTCGTCGTTCCCGCCTTCGCTGGCCGCCTCGGCACACGCCACGACTTCCCGGCTCCGATCCTCCTCGCTGGCTTCGGATGTCTCATCCGACCAGATGCTCTCCTGGTCCTCCGCACGGCTGTACTCGCCCTCGCTCCTCCCCACCATCCCACCCTTCCGCTTGCCGTTCCCAAGCCGTCCTGTCAAGCCAGGCCAAGTAAGATCGGAAATAAAAAGAAATATATCTGCCCCATGTCCGATTTCTCTTTCCCAATGAGCCTCCGCTGTGAGGGACGAATGACCTCGTCCGCGTGCTTGCTGCTGCTCGGCGGCGCGACCGCGCTGCACGTTGGGCCTCGCGCCGTGCGCTCGCCCGGCGCGGCGCGGAGCGTCAGCACCATGGGCCTGTTGGACGGCCTTGCGGAGGCGACAAAGCACCTGCCGATCCAGCAGATGATCGATCAGCGGGTGGCCAAGGTCTCGCACATCCTGATGAAGCCGGGAGGCTCGATGACCATCGAGGAGGCGCGCGCGCAGTTTGAGGCCTGGAAGGTGGAGATCGGCGGCGACTCCGACAAGTTCGCCGAGGTGGCACGGCGGGTGTCCGAGTGCGAGCAGACGAGCGAGAAGGGCGGCGACCTCGGATATTGCACGCGGCTGAAGCAGCTTCCGCGCCAGATCGACGACGTGGTCTTCGTGAAGGAGCCTGTGCCGGGCGTGTACGGCCCGATCGGCACAAAGCAGGGGCTGCACCTCGTCTATTTGCATTCGTGCGGGGAGCCAATGGGCCGCACTGAGGCGCTCTTCGACCCGCCAAATAGCTTGAAGGAGAAGCTGAACCAGGTGGGCAAGTAGCAGCGGGGCCTGTACTCTCGGTGGGTTGGTCGGCATGCGGGGATTGCACAGACTATCGTACACGGGCATCGTCGCGTTAACCCCTGCGCGTAAAATACGAGAGTCGAGACGACAGCGTGTTTTTTACGGTGTACGCCGTCGCCGTGACCGCTGTGGGGACGCGGCGGGGCGTGTATGAGGTGTGTGGGACCGGCTTCGTGCTCGGTTTCATAAAGCAGACACTCAGGTCGGAACCGGGCGAAACGCCTTTTTGGAATCGTGCCAGCGGTGAGCAGTGTCCGGGTGTTTTGTTGGGGCAGCCTGAGCGTGAGCCTCGCCGTAACCGCTAACCCGTGTATCCCGTATGAATGTCCCGTGTCGCGAGAGGGAAGGGTGCGACACCGCCGTGGCTCGGTGTCAATCGTCCTTGAGTTCTCGGATCGATCTCCGGATCTCCGCCGCCGTCGCTGCCGCATCCACCGCGGGCGGCCGGACGGCCGCCCCTTCGCACAGGCCCAGCGCCGCACGCGGACGAGGTGGCGCGAGGGCGGCGAGCTGCTGCTCGAGCCGCCTCACGAGTGCTCGACGTGCCGTCCGCTGCGAGCCAGCCATGTGGATCACCGACAGTCGGACAGGCCGCTTCCGAATGAACTGCACCGCGGTCGCCGCAGCGCGCGCCTGCGCCGCGTGCCTGCGCGGGACGCGCACGAGCGCAAACCCGGCCGGTGCGCAGTAGTGCCTCGCGGCCAGCCCCGAAACGCAGCCGAGCCCAGCGTCGCCAAAGAGGGCGCCGTAGGAGGCGCGCAGCGCGGCGGAGAGTTGCGATGCCGTGAGCCGCTCGACGTCCTCACCGAGCCGCTCGACGCGCAGGAGGAGGTGGCGCTCAGCACTGACAACCATAGCGCGTGGCGGTGCCCAGAGAGGCGCCTGCTCGTCGATAAAGGCGAACGCTGCTCGGACGAGAGGCCCGAGAACGAGGAGAGAGGCGGGGGGCGGCGCGCCGCCTTTTCTTTTCGAGAAAGCGATACACAAGAACACAAGGGGTGGAGGGGCCCGTCCGCGGAGCTAGGCGGTACGGGCGCCCTCCACTGCGGCTGAGCGCAAGAAGCCGTCCGCTGTTTGCTTGTTCGTGACCCAGTTGGAGAGAGAGAGATTTTCAATACCAAACAACTCTTTGTTGTTTCCCAGTTGGTGCGCATCTTGCGCGCCTGCTTGTTGATGTTATCGGCGTCGCCCGCCACCGCCGCCATGGAGATCTGCTGCGTGTGGTGGACGACGAAGGAGGAGGCGCTCGCCGACGCCGCCCCGTACACCGTCCGGTCCGTCGTTGCTGCCCGCCGCTTCCTTGGCGAACACGTGGAGGAACTGCTTGGTGGGCGGCGCAATGCCACCCAAAGTTTCCATCCACGAGCACCAGCCGCGTTATGGCTTTCTTGACCCACTTCGCGTCGTGTAGTACTTGCGCCCCCGTCCACTTGCAGCCTGTATTCTTCTTGAACCACCCGTCTCCATACGCGTGGTCTTACGTCTTTGACCCATCCCTTTCCAGTCGAGTGGTCGAAGCGGTCCGTCCACCTGACGGCCACGCTCCTTGCACCCCACGACCGCCGTCAACGCCTTGTCCAGCGTGTTTCCAAACCCGTAGAGGTGGCCCACCAACGCCACGCTGCCACCATTGTCCCACGAGCCCCTCCCCGACGTCGTCGACTTGATGAGAGGGTTCCAGCACTTGACCTCGTAATGCACGTCCCGCATCGTGGCGAAGTCACCGCCGAGCTCGCAGATGTCCAGTCACGGACGTGTCGTTGAGGTGCCGCGTCACCTCGGGCTTTTCCTTATCCCCGAGGATGATGCTGCCAACCGAGCGCGCCCGGATGGCATTCTGGGCGGCCCTTAGCACCCCATTGTGCTTGGAGGTGCGGTCGCCCTTGTTGGAATTGGCGAGGGAGTCGCCCACTTGTACTCACCCACCGTGACGTGCACGCCCGAGGCGGCCTTCTCGACGAAAGTGGGCGCAATCACCGACAAGTAGAGCCCGTGCCTGCGCTGTATCGCCGTCAGGAACATCGCCGACACCATCTTCGTGTGGTGGAGTCCATCAGGGCGCATGCGCGAGCCATCCAGCGGCGCCGAACTGGGAGATCGAGATGTAGCGAGTCGCCTCCCTGGACTTGATCGCCTCCGACTGCGGCGTGTTTTTGTCAATCTCCTCGCACGCCGCCAGGCACGCGATCCACGCTTCGTGGGCCCCGACAGCAGCGAGCGTGCCCTGACCCCTGTTTCGGGACTGGAGAGAGAGGTGCTCTGCTGCGTGAAGAGGTCGCCAATAGGCGGGATGCGCTGCGCCGACGGCAGCATGGACGGACAGAAGCGGCCAAGCTCGTACGTGTGGCATAGGCCAAACTCCTTGTCTTGTTCAGAGAGAAAAGAATTTGGAGAAGGGGAAAATGGAGAAGGGGAAAAGAGGTGGATGCTAGCATGAGCCCGATGCGTCGCAGTGCTCTTGCGTTTCGGCGGTAGTGATCTGATCACCCGAATGCCACGTTCGGATCGCTTCTCATCGCAAACCCCGTCAGCAGTGCTCGGGGATGTACTTAAGACTAGAAAAGAAAAGCGAAAAAAAAGTGCGGCGGGCACGTCGCGCCGCATGGTGGCCGCGCTGCGCCACTCGCCGCTGGCGCGCGGTTGATCGCGGCGCCGACTCCGCGGCGGCGCCATCTCACGCAGCGGGACGCGTCGCGTCGTCGGCGCCAAAACAGACGCGAGCTCGCGGCGCGGCCGCGGCAGCAAAAACATCAAACCGTCTACTTCTCCTTCTCTTCTCGTCTCGTCTTGTCGCAGGCGCACACGCGCGCGACGTGCGCACGTGTCGCCGCGTTCGCTCCGCGAAGGACGATTCGAACCGGGAGCCAGTCGGCGCAGCGGCGGCACGCGGCGGCAAAACGCACGACGCTCACCTCATGGAGATGCTGCGGCTTTGGCACCTCCTGATATAATGCTGATTTTTTGCTGAGCGGGGCGGAGGCACCGGGCGGCGGAGGCGGCGGCGGACGACGTCTACTACCTGGCCGTCCCCTGTGGTAGCTTAGCGATCAGGGAGGATCTACCTGTTCGGCCTCGAGGAAGCTGCTGGGGGAGAGGGGGGGAGAGAGGAGAGGAGGAGACGGGAGAGGATGAGAAGAGGAGAGGAGAGGAGAGGAGAGAGGAGGAGAGAGGAGAGAGGAGGAGGGGGAGAGGAGAGAAGAGGGTGGGGGGTGAGAGGGAGGGAGGGAGGGAGGGAGAGAGGGAGGAGAGAGAGAGGAGAGCCTTTGAGCCTTGGCACCAGCCAAGCAGTTGATTTGGCCCTGGCACCAGCCTTGGCAGTTGATTTGGCCTTGGCACCAGCCTTGGCGGGCGGGCACGCGGGACATGCACAGGCGCCAAGGGGCGCAGCGCCGACAATCACGGCGGTGATTGCGGCGCAGGTGGGGGGACGGGAAGTCCGTCGGCGTTTCCGGGGGCCCAAGGAAGCGCGAGGGAAAAATTCCGCCGCTGAGGGCGCTCGTGCGGCAATAGCCGGGTGGAGGGGGGAGCGTGCCGGACGGGGCGTCGTCGCGCCGTCCGATGGTCTGCTGCCCCGCGCAGCAACCGTCGGGCGACGACCCGGGGGCCAAAAACCCGGCGACGACGGCGCTCTGGATGGGGCGTGACCTCCTGCCTCCAACCTCCTTCCTTTTTTGAGCAGGTGTGACGCCGCGCGAGCGACGCTCCGAGATCGCCCGAGATAGCGCGGCGCGGCCCCGAGATCGCCCGAGATTGCGCGAGATCGCCCGAGATCGCGCGGCGCGGCCCGAGGCGAGGTGGATGGGCTGGGAGCGAGGGGGCGGAAGTGCTCAGTGCGGTAGATGGTCAGCTCGAGGCGCGTGAGCCGGACTTGTGAGCCGGACCACCCCCTCTTGAACCCTGCGTTGTTGAGCCAGGACTCAACATACTCGGGCTGTCGCCGTCCCAAACTGTCACTCCCCTCTCTCCCGGCCGGGGTGGGGCGCGCGCGGGGGCGGCGGGTGTGCGGGATGTCTGTGGGGCCGAGAAAGAAAGAAAGAAAACGGACAACCCAAGGGAGGGATGGGAAAAGAAAGAAAGAAAGAAAACACACAACCCAAGGGAGGGATGGGAGAACGGCACGCCGCCACCACACAGGGATTTTAAAGGAGGGATCTACCCTTATAAGTCTCTCGTGTCGGCGCCGACGCTCTTTTAACGTAGAACGTCCCAGCTGAACACGAGAACACCGCCCGCCGACGATCGATCAGTCCACAATCGTCGGCCCGCAGCGACCCGCAGCGATGGATGCCGCCGCCCCCCCGGCCCCTACGGCCGACGCGCCGATGCACGACCGGCCTCCGTCGGACGGCTCTCCAGCCTCTCCGGCCGCTGCCGCCCGCGCTGCTGCCGATCCAGTCCCTCTCACGCTCAGCGATACCCGCACAACCTACGACAACTTTGAGGTCGCCGGCTTTGGCCAGGTGCAGCCACCACCTGCTTGCCTCCATGTTCACGCTTCGCGCCCCTCCCCCCCCGCTGACGCCGCCGCATGACCTTAGGTGAGGGGCACGACTACCCGCCTGGAAGGCGCTCTCATCAGCAAGTCACCCAGGCACCAACTCCTGGGCGTTTACGCTTGACTGCGAAACCATGCAGTGGATGCAGCTCGATCAAAACGGCGACGCCAACAGCTGGCCCCTGGGCGAGTTCCTTGCGCTCAGGATGAGGTGCGAGCCATGATGCTCGACTATCAGCGTGCACCAAGTCGCTCACATTCCGTGAGTTCGTCAACGGGCCGAACACACTCTCCAAGTCGACGGCGATCTCGAACTCCGACAACTGGACCGGTGCACCAGCCACGGAGGACGATGGCTCCCTCGACGACATCCCTTCATCGACGGACGCCTTCACCGCCGCCGGCCCTGGGCCATCCAGCGCGGCCTCCGACGGCCTGCACGTGATCGAGGTACAGAAACGGTGGCTGCCGCAGCTCACACCCTAATCTATCTGCCTTAGGCACGGAGCCAACGGAGCCATCGCGCATGCCCGCATCGCGTGCGGCTCCGAGGTCTCCCGCCAAGACCGGCTCGGCGCGGCGCGTGGCCGCACGCCGCCGTTGAAAAGGCGATAGGAGAGGGGAGAGCGCCGGCCACATCGAGCGAGCGCTGACGTGTAAGGTGTCTGCGCTGCTCCGGTGTGTGTGGGATTATGCCTCCCCCCATCTGTGCGGCGAGGTGTTTGCGGTGGGTGCGAAGGCCGATCGTGCGCGATAGCCTCCCATTGTGCGTGGTGTGTCGGTGTGTCGGTCGTCCGGAGCGTGTGGCGGCGCCGTTGCATGCAGCGACTCTGCTCACGTGCCACGACTGCTTTGACTGACTTATGAGTGCTGATGGATGATCTCCGACAACCCAAAACCAAAATGAAAATGCGGAGTGGCCCCACTTTGGCGTGCAGATCCTGCGTCTCTCACTGCCCGAACAACAGAGGCGGGTCCGCCGCAGGTCCCCCACTAGTGGGAGTGATATGCCATGTCCCGCCTTGCTTTGTTTCCAACATCGAAGGCTAAGCTCGAAAAGAAAGGTGCGGAATCGCCACAATCGACTCTCCAGCGCACATGCAGCGGGTGCGCCCGCCCGAATTTTCAGGCACAAATGTTGGGCGGTGCCCCTCTCTCACTGACCCCTCCCTCGCCGACTTCCTCGCCGAGCACGGCCTGCAAAGTCTGGAGGAGCCGTTGGCGGCGCGCGTCGGCAGCCTGGACGCGCTGGCGAGGTGCTCTGATCTCAAGGAGCTAGGCCTGAAGCTCGGCCACCGCCTGCGCCTGCAGAAGGCATTTGCGACTCTCTCGGTGCTGCGAAACGTCCGGCTGATCACGCGAGCAGTCGAGGAGGGCACACTGCTGGCGTGGGAAGCAGACGGCGAGACCAAACTGCGTGCGGACCTCAGCGATCGCTGCTCTCAGGCCGCGCGTCTGGTTCCGCAAGGCACGCTCCTGCGCCGCATGCAGTTCACAGCGATCAGCAGTGACCGAGCGACAGGCAACGATTGCGACCAGGCGACAGGCGAATACTGCGACGAGTGCATCGTCGGCTGCGCCGAGCTTCTCCTCGTCCGCAGCCCGCTACCGCCGCCGCCTCTGCCACCGTGCAGGATCTGCCTCGAAGTCACGGAGGAGGGGTCGTTTGAGGACGACGAGACGCTGAACGCTGGAGTCTTGGCCGCCCTTCGCGCCAATGGCCTCGTGGTCGACTCCTCCGCACAGGAGGGTGCTCGGCTGCTGCGTGGTCGCCTGCTGCACGACGCGTGCGCCTGCCGAGGCAGCGCTGCCGCGGTGCACGAGGGGTGCCTGGCGTCGTGGCTCGTCGCCTCGCGCCGGTTTGGCAACCACACGTGCGGCGAGTGCAAGCAGCCGTACGTCGGCCGCGCCTCTCTGGTGCTCTCTCGAATCCACCAGCGGCTCAAGTCGGTCGAGGCGGCGGCGGCCGCGGCGCACGCCCAACGCACCGTCGAGGCGGGCGCCGCTCCGTCCGAGGGCGCCCGGGCGGCGCTCGAGGCGGACGCGCGCGAGATCGCGGAGCTCGAGGCCCGGCACAACGAAGCCGTGCAGGTGTGGCACGCGGGGCACTTCCGTGACGCGGCGGCAACGCTCGCCGCGCTGCTCGACACGCTCGAGGCGTCCGCCGCTTCCGCCGCCGCCGCGGCGGCGGCGGCGGCGACCGAAGACGAGGCTCAGGCGCGGCGACGCCCCGGCGGGCGACGAAAGCTCGTAGACACGTGCCTGACTCGTCCGAGAGCACGTCCCACCAGGCGCGGGCGGCGCTCCAGGCGGCGCGAGAGTCGCTCGAGCTCTCCGCCTCGCACAACCTCGGCCTCACCCTGCACGACAGCGGCAGCCAGCTCGACGTCGCCGCGAGCTTCGTTTCAAAGGCGTCGGCGGGCTTCGAGCTCCGCTTGGGGCCGGACCACCCAAACACGCTCAAGTGCCTGCACAATGTGGCCATGCTCACCGCCGCGGCGGGCAGCCTCCAGGAGGCGGCCGGGGTGTACGAGGGCGCCCTCGCCGCACGTTCGCGCGCGCTGGGCCCGGAGCACCCCGACACGCTCAAGACGAGCTGCAACCTGGGGCTGACCTGGCACCAGCTGGGAGAGCACGCCAAGGCGGTCGAGGTTCTGTCCGCCACCGAGGAGAGCGCGCGGAGAGTGCTCGGGCCGAGCTCGCCGGTCAGGCTCGCGAGCGCGCACAACCTCGCGCTGTCGCTCGCCGGCGAGGGCGTGGGCCGGCGGCGCGAGGGCATCGAGATGCTGCGCGCGGTGTGGCAGTCGCGGCGCGAGGCGCTCGGCCCGACGCATCGCGACACGCTGCAGACGTGCTGCGACTTGGGGCGGACCCTGGCGGGCGGCGAGGCGGCGCATCGGACCGAGGCGAGGGCGCTGCTCGTGACGGCGCTGGAGGAGGCAAAGGGCGCCCTCGGCGCGGCGCACGCGCTGCCGCGGCGCGTGGAGGCGGCGCTCAGGGCGGTGGAGGGCCAGGCGGCGTTGCCAGGGGCGGGGGAGCTGGACGAGGCGGAGGCCGAGCACTGGGCCGCCGTGCAGGCGGACCGGCGACCGGACGACGGGCTGCTCACCGCCCTGCTGATGCACGTCTTTGTGGCGCCCGAGCGGCTCGGCGGCCCGCCGCAGGTGCTGCGGCGCGACTTGCGCCGGCGCCTCCTCTCCGCCGTGCTGGACGCCGCCTGGGCCGCGGGCGCCACCGCCGTCGAGGCGCTCGAGGCGGACCTCGAGGGCTTTGAGGCGGTGCTTCCCCCGCGAGGAGACGGGGGGGAGCGGGCGGGGGAGGAGGGCGGCGGGGGCGGAGGCGCGGTCCGGTGCAGGAAGGTGAGGCCGCCCGAGGAGAGAGACGCAGGCGGGTCGGCGTCGATCGATCGTTCGAAATAAATAAATAAATAAAAACGGACACCTCTACTAGGAGATGGGTAAAAAGGAACAGGTCCCCGCCCTGCGGTCTTTGTGCAGGGTTCTTTGTGGGTGTGGTCGGCGACTAGCCGGGGTCGTCCTCCCGATGGGGGACTAGCACTAGCCGTCTTCCACATATGTCCCTCGATCGTTCGAGATCGAGGTCGACCTTGAAAATCTAGTTGTGCGTGCTTTCTGTTTCTCTCTTCTGTCTTTCACAAAGGAAAGGAAGAATTTTTGTGAACATCCACAGGGCGGGGACAGCGGTGGAGACACAAACATATGTCGGCGCCTAACTGCTTTCTCTCTTCTGTGTGTCTTTCCGACACACTTTCCGACACGTGCGACAAAGGAAAGGAAGAAATTTTGTGAACATGCAGGGCGGGGACAGCGACACACACATGCACATGCACATGCACATGTACATGTACATGTTGTGCATGTCCCTAACCTCTCGTCTGAGGTGCGAGCCCTGGATGGAGGCCCTGGGGATGGGGGGAGTTCACAGTAGGGTGATAAGAAACAAGAACCTCGCATGCGACGACTGTGAGGGTGTGAGAGACAGACCCTTCACACAGCCTTGTTATTGATTCAATAATGGTGTATTTCACAGCCTTGTTATTGAGAAGAAAATACGTTCACAGCCTTGTTATTGAGAAGAAAATACCTCCTATGGCGCTATGCGCTGGCCTGTGAGAGGTTGAGGTGCGAGCCCTGGAGGCCCTGGGGATGGGGGGGGACTACCCGCGGGCTTAGAAGGCCCGCGCGCAGGGGGGTGGGGCATTGAGACCGGTCATGAATGAGTGCGCGACACGCATGTTGCGAGCAGCGTTGTTGATGTTTTGCGCATCGCCACTGACGGCGGCGCGCGAGAGCTGTTGCGAGTGGTGTTGGGCGAAGCCCCGGGCGCTGCCGGAGGCTGTGCCGTAGTCGGTGCGGTCGACGGCGCTCGGGCTGCCGACCTCTTCACACCGGACGAATTTTAGACCTCCAGACCTGGCCCCCGCTGGAGGCGAGGCGTCAGTCGCTCATCGCCGCACACATGCCTTCGCAAGCCCGACCGCGCCGCCGCACGCTCGGCTCGTCGTCGTTGGAGGTGTGCGAGGTCTGCCTCGGCACCATGACGATGGGTTCGATGACGGCGGACGAGGGCGACTGCCACGAAATTCTGTCAAAGTACGTGGAGCTCGGCGGTGACTTCCTCGACTGCGCCGAGATGTACCCTGTTCCGGTGCAGGAGAAGTGGGTCGGCCGATCGGAGGAGATCATCGGCACGTGGCTGGCCGGCCGTAGCGACCGCGATCGCCTCGTCATCGCCACCAAGGTCGTCGGCCCCCGCGCCGGCGCCAAGAAGGAGGCTCCTCCGAGCCGCGAGAGGGCGCTGGACGGCGACCCGCAGGCGGCGCCGAGCGAGGCGGACCTCACGCGCGCGCAGATCCTGCGCGCCTGCGACGCGTCGCTCAAGCGACTGCAGACGACACACATCGACCTGTACCAGATCCACTGGCCAGAGAGGTGGGTGCCAAAGTGGGGCGAGTCGCAGTACGTGGCCGCAAAGGCGGAGGCGGGCGCGCACACGTTGGAGGGCTTCGACGCCGTCGTCTCGACCATGGGAGAGCTCCTCTCCAGCGGCAAGATCAAGCACTGGGGCCTGAGCAACGAGACCACCTTCGGCGTCTGCATGTTTGTCGAGGCCAGCCGCCGCCTCGGAGTTGCGCCTCCGATCTCCATCCAGAACGACTTTAGCCTCTGCTTCCGCACCTTCGAGTCCGAGCTGGCCGAGGCGTGCGCGCCGGCCCACTGCAACGTCTCCCTCCTCGCCTACGGCGTTCTGAACGGCGGAGCCCTCTCGGGCAAATACCTAGACGGCTCCGCCTCGCCGGGCGCCCGCTTCAACTTTGTGCAGCAGCTCGACATGGGCGGCTTCCAGGGGCGGTACAAGGGCGAGCAGAGCAACGCCGCCATCCGCGAGTACGCGGCGCTGGCGCAGTCGATCGGCGTCCAGCCCGCGGCGCTGGCGCAGGCGTGGGCCTACTCAAGGGAGTACATGGGCGCCGTCATCATCGGCGCGACCAGCGTGGCGCAGCTCGAGGCCAACTGGGCGGCGGCCAAGCTCGAGCTCTCCGCCGACACACTGGCCAAAATTGACGAGATCCACGTGCGCCACCGTAACCCCAACCTCACCGACTGAAACCCGCGGCGGCCCGGTCTCCCGTCTCCGTGCGCTGCGGCCTGACGGCCCCAGGACGGCCCCGGCAGTTGCCCCACGCCCCCGCCCAGCTGTTCGCGGCGCTCTTCGTGTCCGGTATTTCGAATCGTGTTTACAGCATTCTTGGGACCGTCGTTTACCGCGTTTGCGCATAGACGCTAGTTTGCTGTTTGGGGTCGGGGACGGGGTGGGAGCTGGGACACTTTCACTTACCGCGAATACCGAGAGATAAAAAGCCGTAGCAGCACGCAGCACGCAGGTCGCAGCACGGCAGAGCCTTTTGAGTTTCGAATTCGTTTTTCATCGACACAACACACACACGTGAGACACGTTTCTCGGACATGTTCTCGGAGCAATATACCGACGACACACAGCGAGACAGAGGAAATATGCACGCTCGCACATGATGCGCCGAGACATGTACGCAATCTATGCGAGGCGAAGCGTACGAAACCCGGTTCTCCTCATGCGGAGAGGCATGACGAGACTAGATATGGCCCGATGTCGCATGTCGCATGATGGCTCGAGGCATGATGTGGAGGCGCAGCGCGCGACAACGCGGCGGAGGTCGGCGGAGAGAGAGCAGCGCGGGAGACGCGGCGCCGCATGTAGGGCGAGGTCGGTGGCAAGTCGGACGGCGGCGCGGCGGCGCGTCTCACGCCGGGATCGGCTCCGGCTCGGAGGTGCGCGCGCCGCCGAGCGAGCGGAGGAATGCGCTCAGCCGGTCGCGTTTCCGGAGGCGCGGGCTGCCCTCCATGCTTCCGTCCAGCGCGGGCAGCACCTCCGACAACTTGACCCACCGCTGCTCCTTGGCAGAGAGGCCGGCGGCGATGGCCATGGCGAGGGCGATGACGCCGTCCTCGCCCGTGACGGGCGCGTCCGAAGCTGACTCGATCGAGTCGATGAAGGCGACCGTCTCCGCCTGCGGGGCGTGTCGTGGACGTGTCGTGGACGTGTCGTGGACGCGTCACGGGCCCGTGCAGCCCGGGCGCGCGAGGCGAGGGGGGTGCTCGTCGCCTCGTAGGCTGCGATGTAGCGCGACATGAAGAAGTCGTACGGCAGGTCGGCCATCCCCACAAAGTCGCCCGTGAAGACGCGAGCCGTGTTGGGGTACCTGGCGGGCAAGCCGCGGGCGACGCGTCACGGACGCGTCCGCGCGAGACGCGCGCGAGGACGCGCGCGGGGTGTGCTCGGCTCACATGTTGTCGGTCATCACCATCGCCGCCGTGCCGAGCGCCTCTGCGCGCTGGTCGTACCCGTACGTCGCCTGGCGGCAGGCGTCGGTCGTGGCGGCAGGTAATCTCGCGCGATCTCGGGTCATCTCAGGGAGGCTCGCCTGGCGGCAGACGTCGATGGTGGCCGTCCGCCCCTCGCGGTACTTGACGATGATGGTGGCCGTGTCGTACGCCTCCGGGCCGGGCAGATCGGCGATCTCCTGCGAGGCGAAGCCGCGGACCGAGGTGCAGCCGGGCTAGAGGAGAGGGCTGGAGGAGAGGGCTGGAGGAGAGGGCTGGAGGAGAGGGCTGGAGGAGAGGGCTGGAGGAGAGGGCTGGAGGAGAGGGCTGGAGGAGAGGGCTGGAGGAGAGGGCTGGAGGAGAGGGCTGGGGGAGAGGGCTGGAGGAGAGGGCTGGGGGAGAGGGCTAGAGGAGAAGGCTGGAGGAGAGGGCTGGAGGAGAGGGCTGGAGGAGAGGGCTGGAGGAGAGGGCTGGAGGAGAAGGCTAGAGGAGAGGGCTGGAGGAGAGGGCTGGAGGAGAGGGCTGGAGGAGAGGGCTGGAGGAGAGGGCTGGGGGAGAGGGCTGGAGGAGAGGGCTGGGGGAGAGGGCTGGAGGAGAGGGCTGGGGGAGAGGGCTGGAGGAGAGGGCTGGAGGAGAGGGCTGGAGGAGAGGGCTGGAGGAGAGGGCTGGGGGAGAGGGCTGGAGGAGAGGGCGGAGGAGCTCCTGGTTGATCATGCACGAGCCGGTCGCAAAGACCTGAGGCAAGGCAGGCGGGGTGGGGCCGGGGGAGAGGCCAGCTCCTCCACGCGTCGGGTGAGGCGCAAGAGGCCAGCTCAACCCCGCGCCAGCACGTCCCGAGACAAGAGCCGCCGCACGGCATGGCAGTGCACGGCCCGGCGCCGATGAGGTGTGTGTGTGTGCGTGTGTGTGCGTGTGCAGACCTCGAGAGGGTCCTCGCCCATCAGGAAGCGAGACATGTCGAGGTCGTGGATCGCCATGTCCTTGAAGATGCCGCCGCCGCCCTCCACGTACTTCTTCGGCGGCGGGGACGGGTCGCGCGACGTGAGCCGAATCTGGACGGGCGAGCCGATCTCGCCGTCCATGATGGCGCTCTTGACGCGCATGAAGTTGGGGTCGAAGCGGCGCTGCAGCGCGACCATCAGCTTAACGCCTGCGACGCCGCGCGCACGCGTCGGGAGCGAGGGCGGCTGCGAGGGCGGCTGCGTGGGGGCGGTGCGTGGCGACGGTGCGTGGCGAGCGTGGCGGGCGTGGCGGCGGTGGGCGGCGGCACCCTTCTCGCGCGCGAAGAGCACGCTCTGGATGGTCTCGTCAAGCTCGGTGGCAATTGGCTTCTCGCAAAAGATGTCCTTGCCGAGCTCTGCCGCAAGCCGGATCTGCGCGGCGTGGTACTGCGACGGCGAGCAGATCCAAACCGCGTCGACGTCGGGGTTCCGAATCACCTCGTCCGCGTCCTTTGCAAAGTGCGCGATGCCGTACTTCTCGGCGAGAGCGGACACGGTCTCCTCACGAGACGAGCCACCAATGCTGACAACCTTGGCCTTCGGGCACTTGCGCAGCGTCTCGAGGTGCACGATGCCGATGCGACCGCAGCCGACAATGCCGACACGAATCGGCTCGCCGACCGCGCGGGGCGTCGAGATGGACAACGACGGCGCAGCCGCGCGCAGCACGATGGGCGTTGCGCGGACCGGCACGTGGAGCGCGGCAGAGACGGACACGAATGGCGCGGAAGCGCGCAGCGTGCCGGGAGCGCGGACCGGCGCGTGGAGCGCGGCAGTCAAGGGAAGGAGGCAGAGCATGCCGCCCCACTCTCCGCCACGCTGGCGCCAACGCAATGCCTCAACTACAAGAGAATGGTTAGAACGCGCACTCAGTCATCTCCCATGCCTCCCTTGCTCGCGCAGGTGGGGACCCTGTCCTTCTCCCACCCCTTGTTTGGTGTGTCCGTTTTATTTATTTTATTTATCCCATGCCTCCCTTGGGGTCTGCGTTTTCTTTCTTTTTTTTGACGAACATTTATGAATGAGCACTTGATTGAGCACATTAACGGGGGCCCGACGACCCGACCCTGCGCGCCGCCGCCGCAGCACACACAACTCAAGCGAACCGAGCGACGGGAGGAGTACGTGACGCAATGGGGCCCTAGATCGTTCCCTCCGCCGGAGGGAGATTGGCCCTGACCCGTCTTTCTCCTTGCTGGACCTAGAACGGCCGCCAGCAAGGAGAAAGTTGTCCCGGTAGCGCCTAGTCACTCCCACCGAGCCTCTCGCCCGTCGCTTCGTTCACGTCTTGCTCTTGTCACGCCTGCTCCACTTCCTCCGCCGCTGCCTCCTCCACCACCGCCACCGGCACTCCCTGCACTGGCGGGAGGTTGCTGCTTCGAACCTGGGGCACGACTGGGGCTCTGACTCTGAACATAGGCACCAGCAGTGGCGCAGCCTCGACGTCGTCTGTCTCTGAATCCACCTCCTCGTCCATCTCCGCCTCGCGTTGGTCCAGGGCCGCCGCCCGTGCGTCGAGGCGGGCGGCCATCGCCACTAGGTGCTCCAACCGTTGGTCCAGACTCGCGCTTTGCTGCTCTTGCAACAACTGTGTGGCGCTCTGCGCTTGGCATCGCTCGAGAGCCTCCAGCCTCGCCTCGTGCTCCGCTTGCTGCTCGACAACAGAGTCGAGGCGGGACTCGAGACATTTACCAGACATTTCCACGTGCCTGTTTGGCGTCTGCTCTGAGGAAGGCGGGCGGGCAGTAAAAGCGGAGAAGGATAGCAGGACGGCAATGAAGGTGGTCATCGTCACGCAAAGCGCAAGGATTGCCCCAAATTGGCGACCCTCGTCAGGTTGGAGGGGCGCGCACAGTGTTTGGACGACGACGGTTGCGCCGCGGAGGATAATCTCGGGGAGAAGATTGCCGTGCTTCAGCGGCAATGCGAGATGCATGACGAGGGCCATGCTGAGGCAGAATGCCACCCATGCTTGACTAAACGGATCGTTGACGCTGAGCGCGAGGAGAACGTTGTTCGACTGCAGCTGCAACGCCCAGAGTGGTGCGGAGCCGGCCGTCAGGAGCTCTGTCCGACGACGCAGGTACCACTCTGGCTTATTTGTTGCTGCCATGCCCAGTGCGAGCACAGCCACCTGTCCCGCCCTGCAAAGGAGAATCTCGCCCATGCTGTGGAATGCAAGCCCGCCACGAAGCCGCGCGAAGACCAGGAGCTGCGCGGGGCCGAAGACAACCGTCGCGGCAGCAAACAGGGCGAGCATCGTCCGATCCGCCAGATGCGACGCGCGAGAGGGGTCGCGTGGCTTCGCGGAGGCATTAGACATGTGCCTGGCTGCCCAGGGCGCCACTGGCGTAGGTACAGGGGAACGTCAGGGGCGAGGGTGTGCACGCCCTCAGCCCGGATTCACGCTGGATGCGCGGCCACCGTCTGTTGATCTCGGCAAAACTTTCATGGCGTTGTAATTGCAGCAATAGGTCCCCCTTCCCGAGGTTACGATTACGATTAACTTTCTCGAACTTTCTCGATAGAGCACTTGAGCACTAAAGAAATAGATGTCGGCAAGCGTTGAATGCTCCGGAGTAGGAGAGTCTGCTGTGATAAGAAACATAGACAATAAACGTAGGCAACCCTCAGTAGACTCCGTGGAAGAGTGCTCTAAGTGATAAGATAACATAGATAATAAACATAGACATACCCTCAGTAGACTCCGCTGTGGAAGAGTGCTCTAAGTGATAAGATAACATAACATACGCATGGATACCCTCTATCTAGAGGGGCCCCGCGCTCCCCCAGAGACCAGTTGAAGCCTGAAAAGGGCTACAAATACAGCCACAGCAGCTGCTACGTGTGGCAGAGCCCAGAGAGAGGGCTTTCACGAGCACTAGGAAGGTCAGGCCGACCAAGATCCAAGTGACTGGGACACATCAAGTGCCGGAGTCCCCACTGGCGACTGGGGACCACCCGCGGCCCCAGTGGGGCCACCCAGTGGGTCGCGGCTCACTGGGTACCCCACTGGGACTCCGGCACTTGATGTGTCCCAGTCACTTGGTCGGCCTGACCTTCCTATTCAGTTTGATCCAGCTCAAAACGTTGATCGTTGTGGAGTATGGAGTACATCGCCTCTTTCGAGTTTGATTCGCAGTGTCGTTCACGGTTCGAATTAGTTGATAATCGGTTCACCCGCCGGTTCGCCAGACTCGGTTCGTTCACGGTTCACGGTTCACGGTTCACGGCGGGTGTCGCGGAGGAGTCGGTTCACGGATCACGGTTCACCCTTTCGGGATGGGGGCTAGTCGGTTCAGGTTCGGGGTTCACGGACTCGGTCGGGGCGGGGGCTAGTTGGTTCACGGTTCACGGTTCACGATTCTGGCGTGAACTGAGAGGCCTGACTCCAAGTGCTCCAAACAAGAACACAACGCACTCTCTCACATGACAAGCGATCCCACGACAGCGATTGGGGGGACTGCATGATTCATTCAACCCATGGTGGTGGGGCGGCCCGTCCGCAGAGCTAGGCGGCGTGGGCACCCCCCACTGGGGCCGAGGGTAAGAAGCCGTTTGCCGTTTGCTTCTTCTTGCCCCAAATGGCACGCTCAGAAAACGAGAAAAGGAGCCAGCCGAAGACCTTGAAAAAGAAACCTTCGTTGGTGGCGTGCAGGCGCTCTCCACCATCGCAAGCCACACATCGTTTGCGTGCCGCCGCACGCGCATCCCTCGTGCAGCGGCAGACCCCTCCGCTCTCTCTTCGCCTCCGCCACGTCCCGACGCGCGCTCTCCCGACGCTTCACTGGCTCGCGGTCCACTCAGGCGTGAGCGTGCTGCGCGCGGCCGTGCTGCGCGGGGCCGCCGCGAGATATGGCTGCGAATCGCAAGCTGCAGGCGCGCGGCTCGCCCCGGCTTCGGCCCGCTCGGGCGCCGCGGCACCGGCGCTGGCGCTCGCCTCGCCCGCGCGCTTGTGGCCGGCGCGGGGAGTTCACGCTGCGACCCGCTCCGTTATTCAGGGTGAGATCGACAGGACGCTCAAGAAGGTGCAGGAGGGCGTCGAGATCTTTGACGAGATTTGGGAGAAGGTGTACAATGCGCAGAACCAGAACCAAAAGGAGAAGTTCGAGTCGGAGCTCAAGTCTCAAATCAAAAAGCTGCAGCGCTACCGCGACGACATCAAGGCGCCCTCCCCTCCCGCTCCCCTCGCACGAACGGGCCGGGCCGTGCAATCCCCCCCCTCTCCCCCCTCTCCCCCCTCCAGCCTCCCCGCGCGCGGCGGAGTGGGCTGCGCTCAGCCGGCTCGCGCCGCTGCAGACGTGGATCACAAACTCGGACATCAAGGACAAGCGGCCGCTGACGGACGCGCGCAAGCTGATCGAGACCGAGATGGAGCGCTTCAAGGTGTGCGAGAAGGAGTTCAAGACGAAGGCCTTCTCCAAGGAGGGCCTCTCGCAGCAGCCGAAGGAGGACCCGAAGGAGAAGGAGAAGAACAAGGTCCGAAAGTGGATCGCAGAGAAGCTCGAGACGCTCGCGTCCCAGACGGATGCGTACGAGGCGCCGCCACCCTCTCGAGCCGCCACCCGCTCCCCTCGCTCCGCTCCGCCTCCGCCTCTGCTCTGCCCCGCTGCCGGCCGGCCGCCCCCTCGACCTCTCGGCCCACCGCCTGCTCCGTGCCCTCTCTCCCACCCGTCCTCGACACGGTGCCCAGCCCCCGCCACCCTCTCTGCCCCGCTGCTGCGCAGGTGGAGATCGAAAACTCGACGTCGTCAAAGGGCAAGAAGAACAAGAAGAACGACTCCGTGCTCAAGTACGAGACGCTGATCGAGCGGGTGCGTGCCCGGCCGCGGCGGGGGAGGGTAGAAGGGGGGGGGGGGGGGGAGGCGTCACGGGAGGAGGAGGCCCAAGCCGAAGCGGCGGCGGCGGCGGGACTGCGCCCGTCACTGCCGCGCCCGCCTGCTGCTGCTGGTCAGGTGCACTACCACGAGGAGAAGCTGGAGGTGGTGCTGCGGCTGCTGGAGAACGAGACGCTCTCGGCGGAGGACATCGAGCCGATCCAGGAGCAGCTCGACTACTTGCTCGAGCAGATGGTGGACGGGAACACGGACGAGGCAGCCCCACCCCCACCCCTGCCCCTGCCCCTGCCCCTGCCCCTGCCCCTGCCCCTGCCCCTGCCCCCGACTCCCACCCCTACCTCACCCCACGAGGGAGAGGAGGGAGGGGGGGGGGGGTTGGCTGGCGGAGTACTCACAAGAGCGACACTGGCAGGTTGAGATGATCGACGACGAGACCATCTACGAGGACCTCGGGCTCGAGGACCAGGCGGGGGACGAGCAGCCGCAGGAGGAGGCAAAGGAGGAGAAGAAGCCGAGCAAGGAGGAGAAGAAGGGGCGCAAGGGCGGCGGCGACGACGACGACAAGAAGGAGAAGAAGAAGGAGAAGCCCGCGCCCGCGCAGGAGATTGCCCTCCCGACGCTCAACGCGGCGGCAAAGGCGACGCCGCTGCCCAAGCCCGGCAAGGAGCCTGCCAAGCCGGCGGCGAAGCAGCCCGCGACCGCCTCGCCGCTGCCGACGGTGAGCGGGCGAGGCGGCAAGGCGGCCGCATCCGTCACGCTCGCCGCCCCGCAGGCCGCGCGCTCGGGCCGCGCCGCGGCCGCGCCGCCGGCGGCGGCGCCAGCAGAGCCGGCGGCGCAGCTGTTTGCGCGTGTGGCGCAGCGGCCTAGCAAAGAGGAGCCCCCCGCCGTGTCGAGCGGCAAGGGGTGCGGCGGGTTGCCCGCCGCGTCGGCGCAGCCGCCGCAGCCGCAGCCCGCGCAGCCGCCCGCCGGCTTGCCAACCACCACCGCGGCGGCGCGGCTCGGCGACAGCCTAGGGGAGGGGAGCGGGAGGGACTCGGGCGAGTCCATCTTCTCGGCGGGGGGAGGGGCGGCCGGCCCCGACGGGGGGGCGATCGCGGCGTCGCGGGGCTCGGGCAGTGCGCCCGGCTCGGGCAGCACCGCCGCCGCCGCCGCGACGCGCGGCCCGCCCGCCGACATGTCTCTGACGGCCGAGGAGGCGGCGCCGCTCGAGGCGCTGGGCAGCGCGGGCGCGACCTTCTTGGACGAGGCGCTCGACGAGGCGCAGCAGCTTCAGATGCTGCACCTCTCGCTGCAGAACCTGCCCGAGGCGGGAGACTCGGAGCGGCCGAAGACGTACGTGCCGCGCAACCCGTACCCGACGCCGAGCTCCTTCCCGCAAGCGCCCGCCGCCGTGTTCGACTCACCGTCGGCCTTCGACAAGTTCGACACCGACACGCTCTTCTTCATCTTTTACTACCAGCAGGGCACGTACCAGCAGTACCTCGCCGCGCGCGAGCTCAAGAAGCAGTCGTGGCGGTACCACAAGAAGTACCTCACCTGGTTCCAGCGGCACGAAGAGCCAAAGCTCACCGCGGACGACTACGAGCAGGGCACGTACGTCTACTTTGACTACGAGACGGGCTGGTGCCAGCGCATCAAGTCCGAGTTCACGTTCGAGTACGGCTACTTGGAGGACGAGCTCCCCTCCTGAGCCGCGTCTCTCGCCAGCATGGCCCGCGCTCGGCGGTCGTGGCGCGGCGCGGGCGGGGGGAGCCGGCGGCGCCTACGTGTATGTGCCCCCTCGGTCTGGTGTCTTTCCGCCAAAGCGCCCCACGCGTTTTTTGGAGAGACCGGCGTAAAACACACACACTCTGAAGAAGGGAGTCCCGCGAACACCTTCGCGCCCTCGCCTCCCGCTCCGGCTCCGCGCCGTCTCGCGCCGGTCCCCGTCTGTCCGGCATACTGTGGGGCGGCTGTGCGCGCCGCGGCCGGGGGGCTCTCCGCTTGCCTGCTCTCTCCTCAATATGCGCTCGCTAGCAGCCGAAATCCGCGCGCAGCGAGTGGCCAGAGGAGACTCGACTCTCGACTGCACCCTGCCGCGGCTCGGCTGCCGCCGCGACGCTGCTCCGTCCGGCGCCTGCGCCCGCCACCAATCACCTTGCCTGGGCCTTGGCCTTGGCTCGCGAGTTGCGGAGGGAGCGCTGCAGGAGCTGGCGAGTCCTGCGCTGCAGTAGCCTCTGCGACAGCGCGGGCTGCAGCCGGGAGAGGCGCTTCGCCTTCTCGAGCGACGTGAGCGGGAGGTCCGCCACGCCCTGGCGGCGCATCCACTCCTCGACGCTGAGCATCTCAGGGTGCAGCCGCCGGCACTCGGCGGCCGCGTCGGCGGCGTCGGCGCGGGCGCCCTCGTCGTTGCCGCCGTAGGTGAGCCAGCGACGCAGCTGCCTCGGGTAGTCCACCGGCACGAGGTACTCGAGCACGAACCACGGCACCGGCTTGTATGCAAATCTCATCCTCCCGTGCACCCGTGACGCAGCCTCGGCAAGCCTCGCGCCGTTGACGCGCTCCGCGGCGGCGGCGAGCGTGCGGCGGAGGTACTCGTCCCGGCGAGCAAACATGGCGGTCGCCAGCGCGCCGAGGTCGTCCACGGCGATAACACTCAGCTGCGGCGGCGAGGCGAGGGGCGGGTGTCGCGCCGGAAAGGCAGCCGAGTTGCGCGGGCGGTGTCAGGGCGCTGGGCCAGCGGCGGGCGCGCGGCGTACCTCGATGTCCTCGTCCACCAGCCCCGACACCACGCCCGGCCGGAGCAGGCGCAGCTGCGTCCCCTTGCTCGCCTCCTCGGAGTTGCCAAAGTTCTCGAGGTAGGTAGGCTGCCGCAGCACCGACCACGGGAGGTCACTCTCCACGAGCTCGTCCTCGACCCTCCACTTGGCACGGTGGTGCAGCGGCGCCGCCACCGCCGGGTCGACGGGCTCGCGGCCGCCGCGGTGCATGCTCTGCCACACAAAGTGCTGAAGCCCGTCTGTCGCCCTCGCGGCCCGGAGGATGTTGCGTCCCTGCTCCACCTCGCTCTCCTCCAGCACGGCCGCGTCGGCACTCGTCGGCCGCACGATGCTCCCGTCCGAGGCGCGACTGGCCCCGCTCCAGGTTGTGATGCCGTAGATGCCGTGGGCACCCGCAAAGCCGCGGCGCAGGCTCGCCTCGTCGAGGTTGTCCGCCTGCACGAGCTCCGCGCCCAGCTGTGCGAGCGTGGCGGCTCGCGGAGAGTCGAGGTTGCGAACAAGCGCACGCACACGCCAATCGCCGCTCTGTAGCGCGTGCTTGCAGAACGCGACGCCCTCCAGTGAGGGAGCTGTCGTGCAGACCAGCAGCGGCTTGGAGGCCTCAGGACCAGCAGCAGCGAAGGTGACCCCGGCACGCGGCGCTCGGGTCGGCGGGTGGTGGGCAGTGGTGAGGAGGCAGTAGAGCGGCGCGAGAAGCACGGGGGAGAAGTACATGAAGAGGTGGGAGTTAGAGGCTGGGAGTCAGAGGCGACACGGAGCGAGCGGTTCGAGCAGCCTCTCCTGCGTCGGGGTACGGGAGGACCCGGAAATTTCCTTTGCGCGTCGGGCTGGTGTAGGTGTATGTTGTTGGCAAAGCAAGACAGAGAGCTCACACAAAATCACAGTGGGTGGAAAGCGAACGAGTCAGCTAACAGGGGACGATTGGGGCGGGCCACCCCAGGGCCACCCTGTCCAAGTGACAAAAAGTTGTTTGGTATTGCAGCGCCCAACCAAATCGTGAGAGAGAGATTTTTATTAACCAACAAGAAATCACGACTCTCACAGTGATTTGGGCTCGGCAGCTTGTTAGCCCTCAGCCGAAGCTGGGGCCGGTCCCGTAGCCGAGAGAGCCCGCGCCGATGAGTTCGACGCGGTCGGGGGGGGGGGGCCTGCGAATCGTGTCGTACCAGTCCGGGTCGTACTGCGGCGCTGTCACGCGCCAAACTCGCGAGTAACCGCGCTGAGCCCGTCGAGGAAGGTCTTCACGTACGCCATGCCATAGTACCGCTCCCCAGCCAGCCTCCGCGCCCTTGGAGCTTGGTGTGCGCCGCCTTCCTCCCCTTGTCGCTGCAAACGATGCTGTCCCGTCCACATGGTCGCACACAAACCCTCCCAACGGCACCAGCCTGTTTGCTACCATCGCCAAGTATAGCGCCACCAGCCGCGGGTCGATAGCTGTCCCTGCGCCCTCGCTTCCATCCAGCGGCGGGTTGTGCCGCCATCCACACGGGTAAAAGCACTGCACAAACGTCGCAAAAGTCGCCAGCCACGCAGTGTGCTGGCGGTAATTTGACGCCGCCCTCGCCACGATCGCCTTGCGACCCTGCTCCAACGCCACGTCATCCAGCAGCGCCTTGTGCTCCGCAGTCACCGTGATGCCGTCGGCGCCTTCTCTCCGCACCATCGTGACGGCGGAGTTCGCCATCTTCTCCAACCCCGCCACCACCTCGACGGCAGTGCCAGCCCCGGCGGCCGTCTTTCGCTCCTTTCGTCGAGCCACCATGTACCTGTCCGGACCGTCGAGGCGGGCGGTGAACACTCGTTCGACCATCATAGACGACGCTTTCACCGGCGCTCCCGCCTCTGCGTTGGCGTCGTGCGCGGCCTTGTCCGCTGCCTGTCCCCGCAACTTGAGCTGCGCCTGCACGGCGACCATCGCGTTGGCGGTCTGCGCAGCAAGCTTGGCCGCCATCGCCGATCTCTCTCGCTCTGCCGCCGCTGCCGCGTCCACGGGGCGGTCCGTCAGCGGGTCGTCGCCCGCAGCTCGGCGTCGGCAGCATCGATCATGGCAGCGTCGGCAGCCTCGCTCATACGGGAGCGCAGAGACCTGAAACGGTCCGTCGACAAATTCGAAACGCCCGCCGAATTCGAAACGCCAACGGATCTTACATGTACCCGCCGATCTCCCGCCGCTCCCGCCGCTCCCGCCGCTCCCGCCGATCTCCCGCTAACGGATCTTACCCGCCTGTAACCTCTCTTAAAATAGGAAATATAAGAAGGGACACACCTGACAAAACAACTCTCTCTCTCTCACCTGACACATGACGCTGGGCACGTTTTTTCGACTCTCGTGAGGCTGTGAAAGCACGCCCAACCTGGCGGATTTGGGCTCGAAGGCAAGTGCGTCTGTTCACAGCTCGAGGCAAGGTTTTTCTTGATCTCACGCCACTCACGGCGGGCGACCTCAGCGAGCGGGAGGAGACAGCTGGATCACCATGAAGCCACGCTGTCTGCTGCCCCTGACCCGCCGGCTGTCGACGCGGCGCGAGCTGCTCTCTGCCTCGACCCGGCGCCTGCTCGCCGACACCGGCGCCTCGATTCCCATCGTAAAGGGGCCAATGTACCCGGGCAGCAACCCGGAGCTCGTCGCAGCGGTCTCCGCGGCGGGGGGATTTGGCGTGGTCCAGCCAATCTCGCTGACCCACCTTTACGGGTACGACTTTCGCGAGGGCCTGCGCCTCATCAAGTCGCTCACGTCACGACCCTTTGGCGTCAACTTCACCATCCTCGAGAATGCAAAGTACAAGCGTCAAATGGAGGAGTGGATGGACATCTCTGTGGACGAGGGCGTCAAGTTCTTCTTGACGTCGCTCGGGAAGCCGGGCAAGATCGTCGCCTTTGCGGAGCGGCACGGCGTGAAGGTGTATCACGACGTCCACACGCCTGAAGTCGCTCGAAAGGTGGCCGACGAGGGCGTCGCCGGCCTGAACTGCCTCAACAGCTCGATGGGAGGCCAGACCGGCAATCGGTCTGTTTTCACCCTAACCCTAACCCTAACCTGACCCTGACCGCAGACCCTTCTAACCCAGCACTCTGACCCAGGTCTGCGGAGCAGTTTGCGGCGGAGCTCTCCAAGGGCGGCTTCGGCGACCTGCCTCTCCTGCAGGCGGGCGGCGTCGGGGGCGACCCGCAGGGGCTGCGCGACGCTCTCGACATGGGGTACGCCGGCTGCCAGCTCGGCACTCGCTTTCTCGCGACGCACGAGGCGCGGGTGACGGACAGCTACAAGCGGGCGATCGTGGACGCGAGCGCCGACGACATCGTCTGGACGAATAAGCTGGCGGGGACGAACTCCTCAGTCATTCGCACGGCACAGGTGGAGCGGGGGGGGCTGCAAGTGAACGCGCTGGTCGCGTTCCTGCTGCAGAACCGCTGGACGAAGCTGCTGACCCGCACGCTGATGCTGAGCCGCGCGATGGAGACGTACAAGCGGGCCGCCTTTGAGGAGGATTACGAGGTCTGGCAGGCGGGCAGGGGCGTTAGCAGCATACACGCCGTCGAGAGCTGTGAGCAGGTCCTGAGCAGATTCGGCGAGGTCGCGCGGGCGTGACGACTGACAAGAGGGAGGCAGGGAGCGTACTCTCTGTGTGTGTGTGTGTGATTCACTGTGTGAGAGAGAGAGAGAGATTTTTAGCAATACCAAACAACTCTAACACTCACACGTCATTTGGGGCCTGGAGCCCTGTTCACGCGCTGTTGTGTGTGTGTGTGTGTGTGTGTGTGTGTGTGTGTGTGTGTGTGTGTGTGTGTGTGTGTGTGTGTGTGCGTGCTCACTCTCACACGGAGCGTACACATGGCGGGTAGTGTATTATTTGGGGGAAGAAAGTTTGTGCGACGAGAAAAAGGACCTTTGACAAGCTCGTACTGGATCCCGTACCCTGCGGAATCCCCTTTGCTTTCCTCGCTTGCTAACAACAGAAAGAAAAACTGGGTGGACTGCATCCCCTCGGAAGCCCGCGGAGTCGGCCGAATATGTCGGACAACGTCTCTGCCGCGGAGCCGGTTGAAAGCGAGGGAGCCCGGGAGCTGCGCTGGTTCGGCCTGACCGTGTGTGTGGCCGTGCTGCTGCTGCAGACGCTGTGGCAGATCGTCCCAAACGCTCGGGCCAACGTGTACGACTTCTTCATCATCCGGATGACGAGCCTGTGGTACAGGGTCGTCCTCGAGCGAGTGCCGGGCGGCGCGCGCCTGCTCGACGTGGGCGTCGGCACAGCCACGGCGCTGGTCAAAAGCAAGGAGATCCTCGAGCGGAAGAACATCACTGTGGTCGGGATCGACTACGACAAGGCCTACATCGACAAGGCGGCGACTGTGGTGGGCGATGCGGGCCTCGGCAAGCGGATTTTGCTGAACTGCACGTCCATCCAGAACCCAAAGCTCCGCGCGGTCTTCACCGGCACGGCCAAGTTCGACGCCGCCTACTTTTCCGGCTCGCTCACGCTCATGCCCGACCCCGTGGCGGCACTCAAGTGCACCGCCGGCATGCTCACCGACAACGGCGTGATCTACGTCACGCAGACCTTCCAGAACCGCCCCTCGCCCATCATGGAGCGCATCAAGCCGCTGCTGCGTCGCTTCACCTCCATCGACTTTGGCCGCGTCACCTACTACAGCGACGTCCACAACATCGTCCAAAAGGCCGGCCTGGCCGTCATCGAGGATGGGCCGATACCCGGCTCGATCGACAACGCGTCGCAGACTGCGCGGCTGCTCGTGCTCAAGCCCACCGGCGCGACGAAGAAGGACTGAGCGCGTCGCCAGCGAACGCCCACATATATTGCCCGTGGCCCCCCTCCGAGCCACGCGGCCACACACCCACAGAGAGAGACCTGTTATAAGTAGACTTCCTATTCCCACTTCACTGCGCAGTGCGTCTTATATACCTTTGAATACACGTTAAAAACGTACTTACTTCATCACTTTCGTTTTGTCGCTTTCCCCTTCTTCCCGCCCTTCTTGCCCTTTGCGCCCTTGCTGCCCGCGCCGAAAGCGGCCGACTCCTCGACCGCGCACTCGTACCCTTTGCGGCGCAAGGCGTCCAGGTCGAGGTTGGTAGTGCGGCCGCCAGGACGCTCCAGCACTCTCCACATCTGTGGGCAAGGTGCGGCCTGTCAGGGAGGTGGAGAGGTTCGGGTGACTCCTCTGCGAGTGGGCCGTCGCCTCTCCGGCGAATTTTGGCGGTGTCTGCCCGCAGTTGTCGGCGAGACGGGGGTCTGCACCTGCCTCGAGCAACAACACAGCAAGTCCGAGGGCATCGGGTGGAGCTGGCTCCGGCGCACTGGGGGTCTTTGGCTTGCTCTTTGTGCCCTTGCCCTTCTTGCTGGTCCCCTTCTTCTTCTTCTTCTCCTTCGCTGCAGCAAGAGGCGGCGCTCCCTCATCAACCACCACCCCACTCTCGGTCAGAAAAAATCCCGCCTCGGCATCTGCCGCGTCCTCCTCTTGCTCACGCGCCCGCCTGAATTCCTCCTCGTGTGCCAAAGCGGCAGGCCAACCTTTTGCCCAATCTGGGGCGCCAACCGGCGGGCCCAAGGCAACGTGAAGAAGAGTTCGGCCGCCGGAATCTCGTGCGTTTGGGTTAGCTCGGGCTCGTAAGAGTAGCCTCAGGCTGCTGACGGCACCGTAACGGCAGGCAATGTGTGCTGGAGTTCCGAGGACCATCGACGAGGCTGCTGGTTGAGCCCCCGCTTTGAGAAGCAGCTCGACGCTCTGTGCACTGGCTACGCCGCCGGCCATGCAGGCGTGATGAAGCGCAGTAAGTCCGTTGGGATCTGCAGCGTTCGCATCTGCATTTGCATTCAGACACTCAGCGACGAGTTCCGGGTCACCGTTGAGTGCAGCCGCCAGCAGGAGCCCATTCAGTTCCGCCATGATGCATGAACGTTTCGAGACAGACAGATTTTTAGCAACGTTTCGTGGACGGGGAGAGGGGCAAGAAATGACCGGCAAATGAGGTGTTGTTGATTCAGACCTCATTGTACAACAAAAAAATACAGGACCATCTAGGCAATAGCGCTGGGAACTCCTGTTGACACACGGGCGAGGTGTATATTGACTATTGTGAACATATGCTCGCTACGGGTGCACCAGATCTACTCGACATCTCTCGAGGGCGACTACAGCTCTAGGTCTAGCGTCCCCACTCGTTCTCGACCGCGGGAGGCGCCGCAGCCGCCTGTGCCGTGATGAGCCCGTCGCCGGTCGCGCCGGTCGCCGCAGCGGCGACGGTCGCCGGAGCGGCCTCAGTGGCCTCGGGTGCGGCAGCCTGAGCGGGCGCAAGCGTCTCGGCAGTGTCGGCTGCCGCCGTCGCGGCGGAGAGCACGCCGCTGTTGACCATGCCGACGATGCCGGTGCTCAGGGACGCTGAGAGCCGGCCGACGGCCGCGCCAAGGGCCGACTTTGGCTGGTAGTGCTGGTGCTGCTGGCCTTGGGCGCTGGCTGCCGGAGTGGCGACATCCCCCGTCTCGCCTTGATGGTTGAGCTTGTCGAACGCATCGGCCGTCTGCGTGTTGAGGTCGTCAAAGGAGCTCTCGCCCGAAGCGCCGGTGCTGGCGTAGGCGCCACCGGTGGCGATGCCCTGGTTCATGTACGCGCGCCACCCGGCGGTGAGGTGGCGCCGCTGGCCGCCGGCCTCCTCATCTTGGACCTGCGCGCCGTGGTTGAGGGCGTTGAAGCTGTCGGCCGTCTCGGCGTTGAGGTCGTTGAAGCCCGTCGCCGGGTCGGTGGTGCCGGCGGCGACTCCGGCGCCCGCGTTGGCGTACTGGAGGCCGGTGGCGATGCCCTGGTTCATGTACGCCTGCCAGCCCGCAAAGTGGGGAGCCGAGGCGGCGCCGGACGAGGAGGGCGAGGCGGGCGCGGCGGTGGAGGCGGGCGCAGCGTCGGAGGCGGGTGCCGCGCTCGAGGCGGTGGGTGAACCGAGCGCCGCGGTCAGCGAGTCGACGACCGAGAGGATGCCAGCGGTGAAGGCGTCGGTCGAGGAGACAATTGGCGTGGCGACGGCAGAGGTGACGTCGGTCCCGATGGTTGAGGTTGGCGAGGCGGCGGTGGAGGTTGAAGCGGTGGACGGCGAGGCGGTGACGGCGGCGGGCTCGCCCTGGTGGTTAAGCGCGCTGAAGGCGTCCGCGGTCTGAGCGTTGAGGTCGTCAAAGGAGCCCTCGCCCGAAGCGCCGGTGCCGGCGTAGGCGGCGCCCGTCTGAAGGCCCTGGTTCATGTAGGCTAGCCATCCGGCGGTGAGCTCGCGGCCGTGGAGCGGGACCGGGGCGGCGTACGTGGTGATGATCGAGAGCATGCTTGGGCGGAAGGAGATGGCTGTGCGTGACGAGTCGTCCTTGGGGATGAACTTCACAAGCGGGACTCTTGGCGGCCGCGGAGCTGACGAGCAGCAAGGCCGCGAGCATGGGGAAGCGGGGGATTTGCATAGGACACAAATGTCGCCGAGACGTGCGGGGGTCACGCCGTTCTTTCTTGGTCTTTGGCCACACAAGAGAGAGAGTTAGAAGTTAGTTGTTTCTGTTAGTAGTGTCGCGCGTGCACCTCGATCCTACCGTGTTTGTTATACCCCCCCCCTTAAACAGGCGATAGGGGACCCTTACCGATTTAAACAGATCACACATCACTGAGGGCTAACCTCGGAATGTGACACCATCAATGGCGGCTTCCTGTCGGTGGAGTACCCGTGGGCAGTCACCGATGACAGGATTCTGCGCGAGCGAGTGGTCGTCGGCGCGTACAGCGGCCACAGCATGCTCAAGCTGATCGTGCCCGATCTCGAGGTCGGCGGCGCGCTCTACCTACAGACATTTCCAAGCCCGTGCGGCGGGCAGCGATCCCCGCCAACCCGCACGCTGCTCCATTTGCTTAGCGGGGACACGTACTTAATCCGCTTCATTGCTGGCACTGACGCCGGGAAGAAAGGATGCGTGCGGATCCGCCTGCTCGACGTTTCCCACGAGCAGGCGCCCCTCGCCGAGTTCGAGTGGGTCGAGCTGTCGGAGACGGCACGCCGGGTGGAGCTGTGCTACACGCACGAGATGGCCGACGCGATGGACGTCAGGCTACAGTTTGATGTGGGCTCGTCTGCTCAGGCTGCCGGGCCCCGCCGCCCCATCGCACTGTGCAGCACACCTCTGCACCCTTCATCCCTTCCCTGACACTCTCGCTCGTCTCCCCGCGCTCACACACAGGTGCTTTACATTGCCAATGTTGAGCTCGTCCGCAGCGCCGAGGGGCGTGAGGCTGCCGCCGGCGCCCCGGACCCTGCCTGGAAGAGGTCCAAGCACCCGGTGTAAACATTGTGTGGGACGAGACACAGAGAGTTGACACGGTGACAGGTTATACTCACACACGGAAAAACACACGGACAGTCGACAACAAGGACACAAAACTAGGGCCTATGAGAGTTTGCCGGTGCCCAGGATGTCACACTGCCACCGGAGGTAAGGTACGACTGCCACGATGCCATGACGACTAATGAGAGAACGCCGAGCGCGGCAATGAAGAGGACGAGTCGGGCGTTTCCGTCTCTCACCAGCTGCGTGATGAGGCCAACGAGCAGCATGCTGCCCATGCTTACGACAAGGACGAGCTCCGGTGAGAGCAGGAGAGGCTCCTCGGCCGACATCGGGGCGGGCGGGTTTCCTCGCAAGCAGCCAGAGCACGCCCAGCAGAGCAGGCAACACCGCTGACAGCCTCACAGCTGTGCCGAGAAAAGAAATAGTTTTCCGGCGCGAATGCATATGCGAGCCAGCCCGAGCTGCGGGCGCAACATTCCTCGTCGAGGGGCGAGATGCACGGCAACGAAAGAGAGAAGTGGAACTGGAAGCAGCCGCCACGCTCCTCAAGTTTTGTGGACGTTGTTCGCTTCACAGATAGGTGATATGAAACAAGAACCTCGCATACTTCGACAGTGAGGGTGTGAGAGACATGATGAGTTGGAGTGCCTGCCTGCTTTGCGCCAGGACACGTGCAGCGCGCGCGGGACTAGCGCGCGGACGGGGGAGCGCCAGCCCGCCCTCGGTCGCGCACCATCACTCGACCCTGACCGCGGTGCCGTATGCAAGGATCTCACTCGCGCCCGCGCTGACGGAGGAGCTCACCAGCCGCAGGCCGATCACGGCGTTGCCACCCTTTGCAGTCGCGTCGTCCGCTAGTCTCGACATGGCCTCTGCTCGCGCCTCTTGCAGCAGATCCGTGTACGATGTTATCTCGCCTCCAACGATCTGCCTGAAGCCAGCGAGGAGGTCGTGGCCGACGTTCTTTGCGCGCACGGTCGAGCCTTCCGCGAGGCCACAAAACTGGACTACCGTTGACCCCGGGATGCTGTCCGTCGTCGAGAAGGCGACAGCGGCCGCCGGCGCGTGGTCCGACAGGTGCCTCGTCCCTCGCGTGGTTAAGCGGAGTGTGGCTCGTCGGCTGGCAAACAGCATTAAGCGGGCGCTGAGAGTGGGCACGAAAACTACGCCTGAAAAAGAGAAAACACAGCGTATGACATCTTATGCTCGGCAGTGGGGGGTGCCCACGCCGCCGAGTTCCGCGGACGGCCCCGCCACCCTTCACGTACGGATCATGTAGTCCCCACAATCGCTGTCGTGATCCCTGGTCATGTTGACAACCCCCCCCCCCCCCCCCCCCCATGAAGTACAGCGATCGCCACCTCGCTGGCCTCTCCGCAAGGCCCCCCGACCGCGTCGAACTCATCGGCGCGGGCTCTCTCGGCTACGGGACCGGCCCCAGCTTCGGCTGAGGGCTAACAAGGTACAAGCTGCCGAGCCCAAATCACTGAGTCTGAGAGAGTCGTGATTTCTTCTTGTCATGTAGAGAGTGCGTTGTGTTTTTGTTTTGTATCCCCCCCGTGTGTTCCGCGAGTGCGTGTGCCCCGTCGTCCGTGCTAGGACGTGTAACACCTGACTGACTTCTCTCGGCAAGTGGCACGAGTCCCCGTCACCCGTCTTTATTTCTTAGACTTAGTCCTAGCCTGTCGTCAGGATTCGGTACTTCAGCTTGGTAAGTATCATCGTATCCTTCTCGAGGGGGGGTATCAAGGTATGCTCTAGGCCTCTGTGGGGACCCATCTCGGCTGGGTATCAAGGTATCATCGGCGGCCGCGCAGCGCGAAGCGACAATTCACACCTCGGACGTTTATCCTCTTCGCTTCCGGTTCCGTTCGCGCGCCACGCCCAACCAACCAACCATATACCGAAATGGTCTCGTCGCAGGTTGCACCTGCAGCTGGAGCAACGCTATCCGGAATCGCCGAATCATTTGCTCTTCTGAAGTAGCGAGCTGGGACAGTCCCATCGTGGATTACATAGCCGTCAAAGCAGGCGGCATAGATTTCGCGCGAACGCAACGTTGCCAGGGATTATGCTCGAGGGATCCCTGGCAACGTTGCCAGGGACCGCACCGGCTGCCTAGGCCCTAGCCCGCTAGCCGGCTGGCGGCCGCAGCCCGCAGGCCGCCCAACCAATGCGACGACGGCCGCAATTGCCGCCCTCCTCGCCCAGCGCATTGCTTAGAAGTAAGGCTTAGTGGTGCGCTCGCGTCCCTCCTGCGCGACGCTCATTCGAGCGCGTTCTTGTCTGTCTCGGCGCGCGCGCGCAGCGCGCGAAGAGGTGTGAAGAGGGGGGTCGTGTCCGGTGTGACGGGTAACCCACACCCGAGGGTATCAACCTATCCTCTAGGGGCCCAATGCGGATCCTCTCAAGAGGGTATCAGGGTATAGCCCTGGGGTATGCGTATGATCTGGGAAGATGATACATACCCCAAGCTGAAGTTGTGAAGTACCGAATAAGTAGAATCCTGCTGAACAAGCTCCTCTTGTAGCTCGATCGGTCACACCGGCCATCGGCATCGCCGTCGGGGAGAGGGGGGACGACACTGCTTCTGCAGCGTGCACCTCGATCCTGTACCGTGTTTGTTATGACCCCCCCAAATGAACACACCAGTGAGGGTGGGCGAGACGATCGAGGGGTCCCGTACCATGCGGAATCCACCCCATCTCATCCAGTGCTCAAGTGCTCAAGTACAGTGGGTTGCGGGCATAAGAAAACGTGGCATTAAGAAACCACGCCGAGCGATTTCCGCGAAAATCTAAGAAACCACGGCGGGCCGCAGGCGCGGCCCCGAGAAAAGGCCAGACACGAGTGTGAAAACGGGAGCCTCAGCCCAAAATTTCTCTTCGCCTGCGGCGCGCGCACTTGTCACTATCCAAGTCTGCGGTGTTCTGAGTGGAGTGCGAGTGGATGGAGGCGTGTGTGCGTCTCCCGTCATCCAGAGAGCCGACTCGGCGGCAGACTCTGGCATCGCCCTCGCGGACCGCAGCTTATCTCTTTCTTACTTACCTAAAAATCCTTCGGGCCGGCTCTGGCTCTCTAGGTGTGAGTGTAGAGTTGTTTGGCTTGAGTGCCGGCCGGAGCTAAGAAACCACGGCGTCGGGTGGGTGAGGGCTGTGGAAAGGCGTAGAAACGGCGGCGTGCCGCGCAATCCTGTTTTCTTAATGCCGATAGGGGGGCCGCGCAACCCACTGTACCGAATCCAGCGCACCTGCCGTGTGGGCTCATGGTCCTGTCGCTGATCACTGCGATCACCGCCCTCACCGCCGGGCCTCGCGCGATCATCGCCGCGCCTCGCCGTGGCGGCCGCGCAAATCTGAGGGCGATGGCGCTCGGCGTCGGCGACGACTTCCCTCCGGCGGCACTCCGCTCGCTCGGCGTCGAGGGCAGGCGGGCGGTCGTCGCCTTTGTCAACGCGGACGACGACTTCAACGACGCAAAGGAGCTGCGGCTCTTTGAGACGCGCGCCGACGAGTTTGCCCGCCGCAAGTGCGCGCTTGTCGCCGTGCGGCCGCCGGAGGGCGCGAGCGAGGCGGCTGGCCGACTCTATCCGTCGCTCACGCTGCACGACGACGAGGAGGACGCGGTTAGGACAGCCGCCGGACTGCCGCTCGGCTGGCGTCCGCGGCGGCCGCGCGCCACCTTCCTGCTCGCCGCCAACGGCACTGTCTGCGAGGCTGTCTCTGGCGGCGTCGGCTGCACCGAGCACCCCGCGTTTGCTGCGCGAGCCGTTGCGAGGCTCGACGACGCCGAGGCGTCCGCCGTCGCGCGGCTCGCGTCGGACGAGCTGCGCTCCTCCTTCGCCTCCGCCGCCTCCGCCGCCGCCTCCGAGTCGCGGCCTCCCCCCGCCGCCGCCGCCGTGGCGAGGGAGCGGGCGGCGGCGCGGGAGGCGGCGGCGGCGAGACTGGAGGAGGAGGACGCGGCGGCGGCGCAGCGCGCGCAGGCGATTCGGGTGGAGGCGCGGTGGAGGGCGACGGCGGCGGGCAGCGGCGACGCTGGCTTCGCCGCGGAGCTAGCGGTGGAGGCGGACAAGGCGGCGGCTGCCGCCTCCGCCGCCGCCGCCGCGGCGCGCCGCGCCCGGCAAGCGCTGGTGGCTGCAGCGGCGGCGGGCGGCGCGTCCTCGGCGGAGGCGGCGGCCAAGGCGGCGGCGGCGCGGGCGGCGCAGGAGGAGGCGGAGAGGCGGGCGGACGAGCGCGCGATGCTGCGCATGCAGTGGGAGGCGCTAGAGCTGCCGCTCAATCTGGCGGAGCGGGAGGCGGAGGAGCTGGGGCGGAGGGCGGACGGGGCGAAGGGCAGGGCGGGCCGGGCGCGGGGCCGGGCGGCGGCGGCGGAGGCGAAGCTCGAGGGGCAGCGGTCGCAGGACCTCGATCGCTTCGCGCAGGCGCAGGCCGCCTCGCGGGAGGAGGAGGACCGGAGGAGGCTCGACGCGCTCCTCGGCTCTGAGGCGGCGGCGCGCCGCCCGCCGCCCGCGGCGCCGCTGCCGCCGCCTCCAGTCATGGAGACCGCGCAGGGGGCGGCGGCGGCGCAGGCGGCGCAGGCGGCGGCGGAGCTCGAGGCCGAGGCCGAGGTGGCGGCCGATCGGGCGGCGGCGGCGCGGCACGCAGCGGAGGAGCAGCGGGCGACGCGGCGCGCGGTGGAGGAGCGGCTGGCGGCGGCGGCGGCGGCGGCGCTCGAGGCGCAGCAGACCGCCGAGGCCGAGCCCGAGGCGAACGAGGCGCGCGCAGCGATGGAGGCGCTGATGGGGCGCGGGGGCGGCGGTCGGGGCGAGGAGGAGGGAGTGGAGCTGGAGGAGGTGGCGGCCTGCGAGGACGTCGCTCTCGCTGCAGCGCCGGAGCCGCCTGGCGAGGACCGCGAGCTAAGGATCTCGCCTCAGGACGGGGTTGTGTGAATGTGGCGTCTATCGCACTGTGAGGAATGAAACAGAGGAGACGTTCCTCGGGAGACGAGAAAGAGACCGTCTTCGGTCTTCTATAGGGCAGTAGGAGCGGGGTGGCGGTAGCGTACAACGACTCGGCGGCCTCTCGCCAGTCCCGGCAGTCCGGAGGATGCCGTGGTCGCCACAGTGACAGAAGCCGCCTCGTCATCTCCCAGATGGTTTTATTTTTGGAGCAAGTGCATTTGGCAACCTCACACCCAGGGCCGGGGAGCTAAGAAGCAAAAAGAAAGAAAGAAAGAAAACATACAACCCAAGGGAGGGATGGGAGCACACCCAGCGGGCCGGCTGAGCCGCCATTTTTTTTCGCTGGCTGAGCGAGCCCAGGCGGCCAGCGTGATCAACTCGTCGCGGAGAACGCTCACAAGTCGAGAGCATGAGCGTAACGCTACACACCAACCTCGGTGATTTGAAGGCGCGCCGCCCGCCTGACTCCTGTCGGCACCGGCAATGGCACCCACAGACCGCCCCGTCCGCCCTCGGCAGGCTGAGCTGTTTTGCGACTCGGTGCCTCGGACGACCTTCAACTTTCTGGCCCTCGCCGCGTCCGGCTACTACGACGGCACGCTCTTCCACCGCAACATCAAGGGCTTCATGGTGCAGGGTGGCGACCCGACTGGCGCTGGCAAGGGCGGCGCGAGCATCTGGGGCGGCAAGTTTGCGGACGAGATCCACCCGGAAAATAAGCACTCGGCCCGTGGCATCCTCGCCATGGCCAACTCGGGGCCAAACACCAACGGCTCTCAGTTTTACATCACGTACGCCAAGCACCCGCACCTCGACAACTCGTACAGTGTGTTTGGGAAGCTCATCGACGGCTTCGAGACGCTCAACGCCATCGAGCGCACGCCGTGCAACGAGAAGCACCGGCCGCTCTCCGAGGCGCGCGCCCCCGCCGCCCGCCACCGCCGCCACCGCCGCCACCGCCGCCACCGCCGCCACCGCCGCCGCCGCCCGCCGCCGCCCGCCGCCGCCGCCGCCGCCGCCGCCGCCGCCGCCGCCACCGCCGCCGCCGCCGCCGCCGCCGCCGCTACTGCCGCCGCCGCCGCCGCCGCCGCTATGACACGTCTCCTGCGTTCTGACTGCAAACTGCGACTGAGCCTTCCCGCGTCCGCGCTCTGCAGATAAGGCTCGAGCACGTGACGATACACGCCAACCCGCTCGCCGACCAGATGATCACCTTCCCGTCAGCCACGGGCGCTCCCGACGTCCAAACGTAAGGATCGTAGCGCTAGCCGTTAATAGGGTTTCCATGATTTAGAGCCGTCTGAAAAAATGACTCGCTCCCATGTCTGTGAACGGGTAGTCCCCCCCCTCCCCCAGGGCCGCCTCCAGCGTCCAGCTCCAGGGCTCGCACCTCAACCTCTCACAGACCAGCGCACAGCGCCATGGTCCCGGAGGTATTTTCTTCTCAAACAAGGCGCGCGCCAGTCCCGTGCCCAGAGTCGGGAGGAGTTTTGTTAAAAAATATTCTCAAACAAGGCTGTGAAGGAGTTCCGCGCGGCGGAGGAGGCTCGAGAGAGGTGCTTGGCGTTGGTCACTGATGGATACCACCCCTGGCCTCAACGTCACCATCAATCAAGCCATCGACCGCGCCGAGCGCGAGGCCGACAGTGCGGTTCGGCAAAGCGAGCGTGCGAGGGCGCTCACCACTGAGGCCGGACGCACCGGCAAGGCTGTCGACTTCCGTCGGGACGGCAGCTCCTGGGCGCTCGGTCCGGGCTGGCGGAGGGAGGGCGAGGTGGAACTCGAGCGGATGGAGAGCGCGGCGATGGCTCCCGAGGTGAAGAAGACCGCGAGCGAGCACCTCCTCAAGAGCGTCGGCATCCAGACGTCCGGCCGCTCGTTTGGTGCGGGCCCAGCCGGGCCGCTCCGGCGGGCGCCGTCGGACGCGCCAGAGGAGGAGGCCGAGGCGGGCCCGGGGCCGCTGCGTAAGATGTGGCGGTCCATCTTTGACGGGTCGCCGATGATCTGGCCGCACCAGCTGTACCGCTTCACCAACTGCTGCGATTGGCTGCTGCTGCTGCTCGCGTTTGGCATTGCGCTCTTGGCGGGCCTCTGCCTGCCCGCCATCCTGTGGCTGTACTCGGGCACACTGGAGCAGGTGGGCGCGGCGATGACTGGCGGCTTCGACGCCTCGCAGATGTCTGAGAAGGCCCTCCAGATGGTGTACTGCGGAGTGGTGTACGGCCTGCTCACCGCAACCTACGCCACCCTCTGCGAGCTCTCAAAGGCGCCGTCGCCCCCCGAACCGTGGCCCGGCCCCCGCCCGCTTGCCCCGACGCCGCGACTGCGCGGGGCCCTCGCAGGCGCGGCAGATGGCGCGGTACAAGAAGAGGTACCTCCACGCCATCCTGCGGCAGGAGATTGGCTGGTTCGACACCTCGACGCCCGAGGAGCTCTGCACTCGCTTCGGCGCGGCGATGCTCGCCGTCGAGGAGGGCGTCGGCTTCAAGACGATGATGCTCGTCGACGCGTGGTCCACCCTCTGCGCTTCCATCCTGCTCGGCCTCAACTTCGGCTGGGACATCTGCGTCGCCGTCTTTGCGGCGGCGCCGATCCCTGGCGTCGCCGGCATCATCGCAATCGTGGTCGGGCTGACGGCGATGCACAACGTGCTGACGGCCACGGCGGGGGCCGGCGCGATCGCGTCCGAGGCCTTCTCGTCGATGCGAACGGCAGCCGCGCCCGCGCCCGCGCGCTGCCCTCCTCCGCCCCGCCGGCGCTCACGCGGCTGCGCAGCCCGTCTCAGGTGGCCGCGTTTGGGCTCGAGCGGGTGGCTGCGGAGAGGTACGAGCGCAAGGTCAAGGTGGCGGAGCGGTACGGCGTCCGCTTCGTGTGGCAGGCCTCGCTCGCCGTCTCGGTCGCCATCGCTTCGGTCATCATCATGTGCATGGCGGGCGAGATTTACGGCGGCGTGGTCGTCGCTGCAGAGCAGAAGAAGAGCGAGTTCGAGTACGGCGTCAACATGGGCTGGGAGCAGGTCTACGACGCAAACTCGCTGGTCGACGGCCTCCGGCCGCACCCGTCGCCGCCGCCCCACCACGGTGGCATCGAAGGCGGCATCGAGGACATGCGCAGCAGCTGGGAGCGCTTCCGCGACGGGATGCAAGACAATCTGTTTCACGACGCGACCTGGTTCATGGACCGGGTCGGCGTCCCGACTGTCGACTACAAGTACTGCACGTACAACTGCGGCGACCAGTACAACATGCTCTACCTCGACATCCAGTCCGTGATGTCCCTCATGCTCGGCCACGAGCTGCCGTACGCCGCCCGCGCGCGCGAGGCCACCTTCGAGTGGGGCCCGCCGCCAGAGTTTCACGGCCCCATCGACCAGCTGGGCGCGCGCCGCTCGCCCCTCGCCGCGGACCGGGCCTCCCTCGTAAGCCCCTTCGCCTCCCTCGGGCAGGCACCTGCGAGGCGGCCACCTTCCCGGACGGCCGGCCCGCCAACCTCAAGCCCTTCAAGCTCACCTGCGCGACGGCGAGCAACTTCGCGCAGAACCTGACCGCGCTGCGCCTCTACATGCAGCAGCCGAACATAGAAGCCTTCGAGGCGGCGGCCGAGGCGGCGGGCGGGTTTATGCCCTGCTCCCACTCGGGGGCGCTCACGCTCATCGCCGTGCTCTGCATCCTGATGGCCGGCGCGCACTTCACCCTCATCCTGCTCACGTCGGGCTCCGTCTTCAAGGCGTGCAAGATGGCGGCGCCGGTCCACGAGACAATCAACCACGTGCCGTCCATCGACGTCGCGTCCAGCGAGGGGCGCAGGCTGCCGTCGGTGCGCGGCGACATCTCGGTGCGCGACGTGGTCTTCGCGTACCCCGCCGCGCCCGAGCACCTCGTCTGCAACGGCTACTCGCTCGAGATTGGCGCGGGGCAGACGGTGGCACTGTGCGGCCCGTCGGGCAGCGGCAAGTCGACGCTCATCCAGCTGCTCGAGCGCTTCTACGACCCGCAGGAGGGGTCGGTGCGGCTGGACGGCGTCGACCTGCGCGACCTGAACGTGCGCTGGCTGCGCTCGCAGATTGCGCTGGTGGGGCAGGAGCCCATCCTCTTCGTGGGCACCGTCGCGGAGAACATCGCGTACGGCAAGGAGGGCGCCTCGCGCGCCGAGGTGGAGGAGGCGGCGCGCAGCGCCAACGCGCACGAGTTCATCATGAAGAGCCTGCCCGATGGGTACGAGACCTCCGTCGGGCACGCCGGCGGGACCTTGTCGGGCGGTCAGAAGCAGCGGGTGGCGATCGCGCGCGCGATCGTGCGCAAGCCGGCCATCCTGCTGCTCGACGAGGCGACGTCGGCGCTCGACACGACGAGCGAGCGGGTGGTGCAGGCGGCGATCGACGAGATCATGCAGAAGCAGAAGCGGACGACGGTCACGATCGCGCACCGGCTGAGCACCATCCGGCACGCCGACAAGATCGCAGTCATCCGCGAGGGGCGCGTGGTCGAGCAGGGCACGTGGGACCAGCTGCTCGACATCGACGGCGGCCTCTTCCGCTCGCTCGTCAACAAGCAGGCCGAGAAGCCCTTCGCGCCAAAGGTGCAGGGGCCGGGCGCCTCGCTCGTCGTCGGCCTCCGGCAGCGCTTTGGCGACCCGTCCACCGCGCCGCCCTCGAGGCCGTCCAATTGGCGGAGGCTGAACTTTGCGGCGGCGGCGAACGCGGTGCTGGCGAGCGTCAAGCTGGCGCGGAAGACGCCGCCCGACGGCTCCAAGGCGACGCTGCGGCTGACGAGGTCGGAGTTCTTCTCGTGGGTCGGTCCCGAGCGGGGCACCGCGGCGCTCCAGCCGGGCGCGGAGCGCGACTGGAGGCCGCTCTGGTGGCAGCTGATGCGGCTGCAGGACCGCGGCGACGGCCTGCTGATGCTGGTCGGGCTGGTGTTTGCGGTGCTCGAGGGCATGACGATCCCCGCGCTGGGCTTCATCTTCACCAAGACGGCGACCTCCCTCTTCAAGATGGACCCCGACCGCGTGCACGACGAGACCGTCTTCTGGGGCAAGGCCGCGCTCCTCGTCGGCGCCTCGTACGTGCCGATCATGACGATCGAGCTAGGGATCTTTGGCACCGTCGGCGAGCACCTCACGCGCAACCTGCGCGCGCTCGCCGCCCGCTCGCTCGTCAAGCAGGAGATCGGCTTCTTCGACGACCCCAACCACTCGGCCGGCGCGCTCACCCTCTTCCTCGGCGAGAAGGTTGCGCTCGCGCAGGCGGTCAACGGCCACCGGCTCGCCGCCACCGCCCGCCAGCTCGCCACCGTGCTCTTCTCCGCGTACCTCATCTTCACGTTCGGCTACTGGCAGCTCGCCGCCATCATGATCGTCGTGCTGCCCCTGATGGGCTTCTCGATGAGCATCTTGATGGTCGTCTTCCTCGGCCTCAAGGCGGACGAGGGCAACAAGGCGGCCAACGTCGGCTCGCTCATCGGCGAGGTCGTGCTCGGCGTGCGCACCGTCGCCTCGCTCGGCGTCGAGCGCCGCTTCCTCGCCGACTTCGAGGCGGCGACCGACGCCGAGGCCCGCCGCGGCGTGCGGGGCGCCTTCGTGTCGGGCCTCGCCGTGGGGATGGGCAAGGGGATGCTCGTCTGCTTCATCGGCATCGTGAGCTACTACGGCAGCCTGCTCGTCACCAAGGACATCGAGCAGCTCACCGCGGAGATGACGCGCATGTTCCTCGACCCGGACGCACCGCCCGGGCCGGACGACATCACCTCGGTCGACGCCGCCACCGGGTGCATCAACTCGCAGATCTGGACGATCGTCGAGAAGTTCCTGTGCCCGCTGATCGTCGTCTTCTTCAGCTCGATCGGCATGGGCGCGGCGGGCGTCATCGCTGCCGACTCGAGGCGCGCCGCTCTGGCCTGCCAGGCGCTCTTCCGCATGATCCGCCGCCCGTCGCGCATCGACGCCACCGACAATGACGGCACCAAGCTGCCGTCGGTGCGCGGCGACATCTCGGTGCGCGACGTGGTCTTCGCGTACCCCGCCGCGCCCGAGCACCTCGTCTGCAACGGCTACTCGCTCGAGATTGGCGCGGGGCAGACGGTGGCGCTGTGCGGCCCGTCGGGCAGCGGCAAGTCGACGCTCATCCAGCTGCTCGAGCGCTTCTACGACCCGCAGGAGGGGTCGGTGCGGCTGGACGGCGTCGACCTGCGCGACCTGAACGTGCGCTGGCTGCGCTCGCAGATCGCGCTGGTGGGGCAGGAGCCCATCCTCTTCGTGGGCACCGTCGCGGAGAACATCGCGTACGGCAAGGAGGGCGCCTCGCGCGCCGAGGTGGAGGAGGCGGCGCGCAGCGCCAACGCGCACGAGTTCATCATGAACAGCCTGCCGCACGGGTACAACAGCAACGTCGGCCTGCGCGGCGGCATGCTGTCGGGCGGTCAGAAGCAGCGGGTGGCGATCGCGCGCGCGATCGTGCGCAAGCCGGCCATCCTGCTGCTCGACGAGGCGACGTCGGCGCTCGACACGACGAGCGAGCGGGTGGTGCAGGCGGCGATCGACGAGATCATGCAGAAGCAGAAGCGGACGACGGTCACGATCGCGCACCGGCTGAGCACCATCCGGCACGCCGACAAGATCGCAGTCATCCGCGAGGGGCGCGTGGTCGAGCAGGGCACGCACGCGGAGCTCATGCTCACGGGCGGCGTCTACGCCGGCCTCGTCGATGCGCAGCAGTCGTGAGCGACGCCGCGCGCTCGCGGCACGCGGGGGGCGGACACAGGGGCGCACGATTTGAGTACTGTCAGCGACACTGAGTGGAACTGCACAGGCAATGTCCGCCTTATGTGCATGCAAGTGGTGGATATAATGTCTGTTTATTATCATACCATTTTCCGCATTTTTTTCACAGCACACAGGCTAGGAATCCTTAATCTCACCGGTCAACTCCTCTCCACTCGCCCAATGTGGTCCGGACCCTCCGGTAACTCGGCCAGTTCGTAACTCGCCATGGAGGGGACAACGTCCTCAATCCTAGAGTTGAAGAACGGGTTGTCTCTGCGAGCTTATCTCGGAGGTTGAGTGCGAGCATATCAAGACCGTTCAATATGCAATAGGTGGCTGAGAGACGCGGAGCCAAAGGCGGCAAGAGCACGGAAGCTCCGGCGCACCACGAACGCCGACACGCCGACCCGGTTCTATCCGCGCCGTCGCCCAGACACAGCGGAGAGGCGTCCTATTTGCCAGGCACAGCGGTGGCAGACGGCTCGGCGGCAGGCGGTGGGCTTACCTTCTCTGCGTAGAATGGCAGGCCATCGAGCGCGTTGTGGTCGCGCGCGTCGACTCGCCTGTCGCAGGTGAAGGCCTCGACGACCTCCAGCCAGTCCGGCATACCTGGCCACCTCCAGAATTTCGTCCTCCGCAGCGCGCAGGAGAGATAACCAGGTTCGTTGTGAAGAGCTGGGGCGCGCCACCCAAGAGCCTAGGTAGGTGCGGATCGGCAAGAGCGCAATCGATCTTTTTGCCCTCTATCACCTTGGGTTGTAAGAACTTGAAACACACCACGCAGGGGCACAGCAAGCACGGATAGCCGTTGAGGAGAAAGGGCGTAAGGTGTATGCGCAGCCACGGCCGTGCCGCGGTGGGCGCGCCACCTCCCGCGAGCGCGGCGGGATCGGAATTGCGGCCGGAGGGAAGGGCGAGCCGCCGCCGCCGCCGCCATATACCATCAGCGACGACGACCGCGGCTCGCCCCAAACGCCAGGCGCTGGATCGGCAGTAGGGCTTGGGCGGCGCAGCGTAGGCCTCGAGCCACACGAGTCGCCGACAACCCCCCCTCATCGACGTGATGGCCGCACCCGCTGCCGGCCGATGCAAGCTGCCGCCTCCACCGCACCAGCGATACTGGCCGCGGCTCGCCGCCACGCGCCGGCTCGGAAGAGGGGCTATCGGCGGCGCAGCAGAGCGGCATGCGTCATCATTCGAGCAGCACCAGGTCCCCTCTTCGACGTGACGGCCGCTCCCGGAGCCGGCCGGTGCGCGCCCGACCCACGCCCCCTCTCGCACCCCCCCGATCCCCCTGCGCGGCGCCCCCTCCACTGCGCGCCGGCTCGAGCGCCTATTGCCAAATCGCGACTTTCGAGCGCAGTGCGTGCGCCCCACACGTCACGCGAGCGCAGGAGAGTTTGCGGCAGAGCAGTACCGTGTACTAGCCGGAGGCATCGCGCCGAAAACCCCGCGCATTCCGCCCCAACAGAGGCTGCAGGAGGCAGATGGCCAATAGCGACGATCGTTACGAAATGTAGCGTTACCGGGAGCTCTCCAAGCTGTCTTGGGTGGTAAAAGCGGAAAGAGACAGAACCAGACCTTTTTGAGTAACCGGGGAAGCCGCCGGTAGCATCTCTTTCCACCCAAGAAGCCCGTTTGGAGGGATGGGCGGCAGTGTGCGGGCGGTGAGTGCTAGTCCTCTCATCAATTTAGAACGAAACACGCCCCTCCCTCCCTTCTTCCCTCTACTAGCTGAGGGGCTCGCTAAACGCTCGCCGAGCTCCATGCTGTGCAACACCACCTCCTCACTAATCGTCAGGGGCGCGGAGAGCGCAGTGCACTACGGTGAGGCTGCGCAGCGGGGGCTCACCCCCTGCACCGCGCTCACGGCTCAGCGCGGCGCAGGGGAGGGCGGTCGGTGGCGGCGGCGGCGAGGCGCGAGGCGGTGGCGGCGGTGGTGCGGGCGGCGGGATGACAGGGGAGGCGGCGGGATTGACAGGGGAGGCGGCGGCCTCGAGCGGAGCGGCGCAAGAAGGGGGGGGGGGCGGCGGCGAGGCGCCGGTGAGCGAGGCGCCCGCGCCATCTCAGAGGGACGCGTCGCTGCGAGATGGAGGGCGGCGGTGACGGAGGCGAGGCGCGAGGCGGCGGCGGCGGCGGCGGCGGCGGCGGGTCTCGGTGAGCGGCGGCGGGAGGAGGAGCAGCGGCGGCGGGAGGAGGAGCAGCGGCGGCGCTCGCTCGCTGTTGACGGGAGCGCTTTTGAGCCTGGGAGCCCATGCCACTGCGACCGGCGTGCCCGGGAACGGAGATCGCGCGCGCGCCGCCACTCACGACGCGCGCGCGATCTTCGCGGAGTCGGGTCCCCAGAGGGAAGCGGTCTTCTCGGCCGACGTCCAGCGGCGCGCAAGGAAGCAGGCGCAGCGGAGGCGGCCTAGCACCGGCTCGGCGCCGGGCGGTTGCGCTGCCCGCGAGCCGCGTCCTGAGCCTCGGCAGCGCGCGGCGCGGCGCGGCGCTCGCGCTGCTTCTGTGCCGAGAGCGGCATGATTCGCCAGCTGAAGCTCCAGACTCCTCGGGTATCACGAGTTCTGGGGGTCACGATTTGCGCAGGTTGAGGGGAAATTCGCGTTCTCGTCTGAAAGCAGTCTTGGGTGGTCACAACGCACTCTGTCAGTGTGCCTGTGGTAGTGAGAGACTGCCAGCGGGAAGCTGGAGGCAGGTCACTAGACTGAGATGAGACCGCCAGTGGAGTTGGGAGCCCACCGTGCACCGCGCTGCGAGCCTGTCGTGTCCCTTGTCAGGAGCAGGAGAGCCCCACCTGTCCCCCTGATCGTCCTTCCAAAATCCTGCTCGTGCAGGTGGGGACCCTGTCCTCCTCCCCCATCCCTCGTCTGGGTTCGTCTGTTTTCTTTCTTTCTTTACAACGCACTCTCTCACGTTACAAGGGACAATCTGCAACAGTGCAGTGTGGAGTTCAGGCCTGGGCCCGAGCCCCTAGGGCGACAAGACATGCGCAGAGGGCGGTGAAGCGCGGTGGGGGGCCGAAGTCGAAGACGAAGAGAATGAGGCTGAGTGAGAGAAACTCCGCAGAGCCCGAAGACTCGCAGCGATCCCGGATCGAGGGTTGGCACGAACTAACCACCCCTGAAGTGGGGCAGTGAGTGATGGCCTGCTGAGCCGAGTTCAGCCTTTGACGTTCGCGCGGATTTCGTTCGTGAACTCCGAACTCGAACGAACGCAGCCCGAACCTCGAAACTGAACGGACCGCGCCGGCTGCGGAAGGCGCGAACTGCGGAAACGAACGAACGTTCGTGAGAACTCCGTTCGAACTTAGGAAAACAGAAAACCACGGGAAAAAGTCCGTTCGTTCGGCGTGCAGTTCAGCCACGAGCCGCGCTGAACGAACGAACTCGCGCAACTGCGCCACTGCGCACGTGTGTACGCGGTCTGACCCTCAATCTCAGGTGCCCATATACACCACAGTTCTGACGGTCCGCGACAGTCTGCAATCTAGCGGACTACGGCGCGACTACCGGTGCCGGTGCGCTGTGAGCAGGGCCGCCCTGTGGTGCCTGCGTGGGCGCCGTGCGTGCTGACTGGCGAGTAGAATGGGGGAGACGGGGGCTCCCCGAGGCGTCCAGGCGTACTAGGCCTCTACTAGGCGACCAGGGACTATACAGGCCTGCATAGCCAAAAAGAAATATTACGGTTCGTTCGTGGTTCGTTCGCAGTTCACAGACGAACTTCCCTGGTATTCCTCGCCCTGCGGGTGTGAAGCGGGTCGGGGGGGAGGAGAAAAGAAAAGGCTGAGTGCACGAACTAGTTCGAGGGTTCGGGCACCCAAGGCCAAGCGCAAACGACCGAACCGATGCAGCGAACCAAGGGGATGCGTCCAGAGCGAACTCCGAAACCGAACGAACCGCGAGTTCACCGAACCAGTTCATGAACCAGTTCGCCAGTTCGCCCGCGAACGTCAAAGGCTGGCCGAGTTATGGCGATGGCCGCCAAGTGGTCAGGAAGTGAGGGTTGGGTTGATCCTCCGCCCTCCGGTGCGCGGTGGGATGACAGTGCTGCACCGACCCAAAGGGGTCGGTGGAAGATACTCACGGCAGGCCGCCATTGCCGTTGCCTCCTCCTCCTTCTAGGTTAGAAAACCAAAGATACTTTCTTTCTTGCACGTTAGTGCCAGTGCGCGCCAGTCCCGTGCCTAGTGTCGTGCGAGGGAGTTGGCTTGCAAAATTCTCCTCGCGGGAGTCGCTTAGGCGGCTCCCGTGGTGTACCTGTGTTAGTGCCAGTGCGCGCCAGTCCCGTGCCTAGAGTCGTGCTAGGGAGTTTTGTTTGGGTACCGTCGGGTACTTATTTTAAGAGCAGGTAAACAGCAATAGATCCGGGGGTAGTGCCGGATCAGTTCCTGGAGCCAGGGGGACCGATTCGCGCTTGCCAAGGGACCAATTGCTAGACACCCGGGCCGGGGGGGGGAGGGGGTACAGGGGGGCCCGCACAGGTGGGCGAGCCAAACTCTGGCGGAGGCAGCCCGCTCACCCCCAGGCGCCCCTCGAACCGGAGGGTGGTCTGCCGCCGCTGCGCGGTCGGCGCGCCGAGCGCGGGAGACATATCAGCTTCGCGCCACAGATTGGGGGGACCGATTCTCAGCAAGTTTGGCAGCGCGGGCAGTGTGAAGGATCGATTGCTGTACAACGAGGGACCGATTCCGTGAGGGCTGGGTATCGATTAGGCCGCTTGAGGGCCGGATCTATTGCTGTTTACCTGCTCTTAAAATAAGTACCCGACCGTAAAACCTTGCCTGAATTCTTCTTGGTGACTGCCGTTGAACACATTTGCTCCTGCCGCGCTGGCTCTTTGCTGCCAGGCCGTCGCTGTCGACGCTCTCCCGCTACCCACCCACTCCCCACGCCGGCCACGCCGGCAATGCCCTCTCCGGAGCCCATGGATCCCGCGCTGGAGCGCTCCTTCCGCGGCCACAAGGACGGCGTCAGCTCCGTCTCGTTCAGCCCCACCATGAAGCAGCTCGTCTCGGGCGGCCTCGACGGGACCGTGATGGTCTGGAACTTCAAGATGCAGATGCGCGCGTTCCGCTTCGTCGGCCACAAAGCCGCCGTCACCTCGGTCGACTTTGCACCGTCCGGCTCGCTCATCGCCTCGGGCTCGCGCGACCAGACCATCCGGCTGTGGGCGGCGAACGTCAAGGGCGAGAGCGTCTCGATCCGCGCGCACACGGCGCCCGTCAACTCGGTCGCGTTCTCGGGCGACGGGCAGCAGCTGGTCACGACGTCGGACGACAAGTCGGTCAAGGCCTGGTCCATCCCGACGCAGCGCTTCAAGCACTCGTTCTCGGGCCACACCAACTGGGTGCGCGACGCCGCCTTCTCGCCCGACGGCAGGATGCTCCTCTCTTCGGCCGACGACAAGACGGTGCGGCTGTGGGACGCGCGCTCGCGCGCGTGCAGCCACACCTTCTTCGACCACTCCGACAACGTCGGCTGCTGCGCCTTTAGCCCCGAGGGCAACTGCGTCGCGTCGGGCTCCGCAGACCGGTCAATCAAGCTGTGGGACCTGCGGACGCTGCAGCTGCTGCAGCATTACGACGCGCACGGCGACGAGGTGCACCGCATCGCCTTCCACCCCTCCGGATCCTTCCTCCTCTCCGCCTCCGCAGACTGCACCCTCAAGCTCTGGGACCTCTGCGAAGGCGGGCCCATCACCGCCGCCCTCACCGCCGCCCTCGCCGCGGCCCTCGCGGCCGCCCTCCGCAGCCCCCGCCCCGCCGCGTGCTCCCTCACGCCGCTCCTCGGCCCTCGGGAGACAGGCCGCCTCTTCTACACCATCCACGGGCACGAGGCGTCCGCCAACGGCTGCGCCTTTTCGCCCGCGGGCGACTTCTTTGCCACCGCCGCCTCCGACCGCCACGTCATGGTCTGGCGAACCAACTTTGATCGCCTCCTGCCCGCGGAGCACAAGGGCCTCGCCCTCGACGCAGACCCTCCCGCCGTGGCCGCGCTGCCCCCGCAGCTGCCGCCGCAGCCGCCGCAGCTACCGCCGCCGCGCGAGCCGCCCGCCTCCTCCCTCGCCTCCTCCTCCCTCGCCGCCTCCTCCCTCGCCGCCTCCTCCCTCGCCGCCTCCTCCCTCGCCGCCTCCTTCCCACCGGCAGAGCCGCGCAGAGAGCCCTCCCAGCCGCCGACGCCGCCCATGCCATCCCAGCCCTCCCAGCCTCCACAGCACGCGCCGCCGCCGCACACCGCCCCGTCGCCGTCTCGTGCAGCAAGCTCCTCCTGCCAGCGAAGCTCCTCCTGCCAGCCAGCAAGCTCCTCCTGCCAGCCGCGCGCGCCGTCGACGGAGTTCGTCGCGACGGTCGAGCGCATGGCGGGGCAGCTCGACGGGCTCGCAAGGGCGGTGAGCTCTCTGGAGCATCGGCTGACCGTCTCGGAGGACAAGGCGCTCTCGATGGAGCGCATCCTCTCGCGCGCGCTCGACAACCAGAGGCTGCTCATCGAGAAGCTCGCGGCGTCGTGAGAGCGTGGGAGACCTCGGAGAGTCCCCAGCTGAAACAGCCGCAGGCGGGCGCTGGCACAATCAGGCGCGTCGTGCGAGTACTGACAGCTTCAGCTGACAGCTCACCGCACGTAGAGCCAGCCGTACATACAACAGAGCCCGGACTCAAGAAAATCAAGTGGCGGAAGTACGAGGTAAGGTTGGGACGTAGAGAGTTCAAGGACAACACCACAACGTAATTGATGCATGATGTGGACCACACCCCAGCGCCCAGGGGTACGTAAAATCAAAATCAAAGACTAGAGCCGTAAACGAAACTGTCGAGGCCTCGAGGCTCGAGCCTCCCCCGCGCCCCGCGGCCGGCCCGCGCGCGCACGCGCGGCTCGCACGACGCTACAACTCAGTGCGCGCCGCGCGCAGAGTGCGGCGCACTGGGGGTGTCCTCTCCACACACTCCAGATACCAGAACCCGCTCTCCACTTTTAGTGTCGTGCCTGCAGACCATGAGTCGCATGACCGCAGCGCATCTGTCTGAGGCCTGCGCAAATTGACACACAAATGTTCAGAGTTCAGTGCACCGCTTCTCTTGAGCCTCTTTTGGCAGAAACAGCAAACATGTGCGCTGTTTTTCTGCCAAGTGCGCACACCAATGCCCCCGCCCGCGAAAGTTGAGTTCAGACTTCAGTGGCGCGGGCTAGGCGCGGGGCGCAAGAGGGGTGCGGGGGCAAGCCAACCAACCATCGCACGCACGCAAGACGCATAGACGCAACACGAACAGTCGTCAGTCAAAGAATGAACCCCTGTCAGCAGTCCGCCCTCGGGTATGTGTTTGCAAGAGCCACGTACACTGAAAAAATAAACCCCTCCTGACGTATCCTCGCGTACTACCCAACAATAGACCTAGCCCACTCACCCCCACCCCCACAGTAAGTAATACCTCGAGGTAAAGCTTTTACGGAAAGCGGGCACGGGCGTTCTGACCCCGCCCGAGCATATGCCCGCTATGGTGCCTCTGGCACCGAGCGCTCATATCAAACGATGGCACATCACCCTCGCCATCCTGCTTCACGTTCCTGCGCGTGCATATTCTGTATATCTCTTTCCTCCGAGGCCCCCACCTTCCTCTCCTCCAAGTCCACGGACATCACCCTCGCCACCGCCGCCATCGCCGCCGCCGCCCGACCCACCGCCGCCGCCGCCGCCGCCCTCGCCGCCGCCACCGTCACCGCCGCCACCGACGCCGCCACCGCCCACGCCACCGCCGCCCTCGCCGCCGCCGCCCGCCCCACCGCCACCCACGCCGCCGCCACCATTGCCGCCGCCACCAGCCCCACCACCACCTACGCCGCCGCCACCCTCGCCACCGCCTCCGACGCCGCCGCCGCCCATGCCACCTCCCATGCCACCGCCGCCCTCACCGCCACCGCCCGCCCCACCGCCGCCTACGCCGCCACCACCCTCGCCGCCGCCACCGGCCCCACCGCCACCCTCGCCGCCGCCGCCCTCGCCGCCGCCACCCTCACCACCGCCACCGACGCCGCCACCGCCCGCCCCACCGCCGCCTACGCCGCCACCACCCTCGCCGCCGCCACCAGCCCCACCACCACCTACGCCGCCGGCCACTCAC